CAAAACATATTTTGAGTCTGACAACATCACCCTCATTGAGTGGCCTGCAGATGGCAGCAGGAGGGGGTCAAAAGACAGGAGCCAGGTGAACAGTTGGCTCGTCCTGAGATGAAGTCTCAGTCTTGAGGAGGGAGGCAAGACAGCCATGTCAGCTAAAAATATATATCAAACCCTGTGTTTAGCCAGTGTGACCTCACATGTCCAGACTGTGTTTGAGCAGTCAGGTTTTCCAAGGCTGCTGGAGTGAGTTTGTCAGGGATGCCAGGGCCATAGAGATTTGTTTGGGGATGGGAGAGGGTAAATAAATAACCAAACAACCCTTCTGGGGGTGGGGCAGGGGTTGGGTAGGCCTGTGGGGGGTGGGAGGAGTGGGGAAAGCATGGGAAATCCATCTGAAACAGGCAGAGATGGTGGGGCATGCATGATAGGGGCTAGTAGGCTGGCAGGGTGGGTTCTGGGTGCAGTGGAGGCCTAAAAATGGGTTGGGCAGGGCTAGATAGCTAGATATGCATGCTAATAATTGTCATGGCCCCCACAGGGTGTGGGATGGGGCAGGAGGGCCAAAAACATGAAAAATCCAGAGTCTTTTGCATTTTTAGTACAAAACAATTGAATATCAAATTGAAAACTTAATATTTCACTGTAAAACTTTGGGGACCTTTGTATCCATGGTGGAGGGGGCTTCAGGAATATTTTGAGTATTTATTATGAATTATGGGGTGTGCTATACAGCCAGGAATAGTGTGTGTGGTGGGGTTTGATGTGCTTTGCCAAATTTGGCAATAAGATGATGGCTGCACATCCATGCATAATTCTGGCTCCCCCTCACATTATTTCACTTAGCTTTGGCTGAGCAAAATGTTGGGTACATTGATACCGTCCTGTTGACCTTCTTATCACATGAAACAGATGAAAACTTGTTGAGATATGGCAAACATGATTTTGGCTACTATAATGCATGGTGCACCCATGCATCCTTGGGCATGTTTAGGGCCATCTAACTTGGCCAAAATTCATGGGATACATGTCTGAGAGTAATAGTATGACACACAAAAACTCTCCAGGAGTTTTCATGTGTCATAGCTGTCAAACTCTACTCACATGACCTAGCAAGTCACATGTCCTTCTACTACAGAAACAGTCTGTCTATATCTCTGCAATGGCTGCAGCTACAGCTCTGAAATTTTATACACCATGAGGCAATGTTCAGCAAAGCTTATGTAATAAATTTCAGATATTCAGGGGTGCTGTGGCATGAGATATTGCATGTTTTAAATGCAGAAAACCTGCACCTCCATATCTCAACACCTACTGATGCTACAGGTCTATAATTTGAGGCCAACATCATCTATATTATATCTACTTGTGTATGAATTTTCAGGTCTGTTGATGGTCTTGATGCCAAGATATTGCGATATGCGCATTGTTTTAAATGCAAAAAACCCACACCTCTATATCTCAATAGCTACAGATGCTACAAATCTATAATTCTGAGGCTATTATCAACCATATTATGTCTACTAGTGTACCGATTTTCAGCTTGGTTGATGGTCTGGGTGCCAAGATATTGTGATATGCGCATTGTTTTCATGCTAAAAACCCACACCTCTATACCTCAACAGCAACTGATGCCAAATGTCTACAATTTTAGAGTATTATCACCTATATTATATCTACTGGTGTACCAGTTTTCAGGTCTGTTGATGGTCTTGATGACAAGATATTGCAATATGTGCATTGTTTTAATGCAAAAAATACGCACCTCTATATCTCAACACCTACTGATGCTACATGTCTATAAATTTGAGGCTATTATCAACCATATTATATTGACCTCTGTGCCAACTTTCAGATTTGTTGATTGTCTGGGTGCCAAGATATTGCAATATGCCCATTTTTGAGGTTTTGGTGCAAACCAGTAATTTAAATATGCAGCCATGAATAATGAATGTGCATTTATGAATTCTACATTCACTAAAGACCCTCTGTATCCTGCATAATGCTGTCAAGGTGTTCCAGTGCTCTGGTCCTTGCCAGGGGTAAACATTTGAGTGGACATTTTCAGCTATTTTTAGAAATCAGCACTATTCAGTCAATTGTGCACCCAATTCTGTGCATGATGCTGATATTGTGGAGTCAATGTAACTGGATATTATGACTCTCTAGCTAAAACAATCTGCATTAATGAGGGATATCTGGGAGAGAGGCCAGTGAAGCCACATTTTCACATTTTTATGGGTGTGAAGCATTAATTTGACTGTAGATCTACTAAATTTGGGAATTTTCCCATGTTCAAGACCTCTACTGAAAGTTATGAATATTCTATGATTTATCATATTTTTAAATTAAAGAAAAATGACCCAGAAATAATTGAAATATGCCAGCATTTGTCACAACCCATCCCCCTGCTCCTGGCTCAATTATGCAGCTTCCAAGGCTGTTATCTGGCTTCTGAGGCTCATGGTGTTGAGCTGTGCACTTTCAGGATGCTTCTGAGACATCCAGGAATGAGCTCTGCACTTCCAGGATGCTTTCCAGGTGTGCCATGTCTCTGGCTCATTCTATTATGCCTCCTAGCCATTGTTCTATTGTTCTCCATTGTTGTCATGACCTGTCCCTGGCTCCCAGCTCAATTATCCAGCTTCTAAGGCTTATAGTGTTGAGCCATGCACTTCTAAGGCACTTTCAAGATGTGCCATGTCTCTGGCTCACTCCATTGTGCTTTCTAGCTATTGTTCCATTGTCTTCTACTGTTCTCCTTGTCCTGGCTAAGTTACCTATTACATAATCATGGTATATTATTCTACATAGCATAAATACCCAAGTATAGTAGTGGATTCCTTAGTCAGAATATCAAACTCAACATCCCCCTCAGCTCTAGTTTACTACTGGAATCCTCTCATCTACTACTAAGACTACTAGCCAGCCTTGGTTCCAGTTAGCTGGTCAACTTCTGGATTCCATGCTGAATTGAATCCTCTTGTTCATTGAAAATTGGGGACATCCAGATATTGCATGATGGCACAGCTCATTTTCCTCAAGCTGAAGGTGAGTCCCCACCTATTCTGGCATGTTCATTACAACTTTGAGTTCACATTTGTGCATGTTGTAGTATTTCAGTGATATTTACAATCATATATCTCTACTGCAGGTGGTACAGCATGATTGCAGTGCACAGATGGGCTCTTGATTTAATACAGAACCCCATTGTTTAGAGTGCAGAAGAATTAATAAAACAATCAATAGGACAGCTAAAGATATGAGACAAAAATGAACTTGTAATTGCCATGCAAAGCAATGGCCCACAATACCAAGTGAAGAGAGTATGTGCCTCTTTGAGAAGCTTGGTAAACGAGGGTACAGGTTCATTTTTGTCTATTTTTTTGAAATGTTTCAGTAAGTCAGCATCTTTTCCACCCAGGTGTATTCTATGGTTGGCTTTAGCTCGATTGTTGCACCAGAACACAGTGACATTCTGCCACATACCTCCAACAATCAAGTATCCTTGCATTGAGAACCTGATAGGCAAGTTCTGAGTAAGGATAGTAATCAACTTTCTTGACGTTTGATGGGCCTTTGTGTTTTAGATGATTTGCATTGTTGCCAATGCTTGAAGGGTCTGGGCTGAGTAGGCTGTCCCAATGGGCCTTGTAAATTCTGCTGAGGTCTGTCCAACACATATGCTATGTTTCAAGAAATGGCTGCAACCATTCTAACCATTGGAATGAAGTGTCATGGAACTGCAAGTATAATTTCAGCAGAACCATTTGTTCATAAGTCAGGCCATCTCCTCCAGCAAATATCAAGTGTTTGATTGGTTCATCTTCACTATAGCCTATCTCTTGCATGAAATTGATGACTGCCTTGAGGAGATCAGCTGTAATCGTCTCATTGTGTCCATTAGTTGGCAGAGGGTAAATTTGGGTCTGGTGAGGTGTAATCACCCTTTTTGCAACATTTGCTGTATACTCATTGTTGACTCCTTTCTTGTATTTTTGCAGATGAGAAACATAGTTCACTAGAATCCATACCCATTGCAAAGTGCAGACACAATCAATATGTTCTGTGTCAATCATGTGTCGCCTCTTGTCCAACTCGAATGTGATGTGGGCAAATATAGTGCTGGACATTATCAAAGCAAAGGATCCATAAAGATGTTCCACTACAGGTTACTTCCTTGATTATCTGTGAGTCGTGTTCTGCCAGCTTCTTCAACGCATCATAAATAGAATGATAACTGGGCCCTGCTCCTACCCTGCTATCATATTTATAGATGTAATGATTTGCGTGACATGCAAAGTTCAAGATGCCCTTATTGAGTGGCACCAGTTTGGTGTACATATTCTGTGAGTAGAAGAGAGCACTCAGGGCATGCATTGCAATCTAATTGATTGCAGTTGAGGAATAATCTTTCAGTAACAATGGCAAAGACTCACAATCTCAGGCGGTTGTCTATCTCAGTCTAGAGATTCCTTGCAAGGAGATGCAAGTGCACAAAAATAGCTCCACAGTAGAGGGGTAAGGTCTTGAAAAATCATTTTTGCAGTTGAGAAAGCCTCTGCCTGACCATCATATTTTGCAACCTGGGTGTTCCTTGTTGTGAAGGTGTGTAATCCACTGCTTTTCTTGACCACTTTTCTTGCCTCTTTGACCACTTTCTCCTTCATGAGCTGAGCCATTGCAGATGTAATGGCAGGCCATGCATATTTGATATGATGATAGTCCTTTGTTGTCGAGAACATAAGCTGCTGTTCTTGATGCCTGGCTGGCAGCAGACTGTAAGAAGCATCAAGCCAGAGCTGGATGATTTGGACTACAGGTATTTTGGTTTCTCCTGTCAAAAACTTTGAAACCATTTGAGAATGACCATCAGTTGGGTAGAATGGTTTCTTGGTGTCAACCATTGCAAATGTGTGGTACAAGAAGTCACCAAGAGTCCAGTTGAAGGATTTCAGCAGTTCCAGGACCTTGTCAACCTTGACTTGTACTGATCTCTATGCTCACTTCTCCACTTTGAGAGTGTCCTTCTTCTCCTTGCCTCTCTGATTCTGGAGATGTTTGTTGCTGCTCTCAACATAGGGAGGTGCTTGAGTAGGTGCTTGGGTTAGGAGATAATACAATGTCTGCAGGATGGATGGTCCAGATGATGAATAGAGGTATGGGTATGGCTCATATGGTGCCCACAAATGAGCAGATGTTGGAGTGTAGTAGGCTTGTGTGACGGGCAGAAAACTGATGTGTGGTGTTGATGTCAGAAGGCTTGGGAGGGGAGAAAAGGTTCTCTGGAGGGGTGTTTCAGGAGGTTCTGGTGCAGTAGCACCATCAAGCTCATGCTCAGGGTGTCTGACCTGGTTGTTGTATGCAAAATCATCTATGAACATTGTTTTTCTACACCTCTCTGACTCTTCCCAATGTCAAAAGCCCCTATCACACCTGCTCATATAAGTGGCAATCATGCAGTGGCCTGTTGGAGCTCAAAAATCTTCAACTTTAGAGGGCTTCTGGGGTCACATCAGTAACAGATACCAGGCTTTATATCAAGTGAATGTCAGCACTCAGCTACTTCATGTGAGCATTAAGCTTGGCTAGCCAGGCTGGAGAGTTTTTGTGCATCATATATTTGGCTAAACAAACAAAGCCACCACAGCCACTCACCTCATCTTGGAAATTCCATATCTCTGTCAATTCTTATTCAATTCTCATGAAATAACTTGCATAACTAATGTAAAATACAGGAGAAAAATACAGTAATCATAAATGTAATGTAGAATATGTGAATACTATTTCATTTGTAGACAGTATGATTCCTATAGAGGTAAGTGATCAGGTGACTTGTGCTGGCCATAATTGATTGTGTGCTACATCAGCAATGTAGGCTTGTGACCAGTCTGAATATGAATATGAATATTCAGGCTGGTAGAGCTGAGTTTGAATTCCCATAGCATTCAGGTTGCACATCATTTTCCATATACAGACGGTGGCTCCAACCGACCCTAAACTCCCAGGTCACGTTCTGGTCAACAAACTGCATCGCAAGCCCCTAAAGACACATCACTCAATGTTTGATGCCTGCTTTGCCTTTCTCTGGTACCGTTCCTGTCAAATCATGCAGTATGCTGCCTCTAGACTCTCTGGTGATCAACGAGATGCAAAGGATCTTGCCAGAAATGTTATTCTCACATATTTGACTATAGTTCTGGAGCTCTGGAGACAATCAAATTATCTTGCTTGCTAGCTTCTCTTTGCGCTGACTGGCTGAGAAAAGGACTCCTCAAGAATTCTGAATACAGGGACCCATTTCCAGACTGATGATTTAAGACTCACTCCTGGATGTTTGCACAAATGTCAGAAAACTTTGTGCACAGTCTTGCCATATCTCATTGCTCCTTGCAATCAATGAGGACAGTCCCAATAGTCTAAGCCCCATTCTCGGTATGCAGTATTCTGTTCACAGGGGCTCTTCTGTGTGGTGGGGCTGCAAATAGATCATATTTGGTATAAGTCTCACTGAATACAAGAGAGCCAACTTCAGTTCTTCAGCACCACTAAATTCCCTACCAATGAAATTTGTGGCTCGCTTGACCGTACCCAAGTCCTGCTGAACCCCATTGTCGCGTGTTGCGGAGGCTTCAGAAGCAGAGGCCAAGAATTTTGAAGTTTTGAAATGGAAGTTGAATTGGTGCTGCTCTGGTTCTTGGTATTGACCATGTTGGAAGGAGCATCACAAGTGCCAGCACCACTGATAGGTGAAAATGAAAGCGAGCTTTGTGTTGGCAGAAGAAGTTGGGCTCTTGCATCTCGCTGTGTTTGCTGCCTTTGCCATTGTGTTTGTCACTGTATTTGCCATCACCTTTATTGTCACCTTTGCAAGAGTATCAGTGGAGGACCACAGTAATGAGAGCATGATCACTGACACTCGGTGGGGAGGATAACATGACCTAGGAGTTTAGGGTCGGTCAGAGCCACTGTCTGTATATGGAAAATGCTGTGCAACCTGAATGCTACAGGAATTCAAACTCAGATCTACCGGTCTGTATATTGACAGATTCCTCCTACAGATCACGTTCTGTCATTTACAGATGGTCACCAGTCTATCAGCAATGCAGGACTCTACAATTCTATTGCACTACAGCTGCATTATTAACTTAGAGCAGTAAGGCCTTATAAGCAGCCCTGATGGCTATGCTCATTGAGCTCAGCAAACACTGGCTCATTGTTTGTTTGTTGTCATTATGAAAGCATGGTCATTTTGGCTTTCATACAGGACTTGCTATGGTGTATTTTGGTGAGGGTCTGGAAGCAGCTGGGCACAACACAGATACAGGTGGCTTGGGTTCCATCATTCTGCTCAATGTTGGCACAAATCTTCAATTCTGGTGAGTATGACTGCTACTGTTGCACCCACTCCAAGAAGGAAGTCTTCATCAGCTTCTTTGTCATCCAAATCAGCCTGTTGAAGCTGTAAGTATGCTGCTTCTGTGTTGTCATCCATGGGGAGGGGAGATAATCTGGGTGCACTGTGTATTTTAATCTTGAGGCCCATGGTTTAATTCCCCCAATAGATTATCTGATTAAACTGAATTTCAAAGTCTGCCTGAAATCTATTCTTGCATTATTTTATTCAGAAAGCCTGCAGAAAGTCACCCATTTTTTTTTTGCACACCTCTTGCCCATACCCCAGAGCACCTGTGGCTATAGGTTGTTCTACCTGTGACATTCTCTAAGGGTTACCCATGCCATTCTCTAGTTGAGTGATTGAGACTCTATGTGAGGTGTATTTTCATCAGCATGTACAGCATGCTGGTGGCAGAAATGTAAGGTACATTAAGTCTCTGTTTACACATGGGCCTTATCCAGAAAATTTTGCTCTGATGTTGAATACCAATAATGTTTTCCTCCATATTTGAGAGGAGGTCCCAGGTCAGAAGAAATCATTTCAGCAAGACACAGTCAACCCTTTATGCAAGTGTGACAGAGAGCACAGACAACAGCAAATAGTTATATACCTCCGGCTTTTGCAAGACACACCAGACAGCAGATGATATGAATAAACTACTTTAGGGCTCAACAGCATCCCATGGTCTCTTCAACCCCGATCCACTATTGACACCCACATACCCCGAGACCGACCCGAGAGGCGCCGTCGTCATCACCCCGTTCCAATCCTGCTGCACCATCGGCAGCGGCGCCATTGGCATACTATGCTGGTGCCGCGGAAGGGGAGGGACAGCGCGCTGCGGGAGCCGCCGTTGTTGTTGAGGTAATGGCAGCTGGTGTTGGCGCTGTAGGCTTGGAAGAGGAGCGACGCCGGGCATGGCCTGTATGGAGTAGGGCGACTGCGAGTGCGACTGGATTTGTTGGTGCTGAGGGGCGTAGGCCGTCGTCGTTGGTGGGGGCAGTGGAGGAGGGGGATATTGGTGTGATAATGGTGGCTGCTGGTGCTGTTGTTGGGGCGGTGGCAGAGGAGCGCGTTGCATAAATAGATGCGGCGAGGGAAGGGTTTGGTCCATGTACGCAGCGAACGACGATGATGCATCGGCGTACGAATAGCCCGTCGGTGAGTAGCCCGTCGGCGGCGACGGGATGCCCATATCCATGTCTTGCGGCTGCACTGTCGAGACAGGCGGTGGGGGATCCGACACCCTGCGTGGAGGAGAGACGCTCGCCTCTGCACCACCTGCACCTGCACCTGCACCGCCCGCCTCCGCCGCCTCGAGCGCCGAAAGCTCCTCCTGCAACCTCACATTCGCGAACCTTAGCTGCTGCAGCTCGTACTGCCAGCTCGAGCCTTTCGCAATCGCCAGCTCTTCAAACATGTCCACCGAGGGCATAGTCGTCGCAGTCGACGAAGTCGCAGCTGTCGTTGATGGTGGAGACGCGGCCATCGTCGACGATGGGGAAATGGGTGATAGGGGCGACGGCTGAACCGCGCCCGCCAGCGACGACGACGACGACGAGGTGGTAGAGGAGGAAGGGGAGGGACGGTTCGCGGGTGAGGCACTGGCAGCAGACTTGGCCATCGACGGGAGCGAAACCACCGAGTCCGCGCCCGCCACGACCGTCGCAGCGTCCACCAGCCTGATCTGGTACACCAACGGCGCCGGGGCGATCGTCATCTCCCTCTCCCTCCTCTCATCCACCATCCCCCCGCTCCCACTCCCACTCTCCTCGTTCTCCTCCGTGTCCGGGTCCGCACGATACACAATGAACCACACGTCCGCCACACCGCCGTCCTTCCTCCTCAACGGCGCCCTGACCTTCTTCACTCTCCCCGCGTCCGCGAGGCCCAGCGCGCGGAGGGACGGCAGGCGCTGCTGCTTCTGGTACGCCCTCATCGTCGCGACGAATCCCCCAATAACATTCGCCGCCCCCTCGTCCAACACCACCTCAAGCACGCTGCGGCCCAGGAGCTCCGCCTCCGTCCACCCCAGCACGTCCTCGACGCCCCTCCCTACCGACGCGAACACCATCGTCTCCTTGCCCTCGCCGCTCAGCATACCCCACACCTCCTGGTCGACCGTGCGCCACGCCTGCTGCTGGTGCTGCTTGCCGTCCTTGGGCTTCACCTCCTGCACCTGCAGCGCTGCCGGCGGGACACGAACGCGGACGCCTTTCGCCAGCCCGCCCGCCCGATTGACGTCCTCCCACTTGAGGTTCATCATCTCCCGCGCCCGGCCGCTGAGTATGATCGCCTTGCGGCCCTTTCCCGGCTCGACGTGCAGGCGCCCACGGCACTCGACCCACACGTACCGGCCCATCTTCGTCTTTGCCCTGAAGAGCAGGTCGACCGAGCGGGGCTTGCCTGCGGAGTGTGGTGCAGCATGGCTAAACTCCCCGTTGGCCGTAGTCGGCACCGCCGTCCCCATCGCACTGCTCTCCTTGAGCTCGCGCATGAGAGGGACAACATCCTCGGGGTGCGCATATTTCGAGATCGAGGTACCGACCATCTCCTCGGGCTCGTACCCCAGGACCCTGCGCACGCTAGGACCCACGTACAAGAAGTCGCCCTTCAGGGACACCACGTGGACAAAGGCAGGCGCAAGCTCGAGAAGGATGAGGTGGAGAAGGTGGTTCGAGCCGCCGGTGATGGCGTCTTCGTGGGAGGCTGCGGTGGCACTGGCAGATGACGACGGAGGGGCAGGGATGGTGGTAGACGTCGTGATATGAATCGATCTCAGGAAAGCGGGGTCGGCGAGGAGGCGTCTGAGTTCCTTTGACATGACGATAGGCGGTATCGAGTTGACTTTTCTGTCCCTGCCCGAAGGGTGTGGCGGTGGCTGGATTGTCCTGGAGAGGTCGGAGTGCGTAGCATAGTTGACGACAAAGCTCCCATCCCGCAGCTTGTCCAGGACGGCGTTGGGCTGCTCGTCGATATCAACCTGGAAGCCCACATGATAGACACACTCGTGCTCTTCATGCGGGGCGCCGGTGACGCCACCTGGGATGGGGATGACAGTGACGAGATTCCTGAACGCCGTGCCGTCCTTCCTATAGTTCGTGATAGCGGCCTGGCACTCCTTATCAGCCACGAGGTGCTTGCGCAGGAGCGCGACGCCGTCCTGCTGGGTGTACTTGCGTAGCTCGCCCTTGGCCACGACGCCTCCGGGCGCCTGGAGGAAGCGGCAGTTGCGGCCGATAACCTCGTGCTCAGCGTACCCCGTGAGTGCGCAGAAGGTGGGTGAGCAGTAGACGATGGGCTGGTCGTAGCGCCGGATGTCGACGACGACGAAGGAGCATGTTAGGTCGACGGGGCCGAGAACGACCCTGGGGTTGGGGCGAGTCGCGACGCGGGCGAGGATGGAGAGGAGGTCGAAGCCCGAGGCTGAGTAGATGGGGAAAGGGTGCGGTGGGGCATTCTGGCCTGAGGCGAAGAATTTGAGGTCTGGCTGGGGCGGCGGTGGCTGCGGTGCATAGACAACGGGCTGCGACACATCGAAGTGAAACGGGGCCGAGACCTGGTCCTCAGGTTGCTGCTGGTAGTCTGTCTCTGTCTGTGGAGGAAAATAACTGTCTGTCCATTGAGTGCGGGCCCCCGTCTGGATAAAAAAGCAACACACGCTTGGTGCATCTGGGCTGGCTGGAAACCGTTGTTGGCAAACCAGGCTGCGTTGGCTGCAGGAATGACCTCTGCGCCTCCACCGGGGACGAGAGTGGGTGTGTTTGCGTAGACATAGGGGGCAAAGTGGAGGGGGAGCGGGTCAGGCATGGTGGGTGAGGACAAGAACGCCTGTGGGAACTGGACGATATGTATGTGAATTGACAAAACTACGGACCACGAATACAAATGGCGTAGTTGTAAATAGACAAAGTTCACAAAAGCCAATCTGTGCCCCGTTTCCCCTATCCATCGCCCACTGATCTGGGCAACGTAGTGAATAATAGGGCATGCGCGATTAAACCGGACTCCGCGATTTACACGGCTTCTGTCACAATACCTTAGATCCACAGATCTATGCCGTCAATTCAACGAGTAAACTACACAAATCACGCCCGAAGCTGGTTGCGAAGGTTCTGCTCCAAGGGGCCCTTGGGCCGAATGAACTGTACATACGCTCCGTCCCTAAAAATCGTCAGAAAAAGCCTTCCAGCTACACAACAACTAAAGCACTCACTGCAACACCTTCTTGTCCGCCTTCAGCTTCTGGTACTCGCCCTTGTCAACATTCGTGAATCCCCACTTCTTCGACACGATAATCTTCTGCCTGCCGGGGAACTTGTAGCGTGCGCGACGCAGCGCCTCCATAATGACCGGCGCGTTCTGCTCCTTGCACCGGATCGACAGGATGATTTGCCCAATGTCCACACGCGCGACCGTGCCGTACGGCTTGCCCCAAGCCCCGCGCATGCCGGTTTGCAGTCTATCCCAACAATGTTCGCATTAATACCTCGCCAAAATAAAACTTAGATTTAACGCACCGATCAGCACCGGCGCAGGACAACATCTTGTTGATACGGATAACGTGGAAGGGATGCACGCGCACGCGAAGGTGGAACGAGTCCTTGCCCGACGTCTTCGTCACATACTTGTTGGCGCAGATACGCGCGGCCTCCAGCGCCTCGCTCGACAGCTGCTCGTACTCGTCCGACACCAGGTGGCAGCAGAAGGGGAACTCGTCGACGTTGGCGCGTTTACGGCCCAGATCGAAGATTTTGATCTAACGAAGTGTAAGTGTGAGTTTCGAGTCGAACCCAGTCCAAGTTTGTAAGAGAGAACGCACCTTGGGATCGGGAACACCACGGTTGTACCTCGATTTGGGGTACGGCTTGTTCTTGCAGTAGCGGTAGCAGCGAGCGGGACGACGACCCATTTTTCTTCTACAATCGCAAAAAAAGCACAATCAGCACTTTATCCAAACCAACCAAACCCAATCCCCCAAAGTGCACAACGCCTCCAAACCGCCCATCCCAGCACCCGTCCCATCGGATGCCACACCCACCCAAACGTCATCCACACCCAAATCCTTCCATCCATCCCCAATCCACCCAATCCACTCCTCTCTTCCACTCCCCGCCTCCTTCAACACTCTCCTAGGGTTCACAGAACACAGAACCAGCGTACTCACCTTCTTCTAGTCGCAGAACGGGGGGATGAATGGAGCTCCCAGTCGTCGCTGAGGAAGCTTTTGTATCTATTTGTCTCGCTTTGCGCTGCTGAGTAAGGGCGTAATGATGAGTAAGGCATCTGCCGGGCCGGGGCGGGAGGATGACGAAGAGCCCCTAACAGAGTCACTCTTCCAAGTCAATTTGCTCATTTTCCGCCGCGGTTGCGAAAGGACTTGTCAGGCTTTCGACTCATATTCCCGAGCGAGGTTGGTAATCTCTCGGAATCAGCGGTAATGTTTATACTTACTGACAATGTAAGCAGCTCAGTCGAGACGGTATCCTGATTCAGAGAAGGAGAACGGCGGAGTAGACCTTCAACTTACGCGCCCTCCGAGTCGGGCTACTTGACGCTCCCTCAGGCCTCCTGATCACTGTCCTTCACTGACCCTGCCATCTCGTAAACGGTACCTCCACCCTCAAACTCAAAGTTCACTCTGGCTCATGCTTACGGCCCCACGTCAAATACCACCAGATTCCCGGTCCTCAACTCCAACTCCAACTCCAACTCCCGCGTCGCGCATCCCGCATCTGCCAGCAACATATCTGCGCTACGTTAGTATTATGTCACCTCGTCTATCCTCTGTCAGCGCTGTAAGTACTTCCCCAAATCTCGCCGGACACCGGACAAATGTTATGACCGCTGTCTTGGTCGCTGACCTACTGGGGACGTCTTGTCCTCCAACACCTCCTCGAGTTTTGATTCTAGCTGTTCACGACTATCGACGACAACGATCATCTGCGTGAACTTCCAGTGCTCGACTTCAACCGGATGGGGTATCTGCCACCTCGTCCATCGCCGCGTTCATCCTGAAGTCCTCTTGAATCAACTGCAGCCTGATGGCACAAGCCTTTCGAGCCATACACAATAAATCAAGCCTGCTGTTTCCTGGGCCGCTTTCGCAATGCCGACTCGGAGGCAGGAGTCGACTGGTCTTCACGGTACCTGCTTGGGAAAACCTACAACGAATCCCCAGCCATTTGCTGACTCCGACGCTCATGCACGCCATACGCATCCTCCAGACCCATGACGCCTCTTCCCTACCTTATCACGATTCGCCATCCATACCGTAAGGTAGGAGCCCCGTCGCCACACTACATATATCACACTTCACTCTGGTTCTTACGGCAGTATCACCCTCCACCACCTCGCACTTCGGCTTCCCTTGGAATCGCGTCAAGTAACAACTTTAACATCCACATAGCACCAGATTCCCGGTGCCCCAACTTCCCCAATTCTCCAACATCAATCAGAAACCTCTCACCTCCTCTGCCCCTGTCGGCGCTCCATGTGGTACTTGACAGACGGTGTAGACTTTGCTGATACTCTACTTTCTGAGCTCATCGCAATACAGCGGCTACCAAACCCTCGCAGGACGAGTGCCATCACTGCGGACTCTTTAGCTCTTCATCCTTCAAGCTTCAAGTTCCAAGCTCATCCCGAGCCTCATAAGGATTTCCTAGCGGAACATGCTTCACTTCTCCTCCTGGCTTATGTATCCATCTCGTCACATGCCCTCCAGGTATTTATCTACACGGAGACTCTTGCTCTTGTACACGCCCCAACGGGAAGCCAGTGGCGACGGGTACGAGTGTCGCTTTCCATCTCGTCATCGTTCGCCGGATGAATCTCGCTACTGCCGGCTCTTCAACGTTTCAACCTTCAAGTTCCAAGTTTGTATTTTCCAACGGAGGCGGAACAGCAATTCAGTTCCCCTTCTGGCTTATCTATCTCGTCGCTAGTCCTCCAGATGCTCGTCTATACTTATTGTCTATGTGGCTGCCTTGCTATCCGCTGCCTCGTTCATCACTTCGTTCGTCCTGACGGTAGCTCTTAAAGCAAACAGCACCGCGGCTTCACGGGTCATCCAAGCCACGGTCGATATATCAACTAATAATCCAACCTACTTGCTCGTTCCTTGGCCCGTTCCAGAACACCTCAACCTTTCAATTTTAACCACCACGTTGTGCCGCACGAACGGCGCTCTACATCACCGACTTCCATCATCTCCTCATCCCACCCTTCCTCCCCCTACGTCATCCTTCGGGCCTCTACCCTCCCCAGCGTTTCAAGTTCAAAGATTCGAGAACCCCCAAGTTATCAAGAAACACACCCTCCGAGTCGGCCTATATGACGACGCTTATCGCCATTCCTCACCGTGTCGTAAACCGTACCCTTTACCCTTAAATTCAAAGTTCACTCTACATGTTACTTACGGCAAGAACCTCCTCCTTCACCTTGGGCCCGTCACTTTGAGCCATGTTCCCGGTCTCCGACCCCATCTGCCAGAATCAACTCTTCTGTATCATCACCTCATAGAGTCCTACATGGTTCATGACAGACAAGACTTGCACTGGACTTTAACAGCGCCACGGACCCCCAGACAAATGCCATTACTGCCGACTCTAATCTTCAAGCTTCAAGCTTCAAGTTTTTCCCAAGACCCACAAGGATTCCTAACAGAAGCGGACCAGCGCTTCACCTTCTAACTTACCGATCTCGTCTCTGGTCAACCACCTACTAGTCATGGACACTCCTTGTCCTTCTACGCGTCCTCGAGCGGCGATTCTAGTTGTTTACGACTAGCATCCGACGACTGCGATCGTCTATGAGAACCTTCGCGTCTTCTGGGTGGTCTCGACTTCAACACTAGGTGGGGTTCTGGGGAGCGCTATCCGCCACCTCGTTCATTGCATCGTACGTCCTGAAGACCGCTATCTTGAAGCAAACCGCACCGTGGCTCCATGAATCGTCTAAGCCATTTCGATGTATCAACTAATCTAACCTACTCATTCCTTGGTCCATTCCAGAACATCCCAACCTTTCAATTTCGACCACCACGCTGCACGAACGCTCCCCATCCCCCCTGCACTATCTTTAGCTTCCTCGACTGGTCGTGGCCGGCGTGGTGTTCAGGCCCTTACCATCCCACATGCCCTCGATACTTTCACTTTCATTTATCCATTTATTGAGGACATAATCTGCGTTCTTCGTTCGCTCCGCCTACCCCTTCATCTCTCTCGGCACGACCCCACGATAGGATCAAGCGAGCCTCACACTCAGAGGCAACGTGCGATGGTCCTGGCCTGGACAGAGTGGTCTTCGATCATGATCAAGTGAGTACTCGTCACTGTCCCCCTCCCGTCGCTCCTTCACGCGTTCCTCTTTCTACGTAAAAGTCCCTTAAGCACTTCATGATTTTCAAATCCCACCCGCCGCTTCCCTTCCCATCCTCGTTTTTGTCCTTCTACCGCCGCCTTCTCCCCAGAAAACGCCCCAATATTAAATGAAGCCAGCCTTCGGTCCCATCCCATGCATCCCAGGCGCCATTATTACGTGCATCAAAATTCAAACGCAAGCGCAAGCGCCAATTCAAATTCATTATACATACTCAGGTATTCGACTGTACGTAGGTCCTATCTCGCTACACGCTCAGTCGGCTCTTTCTTGCGGACTCACAATTCGTCCAGGTTCTTACACGTCACCTTTTCCAACTCCAGTGTATTCGTACTGGCGCCCGGCGGTTTATCCGTACCCGCCACTCGCAGCCGCACGTACACATGTGGTCACTGTCTCCGGACATACATACTACACGCGTCCACAATATTAATCGCGGATCTCCCCACAACTGCAATACCCCAAATCCCACCATCACCCTGTCGCCCGCTCCGCCGTCCCACCGCCCATCACGCTCGCCCGCCGCCTTCTTCGCCCGCCGCACTGTCCACGTCCATCTTCATTCCAACCTAAAATCCACTGTACCACTTCCGTGGGCACGGACCGGCGGCACCTCGGTCCCAACCCCAACTTAATTCACTGTTTTAGTCCAAATCTCATTCAAACTTAGCACCTTCGAATTCTGGCGGTGGCGCCTGTCCACAGCGGCTGTTCGCCGTCTCCTTCTCTTCTGCTTCCAAATTCCTGCGTCTATGTGAATGTGCGTCCCTCCCAGGACTTACATATTAACCTGATCGGCGAAGAGTCAAGTGCTCAGTAAATTAATCATCGATAAGCTCGGGCCTCACACAACGTCAACGGTCTACTTGAAGCTGAAGTGCGACAGAGATGCCAGAACGGGGCCGTAGCCTGGCGTTCCTCTCTCCAGATTGATTTTTGGGACAGTACGGACCCACTTGAAAACGAAGATCATTATTATTGGATCGTGACGTCCGCAAGCCCTTTCTTCCGCAGACACCCTGCAGTCGCCGCCGGATACTCGTCTACTACCCCCAAGCCTGCCCCCAGCCTCAGCGTTCCGACCCAGTCCCTGCCAATGTCTTCGCCCTTCAAACCCCATGACAACTCTTCGAACCTTCACAGGCTGTGTCCCTCTGTGCCCATCCTCTCTTCACTACTGACTCCCATGTCCCAGGCCGATATTTTAACCGCCTCATAACACCTCCAAAGGTCCTTTCCATTCACCGAGCCGTGCCCGAGCCTTATTTTCTTCCTTCCTTCCCTCACCGAGTCTGTCACATTCGCGGACTTCCAAACAAGCGTTGACATCGCCGTCTATACATTTCGTTCCAAATCCATTTCGCCCAGCCAGTGTCTCGCAAGTCCCTGTCGCCGGCACGTCACCTATCTGTATCACCACCCAACACACTCGACATTGCTAGTTCCCCCATCGGTAGTTAAGATGCATAAGGCGATCTTGCCCGCCAACCTGGCCAGCAGCCACGCGAGCGGCGCAAACAAGCTTTCATGAATCACGATTCACGAACGCCACGGTCTGCTTAAGTTTGGGTTGGGCCTTTCCGCCGCGTTTCCCACCCAGAAGCGCCACCCAGAAGCGGGCTGTCTCGGGCATCCAGGACACGTCTTATACGCGCTTTCTCGCTGGTGCCCTGGCGAAGCGTTTAATCGAGGAGTTTTGTGCGCGCACGGTTCCTCGAACTCGCTACAAAAATATAAATATTTTTGCTTCCTCTGCTCCTGATCCTAATCCTCTGAATCATGGTTACTTGTTCGAAAACCACTGCCCACGCCCGATTAATAATCCACCTTCGGCGGCGGCGCTAGACCTCCGCGAACGACCTGCTAAATTACGCCCACCTTTACCGCCGGCTCCGTGCGTGCAGTAGCCGCTCGCACCGTGGTGTTATGGTGGCAATCTTTAACTCGACTTTATCCACCATCTCGCATCTCAATTCAATTTCAATTCAACAATTCAATTCCAACCGCACGAGAAGTGCCGATGCTTACGAGAAATTATGCAGCGTCGCCGTCCTGTTCTCGGGGCCGTTAACTCGACTGAATAAAAAGCGGAAAGAGCGGTGATGTGCCTACGGTGGGGTGATCGTGCGAATAAGGAATGAAGAACACACACCCAAAACACCGCAACAAGTGGCTCTGAGGTGCGAGGACAGTTCCGTGGTTGTGCGGCTCTAACTAGTGGGCACGCGCGACTCGAAGACGGATAGCGAATGTGGCGCTAAGCCTGGGAACGGGACGAATGAGGCAACGGCACCTCCGAAATACGAGCGAGAGCGGTGAGAGACGGAAAAACGAACTAAATTCTCTATCTTGTGTGAGTGTGTAGACATGGATTATATCTATGAAGGAAAAGGAGCCCGGGAAGGGAGATATCTGAACCGGTGGTGAAGGAAGAAAGAAAAACAGAAAATATCAGATAAGAATGAAACAGAAATGGAACAGGGAAGAGGCAAGGCGGCAACTGCGTTGATGGGAGGAAAAAACTACCAAACAAGGAAAGGGAGGCGCGCCGAGCGTCTCGGTGAAACGGGAAAGAGAGGGAAAGAGGCGGTGCCGGTCACAGGACGGATGATTTTGCTGACTGAGGATCTCCGGGTGCGTCGAGGAATCATATGGCGCGATGGGAAAGGTGGCGGGGATCGAGGGAACGACGGGAATGCAATGACGAAGGTCGAAACAAGGATTTACCGGGGTCAGGGAGCGGGCTGGCTCATCAGCGGGGAGAGTGGATACGCTATGCGATGCGAACATGTTCAAATGAGAAAAGCTATTAATAATGGATGCGATCAGTCGCACAGTCGCGGTAGTGCGCCACACTTGACGTATTGGTGTATGATAAACTTCAGCCAGTCTAGACGCCAAGTTCAAGAGATCGGGTTGGTGTTTCAGGTTAGTGCATAAGATATGCTAGACTACTTGTCGGGCATAGATCCTGTGAGTCGTCGAGTAACTTAGAAACACCCTTTTGCTTTACGTTCAGTCATGGATGAGGAGCCCAAAGTAATAAGAACTTGTCCTCCAAGCCTAGAAGATTTTCCGAAACTTATAATCTGCTTTGAAGACCGAATCAGGAAGTAAATCGGGTGGTGTTATCGCTACTTAGCACCTTACCATAAGCCTCTCGACCCGACAGGGTGGCCTGAGCTAGTAATAGTTGACTTCTGGGGTACCCTTCAGACAAAATTTGTGCCAGTAGGCAGAGGGTCGGCAGGCCCACCCTCTTAGTCCCTTTCTATTTGACTTTCATTCTCAGGGGTATCGGAAGTGATTATGGGCGCGTAGAGCACTAGCGCTCATCGGCGTCGTGCGGCGCGATCTGTGTGCCGTGATGGATGCTCCGAGAGGAGCGGGCGTTACTGTTCATCTTCTTGGACATGTAGCCTGATAGCCGCTTGAGCCAGGCCCTCAGGTACCTTCGTAACTTCACGCAGCCCGTCTTGCCCCCGGAGAACTCGAAGCATACTTTCAAAGGGAGAGCGCCAGCTGGCAGTAATTATTGCTCGGAGGCAGCGACTCTCCATGAGTCCATCCCGAAGTGCCAGCGTGAACGATCTAACGTGTCTTATGTCGCCCGCGAGCGCGCCGTCGATGTCGGTGATTCCCTCTTCCTCATATACCCGACATGATGTACCATGTGGGATGATCCATCTAAGGCCCTCAAAGCTAACGGCGAGGCGAGAATCAGGCGGGAGTCCCTGTCGAGTTCTCCATTGAAGCGGAACATGGCGGTTCCAGGAGTGATTCGGAAGACGGAAGAAAGGAGGAAGACAAGAAATTTCACGCCCCTTGATCGATTTAAAACACCTGGCGGCTATAACTCCCTCGATATCTCCCCTCAGAGAATTTTTGATGCCGAAACGGGCTGTGCCCAGCTCTTCGTAATCACCAGCCAACATGCGCCACACAAACTCGAATCGGCTATATATTCCTCAGAACGTCTAGACCTGGGAACTTCACCCTGCCGAGCACTCAATCTCCCCACTGCAACTCAGCATGTAGTCTCGCCTGCCTTCCCATCTGCAGGGCGGGGTGATTGTCGCCATCCTTGTGAGGTTAAGACAGGGCAACAATGAGCATCTCTTCAATCACCTCCATCTGTCAGCTTAAACCTTAACTAGAAGTCGAAATTTGATGTCGGGCGGCCACTAAAACTTCATAAATCAGAGTCCTGGGACGAGGCCCGAGGGGGAGAAGTCTCGTGGAACCTGAGCACGCTCATAGTCGTCGGAGACTCGGATCCGAGTGTCGCTCTGGAAAATGTCGAATGGATTCAACAATGGCGACATCTCCCTGCAGTGACGAACACCCTGGGGCAATACGATCAACGTCAGGCGTAGTTACCTTCCATCTACCTGCCTTCCTTGAATAATGCCATGTTGCTTGAGTAACTTAAGGACGTCTACGAAGTACTGTCGTTCGCCTTCTATCTTCCACTCCACACGCACTGGCAGTTGTGCTCACAAATCCCCTCGACACGGCTATCAATCATGACAGAAGATGCCTTCGAACCGTTCAGTCGTTGCCCAACGAGCGGCTGAAAATGACGGCGGGGATGGCGTGTTGATGTTTTCTTCCTTGCGCCAGGATTGACGTGATGGAACCAGTCTAGGTGCATTTTTATCCTAGTACGTAGTTATGCCGCCTCGAGAACGTTGATGGAGGGAGACATTATACGCTTGAACAGCGTTGAACAGACGCAGACTTGTCTCGATAAGCAGCTCTCCCGGAGCGGCACAAGGTCTCCCTTAGTGTAGCGATACCTTCTGGTCGGAGGCGGCGCCCATTCCAACAAAACGTCGTCCGACGATGAGGGAGTAGTAGTGGATATTACGTCAATTCAGATACCTGGCATCTCTGCGATGATTGCTCCCTTACTGTCCCGAGACCACGACATTGTCCTTAGCATTTCTGGATGAAACGCTGATGGGATAGCTCTGATTAGTCCGGCTAGATAAGATTAGATTCGGTTACTCAGTAGGCGCCTCTCACGGGTCCATGCCGTCCACCACAGCTTTCCTTCCTGAGTATCAAATCCAGATCAAACCTCTTCAATCAGTGCAGAACAATCATGATTAGTTCGCGATACGGTCTCGGTGCATGGGGGCGCGGCGACGCCTCTCACGTCAAGTCAATCCTGAACGAGTATAAAATCGTCGCCCACTCGAACGATGTTCCCTAAGCCCGGTGCTTTTCAACCACTCATAGTGAGGATCTCTTCGACGCTCCAGTCGTTCTCGTCACTAACATGGGCGCCTCTTTTCGTAGTCTTAGGCTGGTCCTTTGATTTTCAAGCTTCACGCTTCAAATAAAAAACACTCTCACAAGGTAAGAGGGTTGCTGAATCGACTCCCATCGCGCTCACTGACCTTTTCGCAATGGTAGACCTCCCGTGTTGTACACGACCCTTCTATCATCATGCAGCTCTCCTCCCGCTTCGTCACCCTCGCTGTTGCTCTGGCCTACAGCACGTCCGGCGTGCTCGCTCTCCCAGTCGCCTCGAACGAGATTGCTGCACGGGACATCGACTACGACCTCGAGGTCCGTGAGGCGGACTTTGAGGTCTCCGAGTTCGCAGCTCGTGAGCTTCCCAACCTGACCATCGAAATCCGTGACTACGATGAGGAACTCGATGCTCGTGCTACCCCTGTCGTACGTCGTTTCTCTCCTGGACATATTCTTTCATTTTTTGAACGCGTTCGCCTCATAGACGCCCGTCACTCCTGTTACCCCTGTTACCCCCGTCACCCCGGTTACTCCTGCTACCCCCGTCACTCCTGCTACCCCGGTTACTCCTGTTACGCCGGTGACGCCAGTGACGCCCGCCACCCCGGCTACGCCTTCTACTCCTTTTACCCCTTCGAAGTCCACGACTAAACTCACGAAGGCCCAAATCGCGAAGCAGAAGGCTTACAAGGCCGCCCTCTTCGACAAGCATGACCCTCTCCACTCCGCCGCGAAGGCCAAGGCCCAGAAGGCGCACGCTACCTACAAGGCCGCTCTCGCCGACCCCAAGCACCCCCACCACGCTCAAGCCAAGGCTCACGCCGAGAAGAAGGCCGCTCACAAAGCTGCCCTCGCCGACACCAAGCACCCCGAGCACGCCAAAGCTTTGGCAAAGGAGGCGAAGAAGACTCAGTTCCTGAAGCAGACCAAGGCCAAGACGCACCAGAAGGCTCTCGCCGACCCCAAACACCCGCTTCACAAGGTCGCCAAACAGCGCGAGGCGAAGAAGGCCGCGTTCAAGACCGCTCTCGCCGACCCCAAACACCCTCAGCACGCTAAAGCCAAGGCGCACGTCGAGAAGAAGGCTGCCCACAAAGCTGCCCTCGCCGACCCCAAACACCCCCACCACGCCAAAGCATTGGCGAAGGAGGCGAAGAAAGTGAAGACGGCGAAGAAGACCCCAGTCAAATCGAGCGTCCTGAAGCAGAGCAAGCTGTCGAAACAAACCAAGCTGTCGAAGCAGACCAAGTTGTCGAAGCAGAGCAAGACCACGGCACACAAGAAGGCGCTCGCCGACCCCAAACACCCGCTTCACAAGGTCGCCAAGCAGAAAGAGGCGGAGAAGGCGAAGAAGGCTGCCCACAAAGCCGCCCTCGCTGACCCGAAACACCCCAAGCACAAGGAGGCCGTCAAGCAACAGAAGAAGCTCGAGGCGACGTACAAGAAGGCGCTGACCAACAAGAAGAGCCCGCACTACGCTGCCGCCTGGGCCCAGGAGTCGAAGAAGGTCCGCGAGAAGACGCAGAAGCAGCGCGACGCCTACAGGGCTGCCCTCAAGGACCCCAAGAACCCCAAGCACGCCGCCGTCGCCGCTAAGGAGGCGAAGAAGGCGGCCTTCCGGGCAGCGCTCGCGGACCCGAAGAACCCGAAGCACGCGGAGGCGCTCAAGAAGCAGAAGGTGGCGGCCGAGTCGTACAGGAACGCGCTCAAGGACAAGAAGAACCCGCTGCACGCTGTCGCGATGGCGCGCGAGGCCGAGAAGACCAAGTGGGAGAACGCGCTCAAGGACCCGAAGAACCCCGACCACGCTGCAGCTTTGGCGAGGAAGGCGGCCAACGCTGAGTTCAGGAAGGCGCTCGCTGACCCCAAGAACCCCAAGCACGCTGAGGCGCTTGCGAAGCAGCAGAGCCTTGGAATTTCCAACCCTTTCCGCGCCAACCTCTTGTTGTAAACAGATTCGCATTGTAGCGTATGATAGTCTCGAGGACGTTTAGGTGTCATGGTGATTATTAAAATTATTGGGTATAATATTATGGTCTAGATGCGAAATCCTTAATTCAAAATGCGTGATATACAGAAACACATTATACTTGCCCTTGTGGAGGAAATCCAATATTCCAGTGTATGATCTTGCGTTCTGACTTGAACAGATGACGATATCGACACTCTCACTGGTCCTCAGGGCATTTCTCTGGCCGTCGGTGCAGCCGTTGAGTCTCGACGAACGTCCTTGATTTATCGGAACGAAAGTCATGGTAAATGGTGAATAGCTTTCCTGGAATCCATATATCCAAGGGAACTATTCTCCTTCATGAGACTGGCGTCTACGTGCCGCTGGATTAGCGCCGACGACGAGGAGACGGGCCTTTCCGATTCGACGGCGCTAATCCTCTCAGCCCCTGATCGAACCTTCAAATTCGAAGCACGACGTACGACCCATATACGGAAAACCGATGAGAAGCGAGCTGGCGTCCGGCGACCTAGGTGACAGCGTGCGCCACACGACGATCCCTGGCAGATGGTGTCGAACCGAATAAGAACTATGGAGTTGTATAAAGTTCCGGCGTTGAGTACGGACCCTCAGCTGGCTGGGCTTTGGTTGATCGAAAGCTGTTCGTCTTCCCGACCTCACCACCACGGGCAGAGATCTGTCGCGTACGTTGTTCGACAGATTTTTCGCTGAGCTTCATTGTCACTAATGGCACGACCCTATTGCAGCCTACACGAACAGGCTGCCAGAGACGAGATCTCCCCCATAGCCGTTCTCGCAGCACGCGAACCACGATTCAAGATTCGAACGCCTCCATGGCGCTAGGAGGCGGTGGCAAACCCGCTCCCCGCCCGCAACCACAACCCTGCCCGAGCGGTAACAGGCGCGACCTCGAAAATCAAGTTGAATCCGTGTACAGTCGCGATCCCAAGTTCAAGATTCGAACATCTGCCGTCGTCCAAGGGGGCGGTAAGCTAGCTCCTCGTAGCGAGCCGGCATCAACGAGGAGAAAACGCGAGATTGAGGAATCGACGTATTTAATTGTTTACTCGGTTGTCGGCTTTCTTGGATGACTTGGATTGTTATTTTTCAGAAGTCGTGCGTAGTCGATAGAGCATAGGAATGCTTGGCCGGTTCAGCGAGGCTGCTGTACCTCGAAGACGAGTCTATATTAGCCATTTAAACAGTTACATGCACTAACCAAACGCCCATAGCTCGCCAACAATGTCCCTCTGTCCAATCGCAACCAACCCATCCTCACCACTCTCGGCCACCTCGGCCTCCTTCCCACTGGGAAAGACCTCAATCTTCGCCTCCATCGCCAACGGCGGCTCTCTCTTGATCTTCCTATTCACCTCCGCCTCAAAGAGCTACATGGTGCATTCGTCAATTGCGACCCACACAAAGAATGGACTTGGAAGTACCGTGTTGTACGTATGATCCAGGAAATCCTCCATCGCGTATCCAGGCTTCGTGAACGCCTCCGAGAAGATCTTGCACATCGTCGACACTGGCGCGTGGTAGTGCTGCGTATGTGACACGAGCTCCCAGAGTGAGCTGTCGATTGCATTGGTCTTCATCGGGTCGGTCTCGTTTGGTAGAAACGGATCTATCGAGAAATATCGGTAAGGTCAGAGAGCGGGGATACGAAAGAAAAAGGCGGACCTTTGGAGGTCTCGTCATACTCCACCCGATGGATCATCGGCATCAACGCAGGGTGCCGCTTGAGGATGTTGTATGTGAACGGGATAATCATAACGATCGCTGCCGGAGGTGCTGATAGGGATAGTCGAGAGAGACGCTTGACGAAGGAGGCGAGAAGAGCGGCGGGTAGATGCCTGAAAGAAAGAAGAAAGGGTTAGGGCCAGCAGAGAAGGGAGAAGAAAAAATGCTCACGTTGAGCTCAGGAATAGCTCCGTCAGGCGGAAGAAACGAGCTCGGTGTTTCAGGTGGAGAACGTCGCGGTCGAGGAATGCATAAAGGCGGGTGTAAAATGAAGGGTAGTCACTAATCGATGACGTGAGTACAGAATTAACGTATAGGAGGGCAGCGACGAACAGGTTGTATTCCTTAATGAGCATGAAAAGAGCGTTGAGAGCAAGTAGCCCAACGGAACCGCCTAATGGCGACCAACGTTAGCATAATGACGTTGTGACGACAAAAAAAACATCTTACCGAGATCCACACACGCCCCAACCCAATCCATGACCAGAATCGCCCTCGTCAAATGTGGCAGCACACCCCGATGCATGATATTCAGCGCCCTCGTCGCATAAGCCTTGGTCTTCTCCACATCCCCCTTGACACTCAACCTCGGAAGGAGCGTCAACCATGCCCTCGTAAACACCGCCCGATGCGACGAGAGCGCATGCAAAGATTGGTGTATCGTCATCTGATGCAACCTGACACCTGACGACTTCGCTTTGCCGCCATCCACCGGGGCAGGGTCGTCGTCGAAGAACTTGCGCCAATCGTCGTCCTCTTCGCCGTCTGGTTTCTTGGTCTCTTTGTCCTCCTCATCAGAGGACTCATCAACGTCGGCAACCTTCTTCGATTTCTTGGGCTTGGGCGGTTTGGAGCCGAGTTCGGACACCCACCATTCGTTGAGCTCGGATTGTTCAGTTGGGAATGTCGTCAGACGTTCGAGGATGGAGAGGAGGTTGACGGCGAGATTGGGGTATTCGTCCGTTGGATGGGTGGTTAGAAGTGTCCTGGAATAATGTGAATCAAGTCAGCAAGGGAATATAGCGAGTAATGGGTGAAACTGACGCGGAATCGCGAAGGAAGAACCACCGGATGTCGTCGTGTACACTGAACCATGTGTCGTAGAAGAGGTTCAGAACGTCGGGGTCCAAGATACCACCGTCTGGCTTGGACGTCGATGTTCTCCGTTTGGAATGAGGACATAGCAGCAGAGACGACACAATTTTCCGGAAGTGTGATGCATGGAATTGCGGTTGTGGCTTTGTTGGATGTGAGGATTTTGTGTATGATGTGGAGAGATGCTTTTGCAGCGAGAACATGATCTGCAAAGCTGAAGTCTAGGAATCGAGATTAAGCATAATGCAAGAGTGTGGAAGAAGATCCACATACCCGAAGGAACTTCTCGTCGTCTTGCAAGAGTCCGCCCAAAAAGTCGACATAGGACTGCAGCCTCTCCCAGATCCAAGTCTTCACGAGCTTTGCCGCTTCATCTCCTGCAAGCCCAAGCTTCCCATTAGTTATGACAGTCACAAAGACCCTGTACAACGCGTAGATCGCTTTCGAGGTGTCATGGGGATCCTTGACTTCGTATGCGAGTGCAAGGAGGTCGGCCAAAGGGTTGAGAGATGCGTTCTTGGCTACGGCCTCGGTTAAATCATCTTCAAGCTGTTTTATGGTCTTCGAATATTCCACATCCTTTTGTATTTTGCGCTTTTTGGATGGAGGAGGGAGGGAGTGAAGGGAGGGAGCCATTGGAAGAGGAAGACCAACTCGCCAAGACATAGCCATCATCGAAAATTTGGCTTACGAAAGCGCCGGCCCGGCGCAACTCTACCGCCAACTCGTCCAAAACTCGTCGCCACAACTTCTCTTCTTGAATACGCCAATCGTCTCGTCGGATTGAGGGGAAATATGGCCCCGTTTTTCGAGTTATTAGACCTCGGACCAACAGCGCAAAAGAACACCAGCTGAAATCATAATCTACATCTGTCACCAACGAGGTTCTCTCTCAACCTCTCGGACTAGGCTTCGCGGGATTAGACGACTTTTTTTCTGGCGCTTTATCATTCGTGAGCGCTCTGGTTCTCAAGGCAATCAAACCCCGGAAACATTGTGGACGTTCAAACGTTCAACACTCGCGACTATCTGGAGAGTAACCGTCCGGAGAGTACTAGGAACTAGAAAATCAGTCAGAAGGACAGGTATCCGAACCCTTTTGTCTTATCTTCATCACATTGGCTGCCGGCGCTCTTGTCATCGCCTCGACTTCCTCGAAGTCTGACTTTGGATAGTATCCTTATCTTTGAAATATGCAAGCCTCTTCCCGAACGCTCTCTGTATTTGCCCTTTTTCTGTTCGAGGCCGCATCGTCAGCGACAACCGTCTCACCTCCAGCTATCGTCCTTATTCATGCCACAAACTAAGGTAGAGGCCATGAGGAAAAATTGGTGATTTCAAGGGTGTTCCGGAAGCAATTCTGTGCACTGTTTTGGCCAGGGTTTTCGTCCGAAACATCACCAAAATTCCTCGGCATCTGTCACACTTCGTCATCATTTCTGTAGTACACTTCGGCAGACGTAGTTCTTGGCATGCAAAGCATCCTCAATTCGGCTATGTACATCACGTGACACCCATTCGGTCATTTCGGTCGTCGTTTGGTCCTGCTCCACAAAAGGAAACCCCTTGGGATGGCGAAGCTGCCGCCATGAGCTAATGTCCACATCATGTGAAAATCGTGACAATTTCGGTATTTCTTATGGGGCATCACGAGGGGAACAACTTTGTGTACTGCTTTCAGTACGATCTTCGGAGACTGCCAACTGAGTCCAAAGGTGGGTGATGGCTACGCACAGTCTAGATCACGATAAGTCTGTAAAGCGGCAGTACGTCGGCAGACTGGTGATCAGCGTGACCAGCTGTCCCTGTCACGGCATGGGAAGGAAGCAAGCCCTCCCCGTTGTGAGATGATAACCCCCCTCAACACCAGTTGGATCGGGGTCCAAATGACGCTAGCTATTATATATGTCATGGAATCCTCGGTTGTTGAATTGGGAGTGACAAAAAGACAAAGAGCGAAAAAACTAGGTTACACCTTTTGGCCTAGTGGTTCAATCATGCTGATAGCTGCTTTATCATGTGAAATCCCACAAAGTCGACACTCTAAGTCATCGGTTCGATTCCTGAGACCTACAAAATATCAGAAAACTATTTGCAAGGAAGTGTTTTGATTTTGATTTTGAACACTTTCCTGGAAGCATTTTTGCGTAAAATTGAGCCAAAAAAGTGCCCCATAGGATTTACTTTCAGGCCCAAACGCGAAAATGATGGAGGTGACTGATCAATTTGGCAGGGGTCACATTTATGTCATGTCAGGTGATGTGGACCATAACTCATGCCCCCTACCTTAGTATCAACCAAGATCATTCTCGATTACACTTTCACCCCCTCTTTTCCCCTTCGAGCACTTATTCCATGTCATGTCATCTCCCCTCATTACCTCCCAAATGCCTGCAACTAGTGCCCACCTTGGACATAAATAGACTTCTTAACATCTTCAAGGGTAAGAACTTTCTTTTGTCCACTCCTCTTCGTACTCAGGATGTACTTCTCAGTACATCGAGGTTCATCGTTCTTGGTGTACTGGCTGCCTTACACCATGGAACCCCCACGCTGGGGGAAAAATACGACATGGTGACAGAACACGCTGGGAAGACATTTTTCGACGGCTGGATCCTTTTTGACGGGACAGGTTCACCTTATTCTTTGAACGTCTCACAAAGCCCTAACAAAAAAACACCTCTCTAGACGACAAATTGACTAACGGAGATGTCAAGTATGCCCCGGTGTCTGCTACGATGACTACGTCATCGGTAACAGCACCAGATACTCTACAGCATATTTTGAGGTCGCATTCATGCGCGTGTTCAGCAAGGAAGGGACCAACACCATCGTCACTGGTAGTTCATCTGCGACTACGTCTGGTGGCAGCTCCTCGTTGCATGCAACCGGTGTTCCAATATCCTTGATAATATTTGTGGCTGCGTTAACGGCCTTGTTTCAGTGGGACTCTTCTGGGTGACTCTTTCAATCTTGTTTCAGGACATATTTTTTACGAAAGGCACTCTAGAATTATACGATGCTTAGTATTCAACTTCTCAGCTTGCTTAGAATTTAAGATTGAACACATACCACAAGAGCAGTCCGTCCAGAACAGCATTCAGACTGAGGGATCAAATTAGGAAATTTGATTGCCGATCTTGAACCCTTGGCCCGACAAGATGTTTGCTGGCACCATCTTCCCTTCCACCTCCGTCCATCACTGCAATAGAGGCAGCACATCCACGGGGGACCAGTGTATGCCACATTAACAAACTCTATCAGTGCCTTGTATTCACGTCAAAGTGAAAACCGAGTACGAGCGCCCATATGACAGAATTCAATGATGATGGAAGCCAATGTTCTGGATACCTACGAGACGGCTCCATAAGTTTGAATTCAAACATGTGGACCGCAAATGGACCGCTGACAATAATTTTTCAGAATAGTTAACTGCCTTTCATTGATATGTCCTTATCATTGAGACCCAAATTCGGTGGCTAAGCTCAAAGGGAGAAGGATTTGCAGCTTCCGACATGATCCAATTGCAAGAGGTCTCAAGAGAATGAACCTTGAATTGATTGTTAAAGGCAAAAATTGGAAGGGTGGGTGTGACTGGTACCTCAAGAACATCTTCTCATGGCGCTATCCTAGGTCCCACAGGAGATTCCTATCGTCTACGCTTGCGGTGTAGTCCTTCATTTAACTCTGACCTGAGGTCGACCAAACTGATTGTCCTTCAATTGAAATCTCAAAGACATCCCACGACACCCGGTGAGCATTCTCAGCTTAATGACAAGCTGTGTGATAAAAATCTCACCTGCTTCCCTTTACAAGACACGGCCCTCTATTCAAGTTTCGCCTTTGATTTAAAAACCCATCCCAGCTGAATCAAAATGACTCACGACCCCCTCTCTTTTAACCACTATCGAGAGCATGATTATCGTCACCATAAGCCCTTCAGCCCGTCAGAGATGAAGGAGTCTTACACCCAGCTCCCACTGCAGAATTTTGACAGTAATGGCCACCTCTTCATACACATCGATCACTGATTTTCACCTTGCAGTCACATCCTGCACCATGTTTTTGTGGGACCACCTCCTCACACTCAGCATGGAAATCGACTTTGTCTGGAGAGCGAAATGAAACGTGATGAAGTTCTTGTTTCTCTTCCAGCAATATGTGCCGTACGTAGACACGTTCTGGCTGGTGCTCCATCGTACGTCCTTGCCGAAGCGTCCTCGATTGGTCCAACCTAAGAAAATCTCAGATCAATTGGGCAGCGAACTTCGCAAAGGACATTGCCGACTGCTGTACCTGGGTCGTGGTTGTCCGTCTTCATCATTTTAAAAGAAGCAGTGAGCCTGACTCAGCATACAGTTTTATATGCCATTGGCACCGGTTGTTCAGAAAGTAAGCCTTGTCTCTTGTGACCGTCCTCAACAACACAGTTGAGAGCATGTTCGCAGTCATTCTTACACTTCACGTATGGGCAGTCTGGCATTGCAACAAGAGGCTTGGGGTCTTCCTATGTGTCCTCTTTGTGGCATGCATGTGCACAGAGATGGTGTTTATGTACAAATTTACCAAAGCTATGAAGTGTAAGCGGTGATTTTCTCTGACCGACTTTTTGACTCCATCATATATTCTCGTTAGTCGGAGATCCTCCGTACCCAGGCTTCAGAGGATGCTTCATCATCGAAGGGAGTGCTCTCATCTCTTACTGTTGGGGAGTTCTCATGTTCTGGGACACTTGTAGGTCTTCCAAGCTCCATCTCACTGTGTCTTTATGTCTTATCGCTCATCCTAGTGACATTCATATTAATGCTAATACCGGGTGTCCGAGCTTGTATGATCACTTTTCTATCTTCCAACATCTCAATTAGTCTGTGTTCTTCTAGTCAAACAAGGCGGCCAGTCGTCTCTGGTAAAGGCTATATATCGTGATGGTCAGTATCCACTGATCCTTTCTCTAGCTTAACGGTGAAATTGACCCATTTCTTAGGGCTCCTTTACTACCTCTACCTCTTCAGTGAGTCCTTGTCGGCTTCGCCTTCAAACTGCTCATAAAATTGATATTTTCAGTCCTTTCCTTATTGAATATCACCCTCGTTTTGAGATTGCCAGTATGTCTAAGACATCGAATCTCGCCTCAACTTTATCACGTACTGAGCCCATTCAAGTCAACCTACCTCGAAATACTCTTGTCGTAAGGCTCACATCCCAATGAAGACTTCAAGTTATGATACTGACTCCGGGACAAGTTTCGAGAGATGCATTCACTCGATGCTTTCCAGCAGGGTCCTGCTCCATATCCATGTCTATTCGACGACAGAACACCGCTGGATGGATGGGTTGACAAATCTGCAAATCTGCAAATGAGTACACACATCAAGGGCAATATTGTTTTCCACAGGAGCCATGATCCCGAGGTCACGAAGACGGCAGATAGCCTCACTGGACCCTCAAGGAGTGCAATTCCCTAATGCCCTTTCTGCGGCCACCGTGGTAGCAACTCTTTGGCCCAGATGTGGCGAAAGTTGATGACCAGCCATTTTTGCGTGCATTTTAATGGAGCTAAACACAATTCAACATTTATTCTACAACATATCTTAGTGCCCATGTCGTGGCAGTATCAAATCCCATCCATCTGTCGTTCCTCTTCCAAAATGGCAGCCCTTAATTTGAGAACATCTCCTGGATGACGACTATCTTCCTGGTCAAAGTCATCCGAAATATAACGTTGAAAATCCCGAGGCCGATATTGAGCTGGGCGATAAACGTCATTAGTTTGATTGATTTTTATCTACTGTGAAATAATGGCACTCACTCTTCACGGACTCTGAGGAATACCTGAGCGATTGGTTACCCACAGAAATCCAGTTTAAACGTGCCAAGTCCGCCTGACATTTGTCACATCTAGAAACACATAAAATTTCTTGAGCATGGTCACGGTCCGAAGGAGAATGGAATCGGATGAAGAGGAAAGCTTCCTCAAATTCCCAGAATGTGTGGACAAAATGTACGGCGTGCTCCACCTCTTGAAGTTCATCCATTGCATGAAACACAAGGCGCTTCAAGTGAATATTTTTCAGCGATTCCCCCAGAGCTGGTCCAGCAGACTTCATATCTAGCTCTAGCTCTGCAAGACTTGGGAAGAGGGGAAGAAGCCGACCAAAATTGAGAGGGGTCTTTATCCCAATGACTTTCAGCCTTTGGATGCGGCTATCATCATATTTGGAACTTCGAGAAATTAGATTGGTTAGCGTAACCATCTCGAGTCTTGTGCAGTTTATTAACTCAAGATCCTTGAGAGCAGGAGCGTCCAAGTCGTTCTGGAGAAAGTCCCGAAATTCAGAATTGGCCATACTAAGCTTCAGAGTTCTCAGGTTTTGCGCTTGTTGTAAATCGAGTGGTTTACGGTAACCGATGGGGGAGTCCTGCAATATCTCGAGATGCTTGAGAGGTGCGTATTTGAACAAATTTTGTAGCGGGGTTGGAATTCCACGGTTCGCCGCCTCTCTGTAGGATTCCAGCTGCCCGTATGGCAGCTGCAAGTTGACAGGATTATCACCCACGATAGCAACCTCTTTCAGGTTCGGAGCGTGCTTAAACGCATCTGAAATCTGGGGTGACTCTTCCCTGTCGTACTTTACAAGAATCAAGATACGAAGGTTGTTTAGACTGCGTTTCACTGCCCAGAAGAAGGGACTCAAATTGGATCCAATATAATCCAAGTAGAGAACCTTGCAGCAACGAACCAGTGGCTCGGTAGATTTCATGTCGTAATTTGCATTTCGGCGCCTTATTGACAGATGAAGGCTTATATTGTATTTCCCCGCCCGTTCCAACATCGCATTTGTGATTGTGATTCTTTCTTCTTCTTCTCCCTCAGGTGAAATACTCTTCCGGATCATTCTCCTGGTAGGAAATCGAGCCCAAAGGCTGCGAGTCGTAGTGGCTACATCCCGCCAAAGTCCACAGACCTGTGAAGGAGTAATAGTGGGAAAGGTCGACCCTCTTGGGTCGGAGCCGAATGGCCATGAATGTAGCGAGGCAAATTCGGAGAAAACATCCCCAAGAATCATATTGGGGAGGGAATGAATAGGCGAGGAGCTTAAAGGCGGCGAGAATTGCAGCGCTTGCAGTCTATCTGAGACTGCCATGTGCTGTGCAGGTGGGTTGGTTGAGGGCATCAAAATTCGTGGGCGGCCGGGAATGGTAATGGGTTTGCGCCGAAGTGTTTGAGAACTGGGGCTGAAGCGCTGAAGATCGAAGACATATCATCAGGCTTTTATAAAAGAGATGGATCCCTGTGCGGCGCCTTCTTGTTGTAGTACAAGCCTCAAAACGGGGGAACCGCCACTGCGAAAGAGAGAATTTGTAATGTTGGGCAGTACGCCATAAGTGGGTGCCTAGACCAGCAAAAAGGATGGGACCCACAAAGACGGGCTGAACCGAGTCCGCAGCATCCTACACGTCACAAGACCAATCAAGACAAGGAAAAGGACAGATTAAACAATGGCCATTGAAGGTAAGTAACTCCCATAGTGAGTCGAAGATCAGTTTGAACGCTTGTTATAATATCCGAGAGAGATGAGAAGATATGCAAGCCTAAATTTGTGGAGAACGAAGATTGTAATTTACATAGGGCACACCGCACACAGAATATCCCCAGTCCAAGCCATCCGCGGAGGAAAACGGAGCGGTGTAGCAGTCGAGGCACAGGTTCGAGGGAGTCTACCAAGAACGGCTTTTCTGTAGAATCGGAAACGGACTTGACGCAGTGAAGAGAAAGCAGGGCGGAATCGACGATTGTATGCCTAGGAGGGCATAAAAATTGGGTGGATAAATGCGCCGGGCGGGCGCAACCGGGAGGCGTGTGCTGATGATCGCGCTAGTTTCGCTGGAGAGCGCTGCTGGAAGAGGAGGGTGACGCTGATGCGGCAGAGGGCGCTCGGGGACCACGAAGGGTTTTCGTTTGACTGGAGGCGGAAGCGGCGGCGGCGGCGACCATATTCGGAGGGGCGAATGGTCCTCAATACACCCAGCAACAGAGAGGGAAGAAAATGTAGTATGTATTCAATCTTGAAATAAATGAGCGATAGGAGACAGAACGGCCCCCTTTCACCCCCGGAACCGGAGATCAGGAACTGAGGCGACCCAATTCACACCATCTTGCGTGTTCATATGGGTGATGCAGTTGAAAACCGCCTGCTGGTTTGGGCCGCAATCGATTTCGAAACGATTCGTCCCATCGTTGTGATTGTTGAATAGGCATGCGAGACGACTGCCGTTTGGGTCGACAGGATACACTCGTGCCGTTGCTGGTCCTGCGGCCCCGTTTGGACAATCCATACCCCACTTGGTCGGTGGCGAGCCTGTCGCTGTCGGAGCAACCAACCAGTAAATTCCGTTACACGTCGGACCGTAAAAGGGACCGAGATGAGTATCAGTGTATTGACGTCCGGGCTTCTGCAGTATGTAGTGTTGCTATCCAAAGAGGTTTAAATCCAAAGCTTCCAGAGATAATCAGATACATACCGTCCCTGTGGCTTGAATTCTGTGTTGAGGGTCACCAGCATAGAGGACAGGCCCTCCACCATTCGCGTCATCGAAGAGGATGAAAGACCCGGTCTCTCCAGCTGTGTTACATGGTGGGTGGGGGATAGGAGCTGGGACAAGAGCCTGTTTGTTTGAGACTCAGTACGAGGTTGGAAAGGAAATGAAACCACCAACCTGTGCATTGATAGTAGAGCCTAAAATTCGACCGACAATCTTTATCCAAAGATTAATCGAAGGCAAGTGAAGCTAGGTTAAGTGAGATGACTTACGCCTTGGTCATGGTAAACGGGCCAGCACTGAGGAACGACTGGTGGTACAGTGGGTGGAGGATTGGTGTTTGAGGCTTGAGCTAGCAAGGTGTCGAGACGCCCATTGAACGCATTCAGCATATTGATACCTCGTGAACTAAAGACGGATAAGTAGTGAATATCAATAAACGCGATGCAAACACACGTTGTCCGAGCGGTATAAAGTCCATAGGTTCTCGAAAGAAAGTTGTTGAAGCGGGTGTCCAACGGGGGATAAAGCGGCGTTGTGGGGGTCACGAGGGCGAGCAATCTCTGGACTCTGGCACCGGTGCTCCTTAATTCCGCGGCATTGAGATTAAAGTCTTTAAAGAGAATTCAGAAGATGCCAGAACGAGATGAATTAGGCGTACATTGTGCAAGTCCACCAAACGCCCTGATGAGAGTTTGCACCTCCCCGGCATTCTTCCTCGACGTAGGATTCCCGGGCTGAAGGTCAGCAATTGCCTTGATTTCTTTATCGAAAGGCGGTAAGGATGCCAGCGGCCGGTCATTGTTTACCACGTAAGATTTGGCTGAAAACGGGGTGAGGGTCAAAATAAACTCCTCGCAATGCGTTCGAGGAGATACTGACCTCGATTAAGGGCTGGCAAGAGTCGAAGAATGGCATTTAGGCAGGGATTCTTGATAATGGTAGCGATATGAATCACCTCGGTCAGCCCACACCATATTGGTCCTCTGGTAAGCCGGGTTGAGTCAGACCTTCTATTGTACAGGATGAAGCACTGACCTGATCGATGGTAGTGATCATTTGAGTTCTAAGTGGTCCGTTCCCATCAGGATCTACGTCCCATACATCGGTCTTGAGCCTAACTCATATTAAATGGACTAGGAGCTATGTCAGAGTGCCCAACGTACCAGGTACAATCTGCATTGTTAGGGAACTCTTCCCTGAAGAATTCTGTGACATATTGGAATCTGAATGACATTGAGATTGCAAAATCTTTCCTTGGGACAGTAACGCACCCGAAAAGGTGTTCCTCTGAACCGAACATTTATCCTCAACAACGGCAGGTGAAATACAGCATGAAAGCCACTTACTGACTCGTCCGTCTCCTGACGTATGTCTAGCATCAACAGTAATGTAAAGGGCAGTGTTGGAAGTCGCTACAGGAGGATTCACTGCTGGGTTGTTGATTGAATACCACGTCGATACAAGGAGACTCTGAGGGTTTTTCTCTTCTGGGTCTTCATTGCAGGATCCAAGTCTGATCCCTACACGCATAGTTAACATCACCTTCAATAAGACAAGAAAGCAACGACCACTTACTTCGTTTGTCAGCCCTGCGGAACAGACGTGAAAATGTAACCGTCGTGTTCGTCGAATTCCCATAATTCCCGTAGTTGATGGCAGCCCGTCTGACGAACGCCTCGTCCTCGTCCTCGTCGGGATCCGGCCCTGATTCTCCGTCGTACGGCGAGTCAAAAGGCGGCAGCGTCCAGTAACACACATCCGGGTCGTCAGGACCATCATCGTCGTCCGGATCGTCCGGATCGGGTTCGGTAGGCCCGTTGCCTCCAGGAGGCGGTGATACGACGGGTGGAACCCAGGGTCCATCCTCTGGCCATCCGGGCGGGGGAACGGGTGCTGGGAACACAGCGCCAATGACCGCGACAGAGGCTGGCACCGAGCCCACAATCCCCATACCACCCCCAAGGAGAAGGGCGAGCAGGACGAGAAGCCAGGAGTCATTGCTGTCGTCGTCGTCGCCGTCATCTGGAGGTCCGTTGACTGTCACCGGCGTGTCGGTCGAAGTCGGGAGAGCGACAATGCTTGTCCAGGTTCCCGAGATGAAAGTAGCTGAGCCAGTTGTGGTCGGAATAATGGGGTTGTTATCTGGATGGACGGATCAGTTGTGCACGACGCGAACAGGACAGGGATGGTACGCACTCCAAACGGGAGGCACAGCTTCTGGTTGCGAAACACCTGTGGGCACAGTTCCGACGACTTGTCCTCCTGGAGCGACAGTCAAAGTCGAACCAGCTACAGTAACGGTGACAGTAACAGTGGTCGGTTTTGGGATTACTACGGTTGTTCCAGCTGCGACGAAAGTCTGAGAGATAGCGGTAACGGGAGGAATCGGGTTCGGATCTGTAGGGTTTAGCTCAGAAATTGAGATAATCTTGAATAAGAAGATTACTTACTCCAAGCAATAGGAGTGTAAACTGGAACGTTCGACGTCTAGGCGAAAATATAATGAGATCGTGAAGCAAAGAATGACAAGTACAGGATCATACTGTTGTGGGTGGTGCAGTGGGGAAGCTTGAGAAATGGTACCAGTCATTTAAACTGTGAGTCCGAGTTCAATCAGATACACTGCGTACGGTTATTCGTGTTTGAGACTCACTTAACGTATGGAACGGTATCACCAGTTGCCGTCCAGGACCTTATAGCGGACCAATACCCAATAACGACGTCGACAGAGCTAAAAGGCGCGGTTTTAGGGACTCGGCCTTCAAAGAACATAATCGAGGACGTATACCTGGGCCAGGACGACGTATTGATTGAACTCAGCGTGGTGTAGAACCAATCGATAAAATTCTGCTGGGTGACAGGGCTGGAGAAAATAGGTCAGCGCATGGTACCGAGCATCCAGGAAAATGTGGCGTACCATCCCCCAGGCGCCCACGCACAATCACCTACAGCGGCGGCATAGATCTGTAAAGACACGTGTCGGATCATATGAAAGGTACCGTCAAATGAATCCATAGACTCACATTGTAATCCAGGGATCCTTGATCAGCATTTGTTATTGTGAATCCAGTTTGGCATCGAACGCTCGATATGAGATCGCCGACCTGAAGAATCGTCAGCCCCTTCAAAATGTTATTTGGTTTTCCCAGAAGACGCACCCCATAACAAGTCGCGGCGAGAACACAAGAACGAATACCCCAGAGGTTGTTTCGATTCTAAAAAAAACATTAAAATCGGTAGTTGGAAGGAACGCAAGAGCACTCACACCATCATTGACCGAATCCAAGCAGTTCGACGCGAGGTTCGTGCAAGACCCTTCGACGGACGTCTTGAGACACTGGAGAAGTGCCCTCTTCGCAGGAGCTGTGGATGTGGAGTTCGTCGCGTTGGTTGCGTTCACAGCCACCGTGGTGGGCACAACTAACTCCGAACTCTGGCTAGCCGATACAGAAATGCTGATGCTGGTAACTGGCGCGGTTGAAGTGACAGAGACGCTATCTGAAGTAGACGTTGCAGTTGGGAGAGTAGGTGTTGAGAGTGGAACAATGACAGCAGGACCATCACTCATCGGCCCCGGCTCGATGCGCATCCCAGCCAGACCGAGCTGCCGCAAGAGCGCGTCGTCGAGGAGTTGTGCATGTGTTCGTGGACATTGAAACAAGAAGACCCCTAGGAGCGAGAACCTCACGGCACTCAGAAGGGGTAGCATCGTTTCTGGCGTTCAAAGATTCATCCTTGAGCCGCTTTATACTGGGGGGATTGGCGCTCTCTCAGCAGGGCCAGATGGGCATGCCGGTCAGGTCCGTCAGCACCCAGGCGACACAACACGAAAACGAGCGCTAGGGGCACGGTTATCTTCTCCGAATCGAGCAAACATAGCTAACAATGACTTACTATCATTGCGCCAAGGCCGTGCTCTGTCGTCGACTGATCAGAAAATGATGTCTAACAGTTCCGAGAACACGCCTATTGGGCAGAAATTGGGAACTGGACTTCATTATGAGCGCTCATCAACAAAAGACGAGGATCATGTGGGAGGCACGAACCTCTCGCGCTCGTTTTGTGCAGGGATCAGCATGTAGATGCTTATCTGTACGCTTCGATGAGTTCGGGGCGAGGTGGTCGGAGGGGGCGATGGCCGTTTAGATTGGACGGCGCGGTGAAATTGGCGCGGAATACAAGAGCGGGACATGGAGGAGAAAGTCGGACCTTCGATGGTAACGCACCCGGGTGACTGGTGCGATCGTGAGAATAAAGATTAGATATGCGGTCATGATTCAGATGGCTTCCACTGTAGATCCTCATAGAGCGCGTATTTTTCTTCAAAATAAATTCCTGCACACTAACACAATTGCATATAGTTATAACTTTCTCTCCCAAGTCAAGAAAAACGAGTGCGTTGAACGTAGTGCCATGTAATTCGTTCTTTCCTTTCCGACCAGGCTTATAATTTATGAGGATACTCAACCGTACTAGTACCGGAAGCCAACGCGGGTTCAAACGTTTGGTTCCGTGCCATTCGTCCAGTCTGTTGTGCAAAGACCCCTTCTTCGTGACCCAGGAGTCTCCGGACCACATTTTTATATTTGTTCCAAGACAAATTACACCAAATTAACAGATCCTCCAACCGCTGCCATTTTGGCCGGATTTTTATTTCAGCAGTTGCGTTGACATTGACAATACCCTGACTACAATACAAGTGAACTAATGGCTAAGCAACTTCAAATACAATGAGATCATACACCTAGATAAATATCCCGTGTCCCCACTTGACTTTACCTATTCTTCGGAAACGCCTGCACCTTCCACTTTAAATGCAACGACGACACATTCGCCAGCCTCTGCAAACACCCCTTCATCATCTCCCTGCACGCCACCACGGAGCTCTGCATCCGGCCACTCCCATCGTCCACCGGCGTGCGCCACTCATGCACGCTCATGTCCATCCGCACCTTCCTCAGCTGCGGGTAATGCGCCGAGGTGAGCGCGAGCGGGAGACGCGTCCACGCGCTGTGCGTGCTGATGATCGCGCGGATCTCGTTGGGGGGCCGGTGCTCCGGGAAGAGGAGCGCGATGTCGATGCGGCGGAGGACGCTAGGGGGCGACGCAGCGTTTGGATTTGCATTGGAGGCGGAAGCGGCGGCGGCAACCATATCCGGAGGTGCGAAGGGTGAGATGGGGGTTTGGTTGGGGAAGAGCCAGAGGGGACTTTCGAGCAGCTGGCAGAGCCCTGCGAGGTCCCGCCCGGTGACGCCGAAGGAGAGCCGGAAGGACAGGGTTGTGAGCTTGGGCAGCTGCGTGAGGTTGAGGTTGCCCGGCAGGCTGAACCCGTCGCCGGAGCGGTGGTCTGCGGGGGTGAGGCAATGTGAGTTCGGTGTGCGACGTAAGGCAATGCACGGGAGGCTCCGAAGCGTGATATGGATGTGTGTGTATGTAGGACAGGCAAACAAAGAGAGGAATCGCAATTACCTTCCCAGCAACGCCACTTGAGGACCTTGAGGTGGGGCCTATACGCTTGGATAACGACCCATGCCGAGTTCGTGTTCTGCACAGACACCGTCCGCACGTTCAGCACCGCAAGTTGTCTAAACGGCGTCGTATCCACGACCGGCGGGAGTGCGAGCTGCTGCTGATCGGGCGGTACGGTGACATTGTTCAGGTCCATGGCCTTCACCGACGTGGCCATGAGCACAAATGCGGGTATGCACCCTAGGTTACGCAACTTGAGCGTACGAAGTTGTCTGCCCTGGAACACTCTAGTAAGCGACAATCGGAGTGCAGGTGGGAAGAGTTGCCAGTCCAAGAAACCGATGGCGGTGCCGAACTCGCAGAATGTGAGCGAGGTCAGGGTATCGAGGAGGGGAGGTAGACCGCGTTGCTGCGTGATCCATTGTGACTCGTACACCGGGTATGAGTCGAGAAGACTGAATCTCTTCACATAGGATGCCACCAGTGGTTCTCGCTGGAAGAGATCTGTAAGGCCTTGAATACGCCGCACGACGTCGTGTATTAGGATTGGACGGGGGTGCGAGACTAATCGGAGAGTTATGGAAGAGAACAACTGCTTGCGAATGGGTTGGAGAAAGCCTTTGCTAACGAGCGCGCAAGAGCGGAGAGCTTCGGTGGCATGGGACTCGGTGAGGAAGTTGAAGATGATGCACACAAGTTCAGGTGGAAGACGAGAGACTTGTGGGTACACAATTGCGTGTCCTGTGGATCCAGATTCCATGGTGGTGGTACGAAGGCAAGATGTGGATGGGCGATTGTGGCGTTGACCAGTTATCTTATTTGTCCTTGTTGCATCCCGAAGCGAACATGGCTTTGAAAGAACTCAACAACTTGTCGGGACTTGTCATCCGAGTCCCCAATCCCCGGTATCCTGACGCATATGGTCTTTTCGACTCTGAGAGGGATTTCACGCCACGCCAAGTGTAACAAAATCTTCGCAGATCTGTCTATCACTATCAGTGGAAGCAAGAAAAAGGCCCAAAAGGACGAGTGGCAATGGGAGTCCGACTCGATTCCAAGTCCGAACACGCAGCCTCGGTGCGTACTAGCTTCAATGGTTATTATTGGGAACATACTAGTAAATCATTTGGCACAGATAATCCTCTTCTTGTATGTTTCTTACTTCTCTGTGGCGTGGACACTGTTCGCTCCGATTTCTTCAGCATCCACCCATTTTCTATTCGACACCATGGGAGCAATCCAAGAAGTAGTGTTTTTTTAGTTATGGTAACTCTTTGGCTGAGGTGGACGGCGGGTTAAGTAGGAAGATTCCTCGGCGTGTGCGTGAGTGATTTCCATGTGGTTGCTCTGACTCACAAATCGGGCCTACAGATATGCCAAAAGTATTCAAGAGAGCTGAGCAAGAATCAGATGAACGTCCAAGAAGAAGCCGCAGTGGATCCCTGACACACGCGACAAAATCGATCGCCTTCTTGGGAGGCGTCTCCACGATAAGAAATCCTTTCCTATCGCAGAAATGCGGCGTCAAACGTGTCAAACTTCTATAACCGCCATAGGTAACTCTAAAGATGCGCCGCACAAACCTATCAGTCAGATTCAGAAAGAATAAACGGGTTACGAATCACCTAGTGCCTGCGTAGACATTCTCGGCGTGGCGTGCTGATGTCGCTCTATTGCTATTCCCAAAAACGCCGCGAGTGAAAGGAGAGATATAAAGTAGCTTTCGCTGGGTGCAAGGTGGGCATCATCCCATAACCACTTCTTTCGACATGTCTTCTCCGGTACTCAACCAAGATATTATTGAAATCATCCTCGATGCCGTCGAGCAGGTTGAGCCAGTTCCACCCTGGTCAGAATTAGCTTTGGCGAACAAAGCTTTCCCTCACCGATTCCCTCACCGAGCGCGAACATCCCTCCACCGGGCGTTGAGATTCTCCAGTAGTGACGACAACGATTATACGATGAAGCGATTGGCAGCCTTCCAGGAGACAGTGACCGACGGCGCCTTATCTTCCGTCGGGAGGGTGGAATTTCATCTGAACGCGGATGCTACGCTGAATAAGTGGGTCTACTCTCAAGAAATGATGGAAGTGATGAGCGTCATCAAGTCGAAAATACCCAAAGCCCTTGAAAACTGCCGGCTGCGCGGAGATTCCGGAGAAGAGCTTCTGCCTAAAACCTTTGAAGCTAATGGGCTATTCAGAGCAAACTTTTGGAAGTTTATCGCCCCTCATGTCCGAGTCCTGGGTCTCAGCGACCTCTATTCAATGCCAAGCACATTGCTCGCCTGTCCTGTGCTTAGAGAACTGCGCATGTCCTTTGTAGCCTTAGAGGACGAGATGTTCTTGCCAACAACCGGGACCGCAAAGTTGAAGAGCCTGGTCTGTATCGAGTCGTGGGCAGCTGTTTGCTCCTCCCTGGGCCGAATTCTCGATATAAGCGACTTGGAAGTCTTAGTTATCGAACCCGACCGCCAAATTCTTGAACTTGATGATCCAGCTGAATATCAAGATGCTGTCAAACAAATCATAAACCACTGCAAGGGCTCTCTCAAGACGCTAAGCCTCTTTTATGGTGAGGGAAGGCTGCTTCTTTTCCCCGCTTCCCTACTGATGCTAGGCTCTCACATTATTCCCAGGTTATATTGATGGATCTGACCAGTTTATCAGCCACGAAATAAATCTGTCGGAACACGTCAACCTCGAGCTCCTTAGTTTCATGATCCCAGAAGGCTGGGAGAAAGGCGACGAAAATGGAAATCCACAGGATCCTGAGTGGCACAACCCTCTTTTGCAGGACGTCGACAAGATTTTGAAGACTATTGTTAGCAAGGACGTCGTGCACAACCTAGTCATCCGCCTCGAGAACGAGAAGGTGGAACTTACTTGTCATGGAATCTCCGAATTCTCTTCCCGGTCCTTCAATTTTATCCAGGAGGACCCGTCGGAAGAAAACTAGAGAGACTTTAACTGAGTCGGGCACATGACCCAAACGGAAATAAGGAAACCCACTTGCGTGATTGAAACCGTAGAAAAACAGATGAAAGAAACAGATTTATCTTTTTACCGAACTACATTTCCCATTAGCTTGCGAAAAGTAGTTACCATTTGTGTTCCTTCCAATGCCTGTACGTGATGACAGATTATCAACCCCCAATGTATATGATTTCCAAGTCTCAGTCAACGAAAGCGTTGACGAGCTCTGCCCATCACGAGGTCGACATTCCAACTTGGATTAGCGCTCGAAAAGTGATCCGCACTTTTAGTCCAGGAAGCTGCCGACACGTGCTTTAAGTGAGGCCGCCACAGGGACTCATTTTTGCATTCCTAGCTCTGAAGCTGGAGGAACTTATAATTTGTAGGACAATTGTCAAATTTACAAGTATTCAGTCTTTTATAGACACCGAAGTAGAAGGGAACCTGAAGGGAATAGTATTTGTGCTGGCGAATTTCGGCGATGGAGTTCACATCAATGCATCAGGGATGATCGATGGGGGGCTTCAGGGGTTCCCGATCACAGGCGCTCCAGGTGTGGCGCACGGAATCGGAGCCCAGGCTTAGAGGCGCGGAAGAACCCCGTCTGGATAAACACCTTTGGACATCTTTGACCTCAGAATGACGCCAGGAGTGATCGAAGCCTTCAGTCTAATTTTATCTGACCGCCGCTCTGCATAATCGTGCCCCTTGTTTCGTCTCGGACCTCCAACGGCTCGACGTCATCACGAAGCAGCCTAACCTATAAAACCTCGGTAAACCAAGAGAGTGAAACTGCAATCAAGCTATTACACACGCCACTGAACTACTCGTAAACAACGCCTTCACAACAACGATGGCAGACTGCACCTGTCAGGACAACTGCTCGTACGCCTCTACTCTATCATTCTATGCATCGTCTAGCACTCTAATCTATCTTCACCCAGCGCCTGCGGGCCTCAAGGAACTGGATGTGCATGTGCCAAGGGAAAGTGCGACTGCCCAGAATGCCCTAACAAGGCGCACGCTGCTCAGGTTCGTTCCCGACCTTCTTTCGAATTGTTCTCCTCCGAGTCGTCTACGACGCGTGTCTGTGCGGTGCGGTGATAAGCGACGAAGGACCATTCCGACTCTTCCTTCTCCTTTTCTTTTTGATGTCAACGCATGGCTGACACGAATGCGTCTTCCAACAGTGCGCATGCAAAGGTCCGAATGCGGACGCCTGCGGGTGTGAATCGAGCGGTAAACCATGCACCTGCTGAGTCGAGAACGAATTACACCACCCACGCCCTCCAGAATAAATACGGTCTATTTTTCTGCTAGTGAACCCTGTGTACAAGCATGTGTACGACACGTTTAGGCTGCCGGTCGAGGTAAAGCGATAACGTTATCAACGCCGCTTGGTATGTAGCGAATATTGAATACCCCTAACTTTCGAAGTGTCACCAGGTTCACAGCTCGGCGAGTTGTGCAGAAGACCTGGAAATTCTCGAAAAGTTCAATGGGAGTGAAGCCAAGATCGTCGTTCACCAAGTGATCAGCTGAATCAGCGTAGAGCAGATACTACGGCAGGGCTCATCAACGTCGAACTGGGAACGGATCAGCATCGTTACGACTGGACCCACGTTTGCGAGCTCCTGTTGCGCGATTTCTGTGGGCGGCTGCTATGGAGAGCGGTAGGACGGAGGCACAGCGTTGAGTAAAAAAAGTTCGACCCGGTATTGAACGTAGGTTAGAAGAGCCATCAACGCCAGAGTTTTTGGGAATAGTCATGAAGATACTCCCTAGAGCGAAGCTCGTGTCCCAAGCATGACAAGACAGAGCCTTTCAAGTATCAAGAAAGAAGGATTTCGACGAAGAGGGTCCATATGTGAGCGTTGCTTGGCAGTAACTGACGACATTCAATTATATTGCTTACGAACCATTCGCCTAGTGACCCTCGCAAGGGCGCCCAGGGCTTTCTTGACAAGCCTACATCTCGACGGCGCTAATCTTTTATTACCTTCTAAATATAGCCATCTCGGCGCACTGCCGAAGGATCGACAGGATTTTCCTCGCGACGAGAGCTATCACTCGACACGCGCGCCGGTAGAGACACCGGTACAGTCTTGGAGTATAAAAACAGGAGGGAGGACGTTGGGGTTCTCCAGCTGGTCTCATCCCACCAACCGATTCTCATCCAAATAACTCAATCGACGCTGCGTTGATCGCAAGCCCACTCTTCCAATCAATCAATCCTTTCACGAATTCACGACACAAACCTATAATCTTCATCACCATGGTCCAACTCTCCACCTCCGTCCTCCTCGCCGCTCTCCTCGCCGCCCCTTCTTTGGCCTCCCACGTCGCCACTGAGCATGGATCCAACTCGTACGTCGAATTCCCAACCATCCAGCTAAGATGTTCTGACTCAACGTAGACGTGAATGCAGCTTCTCTGTTCGCGATCTCGAGTACCTCGAAGAGCTCGCCATCCGGGAACCCGCCCTCGGTGGCGCGTTGAGGAAGGTCGGCCGTGTCGTCAAGAAGGCCGTCAACAGCAAAGCCGCCGGAGGCGCCATGGCGGCTGCTGAGGTCGCCGGTACTGCCGCCGCCATCCACTCCGCCTCTAGACAACCCACCGCACGCGACCTCGAGTACATCGAGGAACTCGCCGCACGCGACCCCCGCATCGGGGCTATGCTGAAGAAGGTTGGTCGTGTGGCTGGCAAGGTTCTCGGTGGGGTTAGCACCGTGGCCACCGTTGGCAGTGTCGCCGCATCTGTTGCCCCCCAGCGGCGCGATCTCGAATATCTCGACCTCAAGATGCGTGACCCCCGCCTCGGCGCTGTACTGAAGAAGGTCGGTCGCGTGGCTGGCAAGGTGCTCGGCGGCGTCAGCACTGCGGCCACCGTTGGAAGTGTTGCTGCATCTGTTGCCGCACCCCAGCGACGTGATCTCGAGTACCTCGACCTCGAGATGCGCGACCCCCGCCTAGGTGCCGTACTCAAGAAGGTCGGTCGAGTCGCTGGCAAGGTTCTTGGTGGGGTCAGCACGGCGGCTACCGTGGGCAGCGTTGCTGCGTCTGTTGTCCCCCAGCAGCGTGATCTCGAGTACATCGAGGAACTCGCCGCACGCGACCCCCGCATCGGGGCTATGCTGAAGAAGGTTGGTCGCGTCGCCGGCAAGGTTCTCGGTGGGGTCAGCACCGCAGCAACCGTCGGTAGTGTCGCTGCATCTGTTGCCGCACCCCAGCGACGTGACCTCGAGTACCTCGACTTGGAGATCCGCGACCCCCGCCTCGGCGCTGTGCTGAAGAAGGTTGGCCGTGTCGCTGGCAAGGTGCTCGGTGGTGTCAGCACGGCCGCCACCGTTGGCAGTGTTGCAGCATCTGTTGTCCCCCAGCAACGCGACCTCGAGTTCATCGAGGAGCTTGTCGCCCGCGGATACTTCGACGAGCTCGACTGAGTACATTTAGATAGAGAATCCACATATCGCCCACTATTACGATGAGATCTGTCATTCCAGCACCAACTTGTAGTAATTAGGCCAAAATGTATTTTTACGGGCGCTACAAATGGGTGAACTGAAGGCGATGAACTTGAGAATTGACTTCCCTTCGGTGGGCCTCGCTACCTCAAGCTTCTACTCTCAAGGCGCGGTCTTTCGTCTGATTTTCCGAAGTAGCCGCCATCAACGCGTCTTTGCATAGCCATTCAAGACTGATGGTGCTTCTGAACGACGCTGTAGCATTGACACGTAAAAGGACTTGTACCGTGGCTTAAGTTTTTGGGACATCCGTGAGTGTTGTGATGAGAAATGACGTTTGGCAGGATGTAAAACTCCTCCTAAGCGAATAGCTTATGAGTGCACAATTACGACTCATAAAGCAGTAAAAAGAAAGTACCAAGACTAACGGCCTCGTGCTCGTAGAAGCGCAGAAAGGGCGCAACTGCCTTTTAATAAATCCCAGCATAGCAGCTCGTAAAATACTCGAGTAGGGAGGCCTCCTCTAATTCAAACTTGAACTCTTTTTCCCGCCGTGGAGGGATTATCTTCCGGGATCTCCAACGTTGAAGTGTTTCATGGTGTGGTCGACTTCACGCAGGACGAAAGAAGTTCCGTAACCGCTATCATGGGTGGTACAATGGTTCAAGTCTCCGTCTACACGTGTACGCTAACCAAGCTTGAACCGAGCCCTTCGAAAAGCAACCGCGGAAGGCACTCTAAAAGATTGAGATTCATCGAAAGTGCATGCAAAATCGACATTGGCAAGGATGAGCCGAACTCGAGTACGTCTCTAGATCTCACGCTTTATGCGATCGTGGCGCGGACTAATGACTTAAATTTGACTTGTGGGAACCAGAGCGTTTTTAAGTCGCCTACTTACGAAACTCGCAAAGAGGTGGAGCATCCGATACAGGGAGCAGGTACAATTTTTGAGTGGTATCGCAATGCAGCGAGCCACACAGCGGCTCCGAACCCCCCCGAAACGAAAGAAGAAATTGCAGATTCTAAGGAAGAGAAAGACTCATTCTGTGATGCACCACTATGTGATAGCTTGTACTGCTTTGATGATGGGCTATCTGGGACATGAAACCGAGGAGATTTTGTAAATTAAACGATAAGTTGAGGGCTGCTACTTGTGCTCTATCTCGTTAACTTCTCGCAAGCCATCGCCCAGCTTCGGAAGATTGAATCAGAAAGAGCAATTTTCTTTAAAGCCTGCTCGTCCATCGAGGAGTGCCTCGGCATTCAGAACCACGGTTACCGGGTTTCGCCTCATAGGCTCCATCATGCACGGTGGTCGGATGCTTTTTAAAATCTGGTATGCATCTCAGGATGCAACTTAAGAAAAATTTGTTAAATATCATGAATGCTACACAATATCCCAGTGGTAAATGCGCCAGGCATTTATCGTCCAGTAAGTACGGCGCCCCACCTGGAATAGATCAAAACTTGTGGGCAATGTAACCAATCGATCTGGAATCGGAAAGGGAAAAAAATCGGGGAGGAAAGGAATGCAGGGCGGAAAGACCAGAAATACTATATTACTACATACATCTCAAGGGATTTGCTTCACAGAGGAATGATGCCATCGAGCGTGAAACAAATCTAGCAGTAAACGTTGAACAGGTAAAAACTAATCTGAAGGTCGCACATCCTCAGGATGACAGCGAGCATGCGCCTTCTGTGCCCTGACTTTCTTGTTAGGAAGGCCGTTGTTCTTCGGCGGGTCTACGGGCGCCTGTTCTTGTCTCCGCATGGTCGCGGCGTATAAGGCGTGGTGAACAGCTCCTGAATACCATCAGCCGTTTATTTCGATGCCATGAAAAGACACAGCAATACTTTCGACCATCGCGAGGCGCTCGGGAGAATCAGGCCCCGAGTGCATGAAGATCGTGCTGCCGAGGATTTGATGGTCTATCGCGCTGGTCGCGAGTTCAGGCCCACCGTATCCTTCTGTCATGGTGTAAGTCGCATGGCGCATGTGGTAGATAAGTGCATTGGTCCTCATATCGCCTGAAGAAACCATGCTTATGAAGGAAAAATCGATGGTGGCTCCGACTGCCCCGCAATCAATTCTGGGACCGCTGAAAGGAGGGGGAGAGACTTGAGGAGCTTGGGTGGTCATTGAGGAAACGCGAAGAACCTGCCTGAAGGTCTTCGCGCACTGATCTTGGTATATGTGGCTCTTCTACACGTGTCTCGAGAATCGAGATGAAGGCAATGCGGCCAAAAAGCAATGCAATGGTGTGAAAAGATCTATTTTGGTCGTGCAGTGAATGGTGGTGAAGTGGTGCACTGCAATCCGATCAGTTTGTACACGCTTCTTGTGCAGTAAAAGTGTCAAGAAGCCAGGGAGCTCAGACCCGCGGAAGCCAATGGTTGGAAGCCAGTGAAGGGTGTGGTGATCTGTGAAGATTAAAGTGATCTCCACAAGGGCCCAGAGCCATTCTAAACATGAGGATCGTCGAAAATGGACTACAGATATGGCCCCGAGTACAGAGAAATCGATATGATCGGATTCGTTTATAACACATAATACCAAGCGTGGCTCTGGGCGCTTGTTTCCAGAGAGGACGGCATCCCGGCATTTCACGTGACTACCGGCATCTGCCTGCGGTCAAACTCCGACCCTCGTCCGGGAACTTCCTACGGCTTTTTGACCCCGAGATGAATTTTGTCTCACTCGTACTCTATCTACGACCTTCACTAACATTTTTTTTCAGTCTGTATGTAAGTTGACACTTTGCCCGACCAGTCGTTTCTTCGATGATTCCCCAAACCGAAGAACTGGCAGGCAGTCCATCATTCAGTCTGTCCTTAGGATCAGAGCTACTCGCCAACAAATTCAAGCGTTGAACGAACAAGGACCTCGTTTAATGCCTCCTTATCGCGTCGTTCTATCTGACATTTGTCAAATACGCTGGAAGCTCGCAACGCGTCTCGATGGACATTTCTCTCCCGACTCCCGAATTCAGCCGAAGTAGAGGTTGTGGCGCAAGGCAGGAATTGCTTGAGGCATCTATCTCTTCATCCAATCTCACGCGATGCATTGGAAAGCATGGACCCCCGGGAGAGTCAACGATGTGCGACATCATCAGCGCCTCCCGCGGGTCGATGTAGTGACCACTGTCGACTAGCTCCCGGGTTCGTTTGACTTGCGTCGGTTATTGCGACTTCGTGATCCTCGACGTCAGTCAGATACGCCTGCTCTCCTTGGGAATCATTGATAATCTTCTCATGTTGATTTGCATCTTTTGACCGGCCCTAGAACGCTGGCCAGTGGCCACGTATGCCAGAGGACGCTTATTACGGAAAGCGAATTTTTCGCGCCTCTGCTCTCTGTCTGAGCGCATGGATGGCGTTCGATGACTTTTTTAATCCGTCCTTCTTCGCACCTGTCGGGACCGGTTCGCGGTTTTCAGTAACCGTTCATTCCTGCCTTTTGTGGCGACGTCTCTAATCAGCGCCTAGATGTCAACAGAGGAGTCCAGGAAACTATAAAGCATGCCAAGAACTCGAGGCTCCCTAGAGCAGTCACTCTTACCTAGCCAGCCAACCATGGCCTTTGCTCACTTCTCAACTATCGTTCTTGTCACTCTTGGCGCATACCAAATCGTTAACGCTGCTTTGACGAAGCGTGTTACTTGTGCCTCCGGCCACATTACTGCCAATGCTGCATGCTGCGGTAAGATTTATCTTTTCTTCGACATTTTCCTGTGCAAACTAATCAAATGTGCCTCGATTTCAGCACTCTTCCCTATCGTTGACTTACTCCAAGAACAACTCTTCGACGGTGCCGAGTGTGGCGAGCAGGCCCACTCTGCCCTCCGTCTCGCCTTTCACGACGCCATTGGTTTATCCGTCCACGGCGGAAATGGAGGAGGAGCCGATGGTTCTATCCTCGCCTTCAATAGCACTGAGCTGCAGTATCGTAAGTTCATTCCTCGCGTTTGCTAGAAACAGAGGAATTCTAACCCTCGTTCTCTTATAGATGCTAACGGTGGCATCGACGACATCATTGCGGACCAATTCCCAGTCTTCCTTCAAACAAACCTAAGCGCCGGCGACTTGTAATGCTTCTTTCCTCCAGTCTATATAAATCCATCGCTGATATCTATTTTCAACTACAGCGTTCACCTCGCTGCCGCCGTCGGCACCGCCAACTGCCCAGGCTCGCCTCGCCTTGAGTTCAAGTTCGGCCGTCCTCCTCCCAAGGCTCCTGCCCCCGATCTTACCGTTCCTGAGTCGACGGACACCGTCACTACTATCCTTGCTCGCTTTGCGGACGCTGGGTTCTCTCCGCGTGAAACAGTTGCTCTACTCTCCTCGCACTCAGTTGCTGCTGCGGTAGGCTGTTCCCTGTCTTTTCCTTGTCTCATGGTTCCCTAACGATGCTTTGATGTTTAGGACGTCGTCGATGTCACTATCCCAGGAACACCTTTTGACTCGACGCCCGACACCTTCGATACCCAGGTCTTCCTCGAGGTCCTGCTCAAAGGCAAGCTCTTCCCAGGTAACGGCTCACAGCCCGGCGAGGTGCTGTCTCCGCTCGCGGGTGAGATGCGCCTCCAGTCCGACTTTGCCATCTCTCAGGACCCCCGCACTGCGTGCATCTGGCAGGCCATGGTCGGTACGTAGTCCTAATTCTCATTTCCTCACTTCCTCATTTCGTTGAGCAACCGCGTTGCACCATATTGTAGACAACCAGCTCCTCATGCAAATCGCGTTCAAGGCCGCCATGGCCAAGCTCAAAACTCTTGGCCAGCCTTCCAACCTCATCGACTGCTCCGACGTCATCCCCGTGCCAGCACCGTTCAAGACAGCTATAAAGTACCCCGCCTCGTTCTCAAAGGAGGACGTGCAGATCGCTTGTCATCTACTTCCCTTCCCCAGCATTGCCACTGTAGCTGGCCCAGCGCCGACTGTCCCGCCTGTTCCTTGACATCAAGATGCCGGCTTCATGGGAATCAAGTTGAGGGTTTAGATTTTTTTCTTGTGGATGGCCCAGCGCCGAGTGTCACGCCTGTTCCTTGGTCTTGACGTTCATGGGAGTCAAGTTGAGGGTCTAGATTTATTTTCTCCTGGTTGACGAATGTATTTAATTGCTTCAACACTAATCCACAAGTGCCTTCATTAGTGTGCACACCTTGGGCAGAACCTTTCGGTCCGTTCGATCATATGAGAATATGTAATCCGCGTTCCAACGCGTCCATTCAGGCTGCGGCGCTGTGTCCTGTCTTCCACCCTCCAACACCCAACAAGTATGGCTGCACCTATCCCGCTTCCGCCACCGCTTAAGGATAACCTCCGCGTAGTAGAGTTCGACGTCGGGCCCCCTTCTGATCCTCCTACGTCCACTGATATGGCCCGCGCCGCGTTTTACAAGAAGGTAATCATGAATGCATATGGTACGCACTGTCCCTTTTCTTGAATTGCTCAACCCGCCTAATGTAGAACATGAGTTTAGAGGTAGATTATGAAGAGCGAATCACGAATGACGATATCTCGGCCGCTCTACTGTACGAGGCATCCGTGATTGCGGCGAAGAATCAAAGTACGTACCGACCCATCTGGAAACATAGCTGCTTACATGCCCTTGTCTCTTCTACAAGATGTCGAACCCCTGCGGTTCCAAAATGCTATTGCAAGGTTGAAGGACGAACTCAAATAAGAGATCAAGGCCATGAAGGAGGAAATAAAAGCAGAATTGAAGAAGGAAGTCGAGGAGGAAATTAACGGCATCAAGGAACGGCTCGCGCATAGTGAAGATGTGATGAACAAAATAGCATAAACTCTCTTGTAACATTTTGTCGCAATTGCACACTATGTCAGGATACCTTATACACAAGGAGAGTCATATATTACATCTGGCGCAAGCACAGAATACACATCCTACTCATACAACATAATAATATTGAACTTCAGATACAAGTACATACTCAGGCATTTTTCGAGTGCCTCATTTTTCCGGCTACCGCATTGAGAGGTCATCTACCACGCAGTCTGCCCACCATCGACTCTGATACTATATCCCCGTGAATGAGTCGGTGAATAAGCTGTAGATATTGAGGATACGAAACAACTCACTCGCTACCAGTGCAGAACGTCGATGCATCGCTCGCGAGCCAAAGAGCAGCACCACGCAGCTCGTCGGGGTTGCCGAGGCGGCCAAGAGGGTTCTGAGCACACCACATCCGTTCGAGCTCGGATTTGCCTTGCAAGAACGCCTTCGTCATGCTGATAGACAGAAACAGGACGATGAGCGATGAGAGAAGGGCAAAGACAGAACGAAGAACGTACTTGGTGTATATGTATCCAGGGCTGAGGGCGTTGACACGAATTCCCTTTGGCCCGAGCTCGCAGGCCATGGAACGCATCATTTGGAGTACGGCAGCCTTACTGGTGTTGTACGCGGTCCAGTGCATGTTCTGCGAAACACGTCAGCTTCGATAGTAGTAAACCAGAAAAATTGGAATACACATACCGGGTTGGTGATGGTTCCACTCATGCTCGCAATCATGACGATACTACCTCGAATATTGCGCTTCTCCATCTGCCTGCCAGCAGCTTGGGCAGTGAAGAACGCGCCATTGATGTTGACGTCAAGGAGCTGGAATAGGAAAGCACGTCAGCCCAACTCGTGACGGACAATGTCCTCGACAAACCTTCTTGAAATCCTCCCCATCCCACTCCAAGCACTCCGCACCCCTCAAAACTCCCGCATTAGCAATACAAATATCCACCCTCCCCTCCTTCTCCGCAATCTGCTCCGCGATAGTCCACATCGCCTTCTGGTCGGTCACATTGCAGCTCATGTACTCCATCCGGCCCTTCTTGTGCGCGCCGACGCCGAGATCCGGGAGCGAAGAGCAGAACTGCTGCACCTTCATCCAGTCGGCGTCGGGTGTAGGGGGGAGGTCGAGGCAATAGACAACCGCGCCTCCTTCGGCGAGGGCGAGGGCGAGCTCGAGACCGATGCCGCGCTGACCGCCGGTGACCATTGCGACCCGGCCGAGGAGGGCGAATTGGGCGAGGGCAGTGCGGGTGGGAGGTGCGCCTGATAAGGCAGCGACGACACCAGTGGGGGTGTGGTTGGTAGGCATTTGGGTGGTAGACATTTTCTGGACAGGCAAGTGTCTGTGTGTGAGAGGGAGTTGGGAGATTGTGGAGTGTCTAAGGCATTCACCCATCCATTTTTATAACATCTCGGTGGGGTGTGGGAGGCGACGATACTGGAGAATAGGAGAAGCAGGTGGTTTTGAGAGCGGCGATAATATTATTGGAGAATAGGAGAAACAGGGTGTCCTTGAGGGCGGAGCTGGACCGCGCATCAGAAGATACGCACCTCTTCTTCAGACTCTGGGCTGTCTTAAATTTAGCGAAGGCCCCCCAGAGTACAGGAAAGACACCACGTGTCTAGCCTAGATCCGCGCGATGAGAAACAGGTTCCAGTTGAAAGGAAACTTGCTCGAGTCCCAGCTCATGATGACGCATGTAGAGGGGAAGTGGAGGATCACAAATGACGTTGGGAAGCACTGGAGGGGAATGGAAGTTGACGATCATGAATTAGATGTACTATACATGTCGACGATATGTGAAGGCGGCCGTCCTATGGAGCCCTAGAAGACAACATGAGTACCCCTCAGTTGAGAAAATGCGGGAAACTCACTCAAAACGTCACGAAGACTTGGATTCTACAACTTCCAACTCTCTCAAGCCACTACTCTTGTTCGCCGCCCCTCCAATCGGTTGCGCCCCTCTAACAGCAATTCCCTTCGCCGACGGGTCTCCCATGATGTTCAGCTTTAATCGTGCGTTCATCCACGATGGGTTGTAGCCAGGGTACATGGTCGGGTTTTCCTGGTTCAGTCGCGCATACGTGTGCTCGCGGGCTACGCGGAGGAAGTGTTCTGGTGTCAGACCGCCCGTGCCGTGGTATTTCCCCCAGACAGCAAGTTTCTGGTCATTTCTCAGTCTTGCGTCCATCGCCACGTAGGGTTTGAGCTTCGAGAACCGTTCGGTCAACAGGTACAGGAAGAGTTTGGGACGACGTACTAGACTGGACTCGATCTCCTCTATCGGTGGTGCGACGTAGACACGAACTTTGCTGTCTAGTAACCGGTATTTCGCCCTTCCGCGAATGACATGTTTACCTGGGGCACCCGTACGCGGTCCACCAGGAAGAAATGCCTGTCTTGTTCCTATACAACGTTGAAACCACTGCGAAGCGTAGAGGACTGACACTCACCTTTGTAATAGTCCTTGTTGCCTCTTTTTGGTGTTAAAGGCGCCCTGGACGCTTTTGAAAGCCTCGCCGCTGTTGGAAACATCGAGCACGGTGTAGTGGTTGTCGCGTATGATGCCCGGAACGAAAATATTGCAAACAAATGTTCACACGATCCGGTTCACCCCGGCCCGCTAACTTCCAAAACCTGTGCGTTTTTGCGTTCCATGACGGCGACAGTGGTAATTGCTTTCTGCTCAGAGTAAAATAGATAATTGATACATATACATATACATACACATACGCTACATTCAAGATGCAATTGCAGTCCAAGTATTCTGCAGCGTCCAAGTCCTCTCAGGCGTCTTCGAGAAGGGCTTTACACTCGTGCTTATGGTTCTTCCAATCGCTATAGTAGGATGGTTCAGTTAGCTAAAGGACAAATCATCCGACGGACATAGGTGAGCTTACTTCTTCTGGCACTGACGATTGCAGTAAAATACCAAACCACATCTCTGACACGCCTTCTTCGTCCTGCTCCGCACTCCTGCATTCCTGAACGGACACTCCAGGTTGCAACACTTCCTATCCGTCCGGTACCGCTCGCGGATCGACTTGTCCGTAATTCCCAAGAGCCGAGTCAACCCTGTCCAGAGTTCCAGGTACTTTCCATCCGCGCCGAGCTCCTCCTGGAGTGAGATGGACGTCGTGATCCCTATCCGCTCGACGTTGGCCCGCATCGCATCCCGGAACGCCGGCGTGCAATGCAATTTGCAGCCGGTAGTGTCAGCGCAGCCAAGCGCATGCCCGATGTTCTGGAAGAACTGGTAGAAGGTTCCAGCGTCGTCGATCCTCTGCGTGTGAGGTGGAGCTTGGTTCGCCATCTTGAAGCCTTCCGCGGCAACCTCGATGAGTCGCGTGTTGTTTATCATGTCGGCAAGTGTGCCCATTGGGTACGGTGAGTTCAGGATTAGCTCCCTGGTATAAAATAAGTTTGGCGACAGTTCTAGACAAGGTAATCGGAGACGGACTGGGTGAATACCTCTCCAAGGCTAAAGAGAATGCACAAATGCTCTGAGGGCCCTTTCAGAGAGCGTAAAATCGCCAATAAGACTTGTTTTGGCACGCCGGCCTGAGTAAAGTGAGGGCCAAAGGGAAGCCATGATCCCCTTGTGAGGTGCATGGCTAGCGACAGGTCTTGCCAGAGGGCGTCACCGGGGATATGCTTTTGCTTGAATAGGAAGTTGAATCGCGAAACGAAACGGGGCATATTCACCGCTTGGAATATCCTCTCGAGATAGTCTGGTGGAGGGAGGGGGCCAGTTCTTCCATGGAGGTTAGACACACAAGTAAGGCAGTCGGGTACTTTCTCAATGGAGAATGAGGAGACATTTCCACCCAGAATGAACGATCAGCCGCAACATTCCCAGCTCGTACAGCTTCCTGACGAAATCGATTAAAACAACAGGACCACAGACAGAGAGGAAAGGATTCACCTCTTTGTCTCTGGATCCTCTCTGAACAATGAAAGGGCCGCGGCAACGACGCCTCTCCTATTGTCGCCAAGCTTGTTTAACGGAGTCAAGAGATGAAAATCCTTGACAATGACGTCGAAGATTTGTTGATATGCCGAATAGACTTCTCGAAGGATGGCGACGTCTCGCTGACGGCTCTGATCGGTGCAGATTGAAGCAAGGACGTTGATTATTCCTAACATTGGATACTGCCAGTGTGGAATATCTCCAGTCGACTGTCCAGATGAAACTTTCTGGATGAACACTTTCGCAACTCCTGCACGACGATACCGAGGATCTATCGCAGCGATGATAGCCACCTTCAGCATGAACGGAGACGTCGCGGGCTCTTTTGCAAGCTGCGAAACCACTTGTTGAGGTGAAAGAAGAGCCAGCCTCATCGAAGCCACATTGAACGGGCATGTTGGGATTGTGCAACGGCAGATCTCCAAAGCCTCAATCAAAGGCAAGGGAATTCATCTCCAGGAAGTCAGATGCCTGACTATAGATACGCGGTGAGGATTACCGTGAGACGAAGGGGCGAGAGGGCCTTCAATTCTGCGAGGGTGATGGTAGAGTATAAGGGGAACTTGATACGCGCTGGTCAAAGCAAACTGTGGCAAGGAAGCACGGCCCGGCTATCCCGTCAACAATGTCATGAAGGGCATTTCTTGCTCTATCTGAGCGCTGAGCGCTGAGCCTCTACCTGCTTTTCCTTCGCTGACACTCGCGAGAGAAAACGATTGACAATTTCGAAAGTTCTCTCCGCATAGTCTAGTGGAGGGGGGCCGCCGCCGTCCAAGTCCTCCAGGTCCTCCAGGGAGGTAATGACCGTAAGCAGAGTCGTTGGCTACTTTTTGAGCGGAGAAATGGACGAGGTTTCAAGCCAGCAGTGGACAACGAGCCGCAGTATTCTCGGCTCGAGCAGCTTACTGGGGGTTGAAATCAGGAAAAGGGAGTAAAAGACAGGGTAGGCCGTACACACAATTTGATCTCTGAATTTTTCACGTAAAGCGAAAGCGCTGCTATGACTAGAAATCTTCTCTTGTCGCCCGGCTCATTGGATGGAGTCAAAAGTTATAAATCCTTGAGAATGACATCCACGATAGCTTGAAACGCTCCATTGAGTTCGCTCAGGATGGTCGCATCCTCCGCAATGTCTCCCGAAGTTCACCGTCCAAATAAAATCCTTCGGACCAAAACCTTCTCCACTCCATCATGATAGCGACGGTACTGAGGGTTCACCGGAATGGCTACTGCCAGCTTCAGCACAAACAGGGACGTCGAGGGCTCTTTTGCGAGCTCTGCGACCGCTTGTCGAGGACGAAGTCGAGCTACCCCATTGTTCAGCGATGAAGGAGCATGCTGCGGGAAAACGAGGGCAGTCGAAGGCGTCGCATAGGGCAAGAGCGTTCAACTTCTGAACCATCCCTTCTAACACGAGTGTGTAGCACAAAATTCAGGCTTGAAGTTGAAGGGTTGATGCTGAGAAGTTTTGAAAAGGCAAAGATGGCATGCACTGCTGGCAGGCCGCAAGTTCAACGTCAACATTCAACTTGAACTTGAACTTCATGTGTGGTACGTTTATTCCTCCCCTCCCTGATCAAAATACTCGCCGACATCCAGTGACCCTCGCCAAAGCACATCGACTACTCTTGGCCACCTACAACGGTCAGTCTGCGCTCCACAACGTCGATCTCGCATTGGCGCTGTGTTGTCACCATCGTCGCCGCCTCGGACCGTATTGCAACGTGACCGTTGCTCTCCTTGGGAAAGCTGCAGCTTGCTTCTTGTCACATGGTCGCCATGTGGCGCTCATATCGCGAACTAAGGACCCAAGAGGAGAGGAGAAAACTCAAGGTTCTCTCGATAGATCGACTGGTGTTGGTGTTGCATTCGTCTCGATAATTTTGGCGACGGGCCTGTGGATGCTGAGAACGTGAGTCGTCAACAAACCTTTAGTTTCCAAGACCATCTCTTGTCTCCTCTACTGAAATGCATGCTAACAACTCTCCTCCAGCTCAACTGCGTCCAGACTTCTGCTACCCTTCGATGTAGAAGGCTTCCGCGACGGCGGGTTATTGGCGACGACGCATGCATATGTCCTCTCCTTTCCCTCTTGCATTGACGCTCCGCATCTCACTGCAACTTGTCCAGGATCTCTAGGCAAACGCTCAACCCCATACCCGAGCCTTCGATCCCCCATCTCCGACTACTTGCATTGGACACATAACAGAAAGTGTTACCGGTTCCGACAAAACGCTTGGGTGAGCATGTGCCCGGAACCCTCACATTTCATGGATTAACCTTTTCTTTCGACCCTCCCTTTTTTTAGTTGCTACGGAGCATCGCTCTCTGCAGCCGAAGATGCCGTCACAACCCTCCTGTTATTCTTGCATGGTGGAAGTGTATTACTTGTGAGTTACATTTGTTTATTCTGCTCCCATCGATGGCGCACTAAATCAGATGCTTCAGCAACAGCGCGATTACCTCATTTCGCCATCCACCATTCGACTCAAAGCCAGTTTTTCTGGCTGTCGACCGTCACCTCACCTCCCTGTGATTTCAACACTGACCTCGTCGCAGATGTGGACTATGCGTCTGACGTCAAGCATAACCAGGGCCTAATGACAAAGGAGTGGTTGGTGAAGCATACTGGAGCGAGGGCGAGGTCGTCTTGATTACTGCAACGCGGACGCTCGTCCTTACGTCCCTTGGCAGAACATCTCCCGCCGTCGCCTTGCTTCTCGTATATCCAAAAAGGCCGCCACCCGGCGTACATAATGGGAGCTCACAACGCATTGGAGCAGACGACGTGACTCAAGTTCCGCTTCCAGAAAAAGCACCCTCCTTCGAGGCCGCGCTACCGGTGTTATCACGAGAAAGGTCAAGAAGCTAGTGTCGAGCGAGGCTTGAGGATTCGGGGGGTAGATGATGACGCGAACATAGCCAACTCTCAGAGCAGGAGGTGAGGGTCCTTCTGCGAACCTTTCTCTCGCCTCTCTGTTCTGAATGATTCTTCCTCATCTTGGTGGTATATAGGCCTGTTCCAGCTCGCGGTACGGATAGCGGATAGCGACAAACACATTGACAGGCTGGTCAACGGTGCGTCGTATGTGCGTCTTCCTCTTCCCCTCGCATTGATTCCTGTTGTCTTACATTTCTCCAGATTTCCAAGGCGAGCGTCAAAAAGCGTTAATGCGACCTCCCTACCAACGCCTTCCGCACCCCTCGCTCGTTGAAACCCCGTACATTCGTTACGCCTGACGCGCGACTGCGAACCCGATGCCAGAAACAAGAGCGACTCAGTATTGGTACGAGCAGGGTCTCGAGATAGGACTCGCTTACAACTGGTCTGTCGTGGCTTCATCTCTATAACCCCATTGCATCTGACCACATGTTCAGCTCTTGTGGCCGTCAAACTTCGTGCCGGAAAACGTCAACCATCAGGGAGATCTTCCCTTTATCTCAGTTAACTGTAGGCCTATATCTCTAGCTTATGTTGCAGCTTCGTAAACTACAATCTCCCATGCCATGATGAACATCTCAGCCACACAATGAAACACAAAGTGATGAAAATTGCCTAATGATATGGATTGACAAGGAGGAAGAACTATGTTAACTTGCGGCGGGCTGCGTCTGCGTCCCAAAATTCAAGAATGACTCCCATCCCCAGCTGCACCTCCTTTTTAGAAATCCTGCAAGCTTTCCATTCTCTTCCACTACTGCCCCTCGCAGGTCCGAAATCTGATTTGCACCCTTCAAGGAACGATGCGCCATATCGTTCCCGAGTCGACGTATGGCTGACCGACGCTGGCAGATCACTGTCATTGCTGCATCCGAGTCGTGTAGAGAAGCGAATTGAGGAAGATTCTTGAGCAGCGAGCGAGCGTACTTGATGCGGGCACCGTCATGTTTAGACTCGGCGTCTAGCAATGCACGCCAGGCCCACGAAGTTCCTGCGTCGTTAGGGGTAAGTCCAGGAGGAGGGTTTGCGTGGGCTGAGACCGCTTTGGCGAGGTCGCCTTGAACATCATCCAAAAGCGCCCTCAGACGGATGCAGTGCATCGGCGTCAAGTCCTTTCAAGCGCCGTGTGAGATAAATTCAACAACATGGGTAAGAGAACGTCATACCTGGTCAATGAGAGCGCTTGTGAGTGCGTTCTCAAGCTCGCCAACTTGCTCCTTCAAGTCCTTGATCTCCGACATCAGCCTATCCTCAAGACCATCCTTCTCATTCCTAAGCCTTGCTTCCAACTCTTCCTTCTCTCCTCGAAGCCTCTCTTCCAACTCGTCGTTCTCGCATCGAAGCCTCTCTTCCAACTCGTCTTTCTCGCATCGAAGCCTCTCGTCCATCTCTCTGTGCTCCACCTCCATCCTATCCATGCGCGCCATTAGCAGACCGAACTGATCACTGCGCTGTTTCGCCATCTCAAGCACAGTAGTCTCATGAAGGGTTTCCGCCTCTTTCAGCTCTTTCTTCACCTTTGCTTTCTGTTCTCTTTCCTTTGCAACATCCTGGTTGCGCCTCTCCTGCGCTGCGGCATTTTTGTGTTGAAGTTCCTGGATCCTTCTGCCCATTGGGTCGATGACCAAGCTTTGAAGCTGGTTGAGCTGGAGGGCCGTTAGGCTAACACCAGCTGCAGCTGTGGATGGACGACCAGAAGTCTCGTTCTTGAACGCTGCTGGAACGAAGGCGTAGAGTTGGTCAGACTCTTCGAAGTGTATCACCTTGTCTCCGTCCTCGAATGCCGCAAACGAAGACTGGTCTGTGACGTTTCATGCAATCAGACACTTTCTACACTGGCAACTGGAAAAGAGCTCGATTGACATACCGGTTGCGAGGAGAATGGCGTCAGGATTAGGATGCAAGATGTCCGCTTTCACAAATTCGTGATCCCGTTGAGCGAAATGCTTGTGTAGTTGACGATGTACTCTCCCACGGAGCCCCTTGACATCCATGTTCCTCGGGATCTTGAGCGTTCCAGCATAGCACAGAGCGGGTTCCTCATAGATCGTCAAGATGGAGACACTTTGCATGATGGTATCGAGCAAAGGTTCGAGGCAGTGGTTACCGTAGATATAAATCAAGATCGCCTCGTTGCCTACACGCAGGAATCACCCATGGCCAGAATCACCCCTCTATTGGTGACGCGTGATGCTGTGACGGGGTGTGTTGACACAAGTCCCGGCACACGGTCGAACTCCAAAGACAGATGTAAGCGCTGTATTCGAAGTCGGGAAAACCCTACTCTACAGGCTACGAGTCCTTTATATACGATATAAAGACCATAATGTAATCAAGATGAGTAATACGATAAGATAAACAAGCCAAGATAGACGATAAGGGAGCACTGCGTACCATACGCCCTCCAGCATTTCTGAAGTGAGCAAAGAAATGCTAAGTCCGTCAAAGGTAGAGTAAAAAGAAAAACGCAATAAGAAAAATGAAAAGAACTTAATAGAACCTCCTTGTTCCTCCACACGGGGTCCTGACGGGGCCATACGAAGGGTTCCGTCCACCGTGACCATATCCCGAAACGGGCGCCGAGCTTCCTCGAACGAATGCAGGACCACGCCTGCGCTCCAGATGCTCCCGAGCAGCGGTTACTGTAACATCTCGCATAGCTTCAATATTGCTGGAACCGCCTGCGCTCCGAACCGTTTCGAGCAAATCCTTGACTGTCTCCCCATCAGGGAAGTCAACATCGAGGGGAAAGCGGCTGTCGGGACCGAAGTTGGGGGCAAAGTGAGCGACGGCGTCATTTTGGGTGATGACAGCCAATTTCCGGCTCTGGGCGTGGTCGTTGTTGAGGTACGCAACGAGCTCCCGGTATCCAATGGGTTCGACGAGGTTCTCGACCTGGTGTGCATACCCTCGTGCGTAGGCCTTGCTGACGATCTGATGAAATATGAGACACTGTTTTAGCTGCGGTGCGCTGATCGAGTGGATGACGTGGCTGTTGTCGGCGACGCGAAAATCACCAAAGCCGATCTTGAAAATCCGCGAGAAACCTGTTACCGGGTACGAGAGGTTTGTGACTGGCTGGTTGTTAAAACCACGCGGAAGGTGGGGAGCGGATGGAGGCGTCGGTGCAAAGTCGGCGAAGAGTGATGCAACATCATCATCGATGCTCATGGCTGTGGTATGAGGAGAGCCAGGGGTCGATTGAAGGGTAGCCGTCGTCAATGCGGGGGTGGTCGTCACGAAGACCGAAGCAGCGGTTTCAATGGGTATGGTGAAGGCGGTAGTGGATGTGTCGAAATCCATCGTGTCTGCTGTGTTTGTGTCCTGAGGTGCGTCTATGTCGTCGTTGATGGAGACGGCAGCCATCGCGTCGACGGGAGCTGTGGAGGCAATGTCCGTGGTAGGGTCGAAGGTTGGATCGGCATTGGGAGTAGTGTGGTCGATGGGTGTGAGAGGGGAAGTGGGAGCATTGTCGACGTCGGTGTTGGTGGTAGGAAGGGAAGGAGCAGTGTCAGAAGAGGAGTGGTGGTGTCGACAGTGGTGGAAACGGCAAGGTTGCCGCGTTTGGTCTTTCCCATGTAAAAATAGATAGAAGGCGATGGATTTGGATTGCTGTCAGGTGTGGGACTGGATGGGATCTCTGAATGGATGACTTTCCTTAACGTTTAGAGCCCATTCTAAATGCTAAATCTCGTTTCAAATGGTGAGGCCGATGCATGCCGTTGTCACCTGTCAGGACCCCGGAAAACATTCCGCTCTCCGCTCTCTTCAAAGGCCGTTTCAAACGAAAAATCTAGGAGGAGGGTAAGTACCCCCTTCCCAGTTCTAAAGCCTCATTCTAGGTGTAAAAGCTCTCGTTTAGGTATGTTCCTGACCACGGCAGCCTTCGGCATTCCTCGTTCGTGCCTCATTGCCCTTTCAACCTTCCCTGCGATTCCAAACCCCAACGTCTATAAACTCCCATCTTCCATTTTAATCCCCGACGCTGGCACCCCGTCGTTTGCTTTAGAGCCTCAAATCTGTTAAGGAAAGTCATCCAATGTCGAACCGACAAGGATCCCATCTCCCAGTGCTCTTTATACAAATCGGACTTATGGCCAAGCTCAAAATCGACTTCGATAAATCCTGTAAAAACTTGAGGATCGTCGATCTGAACTTGACCATGTCTTTTTGATAAATCAGTAATATTCTTGGCCCCCATGGCATCAAGATATTCATGCAGTTCATTCAAATGGGCCACCTGATGATAAGGAAGCCAGGTCGTATCTCTGGTCTTCCATAAAATCTCAAAAATAGATTCCTTACCCTCACCCACGTGAGATTTTACATGCTCGACAGTCCACTCATTTTCCGTGTCCTCTGTTTCGAAGATTTGGGTGTCAAGTCGACCAGGAAATAGCCTGTCATCGTTGGGAACATGAATCCGAAGCAGGGATGAGTGGAAGACGTCGTGGACGCCTCGTTTCCTCAAAGACACAGGTAGTTTGATACGAAAAGAGTTATTTTTGAAATCTTCGGTGATAAGATAAGGTCCCATGTACTTCGGGGATAATTTCCTAGCCAGCCCCTTCTGTATAGTAATATTCTTTGTCGAAATATACACATAATCACCATTAGTGAATGGCGCCTTGATGCGCTTGCGGTTCGCATTGCGCACTGATTTCACGCGCGCGGCAATAATTGTGTCATGAGCACGCATGATGGCCGTTTTCATTCGCTGAGCAAAAACACGAACACCCGGGTACTCTGAAGGTTTCCTAGAGTCCCAGATAAACAATCGGGGCATACGTCCATAATTCAAGAAGAAAGGAGCAAAACCCGTGCTCTTGGATCGAGCAGTGTTGATCGCGAATTCAATTGCAGGCAGCTTTTGTACCCAATCTTTCTGACTAACATCAACACACTGGCGAAGCATTTGCCCCACTGTCTTATTTGCACGCTCCGTCGTTCCATCAGACTGTGGATGATAAGCACTTGACATGTTTAGTTTAGTTCCAATCAATTTGTGTAATTCTTCCCAAAAGGTACTTGTGAAGAGTACATCTCGATCACTCACAATCGAGCGCGGCAGTCCATGTAACTTATACACATGCGAAAAAATTAATTCTGCAATGTCCTTTGCCTTGTAAGTAGTGTGACTCAGCACGCAATGAACCATCCCAGTGAACAGATCAATTATGACTGTGATCTCGTCGTAAGCAGCATCACGATCGCGAGAATCTGGTAATGGTCCTATGAAATCAATACCGATGGCATCCCAGGGTTGTCCGGGAACATCCAGAGGGTTCAGTAACCCATAAGGCTTTTGATTTCCATCCTTACTGCGCTTGCAGGTCATACACGAGTCACAATACTTCTGTATATCCTGGGACATGGTCTTCCACCATACAGATTCCCTAAGATAATCGTAAGTTTTCTTGAATCCAAGATGTGCGAGCACAGAGTGTCCTTCCGTGATGATGATTTCCTGAGCACTTCTATTATTAACCTTGATGCTGGGAATGCCAAGTAGCTTCCTGTCACCTTGCTTTAGGTAAACGAAGCCATCTTTGACATCAAAGTTCTTGTACTCAGACGGTTTTTCAACTACGGGCTTAAACACAGTGTCCGAGCTGTAATTATTCCTTATTTCCTTAAGGATATCGATGCCACTAATATCCTTTGTTAAGTCCAACGGCGGAATCTCGTCTAGTGCGCCCGAATTAGCACCCACGGAATCATCCGAGATGGGCTCGGCAAGCTCAGTATGAGTTGCCATGTTATTCTCAGGTGAGCTATCTTTAGACGCCTCATTGCCCGAGGCCGACGTCAACTTTGACAGCACGGGAAGCCTAATGGTAAGCTTCTCTGTGCTCGGGGTAGTAGCCACAGCCCTCGTCTTGCCCTTCTCTTTTCCCCCAGCACTCGCGCCCTCCAGCTGAGGTCCTCGCAGCACGAACTACTCTTTCATTCTTGCGGCAAATTCATCCGATGTCTCGGGGCGCCCAGTTTCAGCTCCTTCTCATTCACGGACACGTTTGGAACGACGTCCAACATAGTTCACCACTGAAGACTCAGCTTCTGGTCCAACAAGCACGGGTGCACTGACGACGGATAGTGCGACTTTCATTGAGAATCCTGTGTCGTCGTACTCAGTGTATTCACCAGGTGCATGGACTGTACCCGCCGAATTGTTCGAGTAGATGCGAGAGAGAGCATTGCTGAGGATGTTTTCTGTGCCCGGTACGTAAGTAACTTCAAAATCAAACATCCTGAGTTTTTCTAACCATCGAGCACGTCGTCCAGATACTTCTTGATGATTCAACACGGTTACCAGGCCCTTATGGTCTGTAAACCACCAAAAATGTGTTCCGAGAAGCAAATCGCAATAATGCATCATTGTTTCGAGCCCGGCGAGCATTTCAATCTCGTGAGTAGCATAATTCTGCTGCGTGGGTGACAATTTTGCTGAGTAGAATGCTGAAACAATAGCCGTTTTCCAATCCTCCCCCTGGCTAATCACACCAGCAATGCCAGTAGCGCATCCGTCTGTGACAAGGTTGATTGGAGGGGCACCCGGGGATCGGTTGAGAGGTCGACGATGATGATCTTTGCATTGAGTAGCTAATGCCTTTACTTCGTCGAAGGCGCGCTGGTGAGTAAATTCCCATCGGAAAGGCACAGAATCACTTGTTAACGTGTGCAGGACGCCCATAGGGATTCAGACACTCAATGTCGTCCGCGAGGTAACCAGCTGCTCCAAGAAATCCTCGAAGAAGGTCGCGATTTGTGGGTACCTTCCAACGTACCAATGCATCGACCTTGTGTGGGTCCATCTGGATACCTTTGTCATCCACAATTCGACCGAGAATCTTTACTCGCTTGCTCAGAAAATCAAGTTTATTAAATGTCAAATAAAATTTCTCTCGTCGCAGTATGTCAAACACAATTTGTATGTGTTCTAAGTGCTCTTCCAAAGTATCTGAATAGATAATGATGTCTTCTAAATAGATGTCAAGGAATACTCCTATGAATGACAAGAAGATGTGGTTCATGAGCGCTTGGTAAGTCACAGGGGCATTGCAGTCACCCTGTTGTAGTACGTTGCTCACCATATTCCCATTAGGCGTTGCAAATGCCATCTTCCAAACGTCCTGCGGCTCCACTCGCACCTGCTCATATGCATCCTTCAGGTCAAGAACAGACCGATACTTCTTCGACGCAACACGACACATTATCCCGTCAATGTCAGGGAGCGGGCTTGCCATCTTTTTAGTGTTTGCATTACGAGCGCGAAGGTCGATCACAGTGCGAAGCCTTGTTGGTTCGCCCTCTTGGGCAGGCTTGGGGATGAACATCATGGGCACAGTATTTCATGAGTTCGTCACTTCCCAATGTCCTGTCTCTATATAGGCATTTCTCTTGTCAGTCCATTGACCTAAAAGGGCTTCAGGGCATTGTGCAGGCCGCCACGGATAAACCGCGTCATCGTCAATCAAATCTATTCTGTGATTAATGTCTCAAAGGGGTGGTAAGTCGGTTTCTGCTGCTGTTTTGCACAATGGTGCTGCCAATTCTCGTAAGTATTCACGGACCTCCTCTAGGTTTTCTTCACGCAGTGCCGCAGTCCTCGACGCTAGTTTTCGAACTGCAGAACCACGGACAGGAAGGGATTCTAAGGAGCGGATGATGACAACATCAGGATTAAACCCCACCAGACAGCTATGCTGGTAAAGAAAAGGTGTTCCTAGTATCAAATCATAGCTCGACAAGTTAATAATATCAAACATTTGAGGTTCGTTGACCCCTTGGTATTCGAATTGAGCATTAGTCATGAAGTTGACTTTTGAGCATGAACCTAGGACCGCCAATTGAACCATCAACGGAGTCGCTAGCTCCTTCTTTTTGAGCCGTAACTGGTCTGCGACTGTCGACGACATGAAGTCGCAAAGAGATCCTGTATCAATTAATGCATTGCACATATTCCCATTAATTTTCACGGCCACACGAATGGGGTTTGGTACAATCCTCGAAGGGTCTTGAGTCAGTGCAGCATTCCGTTGGACTGCTGGTAAGACATTCTCCTCCATCTGTGCCGCGTTTAGCTCAATAAAGTAATTGTCAGAATCATCCGAGTCATCGTCATCCTGAATGTCCAGTGCAACGTCACTATTGTCATCAACCTCCTGTGCAGACTCGTTCTCCTCTCCCTCAAACATATGCTTTAATCCATAGTCATCACTCATAAGCCAATCCATCTGAAAGACGGCCGCTATCCCTTTCTTAATCTGCCGACTATACCAAACTCGAATATTCCTTTGCGGATGCATGAGTTTGTTGACACCGATTGGGAAATGCAATTCCAGCTGCCAATCAATGACATGATACTGATCAAGATCTCGGTCGAAGCGTATCTCGAAACGCTCCATCTCCTCCCTTTCTTCCTTTGAACTAACAAAGTAGCTCGAAAAGTCGGAGCCATGACTCAATCTCCAGGCTACATTGTTCTTCCAGCAGTCCCAAGGTACCTTCATTACCTTATGCCATCGTGGTAGAGGTGTGACGCGAACGCGAGTTTCCTGGGTCCGCCGGATGGCATACCAACGTCCCACCAGGAAATCTGGTCGTAAAGCCTTTGAGACCTCGAGAATCTCTTGTTCGCCAGTCACCTCATCCAGAATGCACAACTTGGACTCTCCCACTGAGTAGACGCAGAAACGATCATTAACTTTTGACTCCCAAGATGGATCACCTGGGTAGGGCCTCATCGACTCAAGCATGAACTCGACTTGAGTGCTCAGAGGATCTCCCACCTTTCCTTGTCCGTCGGGGTCATATATGTTTTGCGCCATTTCTTTGTAAGTCATATTCCTTACTTTGTCTTCGGGTGTCAGCTCATTCAAGGTTTCAGCATCACTGTCATTCAATTCTTCTTCAGCAATTGTCTCGCCCTCCAATTCTTCTTCAAAATCTAAGTCCTCTATTCTGCAAGCAGCGCTCTCAATTTCCATGAAGTATGCGCTCGCTTGGGCAGGTGTGCCTTGTTCCATGGTACCCTTGAGTGCGGCAAATCGATTTTTGGTGGCCATTGCCACTTCGACATTAAAACTCTTGGCACCCAGAGGCTTTCCATTTTTCGACTGTGACACCACACTATGCACTTTTGGGCAACGATTCGCAAAGTGCCCAATCTCTCCGCACTTGTGGCATCGAGCGCTTTCACCACTTCGATCGCCTCAAGGTCTATAGGAGCTGTGTGGTCTCTCAGTCATACCATGGTGCTGCCAAAATCCCGCTCGGCCTTGAGAGTTGTTGCATCCCTGATCCGAGGGATTTCTGTGACTGCCATTGCCATTTCCACTGCCTCGATTGTTATTCATTGAGGACCCTTGATCACGGTAAGATCCATTATTATGTCCTCCTTGATTATTACTGGACTGATTTCCTCTGTAGGTAGATCCTCCATATCCTCTTTGGTCTCGGTAATTTTCGGACCTCGAGTTGCTCGAAATGACAATTCAATCAGCCACTTCATGCCTCATAGCCACATGGACGACCTCAGCCCACGTCGATTGGATGGGATCAAGATTCTCTTGCCACAGCACACGCTGTAGCTCTTCCCGAAGCCTGTTCCACAATTTCTCAACGCACTCACAAGGGGTAGAGGTTCCAATGGTCTTGAATAGAACCATTAGTTCTGCTGCGTATTCGGTGACTTTCATGTTATTCTGTTTGAATCCGTCAAGGCGAGCACATTGTTTGAGGTGGAAATCAGGTGGAAAGCAGTAATTAAAGAGTTCATTGAAGAACTGCCTCATTGTCCAAAGGTGCGCATCCATAGAGACAGATGTCGTATAGAACTTATAGGCTTTTCCAGCCAATGAATCTGCACATTTTGGAATACGGTCTTGCATTGGTAGACCTGCTTCGCAACAGAACCTTTCACACTGGTTAACGTAGCGATAGAACTTGAGTGGGTCCGCATCGCTGTGATACTTATCAGGCGGTGTCAGCGAGAGCGGTTTGTAACGAGGTCGAAAGGCATGATTGCCCCCATCGCCATCGTCAGGAACACCCCAACCCATCCCAAAGCCATCGTTCGCGCCATTCCAGTCATCGGCCTGTCCAAAGTTGAAATCATCGGGTGGTGGTCCATCATCGCCGCCGCCGCCACCTCCTCCACCTCCTCGGCCATGCAAAGCTCTTCCGAGGAAGCTATCTGGTGCGACTTGGTTGCTTGCCTGAAGAACTTCAGGTTGCTGAACTCGTTGTCCAGATTGAGTATTGTCTCGGGGAGTGGCGTTTCCTGTGTATCGACCATGCAAGTCCCCTCTCATGGTCCGAGAGATCAAATCCTCCATGTCCCTCGACATCAGAGATGTTGACCTCCGTTCTGGGTTGCTTTGCTGTTGGCTAGCACCCGCCTTCAGGGTCTGAGCGTGTTCTTCAGCCTTCTTTTTCTCTGCAAGGTATTGTGCTTTCAAATCCTTCATTCGTTCGAGCCTATCATGAAGCTCTCTTTGGGCATTCTCATTCCTCTGTCTGATCTCAGCTTCAATTCTTTGCTGCTCCTCAATCTCATTGAATCATACTCGCTGGCTTTGAATATCCAGATCGTCATCCGGAACACCAGCGGCACCCCAATTACGTGGGTCAATTTGTTTGCCTCTCAAAGTACTGGGGCCGGCTTGAGGTGATACATTCCTGTTCTGATGTTCCTCCATCTCAGCAACCTTATGGTAAATTCTCGCAAGCCTTTCTTCAAGCTCATCAGCTGACTGCAAAGCAGCCTGAATTGCGTCATCATCAGTCATATACTCATTGTGATGGTGTGGGCTGTTTGCACTATGAGGGTGCGGCATGGGCCTAGCTGCAACAGCGCCATGCCTATCCAAAGCCTGACGGTCATCCCGACCGCGGCGAACGTCCTCACGATCATCACGATCGTAGTAATTGGTACCATAATCAGCGGGGCCCTCTGACGGCTCATCCGCTCTCCCTACTCCAGCATGGGCAGTAGGGGTTTCCTGCTCAGGGATATCCCACAGACCAGGAGAGCCAGAGGGGTCACCACCTGGCTTGCGAGGGGTCTCAGGAATTGTCTCGGGGACACCAGGTCCCGAAAGCTGACTCTGAGCCCTTGCTCACTGTCGAGTTGTGATTGTTGACATCCTGTGAAATAAAACTTATTAGTTTGGAAAAACTAATCGAGAGCTCACCACACTGGAATTCCTGGGTGATCAAGCCAGGGGGGATCCGAGTGGCGAGCAGACGACATTGAAGGGTATAGGGGTAGTGGAGGGTGTTGTGTTGGTTATGTAGAGTAGAGTGTAGCGCTTGGTCTTGTCAAAAATATGTGATGGGGTGTGTTGACACAAGTCCCGGCACACGGTCGAACTCCAAAGACAGATGTAAGCGCTGTATTCGAAGTCTGGGAAAACCCTACTCTACAGGCTACAAGTCCTTTATATATGATATAAAGACCATAATGTAATCAAGATGAGTAATACAATAAGATAAACAAGCCAAGATAGACAATAAGGGAGTGCTGCGTACCAGATGCGTGATGCTTTGATCAAGCCTGAATTTTTGGGACAACAATGTTGGTGAGACTAGTCTAGTGTCAATGATATTTCAAGGCACCATGTATTTTATCTTACATAGCCAAGCAGCGATAATCGATTATGCAACGCTTAAACTTCGAAACATCGGCCAAATGGGCAAAACTGTATGCGACATATCCCATGCACAGACGTGTCAGTTACTTATTGACTGCAGTGCAGGAACATCCCGTTTCTCCTGCTTGTCCATCAGGCAAGTGATTTGGCCAGTATTCAGAGCATCATCGACAGCCTATCCTGCACTTCAGAGGACAATTATCTGCTGGAGACACAGAACATGAGTCATTCATTCGCTTTCACCACGACAGCGACAAAATCTTACCATTTGTCTTCTCACATGAAGGATCAGGAGGGAGAAAAGAGAGAAAGGCTGGCATCACCACCTCCAGTTCCATAAGCAAAATATCCTCAGTCGCACCAAGTCCCATTGCTGAATAGACACATAACAGAATACATCAAAGCTAAAGATGTTCAGTAAGTTTAGCATCATCGGTCGAATCACATAATAACTGAGATGTCAGCGCCGTGCGGCCTGTTGTGTTTGGAACTAGCAGCACATTCTTCTCCTTGTGGTGTGCTCTTTGACCTCTTCCAATCATCACTGGCTTTTGAGGGCTATTGCCGATATGATCATCAGGCCCTCGCCCCTCTCCCACTCGGAATAATCGGCCTCCTGATCTTTTCCTATCCCTTCTCCTTCCTCAAATTCCATGTAACGACTTCATTCTCCTTTGCCCGTCTTTGTCACAGGTCAACAACATGAGCCACAGCCGCCTGTGCCCTGGTCTTTGCCGCAGTCGCAGGCGAGGAATGAGTCATCCAGAGCCACCCATACCTGGAAGAGATATGCTCATTATGCTGAGAGCTTGAATAGAGGCAGTTACCCCGCCGATTCCTGGTTTGTGGATGAGGTGCTTGTCCAACATAAGATGGCAAAGGGAAAGAACACCATCTTCAGGGTTGAAGACGAGGACATGCTGATAGTCAGCGCCCCAGTGGCCTCGGGAGGACAGAGAGAAAGAGGGTTACAGTGGAGAATGGGAGACGGGTGGAGGTGACAGCGGCTGGGAGAGGCTGATAGTTCGTTCAAAGAGACGAACATAAATGGTGGTGGTGCTGTAAGTTGCTCAGACAACGTAACCTTCGACGCTCAGAGTCGGTCCTAGGGTAGTCATACAAGATTCCTAAGAACGAACACAGAATAAATTAGCAAACAAAAGAGGTGGATATCAAAAGACATATGCACCACAACATCGACATTCCTCACCCTACCCTCTAAACGGCTCTGGATATCCAGCTTCCTACCGTACGGATTCACCCCAAATGCATGTACCGCCCTGTTCCTCATCCCAGGCATGACCCAGCACCCATCCTTTGCCCCATCTGCTCCTCTCATAGTGTTTAAGTCTGCAGCTTGGAACAAGAGGAGAGGGAGGTTGTCAACAGCAGTAACATGATACCCATTCTACAGCGCAGGCCGTGTCGAAGGAGCTGCAGTCGTTGAATGCGACAGCGGGTGCAGGCTCACTGACACTGATGACGAGCTCGAGTACAGAGGCGATGTGAGAGTGCATATACGGGTCGAGGTTCATTCACCCGAGCCGTCTGGCATTTATCTGGAGGCCAGCAGGGTATGTGAGGATTAGCTTGCCTCTGTAAAGTTCGTCAGCACAATGTAATTGGAAAAGGGAAGAGCAGAAAGAAGATACGGAGTGCAGAGTGCGAAAGGGAAGGGAGCAATTGAGAAGTCTATGCAAGGTAGAGCAGGGTTCATGTGGAATACGAAGGGAAACTGGCTCCTGCCAAGAAAGGGTTGTTGAAAAGAGCGCAAGAACACGCAAGAGGGGGAATTTAACTCCTGCCTGGCAGTTGCAATGCGAAACTTTAAGGACGACAGGAGAAAAGAAGCAATGTAGGCAAATTCAGTGCCATGGTCAAGATGAAGATAGGGAGAAAGGGTCAAACATTTTGAACGCCAAGCTCAACCACGACATCAAAGGGCAATATCAGTCAAACAAAGATCTCCTAGGATGGCTGGCCTACTGCCTCCTGTACCCACTCTCCTCCTTGATCTACGTTCTTTCCTTTCTTTAATCTATTTTACATGCTTTATACTGCATAATCTATGGATTCTTCCTCGAATGGCCATCAATTGTCGGCCCCAAGCCCGGAAGAAGCCCAGCTGTCGCCGTCGGCCGCTATCTCCTCGCCATCCCCACCATCACCTGTCAACGCCAATGCCATTAGCGATTCCCCTTCTGGAATACCCATCGACCCAATGCTTATCCATGAGTGCTGCTTGCCTGGCCAGACGGCTGAAGGAAACTTGGTCTCCAAGGCCGCATACAAAAAGAAGTTGTGAGTGACTCTACGAGTTCCCGCCTTCTTGCTAACTCATCAGAACTCACCCAGGGCAAAGATCAAAGTCAAGAAGCCTCTTCAAGATGCGTGTCGATACCTTCAACTACATGTGGGCAGCCGTGCCAATCTCCTGGTGCTTCAAGGAGCACTTGTGCGCCATTGGTACCCCTCGCGCCCTGCAACATCTGCTTTGCAGCCATCATCAGTCCACGCCGAACCTCGTGCTGCAGCCACCATCCCAGAAAACTGCCCTATCACTCCATCCAGACAGTCGCATGCCGCCCTCGAAGCCAACCTTGACATAGACAATGATGCCCTGGTGGACGAATATGACGTCCTCGATGGAATGGGTCGTGAGATGCTGGGGGCACTCGATGTGGGTGATCTTGAGGGCCTTGACAAGGATGAAGAGCCTGATGAAGATGTTCTTGCTGAGGGTGGTGAGTTCATTTCCCTGTGCTATGAAGTCCTGCCTTAATATCTTGAGAAATAGACAATTTTGAATCATATAAGACACAAGTTAGAGTGTCCACTGCCCAAAGATGGGAATCAAATTGACGCGCTGGTGGTCAAAACACTCAGAAGTCCGTTGTGAAGTCATGGCAGGTACGTCATCTATATCTCGAGGTTTCTTTTTTGGCCTGACTTCCCAAGATCTTTTTGGATCATGCTCTTGCCGAAGGGAAAGTTCACGATGATATTGTTGATGAACATTCCCTTCTGGTTTTCTTGGAATTCTCGGCCAACCGATGCCGGCGCAACAAATGCGGTGAATACATCCCGAATACACGGGTTGGCGTGGTACGTCTTTGTGACAATTATAGGCAGTTTGGAGTAGCTGACTTAACCATTCTAGTCTCAAATCAAGAAGGAATTCTTTGGAGCCCTTCGTATCCGAAAGATGCAAGATGTTCGTGATCCTAGTCTCGCGACTTGCTGCCCAGCGACAACAGTCCATGTGTATGATGCACTGAAGACTCGCATGGACAAGGCACTGAGCGATGCTCGAGAGTAAGTTATCATTTTGAAATTCATCATTTAAATGTGAGCTCTGACCACACCAGAGGGCTCATTCCTGCAGATGATGCACCAGACATTGTGGCCAATACATGGCTTGAGTCATTGTCAGACGAAACAATGATCAAGATCTGACATGGCTTCTTGCAGCACTGTGAACGTGTGTACTGTGTCCCATTTTGTTTCATATTATTTTTTACTACGTGCGTCTAGTGAAATCAATGATAACAGGGCACTTGGCCTGGACAATGATGAATGCAAGCGGAAATTGTGGAGACGATGTCCGGGCACTTCGTCTATGCGAGATGCAGCCGTATTTGGATTTCGTGCATCCTAATGGAGAAACAAGCGTCTTTGCCATTCTCGGGCTTCAATCCAACCAAGAGACAAAGACCAGGTCAAAGGCGATGCAGACCGTGAGTGACATTGATAGAATTTACTCAGAGTCATACCAGCTTCAACTTATTTCCAGAAAATTAACCCACGATATACAACATTTATAGCCCATAGAGACCCGGAACTGTGCCCATTAGGTGCATTTGCAATTTACCTACATTTTTTACATGATTTTCTACACATTGATGAGAAATATTCCATTGATTATGGAGTCAACAAATCGTGGCATGCGGTGAGAGTGCCTTAAATTAAATTTGAACATTTTTCTAACAGCGAGAATGCCAGATTTGCCTCATACACGGTGAAACGGTGACAGTGTTGTACCATCCAACAGCCCTGCTCAATCTCTTTGGTCAAGCATTCAAGAAAGCCAATGTCCAGAGCTGGATTAAGGTACATCTTGCCCGACACATGCTTGGTTATAATCAGGCAAAGATGGGGTAGGTAATTATGATCTGTCAACCTGGCTCTTTAGAATAATCTCAAATAGGGTGAATTCCAATGAAACAGCAAAGATGGGGTGGTCACATGGGACATATCAGGATGTATATGCCCCTGCAATCCTGAAAACTGTAAGTGTGTTTCCAATTATTTCCATTCTCAAACTAATGAGAATGATTTACTAGGCTGTACTCGCAGCGCACGGCTTCCAACCGCATGAGACGTATAAACCGATCTGGACAAAGGTTAAGGTTCCGGATCAATTTCTCCAACTCGTTCTCCTGATGGCTGAAGAGAATCTTTGTCTTGTGGATGGTAAAATGTTCTGAGATGATGTAGAAGCATGTTTCTAATGGAGTGTGCATTCCAGGTCGAGAGAATCTTGTTGGGGCTGCCAATTACTGGAAGATGGCTATCAGATTACGCCCATATCTCTTCCAAGTGAGTTTTGTTTTTGAGCATGCTCACTGTGTGGCTGAGATTTGTAATACTTAATCCTAGTGTGCCGCTGCAATCTATCAAATACTGCCTCAGTCATCCATGTTTCATCTCCCAGCTTTGGCACAAGATGATGTTTGTGAGTGGATGTGCTCCACATTCCCAACAGAGCTTGCCCTCTTGACAGCTGTTTCTGGTGGCCCATGTGGAACGTATTCAAAATGAAATGGTTCGCAAAGTAATTGAGCAGCTATGCCAGCAACACGGTGCGACACAGACATCTGTCCAACAGCTCGCCTTGGGAATTGAGAAGTTGATGGCTAAAGTTGACCGGCGGACTTTGCAGTGGTCTCCAGCAAAGGTGATGGCATATAATCTGTTTTTGGCAAGCCAGACTCATGCTGACTCTGTATCGACAGTCAGCAGACAACTCCAATTTAATGTGGTCTGAGATTTTGGTGGGCTCGGCATTGGCAGTCTCAGTGAGTTGACACCTTCTCATGAGGGGCACTCACAATTAGGACCTGCTTTCTCACCAGAGAATGCTCTTGTGAATGCCATTGACACAGCTCTTGAGTGAGATTCAGAGGACACAGGGCTTTACTTTGTGCAGGACCAGTCTCTCCATGGCTTTGTAGTGCCCTCCCCTCAATGTTCGTGCAATACCCCACAGCTGCGAACACCTGTCGACCTTGTAGTCCCCCCTCTATTTGCTTTTTGGCTCCCTGGTACATGTCACACACCTCTGAGTGACCAGACAACTAACTGTAATATTAGGCAAGGATCTTTTCCTAAGTGAGCCGCTTTTCGATGAGACAGCAGTGACATGGGCCAAGGTATTCTCAAAAATTAAGCAGCCGGCTGTGCTTTGGGACATCTGGAAGCCCTCGAAATCATTGGATCAGATGTCAGTGCATGAGGTTTGGGACTGTTACAACGTCAGTGAGGCTATCTTTGATGAGGAGGGCAATCAGACTGGGGTAAAACCCCCGCTTTGTCTTGTGCATCAACGCTTCCAGTCCTTGTGGCGAAAGAGTGATTTGGTATGTGCTTTAATTAGCTCCCAGGTATTTGCTGACCTCAGTGACAGCCTCGGAAATTCTGGCAACGCTTCTGTGAGATCCCCAAATGGATTGAAAAAGAAATCAAGACTCGTGCAATCACGGCCAAAGATGCCCTTGCTGAACTCGAAGCATTCAGGAAAGTGCCTGGGAAGGTCAACCTTCTCAGAACTAATGCCTTGACATTATTCCTTGTGAATCGTCGTAAGGAGGTGAGCATGTAATTCCGTGATTGTGTCACTGTAAACTCACCTGAATTTATTATAGGAAGTGCAGGTGCTCCAGGTACCAGAACTCAGTGGGGTTCAGGTGCTGCAGCCAGAACAGGCACCCACAATGACTGGTGCTAAGTGCTGGGCTCCAACAATTGCTGGACGCCCAAAACCCAAGAGAACAAAGCAATAGCTTCTCATGTAGATACCCCCCAGGCCCCCTGTCATTTATTATACTTTGTTTTGTAACTTGTGATTTTGAATGCAGTAAAGTTTAGCCTGACGGATAAATCTTTAGATATGTGAGACATTTGCCCTGACCACTTCTTCAATGTTGACCACCACCAGAGAAACACGAGTAATTCTCAAGCATGGGCATCAACGAGCTGTGGGATGTGCGTTTACCATGTTTTGCCTCTGAAAAATGGAACTAACATGTTGATAAGATACTCAAACCTGCACAGGAGGTTGTGAATCTGTGGGAGTTTGCAACTATTGAGGGGTACCAAAGAAATCCTTGGGGGAATCACACTCTTTACATTGGTGTGGATATTTAGTATGTGCCTTGTTTACTTCATGAATAGTGCCACTGAACTTGGCTAGTGCAATAATGGGCCAATGCAACAGCGCTGCTCAAGTGTCCGTGCACGGCTTGAGTGGAATTGAAATTTTATTCTTCAAGCTATGCCTATTTCTTTGATATCCCATAGTGTGGATCTTTGTTTTTGATGGTCCTTCATGTCCTGTGAAAAATGGAAAGGCACCGCTTTCTCATCAGCCGTCGTGGGTTGAGCCTGTGAAGCAGCTGGTGAAGCTTTTTGGTTTCCATGTCCATGAGGTCCGTTTGCATCTACTTTGAGTACAGAGCACAATTTCTCATCTGTCACAGGCTCCAGGTGAAGGAGAAGCTGAGCTCTCCATCATGAATTCAATTGGAATTTTGGATGCAATTGTTATGACAGATAGCGATGCCTTGGTTTTAGGTGCCCAATATATTCTCTGGAGGTATTTATGTTGCTGATTATCAGATAATTTGGTGCTTATTTTGTCACAACAATGTAGCACTCCTCAGAGTCAAAGTCCAACCACCCATAAGGAGGATTTTGTTGCATATGATGCCAACACGATTGAACACGATCCTGAGCTTGGTCTAACACGAGGTGCATTGTTGCTAATTGCTCTCCTTATGGGAGGTGATTACTCCAATGGAGTTGACAAATGTGGATGTGTAGTCGCTCATGCGCTCGCTCGCTCCAGATTTGGGGATACACTTCTTGATGCATGTCTCTCTATGCCTGAGGATCAGTTCCGTCTTTTTGTTGAGGGGTGCTGGATTCATTCTCTTTGTCATGAACTTCAGACAAACTCACACAGGCACTTACCTTCTCATCGACCTCAACTCGCGTCTGTCCTTTCTGCCTCATTTGTGAGTCCTACCATCATTGCCCTGTACATCATGCCATTGACTTCATGATCATCTTCATGGACTATTCCAGGTCTGCATGGGGATTGCAACTCCCTGATCTTGAGGCTATTTTGTCCTTCTGTTCTATCCAACTGGGGTTGGCTGAACCACACCTTTTGCTCTGAACACTTTTCAATAATATGTGGGAGGGTGTTTTCTTTCAGATGCTGTTCTCAGTGAGTGCTGTTTGATTCCTTTTGTTGAGCTCTCAACATTAATCAAGTTATAGGCCAATCGTGTCTACAATCTTGACACTGGCTTGCTCAGCGCAGGAGATCTTCATGTGCTCATTCTTATGGCTTACGAAAAGAAACGTCAAACAGTTCATAAGTGGAAAATTACCCCATGGTACACAGTTTCCATTTCCACCACCAGTTTCCGCAAACTCGCATTCCCTGACCTTGAGCCAGCTCAATTGGAGGTGGGAAGTGAAGCAGCTGAAGGCGAAGAAGCAAAGGTTGCAAAAACACATCAGCTTTGGGTTCCTCGATGCTACCTCCCACAGGGACTTCTGGACACATTCAACTTTTCGAGCAGAGAAGGGAAGCATTGCAAATCAGGTTCACATGCAAGGTCAAAGGTAAGTGGATTCCTAGGACTGAGAAACCCATCTAACGACCCTTTTCTCATTAGCCGTACTCCACTCAAAATCTCACCGCTTCTGCTGGTCCATCTATGACCTGCATTAAGATTCATTGAGTGCAGTCAGAGCGCCCAAGACATGCTTGGAGTGCCAGCATTGTGAATTTGGGATTCATCAATGTTACTGAGGAGTCCGACGAGGTGTGAGACAAGTGCAGTTGCCCGATTTCTATCAGCAGCGACGCTGAGGATGGTGTGTAGACAAGGATGTATTGTATTAGGCCTACAATACATGTACAGTGTGATTTTATGAGGGTGGATGGGTACGTTTATTTGAGAATGGTCGAGTTTGGAATCTTCAAGCTACAAGGAGAAAGACTTGAGTTAGAGCACAACAGGAAAACAATGAGAACAGGCCACACACCTTGTGCTCCTACATGCACTCGCTTGTCCCCCCTCATAGCTCATCCCCTCCATCACACCACCAGGCAAGTCCTCCACAGAGTACATTCAATTTGAACAGTGCTCGATTTGAATGCGCTGAATGTGCGTGCAGCTGAGCTGGGGCAGAGATGCCAGAACACGTAGTTGTTGGATTAGAGGTGTAGAACAGGCAAGGTGTGACACGTTTACTTGGACCACATGGGGAATGTTGAGGCGGAGTTTGAGAGGGGAGTGCACACGGCAAGTCGGTGCCTGCCAAATGCCTGTGACCATGTGCCCCATGCACCCGTGAGGGGCACTGTGACACAGGCAGCAGAGGGCAGGAGGAAAAGGTGCGATCGCTGTGACTCGCCCGCGATAATGACGGTGCCAGGAAGGGCAGCAGCACCGCCACCAGGGACAGCCGAGGTCACCACACATGGGACGCCATCACTGGGTCACAGCGAACCCGCATGAGAACTCCTCGACCTCAAAAGACAAGCAGGAGATGAGACACACATGTAGGTCAAACTCAAATGAAATCATCAATGCAAGACGTGCCAAGTAACATGTGAAGCATGTAATGTGGAACTTGAAAAAGACTGAACCTAAAGTCCAGGGCTGAAAGGTGGAAAAGTAAGGGCCCTTGCAAATGAATAGAATCTTGTCAAAGGAAACTGGTATGGTCATCCACCATTCAAAAACAAAACACAACAGCAAATATGAGAGATGCCAGTAGTGTATGCAGAGAGGTTGCAGATGGATGGAGACGATGGCAAACCGAGGTCTGGAAAGGATAACACACAAGGAAATGCATACATATATCGACCTCAGATCAAAACCCTGCAGTCAGAACCAAGAAAACACAGCTTGAACAGAAAAAGAACGAAGCCAAAGATGACCCACCCAATGAAGGGCAGGAAAGCCAGAGCTAAATGTGAACAGTCATGTCGGCATTGAAATGCAAAATGAGAAAGAAAATATGATGAGAACGAGAGCTCGGAGACTGACCTCCGCCGAGCTCAATGGTGAGGTGAAAGTTAGTTGAACAAAGCTAGGTGGGAGCTCAAGAAATGAGCAGGAAAGCAAGTGAAATAGAGAGACAACGTCTGATACGAAGCTATAGCAAAGAGCCAAACAGAAGACAAAGTTGAAGAAAAGAAAAGAAGAGAGACAACAGGATGGGGAAGCATGCCCAAAGAGGTCAAAGATGGTAGGCCATGACCTCAAGACAAGAAACATAGCCAAAATACATGCGTAGGCCCATCTCGCAGCCCATCGTGGACGAGAAACTGAAAGATACGAACACCGGCATAGGTTCATAGTGCGAAATTCAAAGGACCATGTTGAACATAAACAAAGAAAGAGCGGGATGATGTGAAAAGGGACGAACAACAGAAAGGAACTGACTGAACACACGAAAAAGGAATGCGAAAGGGTGGAAACGCCGACGCCAACACAAAGAATTGAACTGAAACAAAGGAAATACAACTTGCCTATCTTTGAACATATCCCACTGCACCCACACAATCCTCTCCTTTTCCAATACTCCTCTGCCCTCTCCTGCTCTCCTCTCTCTTCCTATACCAATCCTTCCTCCTCCACCGTTGCTTGAAGTACTGCTCCCACCTGAAACCTTTGACCCCACTCTCAGCATCACCTGCGCCAGCCCAGCACTGACACCACCTGTACTTCCTACACCTCTGGTTGTGGAGTCGAGGCTCATCCGGTGGGGCGGAGATGTCAAGTCGACAGAACGACGTGAGGCCAAAGTTGATGCCAGGATTGAATGGCCTGAAACTGAATGTGCAAAGGTGGAAGAGTGCAAAGGTTGAGGTTGGTGACGCTGCTGAGGCAGGACCTGGTATCACAGTGCTAGAGAAGGCAGCCGCAGAGAGTGGTAACAAATGAGGCCAGGCAGGCTGGGCGGATGCATGCATGGGTGTGATGCATGTGTGGGTGCGGATGTGAACGCGAGCAGGTGGGCATGGGTAGGAGAGAAAGAGTCTGCCTCTGAACTTTCTGTGTCCAGTACACAAAAGGGCGTCGAAGAGGTGAGAGAATAACATGTGAAGTGGCACTCGAGGCGCTGTGTGGCCATTCACATGTTTTCTGTTGCTGCAACAGGGCCCGAAGGCTCTCTCAATAGACTGCCTCATGTGTGCACGATGACGAGGAAGTGGGAGGAGAGTGAGGATGGAAGGAAAAGCAAGCTGGGTTCTCGTATGTAGACCAACAAACAGGGTACAAACAAATTATGTAAGCAACAAATAACACGTCAATGCAGCCCGATAGGGCCTGACCAATGCCATTGTGTTAGACATTACACTGGTGTGGGAACTGACTTTATTTGCAGTCTAAAAGGTGTGACAACAGTGCTAAACGTATATATGAGAATTTTGGTGTCAATAAAGTTGCAATAAAGACTTCCTTTCCCATGTTCATAATTTGCCAAAAAATATTACCCTTGTGGTAATTGTATGCTGACAATACTGATTAAATTTACACATCTTTTTTGTTCCTACATAATTTGTTCAAAAATACCACCCTTGTGGTAATTTTATGCTGACAGTACTGACTAAATTTATACATCTCTTTTGTTGCTACAGAAAAGACAATAAAAGCTTGGAATTCACATGTAATGACCGTGCCGGAAGGGGTGGGGACTTGGCTTCAGCTTGACAGAAGGACAGCTGTGCCACCATGCAACGTCTGGGTGTCCCCTATTTTGGATGAACAAGAGGGATTTGACTCAGGATGGAACCTGGAAGTCGACTGGCTAACCGGGACAGAGGCCAGCTAGCAGATGGGAGGGTTTCCGGCAGTGAACACGATAAGAGGGATATGTCAAGTTCGATATTCTGACTGAGGAATCTACTACTGTACATGGGTATTTATGCTATGTAGAATAATGTACCATGGTTATGTAATAGACAACTCAGCTGAGACAATGGGAACAATGAAGAACAATGGGGGACAGTAGGAACAATGGCTAGAAGGCATAATGAGGTGAGCTGGAAATGGCTCATCTCAGAAGCGTCCTGGAAGCGAATGGCTAATCCCAGCTGTCTTTGGAAGCATTGATAAGGCTGCCCATGGCTAGCCTTAGAATTTTGCGATTTCCCTAGAATAGTGAACCCATGCGCACTATACAAAGTGTTATTAATGATGACTATAGACTTGGTCTTCATTATAGCACCTAGTCTTCAAAGTGAACTCGATCAGTTAATAGACATGAGTGACCATATTCAATGGCACGCACTAGGTCATTTGTATTGAGGACACTACAAATCATTCTGAGACTAGTGAAAACAGACCACAGAGTCACATAACAAAGCACAGTTAATTAAAATCTACTAGCTAGATCTGATCCTATACTAGTCTAGTGAGGCAAAGTGAAGTCAACAGTGACTATCAAGTAATAGTGTGGGCGTGCTTCAAGTGTGCACCATATTAAGCAATGAAGTGTCTTAATACAGTGATTACCAAATACAAAGTGGAAGTGAAGGCATCTGTATGATTCGGGTCTGGAACAAGGGGTCACCATTGGATCATGGGAACGGTTCTGAATAGCATGCCTGATACCAGCCTGAGGCCACATGGGTGGATCACTGAGACTGTTCTGAATGGGATGTCTGCTAAAGTTGACAAGGCACTACAACCCAGTTGAAGTCCCAAGGCTGGTAGAAGTCACCTCTAATGTGCGCAATGTGATTGGCTTAGTCTCTCAGGACTAAGAAGAGCAGTTCATAGAGGGCATGCACATGCCTCGGTCACCAAGAATAGCTCAAGTGATAAACATGGCACATGCTTTTGTGGCACAGCAAGCGGAACCAAATTGGGTCATTGTTACTGACCACGGATAAACCGGATTAGGACTTGGTGGCATTGGTCAAGACTAAAAACACGCATGGTCAAGGCCGTGGCATGACTCCTATCCACTGTATACCACATGGTGCAAGGCTTGGATATGACTCGTTTGTACCTGATACCCCTATCTCTCAATGTATTTAAGAATCCGTTAGTTTAGTCTCTAGGTTTTAAGCAATTTACACCCCACATTTTGGACCTAACATCCAGTGTGAGTGATATATTTGACTTCATGTGATCAGACCCAATAAAGTGAACTAAGCATCAGTGGAGTGAGAACAATGTTTTAAGCGACCAAGTGAGCAATTGTGAAGTCGGTGAGAGTGCCATTGCATCTAAAGTCAAGTAAGCCAATTGGGCTAAGTTAAGGATCCTTTGGTAGGATCAGAGTGTATCTGAGGTGACTTGGTGTTCACGCTAGATCCTCAATGTCTTGATTTAGAATCGAGTTGGTTAAGAAAGCCAATAGAACGAGAGCACGCACTAGTTTTGAAATGAAGTCATTGAGCAATATTGAAGCATAGTAAAATCATATCAAGTTAAAGTCCACATTAAATTCACAAGTTCAAAAGACCCTACAACCCCTTCTATTACACCCTATATCTCTTCATTCATTGTTGAGGTCTTGGATAAGAAGATCCGTTGCCTAGCATGTCAATAACCAGCATGAGTGTATAGCACACGGCATTAGGCCCCTGTCCTTTGAACTAGTCTACATCACTCTCTTATAACTGTAAATACTCAGTCCCCTTTTGGACAAACATTATTGATCAAGTGGTCAATAAGGAGTGTTTTAGTTAGTGGTTAGAGATAACCACTTTGTAGACTCATTCCCGCAGCAACCATCTCAGTGTCCCAGAAGAGCACAGCTCATTCCTGGATGTCTCAAGAGCCAGATAATCAGGCCAGGAGCTGGGTACAGCTCATGACATCACAATACATTTGGGACGACAATAAAAGTTGATTAAAGGGGTTTGGGCTTTCCTTTTATAGTATCACCAAACCCCTTTAATCAACCTTTATTGTCGTCCCAAATGTGTTGTGAATTCCAAGCTTTTATTGTCTTTTCTGTAGCAACAAAAGAGATGTATAAATTTAGTCAGTACTGTCAGCATAAAATTACCACAAGGGTGGTATTTTTGAACAAATTATGTAGGAACAAAAAAGATGTGTAAATTTAATCAGTATTGTCAGCATACAATTACCACAAGGGTAATATTTTTTGGCAAATTATGAACATGGGAAAGGAAGTCTTTATTGCAACTTTATTGACACCAAAATTCTCATATATACGTTTAGCACTGTTGTCACACCTTTTAGACTGCAAATAAAGTCAGTTCCTGCACCAGTGTAAAGAAATTCTCATGCATAGTGGTGCTACTGGAATAGTTATTTCCTATTCACAGCAGCAGCAAACACATAAGACAATTTTTTCCATCTGTAGTGTCACCCTGGAACAGAAATATTTCCCATTCACAGTGGCAAGAGAACACGGCAAATATTGCAATCCATTGTGTACAAGAAGGGAATTGTTTCCTATTGACAGCAGCAAGGGCATAAGGTAAGTATTCCCATATGTGGCCCTTGGGAAGGGAATCACTTCCTTTCACCCCCACGACAGAAAACAGCAATATTCCCAGTGCCCCAATAGGAATGAAATTCTTTCCCATTTCAGAAGAGCAAAGGAATAGGGCAAATATTTCCATCTATGGTGCCACCATGAGATGGGAAATATCTTCCACTTGCAGCAGCGAGGGAGCACAGTGAACATTTCTGTCTGTGCTGCTGGTACCAGAACGTGAATTATTTCCCATTCAGAGTTCTCATGCATGGTGTCTCACCTGATGTTAGTGTCTGCATACCTACCTGTTTCTTTCTATCTCTCTGCCTGGCTTGTCCTAATCTCTCTGTGTATTGTATGCTGCCCACAGCACAGTCTGCAATCTAGTATATAAATCTAAGCTGGTTTGACATGATGAAATTATCATCAAAAAGGAGTGCAGAGGGGATCCTGGATCATCAATTTGCTCAGGAATTGCAATGAATCTATTGATGTCTACTGTGTGTAGCATGTAAGCATATGTGAATCTGGCACAATAGGGTTGTAGTTGCTAACATAGGATGCCATTGTATTATTTTCAGCCATGAGCTCAGCTATTGTGCTGAGCCTGGCAATCCCCTCCTTCACTCTCACATGGCGTTTAGCCTCCCTCTTGGCTTTCTGCTTGTCTGTTGCCTGCTCAAACCACTTACCATCAGTCATAAACCCATTATCAACAAAGCAGAAGAGCCTGCTGGTGCTGTATTGCACTACAGAGTACCAGTGATTATCAGCTGCAACTGTCATATTGGCATGCTTAATGAGGGCAGAAGGAGGATGATGATGCATCTGGGCTGGAAGCAGATGATGAGCTTTGGCTCCCAGAGGATGAGGTGGCCACTTGTGTCGGAGTTGTAGTTTCCAAGCAAAGATGGCACATAGACCCCATGCAAGGTTGGCATGGTCATAATGCGGAATGGAGATGGTGTGGGGCCCAAAGTTGACAGACGTGGCCACAAAGGCATTGTCAGGGTAGTTTTGGGTGATGTTGTGTGACCAGTTGGAGAGGTCGGTGGGGGTCTTATCATGGGGTGAGGGTCTTATCATGGTCTTCATAAAGCCGAGGGGCATAGGCTTTGAAATAATCTATGACAAGGTTCAATTAGCAGCAGTTGTGAAATTAAATACACTCACAGTTAGCCAACATAGCAATATGTTTGACATCAGCATCATGGGGACATCATAGATCACTTGGTCATTTTGCTTATGCTGAAGGTTTCCTGGGTGCTGATGAATCATTCATTAGCATGGATATCTTTGTAAGGAAGGCATTCACCTTTTGCCCTCTGCCATATGAGATTCCGAAGGGAAGGGCAGGAAATTTGCCACATTGGTGGTTGAGGAACTTGGGCAGAACATTGCTGAGCTCTTGTCAGCCCTTTTCAATTCTTTCAGCAGCATAGGCAATAACTTGCATCTGATCCTCAGTTTGGGGTGGGGCAAATATCCCACCATAGGCTATCCCTTTGCTGTCGACCAGTGGATGGGTCATCCTATGGAAGGGTTGAGCAACAGAGCTCCAAAAAGGGGTTATGCATATGGTGGTGGTATATACAGATATTTCAGAAATTCTTGTCCACACAATTTTCCAGAGTATCTGATTTTCTGGCAGAGCCTGGAGCCTGGAGCCTGCACATGCCAAAGAGGACTGGGCCTGGCGATCGGTGTGACAAGTAACCTGATGCCATCCCTCTGACCATGTGATTGCCCAGTTAGCCAAGAGTGACACGCACATGATCTCTGCCTTAGTCAGCATGTGCACCTGCACACACTGACTAAACTATTTGCACAATTATGGAATAATGTGATGTGGTGATGCACAATTGTCTGTTGATGCGAAATCCCTGCTAAATTGGCCATCAAATAGTGCACAGCCCATAATTTTGCGAGGACAAAGATTTACAACTTGCATTAGTGGAAAGAAATGTTTGGAACTGTAATATAAAGAGCACTAACAGAGCAAAATTGTTATTTATAGTGTTTAAGTATGAAATACCCTTGTTGGTAGGGCAATTTAAGATACTTACTCAACAGATATAAAAAATCTGTTCCAATAGAGCTCTTTGCAATTTTTTAAAAATCACTTTCTTCTTATGTAGCAAGTCCTCAATCATCAGGATTGACAAGTTATGAGGTGGGCAAGGGACCATATGAAGGATCTTGTTATTCTCATTTATTAATATTCAGAAGTGATAAAGGTATTTAAAATTTGTATATACTGAATCCTTGTCTCATTGTGTACAAGTTTTGGTATTGGAGGTTGTGCAAAGATGAAGTCATTGGCTCGCAGTTGAGTGCCAAAGGGACAGAATCAGTAATGAATGCTGTGGCTGTGCTCATTCCCAATCTGGACATAGGGGGATCAAAACAGGCTCTGCTAACCTCATCTGTAGTTTATTTCGTTGCACTACACCTTTGAATGGACAAGGCAATTATATGATAATATTATGCATATTTTTAGCTTTCTTTTGATGCCAAGAACATTAGGAGAGACCTATTTTTTGTAAAGATATGGTGCAAACAATGGTTTACACACCAAAAATGCGAAAATGTGCACCAAATGTGCCCCCTCTCATGCCACCCTGACTCAAATAACCTGTGTGATAATGTAGGGTAATGTATTATCTTTGATTTGATTACTTAAAATTGGTTGTGCACACAGTATTGACTGTGCTATTCCCTTATAAAGCACATTTTCTAAAAAGAGCATAGAAGCGCACTCAATTCTCTACCATTTGCAGGCATAAAATCCTCAGGAAAAGTAAGCGATTCTATAGAGCTTATATAGAGCTTTTGAACAAGCCCTTATGTGTGTCCCTGCGTTCAGTATTGCTGCTGATATTGATGGAATACCCCTCCCTCATGCATAAAAAGCACAAAAATGCGTCCTCATTTCCCTTCACAATTCCTCCACATTTCACTTGACTGCTCCATGGAGTCTGTAATTTAATAGTATCTCTCTTATTCCTCAATTTCACACACTTATTCCACTATTTTTGCAAACAGGGTGATGAACTTACACATGTTCTCCTCTACAAATTAGGCAGATGGGAAGGCGCCAAGCTTGAGTAGCAGACTCCCCTTTATGGATTTGACTGTCCCTGTCACAAGGGGGACACGTGCAGTCACTGGCTTTTGCCAAGGCTCCAGGCTCTGCCAACAACTCAGATGCCCTCCAATTTTCCCATGCTCAAAAATCTCAATTCTGTAAATTCTGTAAAATAGAGAATAATCATTGCACAATCCTCTGCTACATCCTCAACAGGGTATACCATAAAATCAGCACTGACATGAAGCAGAGAGCCCCACAGCTTCTTGACCAAGGTTGGGAAAGCTCACAAGCTGCAGATGTTCTTGGTGTTTGCCCAAGAAGCATTGATCAATGGTCCAACAATTACAACACTTATGGCTGCATTGACCCTCCCTCAGTTCTTTGAGGAAGACAATGACTGTTAACCTTGAATGCCATAGATGGGCTATGTGAGCTTATTCAAGAGGCTTCTGACCTTTACCTGGATGAAATCGTCAAATGGCTGTTACTCTTTCACAACCTTGCAATTTCAACAACAGTTCTTCATGACAACCTCCAAGACCTTGGACTCACTTGGAAGGTCCTGCACAAGGTGGCTGCTGAGCGCAACCATGAGCTCTGTGCTGCCTGGATGTATGAAGTGCTCAACACATACACAGCAGAGCAGATGGTTGTTCTCAACAAATCAAGCAAGGACGGGAAGACTCTCATTCACAAATATGGTCACTCTCCCTCTGGTGAAGATGCTTATTTCAGTGTATCACTGGACAGAGGTGTGCACTACAGCATTCTGCCAGCTCTGACCATAGATGGGTACATTGTGGTGCAAGCTGTTGAAGGCTCAATTGATGGAGCTGAATTCTTTGACTTTGTTGTGAATGATGTGGTGAGTTGTCAGTTTCCTTTGAATGTCAGCCCTGTAGATAATCCTTTTTCTTCAGCTTCCCTGTGTGCATGAATATCCAGGACCACAGAGTGTGCTGGTGTTGGATAATTGCTCTACCCACAAAAGTACAGCCCTTTAGCAGGTTGTTGAAGGCTCAGGTATGTACTGTATCTTGTTGAAGGAACGAGTGTTGGGACTCAATATCTTGAGTACAATAGGTGTCAGACTGCTTTTCTTGCCACCATATTCCCTGGATATCAAAGAGAGCTTTAGTTGTGTCAAGGCATACCTACAACAAAACTTCTGCCACTTCCAAGACAGCCACTTCCCAGAGCAGGACCTTGTTGATGCATGCTTCACTGCTGTAAATGCAGAGAAAGCACAAGGATGTTTTAAGGATTGTGGCTACCTATAGGTGTGCTATGTGTAGCTATTAACATTTGGTCAAATTATGCTGATTCTATGTATGTATTCAGTCAAAACAATCCACAGACTTGAAGTATGATAACAATTGAATAAAACTTTAAAAGATGAGTGGTATGTAATATAGTTGAACCAATGATGTTATTAGGATGGAAGAGAGATGAATATACGGAAGAAGCCTAGTTGGTGTCATCATTAGCACAGGCATCATGGATCTGCTTCTGATGCAAAGGTCCCAAACCTGCCCACTTCCACAAAGCATCATCGAGTTGGAGAAGATCAGCCTTGTTCTCAACCTGGAATCCCAACTTCGAAAGGCCCTGGTGCTCCTCAGAGCTGAGGCTGTGCTTTTTGCACCAGCCATCAAGATTGAGCAAGAGCAACTGAGCTATAGGTGGCCCAGCCTGATTATTGTGTGAGGCAGATGGCAGTCCAAGCCCTTGAAGTCAGTTTGGAGTTACTGGTGGTTCAGTTGATGCCACAGCAGGAGGGGGATACAGGTAACCCCATGAATTCAAGGGTGCAGGAGCCCCCAGATAACCATATGGTATAGTTGGATGATAGGCAGATGGCAGCAAGTAGCCTGGGTGTCTGAAAGGGCTTGGTGGCATGCCAGGCCAAGAAAAGCCTGGATAGTATCCTCTGGGTGTTGCTGGGTTAGGAGGCAACTGCAGAGCCTGCTTCAGACCTGCTGGCATTGTAGTTGACTGTGCGTTTAGCTGATCCTTTGGCTGAAACAAAGAATAACCAAGAGGAACACGATCATAGTTGACTTCTTTGTGCAACTGGGAAAGGAATTGTTGGTCAACAATGACTCAAACAGATAGATGAGTATTCTAACTCACAATCACATTTGCCCACACCATGATTCTTCTCTGATCTAGATGAAAGTGCCAGGACTGATTGGCTATGCTTGTGGAGGTGAAGCATTGAATATCAGGATGGTTGAGACAATTTCCAACAGGGTACTTCTCCTCTAACTCCTGGATGATGGGCTTGAGTTGTTTGTCAAGGGTCAGCTAGAAATGTAGCAGTGACAGCATGTGAGCAAGATCTCCACTTCTTCAACAATCATGTATGAGCATGTTACCTTCTTATTCCACATTCCACCATCATCTTGCATACAAACCTGCATGTTGTCTTGAATAACATTCCCACCTGAACAGCTTCTGAGTTGAGTGCAGGGGATGGGATGATACACCATTACAATGGAGGAATTCCCCTTTGGATTGGCATCCTTGATCATGTTGCACATCGCCTTGAAGGCATACTTGTTTGTAAGAGGGAGATTTTCACCACATTGCTTCTGGAAACTCCAGCTCATTCCATTGATGTCCAGATTTTCTTTGTCAATCTGCACAACATCTCCAACATCGGCCAAGAAGTCAGCCCACTTCATCAAGCGTGTCAATGTGAACGGGCCCTTGACCAATGGCTTCTGTTTGATAAGTTTGTTGCCTCTGTGGATCTTGCCTGGTTTAAGCTTTGGGGCCACTGCAACTTGGACAAAGACTGTTGTGTTGGCAAGGATTTTGTTGGTGGGTTGCTCCTTAGCTTCTTTATGAGGCTGTCCTTGTCCTCGTTTCAGTTGTTCTGGCTTCAGTGTTGACTTGGGTGTCTTGCTGCCTGTTTCCTGAGAATGGCGATGACACTTCTCAGCAACCCTTGGTGGTGCTTCATCATCTGTCTCATGTTGGCAGTGGCATTGCTTTTCTGGTGCTTCATCAACCACCTGGACCTCCATAGCAATCTCTTTGGTTTGTGGCCATGTTGCTCCATTATTTTGAGAAGCTCTGGTTCCCAAGTACAGGGCACATGTGCCTTCTTGTCACCCTTTCCACCTGTTTCACTGTCAGATGATGGAAATTCCAATGGCAAAGCCTCTCGAGAGCCGTCCATGACATGTAGTTAGAGTATTCAGTGCACAAGAGTGACGAATTCAAGGAGGGAATGTGTCTCTTGATTTTTTCTATTTTCTGAATTTACAACGAATTTTGAGTTACGGCAAATGCCGCGGACAAGAATTTCGGAAATACCTGTAAACACGACGGCCCGAATCTGCCAGGCTGTTTGGTTTCGCAACGAAACCTTTGTTCAACATTCACGACCTTTCTCTGCTTTTTCTTTGTCGTACGATAAACCAATATAAATCCCAGTACATCAGACGCTCTCTTACGATCTCAAACGAATGGGAAAGAAAAACGCAGGCTCACCAGTGGCAAGTCGTCCTCGCGCGCCGAAGAGCACTGGCAAACCTCCAGGCAGGGGCTTCACAGGACACCGAGGACGCGGTCGGGGACGCGATCATACGGGCCACAGCCACATCGACGTTGCAGGGAACGCGGAACGACCAGAGAGCGCCGTCGATGAGGAGGATGAGGAGGACGAAGACGAAGATGAGGAAGGATCCGATGGTGAGCCCGGGCGCCTGTGACCTCCTACTTTTCTAACTATCGTCTTTAGATGGAGAAGATGTCGAGATTGAAGTTCCAGTTGCCATGTGGGTGAGACTCCCACCTGCACTGAAGGATCGAAGTTTGTGCTCATCGCATCCAGGACTTCGACCACTGCGATCCTCGTCGTTGTTCAGGGAAGAAATTATCTCGTCTGGGGCTAGTCAAAGAACTGCGCGTCGGGGCTCGATTCCGAGGGATTGTCGTCTCGTGAGCGCCATCTTTCTTTGTCGTGTGCCGGCTGACACGATCACGCAGGCCGAAGGGAAAGCAGGTCATAAGCCCCTCAGATCGCCAGATTGTGCTGGACGGTGGATTGGCGGTCGTGGAGTGTTCCTGGGCGCGGTTGGACGACGTGCCTTTCAACAAGATTGCTAGTCCAAACGAGCGACTGCGTGCGTTTCCCCCGATCTTGTCTGTGCCGCTTTGACTGACGCTCAACAGTGCCCTATCTTGTCGCTACGAACCCTGTCAACTACGGAAAGCCCTGGAGACTCAACTGTGTCGAGGCTCTAGCAGCTGCGTTCTACATCACAGGATTCGACTCGTATGCTGAGAAACTCTTGTCATCGTTTGGCTGGGGAGGGTCGTTCTACACGGTGAACAAGTGCGTCTTGTCAGTTTCTTACCGCGTCTGAAGGCTAATATACGCATCGAAAAGATCCTTCTTCGAGAGCTATAAGAAGTGCGACACCGCTGGTGACGTCCAAGCTGCTCAAGACAAGGTTATGGAGGAACTCGAAGAGAGCTGGAACGAGTCGCGAAAGAACAAAGGTTTGACCTTCATACTTCGACAATGAGTCCTTACTCAAATTTGTTTGTAGGAGAACCCCGTGGAGTAGAATCGGAGGACCTGCTCGTTGCCAATCCAAACCGTGGACTTATCCCAAGCGACGATGAAGAAGACAACAAAGGACCGCCCGATTCTGACTCTGAGCCCGAGGAGTCGAAGAGAAATAAGTGAAGAATATAATGGCCATAATTGTAAAGTATTGTTTCGCAGATGTAACTGCTAACACGCTTTTGTACTTTAGTTTTACCTCTAGCAACACAGCATCATGTCCCCAATCTCCTGCATTACTCGAAATGCTGCTATTGTACAACAGTATCGTGCTTCAAACCCTACGGAAGTCTAGTCAAGATCTTCAATATCGTCAAAGAATCGCTCCTCCAATAGATCGTCAATATCGCGCTCGAACATGTCCTCCGGTTCATCAAACGAGCGCCGGTGGTGCTGTTGTTGTTGCTGGTTCTGGTTCTGGTTGGAGGCATTTGCGGCTCCCTTAGCGGCCGATTTTTTCTTCTTGCTGAAGATGCTCTTGATGCCTTTAAACGCAGCCCTGTCACCACCGACAATCATTAGCCATATCCAAGATGAACCGAAAAAGTATTCTCACTTGATGCCCTTCAAGAGGAAGAACGGCTCGGGCTCGGGCTCGCGTTCCTCCAACTCTTCGACCTCCCGACTGGCGAGCTCCTCCGTCGTGGCGTCTGGGATCATCGCTCGCCGTTCGAGGTGCGCAAGTATTCCGCCGATTTTGTTCAGCTCGCGACCAACGAAATCTTCGAGGGAGCGTTCCACGAGGAGGTAGTTCTCGAGCGCGACTTCTCGCCGGGACAGTCGCTGGTCATCGGAGAGCTCGCGTCTGAAAGGGTTGAAACATTTGAGCCATTGATCAAGCAGGTCAACAATGAAGAAAACTCACTTTTGCTGTGCAAGAGCAGGCAAGACGACAAGGGCGAGTGCGAAAACATACGCGGCGATTCGGACCATTTTGGGCAAGTTTATTGAGAGAAGTCGAAATCAGATAGACCAGCTAAGGGGTAAGTAAGTCCGGGGGATGGGGGGGTGAGGCCAGCTGAAGATCCGTTCCTGCCCTCCTCGCTTTTTATACCTTTCGGTGTGGAGAAAAGATCATCGCCAGACACTGCCGTACGGCCGTTTGAGATCTACAATCAAATCGGCGGCGAGTGGCGCGAAGCGCTCCTTTCATTGCTCCTTCTGGAAGTATAAAATGCAAGCTAACTAAAAAGATGTTGAAGCATGCGTCGCGTCACACTACACAGTCCGGTTTGCGGAGGGATTGGGGGATGAAACAGGGATTTGAAGAGGTTTAAATTTGGGCCACGGTCAGCTGGGTACATAGATTTATAGTGAGTTAAGAATAGAGTACGTTTCAGGGAGATGTAGGAGGGCTATAATTACGAACGGCATGACGGCGCCTTCCTCAGTATACGTTTCGAAATTCGAAAGTCCGTTCGTGTCCGGAAATTGCCTCGAAGAGATAATTACGCCCTTGATCGACAGTCCAGGGGACCACTCCTCAGAATTGCGTTAGATAATGATGAGTAGATGGTGAAGAAATCCAGAAAATTGATCATGTTAATGGAGTAGTACAGAACGGTCGATACTCAAGACACATATGAGGAATTAAGATTCAGCAGGAAAGATGAAGTTCACTGGCGGCATCACATCGTCTTCCTCCACATACGGGACTGCAGCGGCGCCTATCAAACGTTCTTCTCGACATTCCTTTCGGTGAAGAACCCAATCCCTGCAAATTATCAAGGATCCGATAAGCCAAGTTCACCTGAACCGAAACTAACAGCCAACGCCACTTACACGCTCTGACAGGTAGCGCTACAATAATACGTCAGCTTGCAGCGTCTGCACTTCTGCATCTTGTCTCGCCCAATGACTTGGGGACAAAGGATTGAGCAGCACTGCTTCTGATGGCGGTAAGCAGCCTGTGCGTTCTCTTGGGAGATACGGAAGACGCGCCCCACTTCCGCCCAGAGGTCACGACATCTTTGGTCCAGTGAATCAGGCTGCCAAAGCTGGCTTTCTGTGTAATAGTAAAACCGTCGGATCGACTTGCGCGCCTCGTCACGGAATTTCTCGACCGGGAAGAATAGCCATCCGCGTTGAGGTGGTATGGTGGGGGTGGAAGTGAGAACAAGAGTCTTGATGAATTCAATCCACATATCTGATTTGTTTGAGATAGAGATAGGGGGAAAAAGACGATGGTATACCTTTGACCCCCGGATTCAAACTCCCCAGATGTAGACCAACTGTTGCAACCTTCATGATACGAGGGTGCGATATTATGTCCCTCAGGAGGTACGATGCAGGTCTCGCTTTCATTTGTCGTGACAGAATATTCCTGTGAACTGATCAGATACGGATGTCGGCTTTGAAGAAGCAGACAGACTTCATAAGACGATCACTCTCGAAAAACACCAACAAGGTGTCGTTACCATACGAGAGCTTCTCCTCCAGCTGAGCGCACTCCCGGTGAACGGCATCGATGACGTGAACATAAAGTTTTGCATCAGTAAATAACTGAGCGAAGCTTTGCTTATTTGCAGTAAACGGGTCTAGGGCTTTGAGTTCCATCGAAAGGGCTCCTCCAATCATTGCAGGGTGCTGAAGTGCTTCCGTCTCACGGGCGATGAATGTATCGACAGAAACGCATTGCAGAGCAAAGGTAAGCGCACCTGATGGCGGTGGAGGTATCTCCTGCGTCTGGAAAAACAGACAACGGGCACAAGCTGATGCAGAGAGTCGATATTTTGGATCTGGGGTCGTATGAATCCAGCAGTGCATCACCAAGGAAATGGTTTTGGGATCATACATAGTACTACGTAGTTGAGCCCCAATGAGTAGCAGAGTGGAAAGAGCTTGAATAAAACAAACCTTCTTTTCTCTGGAATTCTCGCTATTGAAAGGATGGTGCGAGCAACCAAACATCTCCTATGGTCTCCGACGCAACCAGGGTGCAGCAGAAATGCAAGGTCTTGCCACAAGGTTCTAGCAACGTCGAGATAACGACTGGAGATGGCTTCCACAATCTCGGCATTTTGAGAGAATTCTTCCACGTCCGCAATGGGTTCAAGGAGATTCAAGATGCCTAAAAGAGGAGCTTCCCATTCCCGGGGACGAGGCAGATGCGCGTCTGGTGTGAGGGTATATTCCAAGAGTGTCGGCTCCCTGCCGGCTCGAATTATAGCATTAATAAAGGCTTCCGCCATTGCCGCCGTTCTGAGACGTTCGTCTTCCCTTGCCGCTTCCGCAGCTACCCAGAGTAGTGGGAAATCTGCACTCGCGCTGCCGGCGCGTGAGGGATCTCTAGCGACCTCCTTTTTGGCATCTTCCAGCTTGGTTTGAGCATCGTGCGATTGCCACTGAGTATACGGAAGATTGAAGACAACTTTTTCGAGCGCGAAAGGGCTTTTCGCTTCGGCCATTGGGCAATTAGGATCGAGAAGATGGTGGAACAAAGTCAAAGTTGAGTGACAGGGTCGACAAACTCAAAGTCGCCACTTGTTCCCACACTTCGGCTAAACCTCTTTCACCCCAACTCATCGTAGCCATTCAAAATCGTGTTTCAGTAGTTCCAGCCCGCTTCCCCAGACTACATGGCGACAAATAGGGATTCAATCGCGATGTCGGACATCGAGTGTCCATGCATTCGTGACATATGCCCTTTTATTATCGCTGAGCGGAAGGTGACTCGACTGCAACCTCGACACGCCGTCGCACTCCTTGCAAAGGAGCCAGCAACGTCTCCTTTCACCATAAAAGTCGCCAATGTAGTCTCTTCTGATCCTCGGTATCGTCGCGCAGGAGTTGCGAAAATATTTGTCCAGCAAATCGCGTCTGGCCAGTCGACAGAGGATAGACCCCATTGGGAGTTCCCCATCCTTGGCATCCTCAATGTCTTCTCGTCGATACATTCAAGCGGGAGCAAAGTGCAGGACGCTGCAATTCTCAAGGATCTGTACTCGTCTTTCTCCAAGATTCTTGATCCAATTCTCCGAGACTTTCACTTGTTGACGCCGTCAGGCCAGTATGGTGACAACCGCCGCTGTGCGGTCGCAAGACTCCTTCTATTCTTCCTGGACGACCCAATGACCAAAAGGTGCCCTACATTTTATTTAAGGTAATTATAAATCTCATTGGCCTATTCAGGAAGTTATACGAAGAGAAAATTCTACGTCTCATTGTTCATTGTTGGCTCGAGACGTCTCCCGAGTCCTCGATGCGCATCTACGCCACGAGCCTCGTAGTTGAGGTAACATCTCGCGAAGATAAAACGGGTGGACCTCCTCCAGACTATCTAGAGAGGATATTTAATGTGGTCAAGAAGTCCAGCCTTGTTTCTCGTGTCAATTTCGTGTTGAAGAGCAAGAGCATGACGGAAGAGACGCTGGGACAGGAAATTGCTGCGCTAGCGAATCTCACAATGTCCTGGCTACCTTTCGGGCCACACCTCAATGGAAGCGAATGTGCCCAGGCAGGCAGCAGGGGCGCTCCTCCGATCGTTGAAGAAAGACGTACACCACTCAGAGCTCCGAGGACTCATCGATGCGCTCGCCCACTGCGAGGACTTGATCCAGTAAGGTGCTGCCAGTTTTGTCTAAAGTTGATAAAACATTGTATCCTAGGAACCTCATTGCAAAATCGCCAAACGGGATGAACATTCTTGTTCATCTACTGGTCAATACTCGCCTCGTCGACGTCGCGTCCGAAGGGTTCAAAAAGGCCAGCCGTGGCCCACCTACGGAGCCAGGCACGTATCGTGTCGGATGCTTCTACCAATTCTTCGAAAACCTCTACAACTCCTTAGTTCTCGTCCAGAATTCAGATTGCCCGTTGGAGGTAGCATCGGCGTATTTCGATGCCGCTCGCGCCTCTATCGAGAGAATGGGTGCTACGACCCTCACACCTTAAGCTGAATTCGGCGCTAACAAGGAGTACCTGGATCTCTGGACGCGCCTTACTCTCCAGCTGGGTGTCACGAAGCAGTCGATACGGGAACGGTACCGTAGCGACAAAAAATGCTGCAACCTTGAATGCCCTTCCAGAAGCTCCCGCACGCGCAGTGCAACCAAGAAGACTTGCCAGGCCTGCATGTCTGTATTTTACTGCATTCGTGAATGTCAAAAACAGTAAGTTACATTTTCTGTGCAAATGTACCTTGCTTTAGACCTGGGCTCACCACTCTTTGAACTTTATAGGGACTGGAAGAACCATAAATCGGAATGCAAGAAACTCGCAGATGACCTCTGCCTGGAGCACGTCGACTTGGGTGAGAAGAAATAGTGCGACCTCGAATTCGCTTAAATATATGTATGTTCGAAGGAGATGATATATGTAGAATTTTCAGGACCTCCTACAAGCTATTGCTCAATGCATCCTCGTAGTCAGAAATTCATGAGGAGGCCGGAGCACTTTCTTTTTCTAGACCGACACACACCTTTTATGGGCGACCTCGCGGTCAACGGGCCGTATCAACACGTTGACAAGTCCATTGGTCTCACGGCGCACGCTCCAGTCCAGCTACAGTCCTCTGTCCTTTTCCTATATATTCGTCGTTGATTCATACTCTCAGTTCGTTGACACGCATCATTTGCCACTTTGAAGTCTGACAACAGGTCTTTCGGTTCTGCGGATGTAAGGATGCCTCGAAATCATCCGAGTCATCCGAGTCGTTTGAGGATGGAGTTCATGGATCAAGATTGTCCTTGTACACTTCCGGCGTGCCCCTTCTTCATCGCTGAACAGAGGTTGGCAAGGCTTGACCCTCGAGCGGCCGTCAGAGAACTCGCAAAAGAGTCTCCAACTTCCCCATTTACCTTGAAGGTGGCCATGGCGGCGTTAGTGGATGCGCAATATCGACGAGCTGGTGCTGGCACAGCATTCATGGGACAGCTATCACACCGGTCTACAGGAGATAGGCCACACTGGGACTATCCCCTCAGGGGAATCATCAGCATCTTCACGGCTATCTATCGCGACTCTGACGCACCGAGGCAAGGCGAGGATGCTGATGTACTCAAAGACACCGTTTCGAAGTATCCTGTATTCGTTGAGGCGATTACGCGAGATTTTCATTTCCTGACCCCAGCGGATAAGATGGGCGACTATAGGAGGTGTACCGTTGGCGGGGCGCTCCTCTTTTTTATAGACGACCCAGCTACCAAATTGTGCGTCTATTTACTTTCTGCGCCGGTCAGGACTCTGCAATGTAATTGACCCTTCATTCAGGAAAATGTACGAAGAGCAATCCTTACGACTCATTGTTCACTGTTGGCTCGAGACCTCTCCCGATTATCCACTCCGACATTACGCAACAAATGTGCTTGTGGAGGTGATAGTCAAGAAGGCCTTGAATGGTAGTCAACCCCCTCCGGACTACCTCGAAAGGGTTTTCAAGCTAGTCAAGATCCCCCATCTCATGTCACGACTTAATTTCCTTTTCAAGAGTAGGAAACTTGCGGACGAAATGGTTTGGCATGAGGTGCAAGTGGTGGTCTATCTTACATGGGAATGGCAACCGTTTTCGCCTCATGTCGTCGAAGCCAATGTGCCGAAGAACGTTCTCGCTGCTATTCGTCGCACTCTCAAGAACAATGCACGTCCATTTGATGAGGTTGAAAACCTCTTTGGCCAAGTTGAAATTCTTGCACAGTACGTGAACGAGTCCTATGTCTGTCCCATTGGCGATATGAAGGATATTCTTTTGTACGGTCACCAGGAATCTCTTTGACCAGTCTCCAAACACCATGCACGTTCTTACTGGATTGGTGAAAAACACCTATCTTGTGGAGGTAGCAGCCGAAGGTCTCAAGAGAGCCAACAGATCTACCGAGCCAGTGGGCAACCTTCTTGACCGACCAGGATACTTTTATCGATTCTTTTCACATATTATAAATCCAAAATATGTTTCTACCCCCTGCAGTCTTTGAATCAACCCGGCTTTTGTAACTACTGAATCAACCCAGAAATTGAACTACTGATGTAACTAAATATGAAGTACTGATCCAACCCTATACCAAACTACAAATCCAACCCAGGTTCTTGATGTACTGAAGCAACCCTGCTTTTCAAGTTCAATTCTAGCATTTTAAAAGTACTGATACAACCTTTTTTCAACTTGTGATCCAACCCTTATTTCAGAGTGTAACAAAGTACTGGATCAACCCCCATTATGATTAAGAATATGTACTGATCCAACCCTCATTATTCTGCTAGAAAAGTACTGACCCAACCCTCATTATCCTCTAAAAGAAAGTACTGATCCAACCCCCATTATTTTCTAAAAGAAAGTACTGATCCAACCCCCATTATTCTCTAAGAGAAAGTACTGATCCAACCCCCATTATTCTCTAAGAGAAAGTACTGATCCAACCCCCATTATTCTCTAAGAGAAAGTACTGATCCAACCCCTATTATTTTCTAAGAGAAAGTACTGACCCAACCCTCATTATCCTCTAAAAGAAAGTACTGATCCAACCCCCATTATTCTCTAAGAGAAAGTACTGATCTAACCCCCATTATCCTCATAAAAAGTACTGATCCAACCCTTATTATTCTCATAAAAAGTACTGATCCAACCCTGCTTTTTTCAATTTCCTAATTGGGATGTCTCTGATCAACTGCACACAGCTGTGATCTTGTGCTACCTTGATCCTCTACCACCACCATCTCTGGCCTTCAATATGGGTAGAACTAAGAAGAACCCAAAGAAGAGAGCAGTAAGTGTGATAATTTGATATCTTTTGTCTTAGATCTACATTAACCAATAACATAGCTTTCCACATCAATGTCTGAAGATGCCAGTCCACCTAAGATCAAAGCCAGTAATCAAGATGATGCTAAGAGCTCTAGACGTTCTAAGAAGGTTAGAAGTAGATTCCCTTCTTGATACATCATAGATCTAACTCATTTCCACTAGAAAATACACTATCAGGATAACGATTCTGACGACTTCCTTTCTGACAACAACATTAAAGCTAAGAAACCTGGTCCTCCTCAACAGGTATGGTTTATATCATTGATCCTTGAATCTTTCTCTGATAAATCCATATAGCCAACCCGCAAGAAGCCAGGCCGTCCATCAAAGAAGGGCCAGGCAATCAGAACTGATCCACTTCCTGATCAAGATACTGTCATGTCTTCCCAATTTCTTCAGCCTCTCACACCTCCCCAGAAGGCCAACAAGAAGGATCCAAATGCTAACGAGTACACTCCACGTACTGCGCAGGCTGTCCGGTTCAGCATGCAAATACCTATCTGGCAGATTGAAGTGTCTCATATACCAAAGAAACAGCCACGTCACAGAACCACAGAGTCACCAGATATGAGGCCACTGAATAGGCTCACCCGGTTAGAGAAGGATGGATGGACATGTCTTGGAACAACACCTACAGCAAATGTGTACAGGCTGTTCCAGGATTTTGTGATTCTTTATGTTTTATATTATTATGATACTTTTACTGATTTTTTCTTGCTTTTTACAGGAGAATGACTACTCACCTCAGGAGTACAAGATCTCCAGTGGTCTCATCTCTATGCAGTTCTTTGGTCATCCTTGTGATCGGCCTAAGGACATACGTGCTCGCTCCTTTCTTCTTGAATGGGCAACTCAGGATCGCAAAGTTCCATCAAAGTACAAGGATAAATCTCGACCTGTTTTCCGTGTTGAGTATCAATGTCTTGGAAGTTGCAATGCTGAAGCACCTCCTGCAGAATCAGATGAGGATGTGAGTGAAGAAGAGGAGGAGGAGGAGGAGGATGAGAGCAATTCAGAGGATGAGAGTGAGAATAATCAAGAGGAAAGTAAAGGTGTGGATAAGCAGCTCAGAGGAAAGTGTGTCAGGAAGAAGCAAAGTCCAAAGGCAAGCAGCTGCCCTAGAAAGGTCAAGATTCATGTGCGTAATTATTTTTTCTTTTATTTCTTTACTCAACCACTATAGGTTGAGGTCATGACAAATGATCTTTCAAATGCTATGGTCTGGCAACAGTTTGTACACCACAAGGCCCACCACAGGCATCTTGAAATGTCACATTTTGTTTGGCAGAACATCTTAGAGCTAGCCTCACTCGCAAATATGACAGCATCCCAAATTAAACTTAGTATGTTTTTCTAAAATTCCTTTGTTGATTGTGAATAGTGCAACTAATATATTTTGAGGACTTTTGGCCTTCTGCGATCAACACCAGGTTCCACGCTACCGCTGGCCTACTCCAAGTCAAGTCAACAATATTGTTCAGAATGTCTGCCATAAAGAAAGGCTTCTCAATGATCCTTTACTTGCAATTGGGCTTTTTGCAGAGAAAAATCCTGATAAAATCTTCTAGTGTGTTTTGTTTTGCTTCTTGATTATACTATTAATCAGTCAATATTTTAGCTACTCTCCCCCTGATTACACAACAGACCCTCCCACCAACTTTGCTACAGGAATTCAGCATCCCTTTGCTATACAGTCACTCATTCTATGGTCTCATGCTAATGGTGTTGGCTTTGATTCATCTTATCGCCACAAGAATGAAAATCGAGCTCCAGTGACCTTTCTAACAACCATTGATGACAATTCTCATATGATTCCAGGTATGTTCAATATTTGTCTTTACAATTCAAGTTAATAATATTTGCATTCAGGACCAGTGTTTGTATCTGGAAATGCTACTCCTCCTTCAAACGCAAAAAGATCTTCTCCAGATCTCTAGTAACTGTTGCATCAGAAGCAGCTTGATGACGCTGGCCTGTCTTTTCCTTGATAGGATTTCGTGTCTGGCCCTTTGCAGCTGGTCCACGAAGTTTCTGACTAGTTTCAAGCTCTAAAGGATCATAAGTCACATTAATAGAGAAATAAAAAGAATATAGCAGACCAATATAGTCCTTTACTGATCCATGATCAATCTGCAGTCTGACTGCCAAGATGTGATAGCAGGCCTTTCCTGTCTGATCAAATGGAGAACAGGTGCAAGAAAGAGAACCATCTTTCTCTTCAGTTACAGTAGCATAGCACAGAGATGAAGCTTTTGGAGGCATAGCAGGATGTTGTGTGCAGTATAGAAGAAGATGGTGGTAGTAAATGGGAGAGATGTCCTGGCCCATCTAATCTGATCAGCCAATCAATAGGTCTGTTCTAAATATAGTAATTAAAAAACCTGGGTTGGATCAGTGGATGACTTTCCTTAACGATCTGGAATTTCTAACTCCTTTTCCAACATAAATTCTTCGGGATTGCCCGAGTTTTGAAATCAAGCAGAGTGCTTTACAGAACCGTAACCACTTTTGTATCTAGAACTCGCATGCAGGCGTAAGTTGTTTGCTGCATTCTGTGGCTATGCTGATAAGATAAGAGATCGCATGGCTTCGGGCCTCCTGCAAGCCTCGCTACTACACCCATGGGCGATCTCATTGACACCTTGCTCAGCCATCTCGCTCTCGAGGAGGACGAATATTGGGATGAAGAAAATGATCGCCTGCAGAATGCAGGCCTCTCTGGGACTGCAATCTACTTGGAAGCACAAGAAAATCGGCGCATTTTTGATGCTTGGGTCACTATGATCAGGTACTCAGACATGACGTAGGTGATATAAATGGTGAGTTTTCATGAATACGCCTGCGTAGATGTTCAAACTACACGAAAAGCGCTAAATTGAGGGGGTGAACAAGAGGAACCAAGGGATGCTAACCGTTCACTTACCAGCCTCAAATCCCCTTTCCGTGACATTTATTGTGTATTTCCCATCAATACGACGTGTTGTAAACCATCAAAAAAAGCCCTAGAGGAAAGGGCATGTCTACAGGGCAAGGACGCGTCTGAGTGTCCTGATCAGAACACGTCATCTAATGAGCGCGTCTGCCAAGCACAAAAGCGCGGTGATCGTGATGATGGTGTAGAGCGTGGTCTTGTATGGCCGCAGAGTTGAATTTTCGGTCTGGAATGCATTTGGGAACGGATTTGGAGTTGAGAGGGGGGTAGGGAGGGTCCTTCCAAGCGAAGGTTTGAGACGAGGTCGCTTTGACAGGTCGGACCTTGAATCTGAAAGATTTTGATGTGCCTGGCTGTCGGCACCTTGGCTTATGAACTTAGAACACGCATCTGGAATTGAAAGCGTTCTAAATCATTAAGGAAAGTCATCCAGTACTTTCATAACCCAAAATCCAGGTTGGATCAGTACTTTCATAAATCAAGAATCCAGGTTGGATCAGCAGTTTCATAACCCAAAAATCCAGGTTGGATCAGCAATTTCATAACCCAAAGTCCAGGTTGGATCAGCACTTTCATAACCCAAAGTCCAGGTTGGATCAGCACTTTCATAACCCAAAGTCCAGGTTGGATCAGTAGTTTCATATACCAAAAATCCAGGTTGGATCAGTAGTTTTATAAACCAAAAATCTGGGTTGGATCAGTACATAAGAAATGCTGAAATTGTAGTTTAATCTGGGGGTTGGATCAGAACTTCTTAAATCCAGGTTAGATCAGGACAATTATCCCAGGTTGATTCAGTAGTATCAAAATGGTTGAATCAGTAGTTTTAATATCTAAAACCCAGGTTGGATCAGTAGAATTTATACATGCTGGATCAGTACTTTGAAAAGCCGGGTTGATTCAAAGACTGCAGGGGGTAGAAACACATCTTGCATTATAAATGCCCTCGAGTCCCAGCCAAGCTCTGGATGCAAGTACTATGTCACGCCAGAGTTCCTTGACACAGCCCGTGCCTCCGTCGAACGGATAGGCATCACGACTTTGATATCGCTCCAAGAGGAAGTGGGGTGCAATGGGCAGTTTCTGCGACTTTGGGCGACGTTGCTACGAAAGCTAGGGATCACCGATCAGTCAATCCGGGAGCGCTACCGTCTCGACAAGAAGTGCTGCAATCTCAATTGTCCATTCAGGAATTCAGGTACACGGAGTGGGACGAAGAAGGCTTGCCAAAGATGCGGCTCCGTGTTCTACTGTGATCGTGGATGCCAAAAGAGGTAAGAAGATACCTAGATCCAGCTTCTTCATCTGCTCACTTGTTTTCCTTATCTCCAGCGATTGGAAGAATCACAAACCGGAATGCAGAGGGACTTCGTCAGATGACTTTCCCGGAATCGACTAGTACGCCGTAGAAGAGTTGGGAGATAACAGTATATACGCAGTTGAATGTGTTTTGTTCACGAGTGACGCCGGATTACCGGCGACCCAATTAGGCAGCCCTCAGTTCCTGATCAAGATCAAACCCTTGGTCGAAATCTTTCAAGATGTTGAACAAGTACTCAAGATTGTTAGGATGCGCGAGCGAGAGGGCAAACGGCGTGATTTATCAGAGGGAATCTAATGATAAGTAGAACGAGAGGCAGGCGATTTAAGGAGGTAGAGTCCGTACTTGTGGAAGTGAATGCAGATGAGGCGAGGAGGAAGGGGGTGATATGGAAGTGGCATAGTAAAAATAAGCGTCGGATACCTCTACTTGGTGCCCACATATTTGACCTTCAGCGGCATAGTCGGCATCTGACCTTTCGGGTCCGTGTTTGGCGATGCGACGGGGTTGAACTGCCAGTAGATCTCCTTGCCGGCTGGAAGAGAAAATTCAAGATCCTCGACGATGAGGGAAAGAACAGCCTCTGTGGACCGATGTTTAAGTAGGAGCATGCAAATTTGAACACGTTAGACTTACTCATTTCGAGCTGAGAGAACTTGAAGCCACTAGAGAAGTCAATGAATATCAGCGATCTAAAGCGAAGAGATATCTAAAACCGAAAAGCCTTACACGCAAGCGCGACCACCACCGAGGAAAGTCATCCTGGAACAAGTTCGATCAACTCGTCAGAATAAACCCCTCAGCTCGACGAGAATACCCACAAATGCGAATAAATCCCGGGAATGCGCGAGTTGATTAGGCTCTCCGGAAGAGGATTCAGCCACCTCTCAGGTTTCCAAATGTGCGCATCCGGGCCCCAGAGCTCAGGATTGCGGTTGGAACCAAGAGCGGAGATGTAGACGTCCGTGCCCTTCGGTACTTCGAGCGATGTAATATCTGTACCGTCAATGCCCTTTATGGGGGTGCCGAGAGGTAAGGTGACATCCTCGCGAGCCCTGATAGACTAATGATAAGTCAATTCGCCTGCTATAGGGTCTCTCGCCTACGTTCTGTGCAGTACTCCAGCAGGAGGGTACCTGAAGTAGATGATTTTAAGCCACCACTAGCTGAGTTAATAAGGTAAGTCACTTACAGGCGAAGTGTTTCGCGGCAGACAGCGTCGAGATAAGGAAGATGGACCAAGGTGTCATACGGCAAGTCTTCGCCTCCGTTTTCCTTGCGTGCCTCCCGGAGTTCCAGGCGAAGTTGATCCTGGGCATCTTTGTGCTGTGAAAGCACGTGCAAAGTCCGGGAGATTGCAGTGGAGGTCGTGTCGGTGGCAGCAAAAGTGAGAGACCTGTCACGGGAATTGAGCAGGGACCAATGGACACACAGACAAGAAGACGCACGTAATCTGTCCCAGTACTTCTCTCTCTGACATCTGTTCCTCCTTCGGGACGAACAGATTGGCCCTCACTTGTGAATTTCGGCGTCAGCATTGGTCAATGAAGCTACATCCACGAGATGCTCACTCAAGATGCTTATAACGTCTTTACCCTTGCCGATCTGGTCCTTCAGCGCATCATCACCGGCTGCAAGCGCCTTCTTCTTGTTCTCGATGATCTCGACTGACGTCTTGTGCAGAGTGTCCACAATGTACTTAATGTCGTTTATCCCCTTGCCAGGAATCAAGTCAACGATGAACCGACCCAGACGAGGCCAGTTCGTGAACTTCGTGATAAGCGGCATGATAAGACCAAGGAGGGGCGAAGTTTGTTCAGAGGCAAGGGGTCTGCATGGACCATTAGCGGGCGATACCTCGAGGACGGGCGCAGAGTTGCGTCACGTACAGCAACATTTTCGAAGCTTGTCCGTAGGCATGAGGCTCAGTTCCTTCAGCGAGTGGGTCGAATGTAACACCAAGTCCACTCTGGCCGATAAGCTCCAGAGCGAGGCGGGTCATCCATTCAATGATGTCGATCTATATCACGATTGTAAGTAACCCGCGTGTTACATTATTTTGAGACATACGCGCCTCTTGGTCGCCCGGTTTCTTCGCGATCTTGACGAAGGTGTCGTGGAGACGATGACTGGCTTCGTAGAACATAGGCACTGAAATTTGGGGTTTGAATGTCCAAATATAAGAAGAAAGGCAGCAAATTACCCATTTCACGCATATGAGCGATAGAGAACACCGGGTTGAGTAACTTTCTTTGCAACCGGTGCCTCTCGCCTAATACTGAAGGTCAGCAAAAATGAAAGGGCGATAGGAGAGATTTGAGAGGAGCAGACCGAGAGTCGTAAATATTCCTTCTCCAAAAAGTAAACGGTTCATTCTGTAGTCTCGTAATTCATTTCAGTTGACTCTAGGTATCATAACGAGGATGAACTTACTGCAGGACGGATTCGGCTTCCTCGTAGATGTTTTGATCCTTCGATCGGGACTGTCAGCTCTTCCCTTTCCCGAGTTGAGTGGACCGAAATCTCACCTTCAGCAAAATGTGATTGAGGGCCTTGGGATCATGAACATAGAGACAATTCGCCTACGCACACAATTGTTAGGTCTTGATACATGGGACAGCACGTATCACTCACCCCGAAAACGCCCTTAATTTTGACGACGCCACCATCTTGTTGCACCCTCAATACGACGGTATCACTCGCTGGACGATTGAAAGAGAAAACTCACAGTTATCTGCGAGGTGCTGATGGAAACCCCAAGCCTCTTTATTCGCCATTTGCCTCAAAGAGCCTGATCGACCATATCACTCAGTGAGTTATCGTGGTGAGCTGTTCGAGCTACTTACCTGTCGTGAAAGACTCTGGAGGGGGACCAGGGAGGTTATCGAGACTTCCTCGGACAAAGAAGCGCTTGATAATCTTCCATGTAACGAAAAGAGCGAACAACAGAGCCGCGCTACGTAGCACCTGGCTCGGAGATGAGAGGTCAAGGCGAGGAAATGTGGTCATTATGTCGACAGAGACTTGCGGGTAGCAGACGTGATATAGTGCCCCGGTTATTAAGTCTTCGTATCGGTGTACGGCCCTGGAAGGTCATAAGCAGCATTGCGAGGGACTCGGAGCAGGCCCGTGAACAGCTATCGTCCGTGCGCGTGAATAGTTGTCGTTCATCGTGTGGATCAGAAGCAAGGTTTAGGCTGTTCAGTGGTTTGATACGTTGCGAGATGCGGCAAATGGGAATGCCACGTCTTCTTTACGGGGCCCGCTTACTGATTTCAGTCGAGCAACTCCTCGCTTCTTTGTGCGCCACGGCTTCTTTGCGTGTTGTTCCCGGATTTGACTTGCTGGGATCTTGCATAAGTTGTTGGCTCGCTGAGGCTGACCTGCTACCTTCACAGCACCTAATACGCCAGAAAGCTTGAAAGGGACATCCCTGGAGAAGGTTTCCGAAGCATGTTGGCATTGGACATGGTGGTTGGAGTTGGAAGGGCCAACGGATGAACAGACGGAGAACATACGACCAAATAGGGCACAACTCATGATCTGGTCTGGAACAAAACGGTACTAGTAACGCTATCAGACCTCTCAATCACCGCAGTATCGTCATTTCAAAGCATTTCAACGCATGGTCTCCTGTCCTATCTGGGGCTCGGATCCAGATCCAGTTTAACTTTCTCGCAAACTACCACCTCCAATCGTATCTCGCGCTATTCATCATGGCCTTGGCAACAAAATCGTCAAGCCGTCTGACGAGGGGCAGCACCAACGCACACAGAGCCCGGTGACCTGACCTTCAAAATTTCTTGGGAACACTAGTCGAATATTCGCCGAATAACTCCTGCATGCCCTAGTGGCCGTAGAAACCGTGAGAGACACCTCCTACCATCGTTCTGGAGCACCCGAGATCTTTGTCTTTTAAACTACTTATATCAGCGCTGTCCTCAGTGGATCAACCGGGCTGCAAGTGCCATGTAATGGACGTCGGTAATGTCCTCGCTTCGACAAACAGTTAGAAGATCACGAATATTGCTCCGTTGGTAGCTCAAGAAGTTTTCTTTACGTGACCATGCTCCGCACGAGAAGTACGTTGGCGCGTTGCCGGAAACTGGTCTCTGCTTGATCGTAAGGCGGCAAAAGAAGTCTTGCGTTATCTGACAGACAAATATGGACGCCTTTCGCATCCCCGCCCTTTGGCAGCGGACGTGCCGAAGTAAACAATGGCCGCAGTCCATAGACTTCTGAAGAGCGATCCCCAAGAGGTTTCCAGGGAAGTCCGGGCGGAAAGCGAGCCACTGATTCAGTAAGTACCTTTGAGTCATCTTTCAGTTCTTTCAGAAATATGAACGCGGCCGAGTCACTCAGCGTTGTAGTCCCCTTCCCAATGTCATTATGCTACAAGATCTGTCTTGTCCAAGTTGCGACCGTGGGTCCAACAAGGCGGCCTCGTCCAGCATATTGGGCCTAGTCGGGGACTACCACCAATTCTTCGCCAGAAACATACAGCATATCCTGGTATGCAACAGCGACTTCCGCTCCCTTCACGTCACGTCCGAAGCTCGCGAAAGGTGTACTGGCATGAGAAGAATGGGCCCCCGCATTCCCGCTCATACCCCTGTCTAAGCGTCGCCACCCATACTGTATCTTGGCTCGGTATAACTGCCCGAACGAGCACAGGGCGTGCGCCACACAATTTCTTAGTACTAGGAATGGCAATGACCGGCCTTGATGGGGACACTGCCCAACAACAGTCAACAAGGCGTGAAAATCCGTTAGTCGTACGGCTCGTACCAGGTTGCACCCATCGCGAACACCATCGCCCGATATTTCACGATCCATCGCTTATTCTTATCTTTTCACTCAAGTGAGGGTCATTAGAGTTGCTGGTATGTCCAAGAAGCCTCGTGTCATACTCATATTCAACCTCAACTTCACAGATCGCAAATGGACATCTTTGTTCTTTCTCGCGAAGACCACTGTCGCTGCACTTTGGATTCCTGCCCTTCAGTAATTGCAGATCGTCGAATCGCGTCGCTGAAGCCTCACGAAGCTGTGGCGGCGCTGGCAGAGGAGGGACCAACGACGCCATTCGTCAATAGGGTGGCAAAAGCGACCGAAGTGGATCCAGCCTACCGTCGTGCCGGCGTTGCGAAGATATTCGTGCAGAAGATCCTCGAAGGTCAATCCACGAGAGACCGACCGCACTGGGATTGGCCGATCTATGGCATCGGCACCGTCATCCATGGGATTAGGGAAAAGAAAGAGCCTCAAGACGATGAAATCTTACAATACCTCTTCGCCTCGTATCCTGCAATAATCGACGTAATATCAAGAAGCTTTATGCGCTTCATACCGTGGAATCTCTATGGATTGTCTAGGAGATGCCTTGTAGCGTGGATGATATGTGCTTACGTGGCGGCAAAAGACCCAGAGATGAAGTGGTACGTTTCCCATCGAGACTTCCGCATTTAGGACTCATTTTAAACGCATAGGAAAATGTATGACGAGAAGACACTAACACTTGTCAAATTCTGCTGGGCTGACACCTCTCCCGATTTCCTGCTGCGTGTTTACCCTGCGAAACTTCTCATGTACATGACGGAAGAAAGCACAGATGGGAAGCCCAACCCCCCGGACCGTCTGGAGAAATTTGCAAAAGTTCTCGGCTCAATGCCCGCCTTCACCTCTAGCCTCGCCTTCATTCTCAAAGGCAAGAAACTCACCGAGCTCATGCTCTGGCACGAGATTGCCGTTGTGCGGAGCCTTATCAGCGAGTGGCACCCATTTGCAAAGCCGTTTCTGGAAGGGGATATACCGAAGCTCGTGATGGCTGCTATTCGTCGGTTCATGAAGACACATCCTGACGAAGAGTTCGGCGGGCTCCTCGAAGAAGGTGAACTTCTCGCGGTGTGAGTGCTGCCCTATCTCCCATGTACTAGACTTCAATGGCACTGACCCTATTAATAGACAGTTTATTCTGGCCTGTCCACCCAGCGATACGATGAAAAACTTCATCTACTTGTTAAACGATACCTGTCTAATCGAAGTCGCCGTCGAAGGTCTCAAGCTCGCCAGCATACAATCGCCCCCCGGCTCCCTTCTACCAAAAGGTTCTGGAACCTTCTGTCTAATTTTCAGTACCATCTCTCACGCGCTAAGCGTGACTGGAAGCCGCTGCGAATGCGGTTGCAACTTCCGCTCATCCCCCGAGTTTACCGAAGCCGCCCGCGCCGCCATAGAACGCGTCGGCCTTCAGAAGCTCCTATCACTCTCATTGGTGATTAATAACTGGCAATACTTTATGGAATCCCTCGGTGCTCTGTCCAACGTCCTTGGAGTCTCCGGGACCTCCGTTCGAGAACGCCATCGTCTCGACAGGAAGTGCTGCAATGTAGCCTGCCCTGCTAGGACCTCGGGCAAACGCAGCGAGAAGAAGAGTGCATGTCAGAAGTGCCAGTCTGTCTACTACTGTGACAGGGAGTGTCAGAAGAAGTACGTATCTGCAAGAACTCTTTCAAATATACCCGGCTGACATCTTTCTGTATCCCACAGGGACTGGAGCAAACACAAGAGCGAATGCGCGACATTTGCGCAGGAGAGGGAGTCGAAGGAGAGCGAATAAATTATCACCATGAGCATCAAATAATGTGCAATGTTGAAGCGACTCGCGTCTTTGAAGCGTACCTGAGGCTTTACCTTAATCGCGTTGCTTTAGCGCTCGCGCCACATTGGCCGATGATCGCCAAGTTCCCCGAAATAGCAACAGCTGGTCGCCCAGGTACCAAGATTCCTTAGCCCTCGTAGCGACATCGTCCTCTCTAAAACTGGGGATATACACAGTCCCTTCTCGGAGATCCGTCGACTAAGTAGTCAACTAGTCAATGCTTGAAACAGGTACGCGCTTGATACAGTTGCGAACTCCGTCCTTTCATCGTCCTTTCATCGTCCACGGACCGAATGGGCCACTCAACGCCAGTCCAGTGAATGTACAGGGCCGAGGTATTGGATTAAATCTTGCAAATTACATTATACAACAGGTGGCCCAGATAACCCCCCTTCACATTTGCGCGCTTCACGCATCGCACTCGCAAAGGCCTTAATCAAGCTCATCATAATAGTCCCGCTCCTCCATGTCGCCAAACTCCCGCTCGAAGAAATCCTCGTCATCGAAGCCGCGTTCGAAGACATCATCATCGATGAAGTCGAGCTCACGTTTGTGCCTGTTCTTGTGGTTCTCCTTTGCCTGGTGCGCTTTGTGTGCTCCTTTGCCGATCTTCACGGCCGCCTTGATGCCTTTGCTGTGGGTATAAATGAATCGGATTGTCAACGATCAGCGCATCGAACACGAGAGTGATGCAAGGAGCTACGAACAACAGGAGGCCAAGGAACGGTTCGCGCTCTTCGAGGTCATCGCCGACGAGCTCGCGGGTTGACACGTCGTCGATCTCCAACTCCCGCTTGCGGTGGTTTTTGTGGTGCTCCTTCGCCGAATGTGCCTTATGTATTCCCTTTCCAATCTTCACCGCAGCCTTGATTCCTTTGCTATGGGTTGAAAAGAATAATTAGCCTCGACCCGAACTAGGGAGGAGCTAGGTTGCGTACAAGAGGAGACCCAGGAAGGGGTCTCGCGCCTCCATGTCGTCGACGAATTCACGGCCGAAGAGAGCATCGAGGTCCTCTCTCGTGACAACAATATCATCTCCGTCATCGAAAATACGGCTGTACAGGTCGTTCTCAAGGACATCCCGCCTTCAAAGCACAGATTAGCATCGAGACCGCCCATGATATGCAGACGGAACTCGGACTTACTCGGAGACATCAGAGAGCTGGGCGAGCGCCGGAATGACAAGGAGGGTGACAGCGAGAGTGGGAAGAGCGATTCGGACCATTGTGATAAGAGATTTGGAAGAAGAGTTATGGGCTTGAGGGATTCGTTGATTGAGACCGAGGCGACCTAGCGCAAATTGTGGAGAGGGGTGAGACCAGCTGAAGAGCCTCGCTCATTCCGGGTGGGCTTATATATCCCCGGGGCACAAAACTCGGGGTGACTATTTTGAGAGCTGGGCATCCGGCAGGCGAGCACCAAGGCGATGCCAGAAGTCTACTTTTGAAAGATGGGTCTGTCAACTCTGCCTTGAAACCAGTGATGAAAGGCCGATCCGTGCCAAGTATACGCTGGCTGGCCTTCGGCAGGACGGCATGTGGAGGGATTTCAACATGCAACGCACCAAATATATCGTGGTTCAATCCGATCAGCATGCTGCGATGCGATTCGAGCTGTTTCCCGACATTTGACTATCGCGAGTTCAGCGGGCGGTGGTTCGTACGTACGGCCCTTTCAAACCTGACTCCGTTCTGACCGGTTACCTTCAGCAGAATCTTTTAGTGAAAATGAGAGCAAGGGAGATGAACCGCACTGTACATATCGTGAATATGTTCTGCGTTTCGTCCTGTCATTCGTTTTCTCACCTTGGTGCGGTCAGCTGCAAGTCGACCCTCGGACAGCCTTGGCTGATCTGTCACAAGAGTACATACAACCTGCAAGAATCGTTCCTCAGCAACCCCTGCAGGGCCACAAAGAGTGGGATAGTGGCCAGTCTAGTATGTTAACTTCTGACGCAGTGTTCGGAGGTGGTCGTTCAGTTGTATCCTTTAGGAGACCAGTGTTAGGTAGATGGCTGAGGTTCTAAAATAAACTGTCACATACGTTAGGTAACGCTTCTGGGGCCAAGGCAGTGCATTCATCAACCACCAACACCAATAACGGTAGCTGTGATGATATGGAATAGAAAGGTGAAACAAACCCACACCGCTATCAGCCGTTATCTCGACGTCAATATTTCCGGCTTTCCAGCGTTTGTGCGCGAAAAATCTGATGAAATTGGTAGGCGCGTAAAGGACAGCGTCATTATGGTATCCAGGCGCACAAACTGTCCCTTCGTCTATGGTTATCCTAACACCTCTTAGTCGAGGTCATCAAATTCGCGCTCCTCCCAATCGTTAAATTCTCTCTCTTCGAGATCGAAGTCCTCGAAACCCCTCGCGTCCATCTCCGGCTCGTTACGCGAGTACAGTGAATCGTCCTCCAGGTCGCGCTTGCGCTTGTTGTTCTTATTGTTCTTGTGATTCTGGACAGCAGAGTGCGCCTTGTGGGCCTTGGAAGCAACTCTGCCGATTGTGGTCGCCGCCCGGATGGCACCGCTGCACACGGTGGGTCAGTATTAAAGTTAGTAGGCCAGAACGAAAATAGAAGACGCACAAGATCAGAGGGAAGAAGGGTTCCCGCTCTTCCATGTCTTCAACGTCGCGGAGAGCCAAGACGTCATCCTCGACTTCACGCTTGCGCTTGTTGTTCTTCTTGTTGTTCTTGTGGTTTTGTACGGCAGAGTGGGCTTTGTGGGCCTTGGATGCGACTCTGCCGATGGTCGTTGCAGCTCGAATGGCTCCACTGTCGGGAGTTATGAGTTCGCTGGTGAAGACTGGCTAATAAAAAGAATACTCACAAGATGAGGGGGAAGAAGGGCTCTCGTTCCTCCAGTTCCCGGTCGGTGAAGTTGTCGATGATCTCCCGGCCGTATACAGACTCCCACATTTCACGAGCGGTGAGTTCGCGCTCAGTGGTCCTAAACGGTCAAAGAAATTGTAAACGCGATGCTCCAAGGGCAACGACCAGATAGGACTGACGAGGTGAGTCCAGGGTTGGCAACGACGGCGGCAATACCAGCAGAAGCGAAAAGGAGGGTGGAGAATTTGACCATGATGGACAACGGTGTAGAGGAGTAGAGGTTAAGTTTGTTTTGTTATGGAGATCGCGACCGGCGCGATTCTGTTTGAGAGGATGAGGGGGGTAGACCAGCTGAAGAGCATGAATGAAAATCAGGCCGTTAAATACCTGGGGCAGATGCAGGGGTATACTTACAACATTCCAGATCGACTGGGTGTCCGGCATACTTACACACACCGAAATGATGGGCGCCCATTCCGCGCCAAGCCCAAGTCTGGCGGACTGACAGCTTGGAAACGGCGCGGCGTCCCCTAACCGCAACAAAGGAGAATGCAAATCGGCGCACTATAAGTACGTGTCATCGACGGGCGCTCCGCGCAGTGATCGGGAAAGTATAGCGCAGCGAGAGGTCCAGCGAGAGTAGGCGTCGAAGCTCATGAGCTCGGAGGGTGGGTTTCGCGGAAACGATGTTGCGTGCCAGAAAGGGCGAGGGAACCAATGTCGTTATCTGGTATCCTGATGATTGTGAGAGGGAACCAACCTTTGCCTCGCCGGGGTGGCCCTTGTGACGTTTACCCAAGTGTTTGAACTTTGAATAGCGTTCAGGGCATCATGATTTTCGGATTTACGACCCTCTAATGTCCATGAATACTAGGAGCAAAGAAGGTAAGCCATACGATCCTCGCACGATTAGATAATCCAAGCCCCGATGCGGACATAGCCCCAGGACGGAATTGAAATTGAAAGGTTCAAGTGTTTTGAGTTGGGGCGACCTCAGATCCGACATCATTCTGGCGGTGCCGCTACCAGAAAAGGCGATTGGCGGGGTTGCCAGTGGCGGCAGTTGTGGCTGTGACACGCACAGGATATCTGCATTGCAGCTCTCTTACACACAACGAACGGCAAATGACAATCAGCCAGGCGCAGCAAAGAAATGGTATTGCGGAGCGGTGTGCTGCAGCTACGTTACCGGAGCTAATATAACGTGCACTCAATCGAGGTCCTCCAAGAATTCTCGCTCGTACAAGTCGAGGATCTCTCGCATGTCGAGGTCTTCGGCCTCCCGCATATCGAGGTCTTCGATCTCGCGGAGGGCGAGTTCATCGATATCCTCGAGGTCACGCTTTCTTCTGCGGCCGCGGACGGCGGAGACAACGCCTTTCACGGCTTTGGCGGCACCACTAATAAGAAAGTGATCCGGAAGAGATGGCATCAGTTATATGAAGTCTAAAAAGGAAAGAAAGAACTGACAAAAGCAGTGGAAGGAAGGGCTCCCGCTCTTGGAGCTCGACGTCGAGGTCTCGAGCCTCGATGTCTCGCCCGTAGATCTCTTCCAGAATCTCACGGGCGATGAGGTTGTCCTCGCTCCTAATACTCTGAATAAGTAGACGCTGACGCAGAGCTAGTAGATCAACTTACGAGGTAAAGTCTGGCGAAGCAGACACAGCGAGGGCAGAGACGAAGACGAAGACGACAGTCGCAAGCTTAACCATTATGATCAGTTATTGAACGTGTTTGAGGTATTAATTGTTTGTTTGTGAAGAACGCGACCTGCGCGATTCTATGGGATGGCAGTGGATGGGGGTGGGTGGGTGGTAGACCTCGAAAGGAACTCGAGGTCTTAAATACCCAGAAGGTGGGCCAGGGTGGAGCATGCTCCGCTGCGGCATGATGGAAGACAAGGCGACAAGAAACCGTTGGCGACTTTCTTGGTCACTAGAGATTCTTGGGAGTGTCAAGAAGTGGACACAAACAGATATCGAGATCTGGGTAAGTATTCTGCGGCCATGAAGCACACTCGGCTTCGATGGATAGCAGGCCTTTTGCTTGCATTTATTCAGCATAATTCTGTTGTCAGAGGCGAAGGCTCTTTCCAGCGGAATGCAAGCAGGCATGTCCAACTCGAATCGTATTTTTCCGAAGCAAAAAGGTGGTTCTATACCTACAATACGAAGGAAGGCCAAGAATTAGTAAAGACGGCATGGTGTAGTATGTAATGATTCATCACCTACGTCAACGACTATCACTTCTTGTCCTTCATTCAGTGGAGAGATGAACTTTCTTGACTCTATAAAGAGTTTGGAGCGGTAAACACCGCCGGACCTTACTCGTTACACCGCAAACAGAGAGAGCCTCCCGCTTGTAACCTGGAAAAGTAACTTGAACTGCTGAGACGTCCACCTTACATTTACCTTATTCTCTTCAAAGGGAGGCGGGTGCAGCAAGACGAGTTCTCGATCAGTCGTACAGGCAAATCCAACGGCATTTGCACGGCCTGTTGTCGGCGACAGGCTAAGAGATCACTTTCATGACACAGAAGCCAGAAAACGGGGTACAGTCATAGCATTTGAAGTACGGCGCATGCTAGAAAGGCTATCACTCGGGTTACCTTCTATCACTTATGATCTAGTGAGAATGTTAGCGCCTATAAATTACAGTGATAGTGGGAAAGGGCGTAACTTAAGGGAATAAGAAGCCTTGAACCAATACGTATACCTAGAGACGTGAGTAAGGAGAATGCTTGCTGATTTTTGTCCTCAGTTCGTCGATGCACGTCAACAGTCATAGAAATACATGAATTGACCACTGAGATGGTTTGTTGTCGTACAATCGTGGCGGGTAGTAAGTAGTCTTCTTAGTCAAGTTCATCGATCTCGCGTTCTTCCACATCATAGAACTCTCTCTCGTAGAGGTCGTAGTCTTCAAACTCCCTGGCATCGATCTCCATTTCGTTGCGGGCATCCCTGGCAGACATCAAATCAGTCATATACTGTGAGAGAGTAGGGGAACACCGACAAGATATCATCCAACTCGCGGAGGGTAAGTTCGTCGTCGAACTCTAGATCCCGCTTTCTGCGGCCGCGGACTGCGCCAACGACACCCTTGGCGATGCGGGCAGCACCACTATATTTTTTTTAAAAAAAAGAGAACAAGTTTCAGTCCCAGGTCAAACAAAATCTAAGGCGCAAACTGAACGCACAAGAGCAAAGGAAGGAATGGCTCGCGCTCCGCGAGTTCAGCCTCGTCGAACTCGCGAGGGCGAGGGCGAAAGTTGGGACGCCTTCCCGGAGTAGCTAGTAGGCCTTTCTTCCATGGCAGCAACTTTTTCATTATAGAGGGCCTCTTTGCTGGTGCAGCAGAGACGGCGGCAGCGGCGGAGAAGACGAGGGTGACGGTCAAGATTTGGACCATGGTGATAGATATGGAGCTTGGGAGATTTGAGCGAGAGAGAGGTTGTAAGAGGGGTTTTTTTGTGAAGAGTGCGACCGGCGCGGTTCTAGTTCTGAGAGGTAGGAAGAAGTTGAGAGACCAGCTGAAGAACTTTAGTAGAAATCAGACGTCTTAAATACCTGGCCTCAAAGCCAGAGAGTGGACATGTTGCGCTCTAAGGAGACAGAACCCCATGAGATGCTGATGGCTCGCTGTCTTCGTCAAGGATTCGGGAGTGGCGGGGATCGAGGGCACAGCGCGCATCACCAACGCGAATGGACTCAGTAGAGGTATGGACGATCGAGACATTGAGGAAGGTTCTCTAAGCTTCAACGAATATCCGAGAGTGTTTCCATGTCGAAGTTGGCCTTCCTAGGTTCCTTGGCTGAGAACTATGCCAAAAGAGACTGCAAGCATTGAGCAAAGCGTCACTTCAGTTCAACTAGGCCACAGCGCTGTAAAGCAAATATGGTCAAGAAAACGAAGGAGTGGATAATGTGACGAAAGGTTCAACGGGTTTATCACTCACGTCAACCGCAGTTACTTCTACCCATTTTGATCACGGTGGCACGACGTCCACGTCTTGGCTCAAATACATACATGGTGCGCTCTTCAAGTAAATTCCACTCCAGAATGTCGACAGAGCTGTAAATATTCCGGAGTAAAACGCAATTCCGTCGACCACAATGCCTAAGAAAAAGCAAATAGTCAAATAAGGTATTTTAAGCGGTACTGATTACTTTACCGCTTCTTCGAACGGAAACCGACCAAAAGCCTACATCTCGTGGTTCGTTCAGATTTCTCGCGGTTCATTCAGATCTTCAAGGTCGTGGCGTCGCATCAAGAGATCTTGTAGACACAACCTGGTGGATAACCCACAGACAGCCGTGGTGCTTATTGCGACGTGAGTATGATGGGCAAGCTGTCGGGCTGTCAGTTGGCTGATCTATGCTACGATCCTGTCAATACCTGGGAGACTAGAATGCACATAACGGTACTCGCCTCATAGATCAATCGTGTTGTTATTGGAAGGCACTTCAATGTCCTGTAATATCGCCCCAAGAGCAAATAATGAGCACCATCGAATGTTATCAGGCATGCAGATTAGATAATCTGAACGCGTGAGAGCAACTGTCATACCATATCGGGATCAGCGAAACCCCAATTGTTTTGCATCTTGCAGTGCACTTGATGATGCCACCCTTGATCAACGTTTCAGCGTGTAGAGCATCGCTATACAAATGTACAATGGTGATTAGACAGTCGATGAGAACAAGAAGTAAGCACGACCATCCCGGATGGTCTAATCGTGCCGTGGTACAGAGACAACATGCATGTGAGGGTGAAATACTCCGAAAGGTGGCGCCATCTCCTCAAGACTCTCATCCTGCATCAGCGTTAACGTCGTCTCAGCATTTTAGAAACCATGACCACAATCTCACAGCTATGCTCTGGTTGATGGGCAACCCGGGGCAGCCTTCCTTCCATCTTGCGACGTCAGCCTAGAACCCTCGTCCTCGGCCACGACCGCCTCCCCTGCCTCTTCCACGACCCCGATCGATACCTCGCCCACGTCCTCTTCCTCTTGGGTCGTCCTTTTTCCTGCCTTTTGGCTTGGGTGCGTCGTCAACCAGGAGGGTATCCAATGGAAGGGCGTCGGGCAGGATGAAGTAACGGATGTTGTTTCCCCGAATCGACAGTGAGTCTAAGGATATAGGATCCCGGTTTCGCATAGTCATTTTTACTGTCTTGAGATAGGTGTTCATCTGCATATCAACGCCTGCGCGTGGGGTCAGGAAACCAGTTTTAGTGCATAGATAAACGCGATCAGTGCGTACCTGTGATCGTTCCATGCACAACGGACCCGTTCTTGAGCTCGACTGTAACCGTCTCATTGTTCAGTTTCATCAAAAATCTGAATGGAAAACGGCGAAAAATCAGTAGAGTTCCTTGAATGTCAGATGGCCAAGGCAAAGAGATTGACTGGCTTCCCGGCTTTTTTGGAAGGTAAACCTCGGTTATACAACAGCAACAGATCCTTCAGCCTCGAAATCTCGGTCCCCCAACCATGCTGCCTATGAAAACCAGCAGGTCTCCAAACCTAAACCACAATCGAGAGCTTACCTGACGAGCTTCATCTTGCGGGTAGTCCTACGACTTTTTGTTCCAAAAATTGAATGGAGAGTTCGAGTTGGTCAAAGGGTGTCTCGAAAAACTCTCCAGCGCCGAGATGCGAGCAGTGTGGTGGGCGTCGTGGACGATGTTGAGCACCATGCACGTGTGGATGCGTTTGGGGCGGAGCTTGAATACGTGACGTGACATTGAGTGTATGACTGTGACTTTCGCCTCCACGTGACCGTCGCGACCTGTTCAACAACGAACCAGCGTCCGCCTCTCATCCAGTCCACAACGGCCTCGCCGTTTCTACTGTCCCTTCCGCCATGGCCACCCACAAGGTCAAGATTGCAGCTCGTCTGCGGCCAAGAATACAGGGCGAGCTCGACGACGACTCCATCCGGATCGTGCATTCATCCAACGACACAGGGGGTTCATCCAGCTCTTTAACGAGTGGCAGCTTCATCACCGTCCCAAACCCCCGAGATCCCACTCAAATATTCAAGTTTCCGTACGAATTTTGGATCCTCTCACTGGCCTTGAACTCACCTAGTTTTCTAGGTTTACAAGTTGTTATGACCAAGACTCGACTCAGGAGGAAATTTATAGGAACGACGTTGAACCATTACTCGATATCGTCTACAGTGGGGTCGTGCGTTGAACTTTTATATCTCGTATCCAAGTCCTTGACTTGTTGTTTCCAGACCGTAACCATCTTTGCCTACGGGGTTACCTCGTCTGGGAAGACATACACTATGCAGGGTACGAAGCAGGAGCCTGGTGTCATTCCTCGAGTCGTCAGAGTGCGTCCACGTCTCTGAGCACGAAATTCTGCTTACAGCTGCTTCCAGGGGATATTTGACAAGAAGAATAGCCTGAAGCAATTTCAAACAACTCTATCCATTTCTTACATGGAGATTTACAAAGACGATGTTTACGACCTCCTCGTGGACAGAGAAAATGTCAGTCCGTTTTTGTCTTCTCTATCGCTTGCTCACTACGGTGATCAGGCTCCCAAATTACCCGTTCGGGAAAACCATGCGGGTATGGTTTTCGTTGCAAACCTGACCAGTTGCCCAATTTCCAACGTCGCTGAGTTCGACAGCACATATAAGTCAGTACGAGACTCCTACTGCTCCAACTTTCACTGACCCATAGTCCAGCAATGCAACCCTTCGTCGTTCTGTTGGTGCTACAAACTTGAATCGAGCATCCTCTCGTTCCCATGCTATCCTTACAATCGAAGCCACCATGGTAGACCCTGTAGCTAACACAAGTGGGTGTACATGCAACAATTTTTCAAATGGATGGCACTGATATCCCTCTAGCGCTGACTGGCAAGATCAACCTTGTCGACCTTGCTGGCTCAGAGAACAACAAGGTATAGATGATATCATCCTAGCTTCAGCCCAGGGAATCTAATTCCCGATTAGCTGACAGGAAACGATCCAGCTCGAATGGCCGAATCGGCTGCTATCAATAAATCTCTGAGTGTCCTCGGCCAGGTTGTCCATGCTTTGAACCAAGGCGCTGTAAGCTCCGCCGTGCTACCGAGTATCTCTCGATTTTAATCCTGGCCTTAGTCACGTATCCCCTATCGCAACTCGAAGCTTACCAGGCTGCTACAAGACGCCCTTGGTGGAACGTCTGTGGGTCTTTTGATCTGCAATCTTGCCCCAGGGAACAAGTTCAGGCAGGATACCCTCAACACTCTTAAGTAGGACGACTTTCCGTTGTACTTTCCTCCATTTCTCTGATCACCCCAACTTCCATTCGCACTTTCTAGCTTTGCGGTTCATACGAAAAATGTTGAGAACAGACCCGTTGTCAATGAGCGTGGTAAGTCAGTCATCCAGTCTTGGTCCCTTTTTCTCGCCTTCTGCACCAGCGTGTAGCGGGACGCGACGCTGTCTGCATTTTTCTTTGTGGTCTTTCTATCCGCTTGTCTTTCAAGTTGCCGTTTTCTGCAAATGTTAACAACGCCTACACCCACAGAAAACCGCCCGGCCCCCAAGCCCCATTTTGCCGCAGTGTCCATCCAACCACCAGCAGGAAAGCCCGCGCCAGCAGTCCTCCAGGCTGTCTCAACCACCGGCGCTGGTGCAGGGTCTGGATCTCTTCGTGGCGCTCGGCCCTCCCTCGTTCCTGTTTCCCGATCCTCCCATCGCATGTCCAACTTTGGCCTGAATTCGCAAGGTGCATACCAGCCCTTCGCGCTTCCTGGTGCCGGGCGGCGGCCTGAAAAGGTCCAGGAAGAAAGCGACCGGTCCGGCAGTCTTGGTTTCGGTATGACAGAGAAAGAGATCGACGACAGGGTGCGTCTTCTTTACTTCGCCGAGTTCCCCGTCGTTATCGGCGTTGCGAGTCCCTTAATTCTGACTATTCTCCGTAGATCTCCAAGGCCGTAGAAGCGGCCGTCGAAGCAGAAGTTGCTAGGCGTCTGGCTGAGCGGGAGCGACAGAGGCAGCTTGAAGAGGAAGAGCGTAGCAAGGAGGCTGCTGCTGCTGCGGAGAGCCAAGTGCGAATAACCAGGTCGCGATCGCGATCGCCTAGGAAAGAACTCAGTCTCCCGTCGGGTGTGTTGACACCCCTCCTCCAGCGGCACAAGGATCTCGATGAGGAGCTCAAGACCCGTCTCCAGGAACTGGAAAAGAAATAGTGAGTGCTTGCCGCTTTCATCCTCGGTCTTCCGTGCTGCTCTTTCCATGTTTGCGGCTGACACTCAAGGCACGTTTTCCTGTAGCGAGCGAGGCACGAAGGAGACCGCACTTGCCGACGTACTTTCTCCGGTCTCTAAGAAGAAAACGGGTCGGGCGTACGTCGCGCTGGCACGTGCGCATTCGGAGAAGTACGTTTCCGTCCAACGGATCAAACCATCCCGGAGTCGCTAATCTCATCACATACGCATAGGGGCGACCTCCGAGTCGCGCTCGACCTATATCGCAAGGCCGAGACATACGTCCCGGACAACGTCAAGCTGAAAGAGAGGTGGATACTCTTCGTCATTCACGTCTTTCTCCTTAAACTCTCTCATACCCGAACACGCATCTGATGTTTGTCCTTTTCTGCTTCTCCCTCTTTCACCCTCGGATGGTAATCCTTGGGACGCAGGATCATCGAGATCGAATGGGCCGTCAAGAACGACCGGGAGTATGTGCCCTCGCCCAAGCCTCAACGCAAGGCGAAGAAGTCCAAGAAGTCCAAGGCGAATCGGGAGAACCCAGAGCGCCGAGAGGATGCGATGGCAATGGACATCGACGACTGCGGTGCGATCGTTGGGGGCTCAAAGGACCGCAGTGCTGGAGGCGCTACGGAATCCGAATTTGGCATGGAAGTCACCAACACCGATGGCCTTAGCAAGAGCCTCAGCAAGCGTTCGTTTGCTGACACAGAAGAACGCGAGAACGGGTTTTCCACGCCGCAGAAGAGGCAGAAGCGTACCGCCTTGGGCACCACGACTCCTGGAGTGCAGGCTGGTTCTGAAGATGAGATGGAGCTGCCAACCCCAGCCAGGAAGTCTAGGCGGAAGGCCGTTGTCTAAATCAAGATTGTGGCAGAACTCCAACACGTCAAGGGATGACGGTGTGGTTGATGAAGGCCTGTTATATATTGTGTACCGTGTTTTCCCTCTTTTCTTGCATACCCAGTCTATCTGTCACATATTGTTATCATTACAGCTGTTATTTCCCGTCGCAAGCTCTACACTCTCCTTCTCATTGAATTTAAACGTTGCACTGCCTTTGAACGCACCGGCTGAAGATAACCGCGAAGTTAAGAAGTTGACCATCTGACTGACAAATGACTAGAAGTGTACTCTATTAGCTTGCTGTGTCTACAGATTCTAGACTCCACAGAACACGCCACCGGAACGTGCAGTAGCCCAGTTCCCGGACGATGGAGCCCTGTGAAAGATCTGCCACTTTCTGCTCGTTCGTCGACTTATCCTCTATGCGTGGCCAGTGACTATCGCTCTGTTATCACCCGGAGACGTCCATCTCAAAATAGACGATACTTTCTTGACCAAGCCACTTAAATCGATGTTGCTGCGCTTCACACACAATCTATATATGCACTCCCATGGTTAGCCCGTTATATGCCTGGAGTATCGAAGTCATGGCACTGGCCCAACACCAAGGACAACTACGTCCAGCAGACCCCTAATCGCAAGTCGAAGCCTGGTCCAGTCACCTTGTCCTAGCAAATGTCGTCTGTTCAAATCCCCTTATCCGACTTGGAGCGTCGCGCCAGGAACCACGCCATTCTATGCACGATCGGATTCCTCATCCTCCTGCCAATCGGTGTCCTCGTCGCAAGGTACACACGAACCCTGCCCTACAGGTGCGTCCGGCTCCGCCACTTCATTCCTCTGACAAACACAGGGAATTATTCTAACGATCGTTGGTCTGCCTTGCCCCCCAAGTTCACAGGTGGTTCTGGGCACACTGGATCACCCAGCTCCTCGTCTCCGCGCCTATCATCCTCGCGGGGTGGTCTCTGGGGTACAGGACGTCCACGGTACTCGCGCTTGGGCACTTCAAGGACCCACACCAGAAGATGGGGCTCGCGCTTCTTGTTATGTACCTCATCCAGATCGCCCTCGGCACGGCTGTCCATTTCGCCAAATTTCCGTCGCTCTTCCGAGGTCGGCGCGCGCCGCATAATTACCTGCACGTCACGCTTGGCCTCGTCATTTTCGTGTGTGCCCAATGGCAGGTGTGTTCCTTTCAGGATGATGTTCTCGGCCATGGACAGGCTTTAACCGCCGATCCATAGGTTCACTACGGCCTTTTCACGGAATGGAACTTCGCTACCGGCGGTTTGCATCGAGTCCCGACGTCGGCGAAGAATGTATGGCTGGCGCTGGTCATTGTGCGTAATATTTATATCGACTCGGCGTACTTTGCTTCATTCACTCCGGCAGGTGTTCTGGGTGCTATATGGGGCAGGAATGACGCTTATTCCCCGGCAATTCCACCAGGAGCGTCAAGCCCGTAAAATCCGAGACGACGACGACACCATCCAAAAGGATTTGGATAAAAGCAATAATAAAGCAGCCGCTTAACACGAGTGCGATGTATTTATTCTATGAAAAACGGGATACATTCGGGATAACCACAAAGAGAGAGGGAGAATTCCTATTGATACACTTTGAAACGGGTGATAGCTACAGAGGGAGAGGCGAGGTATAAGATAGCAGCAAGCGAGAAGGAAAGGACAGACCGAGGTCCGAAAGCGAATGGCGAATGTCTAGGGGCGAGGGAAAGAAACGAAAGGAAACCTATGTCGATACAGCAGGATGAGACGAGAGAGCGGATAATAGTAAGGGTATTATGGGCAGGATTGCACCGTGGGGTAGAAGAACGAACGACACGCTTGAAGCGAAATTAAGGCAAGGCGAAAAGGAACGGCGTTGGAAAAGATTGAGCTTGAGTTTGAGCTTTTAAGTCTTGATTTTTGCGTAGAATTGAACATCGTTTACGGGTATGGTGGGTTGTGGTGGGACGGCGGGAAAGCGCTGTAAGGGCTGTCGTCCTCGGCCTTGACCGTGCCCCAGTTGGGGTCGGCTGTGGTCGATGAGGTGGGTTGATTCCCATAGGCTGCCTGGCCAGAGCGGGGGATAATGTAGCGATAGGGGTCTTGCCTGTGGGCCGCGATGGGCTGTTCCACAGGACTGTTGGGGTCGGAGCGGTGCGGAGACAAAGAAGGAGCGTGTCTGTACGGAGACGGGACATAAGGAGTGGTGATGATCCTCTGCTGAGGATACTGCGCGTGTCGTGAAGGCTGCATGGCCATGGGCGTTATGGGCGACATTGGAGAGGAAGTCCCAGTGATGAAGTCGGGGAACGGCATGTCGAAGAAGAGCGCGCCCACAAGTACGGCACTCGAGTTGTGGGCTGGGTAGATGATTATTCCGCCGCCGGGGAACGAGTTCGGGGCCCAGGAAGCAACAGCAACCTTCCAAACGATAAGAATTGGGCGATACGCGAGAAAAGCAGAACATACGGTCTGGCTAGAGTAAAGGTGTGTGGATAAGGAGTGGAAGTTGCTCTTGTTGAGCGTGTGTTGGTCGGAATCGCGGAGACGCTTGGGCATAAAGGTGCAGAGCGGGAGCGGCGGCATGTAGGTCCTGAGCCACATCTCGAACTCGCGCAGAACAGGCTGCTCGTGCAGGACGCGCACGTTGAAGGTGTCCGGCCACTGCTGTGCCCTGCTGGGTCGTGTCCAAATCAGAGAGGAACCGCATCGGAAAGGATCCACATACTTTTCCCCGTCGGTCTCGACTGCAGTGACCGATATCTGATGGCTGCTGTTCCTGTCCGACGCCCTCATCCCGCTCACGAAAAACGAGCCGCGCCAGGGGGGAGGCTGGACGCGCTGATCGAAAGGGGGCGGGACAAGGGTCTCGAGGTGAGAGGGCAGACGGAAAACCATGATGTGATGAGGTTCCGGAAGTCTGAGAACTTGGCCCTTTAAACCATTTCATGATATGCCATAACAAAAGCGGAATGCCTCCGCAAGCCGGCCTCAGCGGTGCGCCAGCCTCCTCCTCCCGTCTGTCTGAATCAAGTCAAGATCTCATGGTCGCGTGGCTGGGGTAGACGTATTGTCAAGGTACCTCTCGCTCATAATTTCAAAACTCCATATGGCCTGGCGAGTCGTAATTCGTGGTATCGCACCTACAGTCGGTGGCCTGGAGACGGTATGCGATCTACGATAAACTCTTCATCCCAGCGTCAGGCTCGTCGAAAGTGGGCTTTTGTTCAAAGAGTGACAGACCTAAAGCCAGATAGGGGTCACGGTCGGAGAAACCCAAGTCTTCTGCGACCTATATTCGACATTTTCGTGTATGTTTAGAGGTACGTGATCAAGCCGAGGTCCCCTCGATCTTATCTGATGTCACCAAGATGACGCTTCCTTACTTCAGCTTGGCGCGTCAATCACAACCTTACATCCGGATACTATGCGTTATGGCGGTAGCGCACAGCGTGCGCCACAAATAAACAAGGGCGTCTAAAATCCGTGATTGACAACATGGAACACAAAACCGAATCCCAGTGCGCCTTTCAATTCGGCGTTCTAGGACTCGCACTAATCTACTTGTATACCTTTCTTGCAAGATGGTTACTGAGATCTGTCAAGACCAGACCGCCAGATATCGTTGCCATCCACGTGCATTTTGGGTTGTCCGGGCTCCCCACCTACCGTGGTGAGGGCACCAAGGGCACCTCGGACAGAACGGAAGAAGAATTTCCAACAGCTTGAGAGGCAACGGAATCCCAAATTCAAATGAACGGAACAAACCACGTTTTTGCCACGTTATGGAGACCACCCGACGAGGACGGTTCACGTGGCGGCTCCGTCGTTTGTAGATCCATAACTGGCCTTGCAGGTCCACGGGAACCTTCCACTTTCTCAGACATGAGCGACCGCGCTTAATTTACCAGAGCAACTACTTGGGTGTTGCGACACAGGGCTGCACGCGAGGTCCCTGTGATCACGTCTAATCCTGAGGCCATGTACGGGCGTAGATGCACCTTTGAGGCGGTCGTGAATTTCCTATTGCGTTATGCGATTTTCTCCCTGCTCGATCTAAAATTTTTTCAACTTTTCAGAAGGCAGAGGAAGCCGGCCACCATTGCAAGCGCTGCTTCAGCAGGGACCGTTTCCCTTCCGGAACGCGTTGGGAAGACCAGCTACCCTAAACCCACGACGACACAATTTTATTGCCTCCTTCGAAGCCTGCTCGGTGTTCAAAGGCTCAGGTTCTGGGGAGAGAGATGTTTACCAAATCGACCGAGCACACCTAGCGCCTCGTCTTAAACAATTCAATTTGTTGTCAACTTTCTCTCCACTGCTGCGTTAATCTGAAGCTGTGCTGACCAGGCCAGGCAGGGAAGTGTAAAACGGTGTAGTCCGTCTGTCCAACTTACTTTGTGGAATAAGTCCATATTTTCCATGCTGTAGCGCCGTTCCAAGGCAACCCCAGATTTCGTAAAATTTGGATGTCACTCAAGCTCGCCTCGATACAGTGCACGATTATCAAACGTCCTTGGTCGGTGGGTTCACAGGTGGATCCCGAACTCTTCTAAACGAAAGGTTGAAGACCGGAGTCTCGACCATATAGTATCTAAGCCGACCCATCTCTTGTGAGGTCTAGCCCTAGTATTATAGCAGAACATGAACGTTTGAACGCCTATTCACTCCCTGCAAACGATTAGATATGCCTGCATCAATCACCAATTGCCTTCCCGTACCTCAGTCACTTCAATCTACACCGCCACACGGTACCCCAGGCACACCCCGATCGTGTACCATGCAGTCAATTATTGGCCATTATGGACGGCCCGGTCTCCTCGTAAAGAGAAATACATACTCGACGCCGAGCTTGACTTCAACGCTGAGAACGCCGCTGACCCTGCTCCCCAGTCCTATGTATTCCTCCCCAAAGAATTCAGGCAAGTCGGGGCCTCGCCCTCTCTCTGGCGCGGTTGTCACACCCACCCATCCCCAACGGTGCGCGCCGTTGCCCCGCGCGCGGCACCACCTCGGGATTCCGTGCTGCGGTTTTCATTGTTGCCAATAGAATAGTCGTCGTCCCCATCTGCCATCGCGAAGGCGAAGCCCAAGCCTGCCCAAGCCGAAGCCCGTCGTCCTTCGACCTCGATCGCGTGTGCGGTGCCCCATCGAGTATACACCCTTGCTTCACGGAGATCGAAGTTGTGGGCGTCCCACGTGGGCGACGGCGGGCTACGCTGACAAGACAAGTTGAAGTTGTGACAGCCGCCAGGTCAAGCCGTCGGCGCTAAGTTGAAGCGTCTGGCAGCTGTGTCCAAATAACAGACGGGGGCTATATATACGACGTCCATACGTCGGTTGCATCGGCGCTCTGCTGACACGTGCACACTAGGTATGCATTGTGAATTGGGCAAGCTGAATAGCGTGCTGTAGTTTTAACGTGCACTCGAGGTCGGCGGGGAGTATGACGGCATACTCGTATCCAGCGAACGCCACAGAAGCACTGATTGTTGTGGAAATATTCCTATTTGAGGAAGTCGGGAAGAAAGTGATGACACGGCCATCGCGCAGATGTCGTTGGACGAAAATAGATTGTATTACGGCGCACGAGACGTCTCTTCTCCGCGGGTGCCAGGGAAGCCTTGCAGTGATCGCCGTGTCGTACAAGCATTCTATACGTTGACCTGAACTTTGAATAGCGAGTTGAACTGTGCATAGCAGAAGTCACAAATTGAGTGGGATGATATTGTCAGTTATGTATAGTATAGAAACATAAGATAGATATATCACATAGTCCTACTGTTCGATTAGTACCAGACATGGCCATAGATGAGAGTAATTCATAGAGATAAGGAGTCCAGAAATGTGAGATATCCAAACATATCAGTCGAATCTGGGTCGAGTCCGTCAGAATCGTGGGATAGATGCCGGGCGTGGCGCATTGATGACATCAGCCTGCGTATCGGCATTAGGCGCCGAAGAAGCCTGGGCCGACGCGATCTATGGGCCAACATTAGAGAATTGTGGTCAAGGAAGAGCGGAATATAACGCACCGTCTTGTCCAGATCTCCAAACAATTTCGCCTGTCCCTCCTTCATCCTCACAAACGAGGCCTTCAACGCTACTATCGTCCTCTCATCTGCCTCCTTCGCGATCTTGAAGGCACGGAGCTCCCCCTCGAGCTCCTGAGTTTTCCCGACACGCGCTACCAAATCGGCTTCAAGCGCGGCCCGCTCCTCCTCTCCTGCTTTCAACTCGGCGTTGGCATTCGCTATGTCCGCGATCTTCTCCGCCAAGTCCTTCCGCAACGCCCCCTGCTCCGCCTCAGCCGTTCGTAGCTGCGAGCTAAGTCCGTCGGCTCGGCTCCTTGCGGAATCGAGGGAAGTCTGGAGGTCAATGATCTGCGCTGAGAGTGACCTGCGTTCGGCTTCGTGTCGCTGTCCATCGGCAAGCCTCGCTGTTTCTGTCGTCGTGAGTCGGCGCTGGGTGCCCTCGAACTCGCCTTGGAGTTTGTGGATCGCGTCGTCCTTCGCACGCAGCTCATCTTTCAAGCCTCTGACTGTGAGACGCAGGGCCTCCGCATCGCGTTCCTTAGAAGAGATCTCGCCGTCTTTCGCAGCCAGTTCCTCTTCGAGACGTCGGTGGTGCGCTTCCTCCACTTCAACCTGGGTCCTTGTATCGGCAAGCGTCGCCTCGACGTTCCCGGCGGCCGTTTTGACAAGGGAAAGGTCGAGAGAGAGCGCTGCCGCCATGGCTTCCGCGTCTGTCAACTTCGCCGAGATCGCCTCGACCGACGACTCCGCGCCTCCCAACCGTGTGGAAAGGCGCTCGACTTCGGCGTCCCTGTCGCGGAGACGGTTCTCAAGATCGACCAAGGCTTCTCGTTGTTGTTGAAGCTCTGACTTGTACTTTGAGAGCGATTCCTCGAGCTTCGCACCAGTTTCGCGTAGCATCTGGACCTCGTTGGCCGAGTTCTCAAGAGACTCGATGAGAGCGTGGATTTTTGCTTTCTTCTCCACTTCGGAGAGCTCGAGTGACGCGATCTCATTCTTCGCAGCCTTCAGCAGGGTTGCCAGGCTGTCTTTCTCACTCTTGACGTTGATGTATTCGATACGGCTCTGCTCAAGCTCAGACTCAAGGCGAGCGTTCGCGGATTCCAGAAGAGTCAGGCGATTCTTGAACCCTTCGCCCTCAGCGCGCAGGCTCTCGACAACACCCTGCAACGTAGCAAGCTCGGTATCCCGAGCGGTCACCTTTTCTTCTGCCTGTCTCCATGACTGGTTCATCCCGGTGACCTCGGCACGCAAGGTGTCGCCGATCGCGTCGCGCTCGCGTACCATAGACTCAAGCGACTGCACCGTCTTCTCCAGCACGGTAACCTCGCCTGTCTTCCCGGCGATCAGCGTCTGCAGGGTCTGTACCTCGGCCTTCAATGACGCGACGAGGGCGGGCCCATCGTCGCTCGAGACCGTCGGGTTAGCAGAGTCTCCCATGTCGAAGTCAGGGAGCTCGACGTCTCTCTCATTGTAAGGCACATCTCTTTCTGGGGAGCTCGGAGCGGGAGTCGGTTGCTTGCTTACAACAGGGATGAAGGAGCCCGATTCAGTACGAACGACGCCTCCGGGATACTGTCGAGAAGTGACAACGTTCGTCTGACGTGGAGGGGTGGCCGGCCTTGCGAAATTCCTTGGGAAAGTAATCAGGATTAGAGTTACTTTCAAGATAGACCTTCATACTCGGGAGTGGCATAACGGCCGGAGCTGATGCTTTCCGTCTCGGAGCGTCGTCTTGCTAAAGCAAGCTGCTGTCTTAGGCTTTCAAGTTCTTCGTCGCGTTCCTTCAGCTCTTCTCGGAGCTGAGTGGTAACAACTTCATCGTCATCGTCGAGGTCTGTCAAAGGTGATGTATCTCGTAAAAGCACATGGGCCCTCTGCAAAGTAGCTAGTTCCGCTTTCAGCTGCAGAAACACCCTCGATCAGTTTGTGCCACCAGCAACCTAGAGCTCGGCGTACCTCCGCCTTCGTCATTCTAGACACAGGCTTCTTCCCGCCAGCGAACGATACTCTCGGACGCTTCCTGGCAGACGCGGACTTTGTTGGAGAGTCTCCTGCCATAGAGCCCGGGACGGTGGAAGGACGACGGGAACGCTTCAAACCTTGAGATGTAACTTCCTTCCAAACAGAGTCTTCTTGATACCTGTCTGGAGATATTCCGCCAAGAGATAGCCTCAGGGATTTTCGAGCATTCATAATGCTAGAAATTGTGTCAGCCAGTTGGGTTTGAATGAGGGTCGTTCAGCACGCACGCTTTCTTTCCTTTCTGCGTCAATGCCACACTTCCGGCAGCAGGGGCTGGCTCCAGAATTTCCTCCTCCTCCTGCATGTATTTGCGTTGATTCGACAACTCGATGACTCCAAGTTGATTGAAATTTGAGATTACTTACGAGTTTTGCCACAGCCTTAGTCACCCACTGGCTCCAATTTGGCCCAAGCTTGTCCTTCTTCTCCTGCGCATTCTTCTTTACTACGGACGAGAGTGAGAACCTGAGCGGAACCAAGAAGGTATAGAATACCTTGAGCCCTTATACTCGCCAGATGAACTGTATGCCTCTTCTGTTCCTTCTGAATTTGACCGAACGCCCCTAGGACGCCTGTGTTCCGTTGGTCAGTTGTTGGTCCTTGCCGCTTCCCGAACTAACTCACGTTCAGCGTACGTAGGCTTGACCGCCTTCGAAGATCTTGTGGAGACCATAAGGTAAGTGGCAGTAGGAGATGGTGGTCGATGGTAGAACGCGTGTCAGGGTCGCGTCGGGCTACTTAAAGACTCCATTGACGTCATGTGACTCCAAAAGATGAGTCGGGACCGACGGTTTGGCCAAATATGGGAACCGCGCCCAAAGCGTGAGTCACCCAGCCAGGCCCCGCACAAGAAAGAGGAGAAGAAATGGAGATGGAAATTTATGACTCAGGGCGGGGCGCACAAGTCGGAAAGACAGTCAATTTACTAGTTTCGACGTTTATTGAGCTTGTAGGAGTACCGGCCGACATACACTTGCTTACATAAAGGGAAGAAGTCATAAGCTTAACAAGTTTTCGGCAGCCGCTGGAGTACGCTCAAGAACTCACCCTGACTGGCCAACTCATAGCATGAAGACGTTCAATAAAAAGGTGACAACGAATTTTACACGAGGCTCGACTATCGCAGATGCAAAAATACGACATTTTCATCCGCAAAGGTTCTTCTTAATCGCCGATGCGAGTGCCATTTTTATCTGCGCATTGGAACCACACGCTGCACGGAGGAAAGATACCATCTGGTTCATCGCCAGCGTCCTTCAAAAGCAAGGCAACGACACCGTGAGGAGGCACGTCGTGCGCAGTAAAGTTCCGGACAGCCGTTCCGTTGTCTGTGTGCGACCAGAGGTCCTAGAAGAGGAGACAAGGATTTGTTGAACAAGTCGATCAGGCCGTTGTTTCTACTTACCCTAACAGAGTATTGACGACCAGCACGGATCCAGGGGGACTCCGTCAAATTGAATGTCATCGTAGATGGTTCGTTCAGGGTGTTCAGCTAAACGCTTGCGATTAGTCACAAGTCGGAAAGGCCGAGTGTGGTACATACCAGCATGAAGACAGTACCATCTTGCGTCGGACCACTCCAATACTGCGCAGGGTGCGTGCTGTTACTGGTCCAGTCAGGCTACCCGATAATGTCAACCAATGAACCCAAGAGAGACGAGAAAAAAATGCCACTCGCGTTGATTCCCCACCGGAAAGGCGAGACACTTTTTCCTATGACCGGATCTTGGTTGATTGCCAGAATCTCGGTGTTTTTCAAGATATCGAGAATTTCAGGATCGATGGACCGGAGCTACACAGAATTTGAGTGTTCAGTGGAAGAACCACAAGGGAAATGAGTATATACGTCTGTTCCAATCTGCGAAGAAACTGTTAGCCTACCTATTCTTGAGAAAGTTACATGTACCCACTAGAAGTGGCGACTTCATCAATGCCCAAGCCGTGAAGTGAGACTTCGCTTCCTCATATGTGAGGCCGCCATTCCCGCTGGACGATGGAAGGAATCAGATTGGCATTCGCTATTGCACTGGAACGATCCTACAGTTGAAGCTAGGAGGAGGAGTTTGGTTATCTGGCCCCGTTGACAAGCAAACTGGTCTACGCACCATGTCGAGATCATTGCGGCCGTAGAAGTCAGTGGCCTGAGTGATGAAAGAGTTGCTAGAAGGAACTCAGAACATGTCGAGGACGAGTTAGAAGCCACCCACAAGTTGATGATGAAGGCCAACGAATTCCAGTTCGCCGCGATATCGCCAGTAGTCTAGATCCAACATTACTACAAAAAGCACATTGACGAAGATCGAGAGCAGGAGTACCCTCCAGCTATGTCCTAACTCAGCGCCCCAGCTTTATTTTCGTGAGTAATGGACTAGAATAGAACGAAAATCGATGAACATACAGCCAGACTTGACTCTGGTGTAATTGTTAGCGCAAATAACGAGACAAACTTCATTCGGCTTACCCAGCCCCATTCGCACAACGAGAAGACAATCTCCCTTCCTACTGATTTTCCGACTTCTGCCAGGGCGTCCCTCATGCGCTCGTAACCTAAGTATCCATCACTATTTGCGAAGGTATGACTGAAATGGAGGAACTAACGTCCGATGATGCCAGTGCGGGTAATGCTATCGAACGGGACTGCGTCAAGCAGATGTCAGAGTGGGATTCAATTGCAACGAAAAGTCGCAACCCACTATTACAGTTGTCATATCTGTTGAATGGAGTGGAATGAACAATAAACGGGCAATCGATTGAGCAAGACACCCACTTCAGATAATCAAAGCCCCAGTTGGCAAATGTTTGCGCATCACGGAGTTCGTTCCCATATGATCCCGGGTAGCCTGCACAAGTAAACCAGCCCGCGTCGCTGTACTGGAACACGAAGATCACGCTCAAAATAAAAGTAGGAAGTCAAAAATGGAGAGCACCGACAATGCCTGTTTTGCTACAAGGTCGCCATCGTCATTTCATCCATTCGAAAGCAAGAGTTGCAGGACGTACAATCCTAACGCGTGGATCTGCTCGTTTAGTTTCACCATTCCGCCTCCGAAACGAACTTGGTCTAACCCCCAACGGAGTTAGAAAGAACGACTGTAGAGGCATCTGGAGAGGCACCTTCAATGATATCGCCGTTTTCGGTTCGATTCCTCTCGGAGTAGCAATCATCGATGTTAACATAGTTGTATCCCACATCCTAGAGATTTCGTGCGCAAGAGCCCGTGATCAGTACGCATTTCTTAAAATTGCACGACTTCGAAGGCGCACCTGCAGGCCAAGGGATTTCATCAATTGGGCCGTCGTCAATATAAGGTCCTCATCGATGTCGCACTATTGGGTTTTTGTTAGACTAGCTCTGTGAACGAGCGAGGCGGGATTCCTACAAAAAAGCGGTTCCATGCTGTGGACGAAGCGAGGCTTCATGTATTATGCGATGCAAGTCTGGAAAGCACAATGAAAACGAACTATTGTAGCCTAGAACTGTAGTAGAGTAATGAGCGCGAGTTATTGAAGGACGGTCCCATAGGAGGCTCACTAGGAAGACGCGCGACACCATTATTCAAAGCGATAACGGGGGGAACAGAGTTGAATGCGAGCAAGCCAGCCGCGGCGGCCAAAACAGAGGCGACGAACGTCATGGGTCAGTTATTCGAATCGTACCATCGCCTCTCTTTTTATACAGACTCCTTACCTTCCCTGTATACGTTGAACCGTTTGAATGACTAGCCCTTCTCCCCGATCGGCACGCCCTTGACAGCTCGGCTGAGGTCTTCGTCGATTGTAGGGGCATCTGGCCTTTGGGACTCGTGAGCGCATATTATGCAGCGAAGTCGAAGCGCCGACAGTCTCATGATCAACTCAGATGCTGGAAGGTGTTCTCCGAGCAACCCCCGGACCATGTCAGTTCCTTGAGCATCCAGAGGTGTTCCACTAGAGAAGAGCGTGTGCATAAAGAACATGGAAGGGTTCCACCCCCGCGAAGAATGTGGTGAGCCTCACTTGGAGATATCCTGCTGACAGCGCTCAGTGAGTAGTATTTGGAGAGCCAGCGTGCTTCATCCTTCATCTTTCCATAGGCTTTCTAGCATGTGGAGTGGCGAACAGAGGCCTAAGACAAAAGGCTTTCGGAAATTCTAGGGCATTAGAAGGTCGACCGCAGGCCGACCGTGAAGCAGAAGCAGCCTGTCCTGGGACTGCGGGCGCGGGTGCTGAAACGAAATCATACTGGGAGGGAATATAGACGTTAGGAAGGCACTCATGGAAGCAAAGAACGATAGCGCAACAGGACCGAGAATAACAACCCTCCTGTAGTCCCCGACGAGTTTCTTTCCCATGAGGTCACATGCGGACGCCGGACCGCCTGGCTTTGGAGTCGAAGCCGCCCCTTCTGTTCCTCTACAGGATTCCTGACGGTAGAGAAGTGAGTTCTGACTTGCTATGTATCATGTACGTTTTCATATACTGTCGAGGTAAGTAATCAAATTCGAAGTGGTGCCGCATCGAAATCGAGGGCGGCCAAACCAGCTGATCCTGAAGGGAAGGACCGGTTTAACTCACATGAGAGTTCTTAGTGAAGGTGCCCTATGGTTGCTGCCTTCCAATATGCAATGGAGAGTGCAACATGATCGGAGAAGCAGTATTGCCTACAACAAGAGAATCAGAAAAATGGGGGAATAAGCATAAGGATTCAACTCGAGCGAAGAATTCCGCCTTAGGCAATGCAGGACTGCTAACGTCGCAACTGCGAGTGCTGGTTCACTAGATCGTAATGGAAGTCCACATGCGGAAGTCCAGCCATGATGATACTAAGATTAAACATGATAGCAGCATACCAATACAATGACAAAGATACAACTCAGCGAATTATGAAGACGCAGCTGCTCTTGCCCGAGCGAGGACGGCTGCCACCAGACCGTGTACGTCGTTTAATTGTATATGCGCGTCTATTAGATCGCCAAGGTCAACTCCCAGCTCCTCTAAACCAGAGACCTGAGCATCGGCGAGGCGTCGTGTATCTGGAGCGAAAATTAGGGATATGACCACACGGTGAGGTGATGCAGGAGGTGGTGCATCGACTTTGTATGTTAGCCGCAGCTCGTTTTCTGACTCGGACGACGAGTCTTCAAGGTTGCAGATCGAGCGTTGGAGAGTTAGCGAGGCAGTGTACCTGCAGAAAGGAGGGTGGTGAGAAAAGCAAATCGCTGGACAGCTCATGTACTTACCAATCGCATAGTGGCACCAGGCGGCTATCTTCCTCGTCGCCCTGCAAGGCTTTGACAGACTTCTGAGCCTCCGCCGCTTCCGTCCGCAATTCCTCTACCTCCAGTGTCCCGGCCCTTACTCGTCCCTTCTCCGTTTTGGCCTTCTGCTTCAGCGACTGAACGTCGTCGCTCAACGTCTGCATCTCCGTTACCTGGTCGGCGAGTTTCTGTTCAGCGAGTGGGATCGTCAGCCGCGGTGGCGGATGTGTCTGACGGAGGACCATCAGGGATGTCCGAGCGTCGATAATCTTCTGTGAGAGGAAAGCAGCTCTGTCGGTGGCTTGCTTGACGCGTTGGTAATCTACAAGAACGAGGTAAAAAGTTTGCCTTCCGACAGAGTGGGAACACACACCTTGTTCGACCATGGGTGCCAGGAGCCTGATGTTGCTTTGCACCTCCGCCAGATTACCCTTCGCGGCCTTCAGCTTCTCCTTCTTCTCTTCGTTCACCAAGGCCAAATCTTTGTTCTGCTCCGCGGTAACGATAGGCGCGTCGTCGATATCGCTCACGATAGACTTGACATATTTGTCCTTGGCGTTTTGCTCCAGGTATTGAAACTTCAGCTTGCGTAGATATGCCTACAGCGCGGGTTAGACACTGGACAGAGCAGGTAAGGATAGGCCACGCACGATTTGGGCAGCAAGGTCCATGGCTACTATCGCAGGATCCTTGTTCGTTGCTCCCTCTCCTTCTAGCTCCTCATCTTCCTCTTTCCGATGTGCATTGAATACTGCCACTTTCTTCACGAGTTGAAGATTGGCGGCCTGCAGTCGTGCTTGCACCTGCCTCGCAGCTTGAACATTCTTCCCTGGCTCGACAGATAGCTCTAGTGATGGTCGTGACATCTAAAGAGAGGCAATTAGGGGAGGGAACAGCGTTTATCAAACATTGCTTTACAATCTTGTTGCGCACAAAACGACGGAAATAGGTAGGTTAAAGCAAGGGGTCGGTATGAGTGAGGAGAGGTGAGGAGCGAACGCAAGTTGCAAACGACCGTGACTGGTCAACGCGTCTGTCACGTGCCACCGTCACTTCGACGCGTTCCGGGAGATCGGGCCGGCATCTCCAGTGCCTCTCTTTGGAGAAGAAGTTGCAGAAGAAGAAACGAGCAAGGACGGCCGCGGCAGGAATTGAGCCAGAAATATGAGCCATAAGTAAGGCCTAATGAATAAACACATCTCACACTCCTTCGAGCTTCTCTTACAGGTTTTTTTTAAAGCGGGAAATGCCACGAGAATTCTAGGCATCACGCTGCCGCTACACCTCTGTGCAGCAGTCGTCAAACGCTCTTATCCTTACGAGCGTTTGCAGTTTATGCCCTATGACATAAGATAAGTGATGATGATAAGGATTTATTTACCGTGATTTTCGGCCAAGATGTTGCTCTATTTTGTCCCCTTCGTTTGTCTCTTTGACCAGTCATTAGAATCGCCAACCTGCCTCCTAACAATACTAATGATACTAAGCCTATCCTGGTCACGGTCGGTCAACCTCTTTTATTCAGGTGAGCTCGGGAAAGCGAAGGAGCACTGTTGACAATTCGTATATCCGAAGCAGGCTTTAGTTGAGTTCTGCCGTTAAATCAAAACCCTTAACCTCGGCACCTCAACTGGCACAGGGAAGCGCGATCTCGAGGACTACGTTGAGGACCTGGCAGTCCGCAGCTACGAGGAATTCGACGGGCTTGATTAATAGACTTAATTAGACACTTAGGTGATAGTTTAACGGTACCAACTACGACAAGGTTGTAATCATGCTGATATTCGGTCTCGAGTCCAGAATTTTATTTGGATGAAACAAAACCACTCTTCTGCATGAACGTCACTGCGAGTTCGAGGTCTCTCCTCGGACATTCCATTAATGCCGAACAACGAGACTCCAGTGAAGTCACTTGGGTTCAATATCAGTCAAGACACACCTCGGAAATCTCTGACAGGCGCCCAAGGGAAGCCTACAGCATCTAGTGACGTCATTAATATGTCTGTCACGTGCGGGATGACCGGGGTCCTCCTGAGGTGTTGGCGTCGCCCAGTCTGGTGCCCAAACATTGTGCACTCACCATCACCACCATCGTCGACGAGGGCGCATTTTCTGCTAAAAGCTCGCTTTTGAACCCCGTAGCGATTGTCGGCGTAGATTGACACTTTGAGTTCATCCGAACTGCGCAATCGGCCTTCCAACTCCAAACGGGAAGCTACTCTTTCCGGAGACACGATAATCAAGCCCTCATTAGGCCACACGTCATTCGGAAGGCGGAATACGGAACGCTTGGAGATACGCAATGGAATATGAATATGGAAAAGGTGAGGATTCCATGCCGTTGGTGTCGCGTTCATGACTGACTTGTGGAAGATGGTGCGGCCGTCTACGCACCGTTGATGCAAAATGAGGGCGACTCGTCGCGCGACATATTGCCTACAGGTCATTCAAATCCTTACTTCTGCATTCCGGTCTCTGTTGACGCTGCATTCAGCGGAAAATGGCTCCTACGGACATTCCGATAACCGACATTCAGAGGGAACCTATTCCCCGCGTCCTGGCCAATGTACGACTTCAGGTTCATGAAGGCGTGCCAAGAAACTAATCGAGCTTAAATAGACAATGGCTCGTTGCATATTGGCGGAGATCCTGGTGTGTTCTGCTGTTTAGCAAACGGCAAGTCTGACTTACCGAGCAACGACGATCCCAGCCTCGACATCTTGTTTCCGGACAGGTGCGTTCCATACTTCATGTACATACGTCATGAACTGATGTAATGCTCTCTTCTCGAAGAAATTCCATATGCAGTTGGCGGCCCAGGTATCGCAGCGGGCTTCGAACCGTCTTCAAGTGGGTCATAAGCCTTCAAGTTCGAGATTCGATTCTCACTTTACGTCTTAGCGAAGAAATTATCCGATTTCCGACTTGTTCTTGTCTTCACGCCGGTGACAATTGGACTGACGATCGCCTTTGTGCTGGTTGCCTGTGTGATTGGATCCCAGAGTCTTGGAAGCACGCCTGTCACCACCAGCCCGGTTGTTGACACTGGCAATGGCGTCGGTCGATTACCCTGTACGTTCATGTATCAGAACACCGACCGCCATTTGCTAACTGCTCTGCTGCCAGTTATGGGATACAACAGTAAGCACCAGGTTTAACGAGTTTTGAAATCGACAATCACTCATTTACGAATTCAGCATGGAATGCATACTACGTATGTCTATATCACTCGGGGTTTCAGAATCACTAACGGTATTTCATAGTGCAACATCAATGAAACCCTCATTCAGGAGACAGCCGGTTATATGAAATTGCTGGGTCTTCTGGTAATCGTTTTATCTGACACCGGCGAATTAGTTCATAGAACATTCCTTTTTCAGGGCGTTGGGTACAATTACATGAACATCGACGACTGTTACTCGGAGAAAAAGCGGAGTCCTTCAGGCGACATTGTTGCCAGTGCGTGTTCTTTGCGGCTCATAGTCACTGCGGCTCGTCCACCATGATATTCAGGTAAAGAGAAGTTCCCTTCCGGGATGAGGGCTCTCACCGATCGCCTTCACACTATGGGCTTGTACGGGCTCGCACTTACCCAATTCTGAAACTAGCACTAATTCATCCCGCTGTCGTATAGCAAAACCGGGATCGTAAGTAGCGTCTCACATGTAGGGACGACCGTGCTGATATGCCGGCGTTCAGTATAGCGATTCAGGCTGGTTCACATGTCAACTCTATCCCGGGTCATACATGAACGAGGACAGGTACAGTTTCACCCCAGCACCCCAAAACCGACGGCACATATTCACCCTCTTTCTTCCATCAGAGACGTCAAGCTGTTCAGAGAAGACTGGGGGTTTGATCTGCTCAAGTGCGTGTGTTCCGTAATAGGTCATGCGGGTTATGACTAACGGTAGCGCCCATCCACCCAGGTATGACAATTGCGCCGGTAATTCCCGCGGGTTATTTGGCGCCCTTACAGAAATAGTGACTCTTAAAACCCTGTCTAGTCCCGTACGACGAGGTCGTCAAGGAAGGCATGGTCGGAAGTGAGTCAGCCCGCCCCGCCCTTGGCACTCGGGAGAATCGTCACTGACGATGTTTTGATACGAACGAAGAATTCACCCGGATGTCGAATGCGATTAAGAGGCAGAGCGAGCGGTCTGGGAAGCCGCCCATATTGTTCTCGCTCTGCCAGTGGGGTCGGGTGGGAGATTTCCCGCGCCGTTTGCGTGACTCTCGGTCCTGATGCTGGACTGTCGTATTTTTAGCAACAACCGTGGTTATGGGCTAAGCAGCTTGGCCAAACTTGGAGGGTGCGCGCTCTCCTTGACAGGCTTTTTCTGATTGACCGCTTCAGCTGATCATTACCACTACTCTATCGAACAGACGACGGACGACATTGGTCGGTGTATCTTATCGAGAGATCGAGTCGTTGCCTGGTAATTAACTCTGGGAACCACCGTCTAGGCGCGAACTGGCATTCCCTTACGAACATCATAAACAAGTAAGGTTTATTCTTATCCTCGCAGAAATAAAATTTCGATCCCTCCTTCTGTGGCTAGAAACTCGTTCATTGCCTCCGTATCTGACTTCTACGGGCATAACGACATGGATATCGTAAGACGCACTCTTTCTACGCGCCTTCGTTCTGACCGGTAATACGGCGTTTAAGCTCGAAGTGTACGTTACCTCTCGTATTCGCTACCTTGCGATAAGGCTAATCCTTTGGCTCCAGTGGCAATGGCGACCTCACGTACGAGGAAGCGAAATCCCACTTTACTGCCTGGGCACTGATGAAATCCCCCTTGTTGATCGTTGAGTCCAGCTGCTTTTCCGCGTCGGCCGGGGCCTGCTAACGGTATCTGCGCTTTTCTTAGAGCACCGATGTGAGTTGCCTCCGAAGACCCCGTGTGTATACGAGGCGGCGGCTCATTCTCTCCTCCTTTTCAGTTGTCCAAGATCACAGAACAGACGCTCAGCATTCTCAAGAACAAAGAAATCATCGCCATAAATCAAGATCCCGTCGTCGGGACTTCGATCACACCTTTCCGATGGGGCGTCAACGTAAGTAAATGAGTAGAGTAGCTCGAGAGACAGAGGCTCTGCCTCATCATCGCCATGATGAGGAAGGCAGAGCTTCAGTTTCAATTTTGTTCGTTGCGGTATTAGAGGCCGTCGCTGACCGCTCCGATACAGCCGGACTGGACATCGAATCGCACGCACCCTGCCGTGTTCTGGAGCGGCCAAAGCCAAAACGGCACCGTTTTTATGCTCGTAAGTTTCCTTCTGCTGCTTGGTCTGCTCCTTTTGTGCCGGTCCATGCAAAAGAATTGGTGCTCAGTGTGCTCATATGAAATGGAAACCTCCTTTCCTCCTTCCCTTCCTCTTTATGTAGCTCAACGTGCTTGACACGCCTGCGGACTTGTCCTTCACGTTGGTCGAGTCACCGTGGATGCGTGCGGGGAGACAGTACTCCGTCAGGGTTCGTTGGTTTTTCCTATTTGTTCTTAGCTTCTCCTGATTGGTGTGCGCGTGCATGCAGGACCTATGGACCCATACCGATAACGGCACGGCCGTCCGCAACTTCACGGCGCGTGCAGTGCCTGCGCATGGCGTCGTGGCTCTGCTGATGAAGGATGCCGGGGACGAGCCTGAGGGAACGATGCCTCCATGCGCGATCGAAGAGTGGTGCATGGGGGAAGATGGAACCAAGGTCGACCCACATATAAACTGAAAAGCACGAGGCTAGCGCTCTTGTACTCTACATACATACATACGGCTGCCACTCTCCATTGCGTTGTATTGCTCTGAGTTGCGTTCCCGTTCTCATTACGGCGCTGTTCGTTCGTTATATTAGAGAATAATATAATTGATCAGGGTATGAATGGATATGAGATGGAACATGTGGATAGGCCTAGGATACGACTGTGTGCAGAGAGCAAATGATACGATATGGTACTACGGTACTGTATACATGTAAGTATGGCTGAGTGGATGGATAACTATACTATGCGACATGGAAAGCAAGATGACGAAAACATGAAGAGCGAGAAGAGGGGGGAATATAGAGTACATGCCGAACCTCGAGAGTACGGTTGGTGAGGGTCTGCAGTGGTGAGGGTCTGCCGGAGTGCGGCGCGACGGAGACGGGGTTGCGGTGGGGGTTGCGGTGAATAGAGTAGAGGAATTCAATCGAGAAGGCGCAGGGGTGTTTCGTTAACCTTAGCGTTGAAAGAACAGAAGCCAGGGATCGTTCGTTCGAACAAAGGCAAGCTAAATTGCAGAATACGTCCCTGCGAACGAGTCACGAAAGGGGTGGGGAGGGCGGCTCGGTCAGATGGGCCTCCAGGCAAAATGGAAATCAAGCGGAACAATACTCACAGATTCTCGCAGTGCTATCGCCGCTCCCCGTCGCGAGCATCCCGCCAAGGGGGTTAATATCGAGAGAGATGACTGTATCACGCCGGCGCAATTACGTGTCAGCGAAGATCGTCCATGTGGCCTGTTCTGTTTTCTGCTCATCTGTACGCCGACAGCAGGCGCATAAAATAGAACAGAACAGAACACGGGGAGGGGCAAGGAAATGGAAGGGATGCGTACCCGAGTTTTTGTGCCCCTGTAGGATGAACTGCAGCGCGGCGTTGCGCGGGTCCCAGACGTGCACCGTCCGATCCTTGGATCCCGAGACGACCCACCGGCTATCATTCGAAATGGCCACCGAAAGCACGAAGTCCTGCACGAAAGAAAATACGCGACGCGGCGATGGCGAGGCGAGGCCAGACGAGCAGAGAGCGTTAGAACAGGCAATCTCCCAAACGTGCAAAATGAAGAGAAAAAGTCCCCGGATTGGAAATGAAGGCCTGTCAGATGATGCGCTGACTTGGCGTGCGGGAATATAATAATTGGATGGATGGATAGGTGGGGCAGTGGGCAGTGGGTATGGATAGTCCTAATGGCGGTCGGACTGCGGATGAAGGGGGAGATGAAAAGAGATGAATGGATAAAAAACGCACCTTGTGACCGACAAAAGTGAGCAAGGGAGAGTTGGTGGGTACGTCCGCCATATTAATGGGGGGAGGCGCAGGCGTCGGTCCGCGACTGCTCGCTGGGTCCTGCTTGACGATCTTCGACACAACGCCTGACACGTCCCAAAATCGCAGCGTCTTGTCCAAGCTCCCACTCAGGATACCCTTCCCATCCGGGGTGAACGCGACGCTGTACACACTGTCCTCGTGGCCCTTCAGTCTCTCCAACAAAGCCCCAGTGACGATATCCCACACGCGGACGACGGCGTCCAGACTTCCAGCAGCGACGAGGCGCCCGTCGGGAGAGATAGCGACGGAGGTGACCCCCGCGTCCTCGTTGAGTGCATCCGCCTCGCTGATGGTGAGCGTCCGACAGCTCTGCGTCCCAATACTCCAGATACGCATCGTCTTGTCGCCTGACCCCGAGACGATATACCGGCCGTCGCGTGAAAAGTCAAGCGAGTAGATCTCCTGCTGGTGTCCGTCGAAGACGTGCAGAATTCGGCGTGTTTCGATGTCCCACACCTGATTATGATGGCAAAAGAGGTGTGAATGAGCGGATGAATGGATCCATGAAAAAGACGGAATCATGATTGGGCGTCAGACAACGTTGATCCAAGCCGTCCGTTGATTGTTCCCGGAGATGATGAAGCAGAAAAACGACAACAAAAAAAATAGTACGCACCCTGATCTTGCGATCTTCTGCTCCAGTTGCTAGTAGCTTGCCATCTGGGCTGAATCTTACGCTCCGGATGTAGAGGTCGCCTAGCGGAGGGGCAGTTTCGTCCTCCACCACGCTGGAACACATGAAAGGGCGAACGCGAAAGCGGATAAATGAGCTCTTTGCATGCATAGGTGTTAACGATCTGTGAGTGGGGTACTCACCAGAGCTTCTTCCCCGTATGGACATCGAATATCTGTGCGGTTCGGTTGCACCCCGTCGCGACGAGCCGTCCATCAGCGGAGAACTGCACACAACATACGACCCTAGAGAATTCAAAGAAGCCATGGCGGAAAAAGGTTAATTAGCATCATTCAACGTTATGGTTCCGCGGACCGGGAGCTGTGATAGGACGGGAGCAAAAGCCACTTACGAGCTGTGGTTGAAGGTATGGAGGAGATTGACGTCGAGCGCTTTCTTTACCTTGGGGTTGTACACCGCGCACCAGTCGTTGCCTTCCTTCTTGAATTCCGGGGGAACAGTGTGGATGCTGAGCTCGTCGATGTCTGGGCCAGGCGCGTTGGCGTTCATTGGCGGAAGCGCGTGCGCCGACGGTCCAGAGGCCACTCGATGGATCCCCGACGGGTTGCTGAACGCCGGCTGCTGCTGCTGCTGCTGGGACGCGAGCGGCTTTACCGACGGACCCAGACCAGGGTGGTGGCCTATCGGTGATGGGTACGAATCTACGTGAATCACATCGACAGTCAGCACGGTAATAATGACGAGGACAGGAACGGAAAAGAGGGTGGAGCCTCTCGGGAGCACACACACCGCCGTTAATGAAAAAACATAAGATACGTACCCAGCGGTTCCCCTCGTGCCTTGTGTCGTTTTGGGTCGCGCCGATCCGAGAGTCGGTCCGTGTCTCGGTCAGAGTCGAGCTGCTGTTGCAGCAGCAGCCCACCGTCCTCCCTCGGGCCCCCAGCCCCAACAAGCTTCGGCCTCCCATCACGATCCAGGCTGGACAAGCTACTCTCGCGGCCAACAGGCAAACGGTCTCGGTCTCGCGTCGTCGTCGTTGTTCGGGTGCTGTAATTCCGCTGCTGGTGTTGCTGGTGGGCGTCTGCCATGGAGGTCGAGGTCGATGCGGAGTGGAAGGCGTGTGGTGAGCCACCACCGGGGCCGCCGAGGGCCCTTGGACTGTGCCCGGGGATCCCTTGAGGGACACCCAGGGAGCGCGCGGCCATCACCTCCGCGCGGAGACGGGTAATCTCGTCCTCGTATTCGAGGCGGACGCGGGACTGTGAGCGCTCGAGCTCGAAGAGCGACCGGCGGACGTTGGCGAGTTCGTCCACCTGCGCCTCCACTGGTCACGGCACACCACGCGAAGGATTAATTAGGCAAGTAGTGTACGACGGCGCGCGACGGCCACTCACACTTCATCTCCAGCTCGTCGCGTTGGCTGCGTATACTGTTCAGCTCGGTCTGCAGGGATTCGTAGCCGTTTCTGATGGCATCGAGGGAATCATTGAGGGAGAAGGGGGCGTTTGAAGGCCCAGCACCCGGTGGGGGGTTCACGCGCACGCCGCTGGGCTGCATTGGCCGGTGCTGGGTATGTGTAGGAAAGGCGTCAGCGTATTAAAAGCAATAAAACGGCGCAGGAGACGCACATTGTAGACCGGAGGATTTGCCGACATCCTATATCAACGGACTTTGCAACGGGGCCTTCCAAGTGATGCAAGATGACGGGGGGACGGTGGACGTGGTGATCTTCGAGTTGCTGGGGGACCGAAGGGGGGAGAGTTATGGGGAGGCGTGCAGCCGCGTGTTGTGGAAGGGGAAGAGGGGAGCAAGAAAGGGTTCTGCTATTTCATTCCAGTGTAAATATATATGGCCAGGAATGAAATCGCCGGAAAAGATGTCACGATTCAGCTGGGCAGATGAGATCGCGGATTCAAAAACAGAGTGATGGCTCGTTGCGTGGCAGGATCCACCCCTTTGTCCTTGCTTACTTGCCGCCGGGTCCGATTTCGCTTGACGCGCTACAGCCAGGAACGGCGCTTACGCTCCCTCGTCATCCTGCACACACCCATATCGCCTCCTCGCACTCGCATACACTTCTTCAGCGCTTTTTGGGCTCGTTTCTGAACGGAAAGGCAATAAATTACGCGACGGCGGCTCCCATTAGATTGCCGACCCATTGACTTCCGTAGTTCCCGGTAAATGGGGCCGCCAGTGTTCTGCGAATGAGGCGCACCGCTCATCCTCAGAACGTACGCCCTGCGGCGTCGCGGCTCCTCCTAGCAGCTGCTCTTTCCTCTTTATGTACACGCGCAACCCTCGGGAACGCTCCAAGCTCGTTCGAGACGATGGGAGAACCCTGATATGATCCCGAACACCCCCATTCACGGTTCACCGGCCTCTTAACAGTATTACCTTCTTGAACGCCAACTTCCGATGCCCGAGGATCGATGGCTTTGCATGCAGCGCCTTTTAATCGCACTGCCGCCGTTTCGAATACGTCGGCGTCGTTCACGCTGCTGCATCAGAGGTGGCACTGTGCACCGCTCTCTGCACTCCACCATGTCGATTCGAGAGAATCGGGATATGTTTTCCCTCCCATCTATCAGGAAGGCTCGGAACGGGAACTCTTGGCGCTTTCCAAATCGTGCTTAGCTTCATTAGGAGTCTTGCAGGGGAGAGGGGAGCACAGGGAGACGGAGAGTTCCCCGCCAATCACCAACTTCAAGGTGGGTCCCTAGGGCCAGGACTTGCAACTTGCCACACTTGCACATGTGAACCTAAAGTGGGGATCTGCCATTACTATAAGCATGATTCATTTCTAACTGAAAATAGCCATTACGGTCCTCTCGCAGTTTCCCGACCCCGGTCTGTTGCCTCCTTCGCTCAAACCCACCTGCGTCCGAGCGCGCGAGAGTCTCTGTTCCTTATAGGCCCACACCGATTGATGTCGATGAAGTTCGCCAAGGATAACCCCATCCTCATACCGCACTTAAGCGAGCTATTTGTGGCAAGGCACGGCACACGGGCGGAACCATTTTCGCAGTTGCAGCCCTGAATCAGTTCAAGAACGCATGCCGATTCCATTGTCGTGATTCGTCAAAGGGATCATTCCAGTCAAGTGCTCACAGTCTTTCAATCCACCCAGTTCACACTGGAAAACCCCTTTGGGAGGATTCACCGCCCATTCGTCCGTGCATGACGCGGACCCGAAATATCGTCTTCTGTTCCTTCGCAATCGGCTTTGGCTCGAAGTCTGACGTCGTTGCGAGCATATATAATTAGAACGGGCCCGCTTGATATTGCAACATACATAGAGTAGTGCGTGGCGCGTATGTATGTGGTGGCTGAAGTAGATCTAAGGCTAGAGTAGCGTAAGCTTTAGATCCCCGGTGTCCGCGTCTCGATGTTACTAATAAGACTCTTGAACTGCTGGAGCGCTTACAAGCTGCCAGACATCTGACACGACTGCTTGACCACTGACCAGCCCCATCCAGTAACTAAGTCCTTTTGATGATGATATTTCCACTCGATATCCATCGCATCATGCTTGCTTTCTTGCTCAAGTAGGCATTTCCGAGTTCCGCCATTGCTATGTGCCATCTCCTTCGGTCCGCCCCCGAAAAAAGTCAAATGGTATTGGAGTGCTATCGCTTGTCAAAATCACTAACCCAGTACCTATGTAACCTCGGCACCCGAGCGGCGAGAATTGCGAATTCCAATCTTAATTTGCACTCTATGTAGGCGATTCAGGAAAATGGGACGCTAGAGCCTGGCGCGACATACGACGATCATGCAGTTCAAAATCAAAATTAATCCTGTCCGAGCCCTCCATCCTTCGCGGGTACATATTCGCTTTGGGTTCTGCGACTCCTGAACGCACCACTGATGATGATGTGACCGAGCGTCGGGCTTTCGTTAACGTCCGGACACTGTGTAGTCTCATCAGCTCTCCAGGTCCCCGACTGATTAGAATGATCGTTCTGTCGAAGGGAAACGGAAGAAGACTGGAGGAGATAAAGTATACTTAAGTTTAGGACCTTGTGAACCCGTCAGGTCTCAGAGGTAGCTGATGAACAATCATTTATCAAGGTTCTCAAATACTTCTTGCTCTCGGGCTCGCTCGTCGATAGTGATTCTCGGAGGATGGGCATGAGCGTCGGATGGTGTGGGTACGGCCGGAAGTACATCGCGATCCAACTTTCAAATATCCAGCGGAATGCGAGATCATCGTCAACCTCTCTCCGTGTCTCAGGACACAGAGCGTCCGAGGCCCGAGGTTCCGACTCCCCTTCCCCTCTCTCCTGTCGCCTTTCTCCAAAAGTCACCCGCAGCGAGCGCCCACACACGCTTGGGCCGCGCCTTCCATATCGCGCCTTCCAGCGTACGTGAGTCGTGTCGGCATTCGGGTCCGGGGTCGGTCTGTCCCCGAGGTTCGGATAGCGGTGCGGGGTTGCGAGACTCAGAGTCGAGCGCCAAGTTGTTCCTTAGGGCCTTGTCCTGGAACTTGCCCCTTGTCGCTTGCGCGAGACGCAGCCTGTGAAGGTTTGAACCCCAGCGAACCTCTTCCGACCTGCCTTTCCTGGTGAATGAGTCCATGGGCAGTGAAAGGTCACTGAAAGGCGGCTGCCGGAGGAGCTAAGATATGTATGTCAAAGGCAAGTTGAAGCTTGATTGACGTAGATGTCTTGTACCAAGGAGCCCTGGATGGGCCCTCTAAGTATGGAATAAGCACATGAGATAAGGGGTAGGCTTTGCATACCTCTCGGAAAGTATGTGGAGCCTATATTCAAAAGGAGGGAGGAAAGAGCGCCAGTGACGATAGGATCCTTCTAAATTTTCTACGGTTCAAGCTCTAAGTTCTAAGTTCCGTCGACATAAATAAGACTTACGCGAGCAGCATTCAGCGTGGAAGACTAGAAGTCCTCATCTACGTATCTGCGGTGTTTCGCTCTCCAGCGCTCTTGCGGCTTATCTGCGTCACGACCGTGATGAGATGTCGACGAAGTGGAACCCATGGGCGCGCTGAGTTGGAACTTGGAACAGGCTCGTCAGGGTGAGTATGATATGGTTGCAACAATGAAAGATGATTGCATCGCCCATGATGACATTCAATTGGCATGACGGACGAATGGGATCAGAGACCGCACTTTTCGTGGCCGCCTATGGAGTTCCTATTTCTGGTCCTGTGGTTCTCTGGATGTTCCGCTGGTATTCGATGGCATCACCACAACGAATCATCTGAACGCAGGAATAGGCTCCCAACAACGCAAACTCGAAAAACACTTACAGTTCTCAGGCTCGAGGATGGAGCCAATCGAATTATATCCAAATGACCGAAATTACGCCTGCTTCTCGTCATATTTCATTATTAGCTCGGGTATCCAAGCTTCAAAGAAATGTATGGAAGATGCGCACCATTTCTCGATCGCCATATTCGTGGAATATAGACCTTTAGCTTCCTCCAATAGCCTCGAAGTTCCTAAAGTTCCTACAGCGGTCGGATCATGCCGACGGAGAAACCTTGTCCTTGGTACCATGGCGTCAGCCAGGGTAAAGTAACGTCACATTACGAAAGGTACCCACTCAGCGGTATACCTGCCCATTCGAACGTTCACTCCCTATCGCAGCCTGCTGTTGCCTTTTTGACAGAACTCAGACAGGAGGGACAAAAAAAATCTGCCCTAGGGTCCTCCTAGTTTCCGGTTTCCTTTGTTGGTGGACCAACGTTCACATCTGTTCGGGGATTTCGTCGTGGATGGAGAAACGACGTGTTGGACATGGACCTATCCAAGAGCTATCAGTCGTACATACTCCAAAACTTGATGAATTTTAACGGACGGTAAATTTCTGAACCTAGGTCCTGGGCCTTGAGACACAAACCGAGGCCTGATAAGTACATCAGAAGGCTCACCGGAATATTTCGAAAATGAAAGCTGAAGGGGCACCTGAAAAAAAAAATATGAGGGCTAGACCGCGAGCCGCTAGGGACAGTTATAGAGACGTGCAGACCTGAACTCGCGAAGATAACCATCGAGGGCCAGGAATTTCAGAACTGATTGTTCGTGCGGCAGACCAACGGCTTGGAAAATCATGGAAAAATCATGGAACAAGTGCTGCGACTTCCCAGTCCCCAGTGACCAACTGATATCATCCCGTGGTCCAGGTTCAGGTTTATTCCACGCGAAAGGGCGGCCGGTCGATGACACGGAGAGATTGAATCGCGATAGATGCCCACCAGGACTGGAGACCCGAAACCCCATTTCGTCAACCGCCGGGCGATGGGAGACCTTGGGAGACCGATTGACAAGACGCCGTTCACGTCGCCGGTTTGGACAGGACATGGACAAGCATGATGCGATGTAGTAACATGAGACGTGATATCGCACTCTTGACGAGCCCGAAACCGACACCGAGACTATTGTTGGAACGCGAATGAGGAGAGTCGTGTTGCACCTGCACTTGCTACACCTGCAGTTGACGCAGATGAGCTGGCAGGCCAATAGACCGGGGTATCGTTGACGTTGAGCCGGTTGACCGTCTATCCATAAGCGCATACCACGTCTAAAGGCCTAAAGTTTCAAATTCCTTGGGACACGGAGGAAAAGCTCTCGGAGACCGTGTCTTATTATGTCAGGACCCGACCAGGACTTAGCGAACAGGACAGACGGAGGTTCAAACATAGGATTCGTAGGGTTCGCAGGGTTCGGTATTCTTTCAAACAGGGCTTGGCTGCGGGATAATTGGTCAACGTCCACGATGCGGGAGGCGAGGGAGGAGGACGTTGGAATTGAAGGGCTCTTAGGACTCCTGTTGGAAGTCCTCTTTTACTGCGAGTTTGACGAAGGGTATGTCAGTGTTATGAGGCAGGGCAAGGAGTTCCAACGTTTCTACACCCCAACGGAATCGGCAGTCGCTTCTTGGGAAAGGGGCCACTGCGCACTCCAGGGTAGTGAGCTATGTGGGTCACATTTCAAAAGAGCCGAGCTAACGTTGACATCCAGTTGTCATTTCGTCCAAAGCCAACAAGAGACAGGGACCACGTCGTGGCTGCTGCAATGGTAATTCTTCAGTTTCTCCATCAAGTTCAGGTACAATGTGTGAAGTCGTCGACCACTACAGAGCAAATGTCGTGATCGTTAGCTTACTGAACGGACTATGAAGCTGGGTTGCCTCACTGAGTCGAGACGAGCCACGCGCATCAATCGTTGCTGAATGAATTTTCTCTACAAAGGCTGCCTCATCTTGGCCGGACACGTATCGGTCTTGAAGATCTGGTGTATCTGCAAAAGGTATCAGCTAAGCTAAAGACATCGACTTTGAAATACAACTTGCCATCTCTTCTCGCTCACTGAGCCCTTGGTTGTCTTGAGGACCTCATTTCCGGCATGGCCGGTTATGGAGACAAAAACATTCGAGCACACGTCGCTCAGCAACCGTTTGGAACGTGGGGTACACACACAGCTCCACCTGGGCTAGCAAGAGTTGGAAAGGCCGGTAATGAGAACGCGACACGCACTCGTCAGGAGCAGAAACTCCGTTGTGGCCTTAACCAAAGCCACGAGAACAGCCTCGGACAGGCCAATGGCTCGTCAAGAAGTGATGATGGCAGGTGCAAGGGTTGGAAGACGACAAGCAGGTGCACTGGTGTCCGAATAGAGGCACACTGAATAGCTATTGAGCACGACCTATTGGTGGGCTTGCAGCTAGAATCCAGAAAGATGGCGCTGCAGTCGGTGTTCAATGGAAGAGGGCGAAGTATCATCGATTAGTAGACAATTATAAGTACACGTACAGTCCAGAATGCCTTCGGATCTACTTTTTGGACAGAACCCATCCTGCCACGACTCCGAGGAGCGAAACCGACGCCCATGCTCGGAGAGTCTTCCCCTCCTTGAGCCATGATTTGACCCTGTTCTGACTCTTCGCGGGTCTCATAGGTGGATGGGGCGTTGCTTCGTGTTCTTGTTCCGGTCCTTCCTCCGAGGTGTTCTGGTCGACTGAGGGTTCGACTGGAGGCACGATTTCCACCTGCGCCACGCCACCAAAAAAATTGGTGATGCGCGTCTTGTCTAGTGGCCGCGAGAACAGATCGCTGCGCACACCCGGATGAGAGTTAATCTTCGTCACATCGATAGAGTTGAACTAGTGTCAACGTGTCGATTTAGGAGGAAACGATAAAGAGGAAATCGCAGGCTAGCGTTGATTCTGGGCGGAAACCCGTCATGGGCGAAACGAACGGCCGCCACGATGTCACAAACTCCGCTGTCAGAAAACGAAGACTTACAAGCTCCTGCATGGATACCGTGCTCGTCTTATTGATTTTCTCCATGAACTCCAGCACATAGTGTGTGAATGCGTCGATGACCGCCACACCGATGTCGTTATCATTGGCGTGCTGAAAGAAGTGTCAGAATTTTTTCAGTAGAAGCAGGGCCGGCGTACAGAGTATGAATTCTCGCCCAGCCCAGACGACCCAGTCGCGAGGATATTGGGCGAGTACAGTTTCGAGAACATGGTGTTCAAGGCCTGGCACGTATCAATCATGAAGAAAATCTCATTGTACCTGGGCAACTCTCAGCGCAAGTTTCAGGCTGGAAGGAGAGAGGACGACCCACCGTTTCTTTTGGTACATTTGCTCGAATGCATCTGCGACGTCAAATGCACTGATCTCTTCGTTGTCTTGGAACTTGAGGAATTCATTCCCACCGTGGCCCGTCATGTACACGAAGATGTTCGACCTCTCGTCGCTCAACAGTCGTTTCGAGCGCGGTACCGAAGGGTCCATTCGACCTGCTGAGTGTTATTCGAGTCGTAAATGACAGACAAACAGCCTCGACACGCACCTGTCAGGACTCGAATGAAGTTCTCCACTGTGACCTCGTACCCTCGATAATCGACCTCGATGTTCTCTCCGTACTAATCAAGGTGGCGACCCGGGTTGGCGTATACGCTTCCGGGGAACTTGTTCCTTGAATTGCACGAAGCGTCGTCTGCCAACATCAGGATAATATTTGAATCTGGAATGCCTAATCGTTTGACAGTGCGGTACCTGCTCATCATCAGGAAATGACTCCCAACCGAGTGGGTGTTTGCTCACATTCCAAGAGCATTGCTAGATGTCTCTCAGACTTGTTGAAAACTGAGCTTGGAAGCACGTACTCTGTAGTTGAACCAATACCGCGACGAACATACTAAAACTGCCCAATTGTTCGTATGCGTTGACCCGCCTACGACCCCATTGCGCTCGAAGAAGTCTTTTACCACTTCTTCATTAGCGTTAGTTGAGTATACGGCGAAAGCCCAACTCAAAAGAAGGAGTAAGCGGGATGCAGTCAAGAGCAACATTTCACCGGCGGGCGGAGTTCGAACGCACTTTTAACCGCAACCACATGCACGGTGAGCTCAATTGAGTCTCTTCATGGCTTGTAAATGAACATATTATAGGACTTGTTGCCTACGACGATGATTCTCTCAGCGAATCGGAAGCTGGACCCTCGAATGGCGTCGGCCAACATCCGAATGTGAGAGGCCTCTTGGCCATCTTCTCCTGCAACCGTTTCCCTTTTGCTGGCTTCCATTTCCACGTCGGATAGGATAAGACCTCGAAATTAGGTCCCAAGAATCCTGCCGAATGTTGCTCAGCCCTATTTTCTCTATTTTCGTCTGCTAAATCGCGCCGACAGGTAGACGAATACCCAAATCTCAAGTCATCATCAAGCGTCCACACAACAGCCACAAAAACCATCACCCGCGTGCCCACGTTTCGGAAGACCTACCTCCAGAACCCCCACAAGCAGCGACAGAGCCTTTACTGCTAGAGGAAACTTCGTCAATGGATATGTCTGTCTCCCCAAGCCCACCAGAACCTTCGGACAAATCCAAGGATGAATTATCTCGGTACCGAGCTGTTCTAGAACCACCTCCAACTCCTGGCATTGAAGACTGGGGAATCCCTCCTGAATGCCCTACACCTTGCGACCCCGTCTTGCAAGTTCGTGTTTCCCTTCCACCCAAAATACTGGATTATTGACTGGCCTCTCAGGCAAAGCTTGCGAAATTCTCAGCTCTCAAGCAAGACCCAGCCAACCCAAAGCATTTCAACGACTCTCTCATGTCCAATCACTCTTTCCGGAATCCCCACCTTTATACGAAGCTCGTCGAATTCATGAATGTTGACGAACGTGCGACGAACTTCCCCTCGGACATCTGGAGTCCGAACGATGTGAAGCCTGATTGGTTTGCGGACCAAATTGGTATGTTCTATTTCAAGATTTATATTGAATTACGTTCATGCCTCGCTACCCGCGCCCGTTGCATCTCTTCCTGCCCCTCTGCTGTGCCCTGTTCGGCTGGTTATCGCCATCATTTACGACGTTTCCTGGCGCTGAATCGCTTCCATCCTGCGGGCTGCAACACTTGGCTGCACGAATTCAAAGCTAACGCTCAGAAAGAGCGTTCCGAAAAGCAAACGGCGTCTCAAGCAGCTGGGAGACGAACCCAGATCGATTTTGCTCGTCCAAAGGAAAAGGAAACAGTGCCGCAGAGAAAGAGTCGCTTCCAGCCATACGGGTCTGGGATTGGTGCTTCTGCAGCCAGAGACAAACCCAAATGGCGTTGGGGCTAAGTATGTGATCGTTGTAGTCGTGTGTATTTTGTTTTCTCTCACAATATAGCGATTGCTTCATCCTTTGGAGATGTCCTTGCGCTCGTGGTGTCAATGTTGTCGCTATCGTTGCCCGTGGCTAGTCACTTGATAGGGATGACTGAGTGATTAGCCTGAAGGACTCGCTGCAGATGTGCAGCCAAATCATGGGCCAATAATATCACGCTCTAGGACGTCCAAAACGCCAGAACCTATGGCGGCTTTTTTGCCGATTGGCCGATAAACGGCCTGCACCAGTGAGCATACACCGCACTGCTCAAATCAATCAACTCACATTTTGTACGCAAAGGCCTTTACAGTCATCCACCATCATTTGATACACTGAAATTTAAATTTGATCCCAGAACTCAACCAGCCCATGGATTCTCATAAAACCACTTGGAATCAGTGTAATAGAGCCATTAAAATAAATTTATACCAGTTGTATGCCATAAAATCAACCAAACGTGAGCAGAAACAGCCAGAGATGCTGTACCAGTGACTGGTGTGACAAAATCAACCAAAATGAATATTTTGGTGATTTTATTACCGGGCATTGACTTCACCAGAACCCACAAAATTTTATACACAATGTATTAAAGACTTATAGAGAATGGGGTTATTTTTTCAAAGCAAACAGTTGAATCCTTCATGGTGTTCCGAGGTGTATCATTAGCCGGTGGTGTCTCATTGGCCGGTGGATGACTGTAGCACATGCAGAGGCCTCTCGTGAGATAGCACCGTCTATGATTCCTCCAAGCGATACGATTCCCAAAATGTCAGAAACCCACAATGACATCGTTGGCGAATCATCGACGAAAGTGTGAGATTGAGCCTCAAGCATAATTACGACTTTCATATTTTCTTCCCGCCTTTGAGTCGCTTCATTTGCGCATTATTTTGCGCAGAATTGCAGCATCGTCCTAGGTCACGAAATATTAATCAACAGAAGTCCAGCAGGACCTCCTGTCAAGACTGTTACCCCCGAACTCAGTTGGAACCACTACGGGTGGAAGAACTTCAAGAGGGTCTAGATCTTTAGCAGTGAGAATACAATGCGCCGCAGTAGTGCAATTAAGTATGCTTTTCTACTCTTTTCAATCTTCTAAATTCCCGATCGTCTCCCTCCAAGGTCCTCTGGTCTCAAACTTAGAGCTTCAACGTTTCATTCCCATCCGCTTCTATGGCAATTTATCGAACCACTCCTAATGCACTGTAGCAAACAATGTTCAGCGTCGTCGCTGTTGACGATGGTTATGACTGCGGCGAGAGGTAAGATTTTCATCCGTGCAATCGTGACTAACTGGAATTCTCACCCTCAGGCACTGGCAGTGCCAGTGAGGCCTTGAGGTCCTGTGGACCCCCTCGGAAATAGTGCTTCCTCGTTCGTCTTCATTCATTTCCAGAGTATAAAACTCTCCTGACTGCGACCGTTGTTCTCTACAATCAGAGACGTCATGCAGTCACCCCGCGTAGCCTTTCTCTTCCTTCTGTACCTCATCACCCTTTTCCGTAACTCGGTGCTCGCTGAGTCGAAACACGGAGAAAATCACGCGGCTACCTTCAAGGAGGGATGTTGTATGGAACTTCTGCAGCGAAAAGAATGGTGTGTATCCCGGGGCTGCGTTATCCAGTTGTCGTGTAGCTCTCATCCTTTTCAAGGAGAATATTGAGTGACGGCGAAAAGATCGCTTATACAAACGCCATTAAGTGTTTGATGTCCCTTCCTGCACAAAATCCTGCCTTCTCCGAGGCAAAGACGCGTTTCGACGAGTTCCAAGCTCTGCACGTGCATCTCGCAGACAACATCCACCGTGTCGTAAGTCCTCTGCAACTGCGAACGGTTCGAAGGTCCTGATTCTTTTGATGTAGGGCCAGTTCCTGCCTTGGCATAGACAGTTCCTGCTTTCATACGAGCGCGCGTTACGAAACGAATGCGAATATCAAGGCGCTACCCCGTGAGTTTGTTGCTGACCTTCTCCTCCTTGTTCCGTGTTCAAATTGCCCTCCATTAGGTACTGGGATTGGAGTCTAGATTCTCGCAAGTAAGTCCAGAAACCAGGTGCCCGTCTGTCGAGCTTATACGACTTCCACCCCTTCTAGCATCTCTGCCTCGCCAATCTGGGACCCAGTGACAGGCTTCGGAGGCAACGGTGTTCCAGGAACCTACACTGTCCCTAAAAATGTCAACTACACCGAAAATCTCATCTTCCCGGAGGCGTTCGTTGGATGTGTCATGGACGGCCCTTTCGCCAACTACACGGTTCGCCTGGGACCTGGTTTTCTGCAAACGAACCACTGTCTCACGCGTGGCATCGACCAATCGTACTCCGTCCACATCACCTACGAGGCAGTTGCACGGACCCTCCATCTGCCCACATTTGAACAATTTCGCCTTGAGCTCGAAGGAGGAGCAGCGGCGCATAAAATGCACGATGGTGGGCATTACATGGTGGGGGGAGAGATGAGCAACTTCTACTCCAGTCCCGCCGGTAAGTAAATTCCGGTGGTCCTAAGCCTACGTTCGCTCTCTGAATGCCCATTCGCACTTCGCAGACCCGCTTTTCTTCGTCCACCATGCCACCCTAGACCGTATCTGGTGGAACTGGCAGCAGATGGTTCCCTCGCGTCTTACCGAAGTCTCTGGTTACTCGACTTATGAGCCGCCTTTCTCCAACATTACCCTTGATTTCGAGCTTCGTCTCGGTAGCGTTGGACTCAGTGTTCCCATTCGCAAGGTCATGGACATCCATAAAGCGCCTAATTGCTACACTTATGTTTAGAGTTGTTGAGCGCTTCGTCCAATTCATTGAGTTTATTGCCCTTCTTTTCCGCGATCCAGCGCGGTCTTCGAAAGACTGGTGAGCTGGGATTATATCTATTTTTTATTACTTCCTGCCTTGTAGTGAACATCAATTGAATCAAATTTTTAGACCCTTTACGGTCCCCTCATTTTGAATGGATATTAGGCACAGAGAACCGATGTTGGGAAGCCTGACAACATTTGGCTTCACAAATCCAGCTTCAGTTTTCCGAATAGTCTGCGCATGCACGAACGGCGAAGTATAGATCTATCATCATCTATGACTGGCCTGCCTCTGATGTGCTGGTATGAATGTAGCTCAAAGTTGGATCTAAAATTTCTCTTATGCTTAAGAGAGAGTAGCGGGAATTATCAAAAAGGAAGTTACGACTCGTAGGTACATATACAGGTGGATGATTTAGCAACGGCGAACAGTGTAGGACTGGCTGTACTCTTTTTATTATTATTTTACTCAGGAGAGTGACTTATCCTATTGAAAATACTATGCCATCGGACAGTGTCTACCGTGGGGAAGAAATTCGATGTCTGCGGGTTGGCTTCTCGGTGATTGCCGCATTGATGAGTGGCGCATTCCAATTACAGAAATAGTTGAAGCCTGAACGGTTGACCATTCGACGTCGATCCTTCAGCCATTTGGCCTTGGATGGGAGTTAGGTATGACAACATGTAGTGGCCGAAACTTTACCGGGAATCTGAACCTGGAGGGAATTGAGGTGTTCGGGACGCTTCATCATCATCACAGCCAGCGCACAAGTTTCTCCCATAACTGGGGCAGTGACAGAACCATGCCGGAATGCGTGATTATATTTTCCCCTCAAATCCAAGAAAGTATACCTCGAGGTGATGATACGACGGGGAATTTTTCGATAATAAAATTCCTATTTCTTTGATAAGATAACGAGGTTTAATTCTCCGTGAGCATGAGAGATGTGACCACAATCTGCCGTTTGAGGCAGCTGTGATGCGTGACAACGAGCGCTAAGCACATGGCATCGGCGTTCGAGCGCCACATTCATGTGTTTTCTGCGTGAAGCAACCAATAGAAATCACTCGAGTAGGCTTGGGTCACGACGCTGAATCAGACACCCGGGTTTTCGATGTTCCGTGGTCTAGATATGGTCATAACAACACCATTTATGGTGTGCAACATGGATAAACGCCCCGAGAGAGGTCGCGATGACGAGGTAAATGATATTCTATTGGTCGGGCGAGCCTAGTGGAATATTCTAGACACCTACGAGCTGAGTAAGACGCCCGGAAGACGAGATTCCGAATATCCGGGTCCCTGAGTATAAAAACCCGAGAACGACGACGACGAAAGGCAAGCAGCCACCTCCCCGAGGTTGGGAGTGGGTAGCGAATCGAGGCGGTCCGGTAGGACGCTCGTTAGCTCCATGGTTGACTTCTAAGAGGGTTCGGGGGTTTAATAAACGATTAAGACACATTTATACGAGATAGAGTATGCGATAGAGGAGCGAGCTGGAAGGAAGACCACCAGCGAGCTAGAGAGATGAGAACAGCGGAAGGAAGACCACCGCTGAGATAGTGCGATCCAAGGGAAGGAAGACCACCCCAAGGATTTGAGTTTTTGAGCAGAAGGAAGACCACTGCTCCGGTTTTGAGTGTTAGGGGAAAAGGAAGACCATTCCCTTCACACATCGGATTCAGGGAGTGGAAGACCATCCCTGTCTTCGAGATTGAGTGTTTTGGGAGCAGGAAGACCACTCCTGGGCACTCGGATGCGACGTTTCGACGGAGCATTGATTTCTTTTATTTATTCTATCTATTTCTGACACCATTTCTATTTTCTAATCGAAGTCTTTCATGCCCCACGTACTTGCGTGAGTGTTTTGAGTGAGATTGAGGTTTCTTCGTCTCTCCCAGAGCACGCACATCAGTGATCGTCGGGTCTCCCATCTTCTCAATTTCCCCTTTGAAGTAATGAAATTCCCAGGGCGGCCAGTCCACGCCCCTGGGATTTGTTCTAGCGCCCCGCGAAGGATTCGATAGAGGGTATGTGTTTGGGCTCATTACAGCGGCTGATCATAATAGCCAGTAATCACGCCGCTCAAGTGTCTGTGGACCCTTTTGGACACACGCTGGCAAACGACGGGGACTACAGTCCTGCGTGCCGACTCTCTTGGCATTTCATTTGTAATGTCCCTCATGGGTTTCTCTCCTCGAAGTTCCGAGTTCCAATGCCGAGGCTGAGTTACATTCGACTGCAAGTTGATGAATTTTTTCTCCGATTCGTCGAAGATTCCTAGCGCAACGTATTGAAATTAGCGGTCTGATTACGTGGATCCCCTCTCTTGAGCCAGTCCTGCGTCAGTCCCAAAAATTTTGGTCACCCTAAATCTACAATTCCGTGGTCATGAATAATATCGACAACGCATAGCGAGCTCCACGCCATAGGGGTCGTAATCCTGTCGGGCATAGAAAACAACAGCGGGCCCCTCCCGACTGTATGAAACCATGGAATGGCACTTGTTCCTGCTCGCCTTCACGAGGCGTGGCGAGGGATGATAGTGACCCTCGGGCACGGAACAGTGGGGCGTTCGTTGTCCATTCGGAGGACGTGATTGAGCGACAGCATGGGAACCACTTTATGGCGACGTAAGTGGGAATTGTGACAAACCAACTGAGGGTCGGAAAATTATTCCATACAAAGAACATGAACATTCCATTCGTTGGAGGATTGGAGAGTCTCTCACCTTAACCAAAGATGCTAAACACTCTCCTCAAGGTGAACGTATTGTTCACACCAACCTAAAAGAATATCAATCGATACAAACTCTATCCTTCAGCTTGTGATACAAATCGTAGACGCTTTGCCATTGCTCTAAAAGACGAGAAAAATCCGTGAGCGCACCTAACTCTAAAGGTAGAAATTTACGTACTGCGATTGCCACACTTTTCCTTCTCCTCTGGCTCGCATTTAGGTTGCGTTTGTTCGATTTGGTACTTTGTTGCCGATTTCCAAGGTCTAATACGCCAATGATCAGCCGTATTACACAGAGCAACAAGCGCCGGCGACGTACTTGGGCAGCGGCCAATCGGAAAAATGGATGTAAAACGAGCGCGAAAGCTCCGCACGAGGATCCCATTTTGCTTCTGGGCCGTCTTCGGCGAGGTACTTGGAATGATTGGAATTTCGGAACTCGCCCGTGAGCATGGCGTAGCCGCGGTGAGGGAGGACAAGGGCTGACGAGGCTGAGAGGGAGTTGACCAGCTATAGCCGTGTCAGCTAAGCCAAGGCTACACAAAAAATCGCTCACCTCCATGTCGAATCCCTTCTTGTCTATATTGTCAACCCACTTCTTTACTCGGGAGAGGAGAGCATCGCTTGGGGTGATCACCATGACGTGACTCGCCAGCTGGTCCTGATCCAACCAGTATGCCCGAGCTACAAATGTCCGTTGAGTGACATTCCAAGGTAGTCGACGAGTGTACTCACGCAAGGCGATATGGGCTTGGGGTGCGAGGAACAAATGGTCCATGTTTCGAAGAGCGAGTCCATCAGAGTCGAGGTAGATCACTCTCGTGTAGTCGGTCAATCCGAAAATATGAAGCTTGGTGAGAGATTCACTCCAGGTAGCTGGAGACATGAAGAGCGTCAGCACAGTGGAACTGAAATCGTTTCAGAGTCGTCGCTTACGGTCTCCTCGGTGCGTCCGCCAGACCTCCATGGGGTGAAGGTTGACTCCGTACTTTTCGCGCGCTTTGTCAAGCATTCGTCGAATGGCGCCTGTCGATCCCTGAAGGTGTCGTTGATGAGTGAAGAGTAGGAGGGAGGTAGGGATCACATACTTCTGGATCTGTATCTTGCCACAACGAAGGGTAGATGAGTGCGATTTCTCCAGCGACATTTTCTTTGCGCAGTTGCTCGAAGTTGATCAACTGGGAATAGACAGCGCCGTTAGATGGTGGAAGTGAAGGGGGAGCCAATGGCATGCACTCACCGTGTTACAGAGGTACTCTTTCTGCGTGGCATAGAAAACATACGCAAAACGAGGAGCAGAGGCGGAATCAGATTGAAATACTGGCCAGAGACTCTCCGCTTTTACATCCGAACCAAAGACCTCCTCAGCGATGCATGTCTTGGAGTTGTCGTGGATCCATCGCGGCGTTCTTCGTCCGGTCGAATACTTCCACGATCCCAAAAGTATGAGAAGCAAAATAAAGGCGAGTCCAGCGCCGACGAACAGAGGTACTCTGCCGGCCCGTCTTTGCCGAGCGACCCAGAAGCTGACCCTGGCTAGGAAACTGGGCTTGCCCTCGAGGAGCTCGTATTCGGTATCGAGTGAGTCCATCGACTACGTGGTGACGACTGGAAGGGTGCGATTTGCATGCCCGCTTTCCATTGTTATATATTTGAATATTTCCGAAGCTTGCGGCATTATATCCCCGGGATCACAAACCAAACGTGAGGCGCTGATTCCGGTTGTATCCAAGGGCGAACAGGCGATAGAATCAGGCAGAATTTAGGAGAAAGGAGCCTGAAAATTAACATACATATGTCACGGAAGTCCGACATGAAAAAAAAGACGGAAAAACAATACTTGTTGGTCCCTTGTCAGTGGCGCCGGGCGCTGGATTGCGAGGTCGGCAGCTCCTATGGCGTCATAATCGCAAGACCGTCTCGCAACCGTCTCGAGAACCTGTGGATGCGGTTGAGGTTCGCCCTGGGTTCGTCGCTGTCAGCGATCCGTTGTGACCGTAGATCGAGGCGACGGGCTTACTCGAAAGGTATTTTTTTCCACGATCGATCGATGATCACCCATCATGGGCGCATGCCAAATTGTTTAGGTTTGGGAGACTGAGGTCCGAAGGCCCGAAAGGCGATTCAATAGGAATATCACTTCCGTTACTTATGAGCGTCTCGCGACCTTGCCTAGCCTTTTTTTCGCTCGCCAAACTGTCAAAAAGAGTGGATAGAAGCCAGAGGGTGGCCCAGAGCTCTAGAGAGGATAGCGACGTCAACAATACCCCTAGAGGGGCGTTGTGTGACCCCCTTCCGGATGGAGAAGTATGGTAAGCCAATTGACACATCGGGCCTTGACGAATTGGTAAGTATCATTGAGAGGCGAGTCGGGTGTCCATGACCGCACAAGTAAGGTCTCTTCATGTCTATAAGTGTATCGTTCGCTCCCACTTGGCAACTCTTGGACAAGCAATTCGCTGATGAAGGAACGAATTCGCTCATGAGGAAGTAGCCCAAGTGATTTTGCTCTTGAAACGAGATCTAAAGGAAAGTCTTGCGGAAGTCGAGGGGATTAGCATTTGTATCTTTCAACGGACTCGGACGATGTGCATCTGATCCACCTTGGCAAAACACTTCTTGGCGATGAGTTGGGAATCCGCGAATCTGGAGGTTGCGCTATTCTTATACTTTGAGATCAACGGTCATGAGGCCTTGAGGCGCGGAGAAGGAGAGGGAAATGCGAATGGGGGTTACGTTCCAAATATTCCAAAGTGTATTTGAACGGAGGAACATCGCTTCCGAAAATTCTGCTTTGGCTTGCACCTTCTGGTCACAGGCGAGACGGAGAGAAACCGCCTGTTCAAGTGTTGCAGTGCCAGAGAGTAAACCTAGGATTTTGTTCACAGCCAATTTTGGAAGAGCGAGGGTACCGGTGAATGTTAATAAATTGTCGCGCTCTCTGTGTCTGTGACCTCTTGGTTCTCTAACCTGACCATGGGGGCTAAGCGCTAAATACTTGTTGAATAGGTAAGCCTCCTCTCAAAAGATATGTTTAAGCATCTACGTTGAAATTGAGACTATTTTACCGATTTGGGAAGCCTCCAAGCGCTAGTGGACACCACAGAGGAGTTCATGGTGGGGCCCCGGACCGGCCTTGCCGACATTCTCACGTGAATGAAACGCTATCATTACGTAATTAACTACAACTTGTCCTCCACTGTCGCTAGCTCCCCTCACTCTGGAAGGCAGCCCCACAAGATGGCTAAAGCACCTTTTCCGGTTCCACAAGTATTGCTGCAGCGATCGCAGCCGAAGTGCCAAGAAGTCCCCCTACCGCCGTCGTACCAAAATGCTCTAGACACCAGCGAAGTCTAGGAAACAATCGAGCAGTTCACCTGCGTGTCTCCATAACTCCTCGCACGGTCTGCCAGCGTCGTAAATGTGTCCAGAGGGAACAACGAGATGCAACGATGCGCAGTCCCAAGGCGATTGGCAGGAATAATGGCCGGGTCTTTCAGGTGGCTTTTTCGCAATGCTCTTTTGCTCATGTCGCTGTTCTTAGTCCACTGCTCTCGATCCATGCCTATTCCAAGCTATGAATCACGAATTTGATCAGAAAAATATGCTGATTTTGGTCCATTTGGGGATCGGTCGAAGATATTCAGAAGGTGGCGACGACACTACGACGCTTCCGGTACGCCCGCTCGCTGCTGTGGCATCGCTCCTAGTTCCTTACTGCTATGCTTCGAAAACTCTTGTCCGATTGACCCTCGGAGCTTACTAAACTCTCGACCAAAAGACATCTGGTGGCACCCTTGAAGGGAAAAGTGCACGTATAACTGTGATTTTGACGTTCGAGACATTCGCGATGTTGTGGGCTGCGATGATGTCCAAATGATTCTAATGCTCCGTCCATCAACACAGCTTATACACCAAGCATTCCCCACCTCAATGAATGAAATAGCCCTACTCTAGTCCGTGAGATGGACGCATTAAAACGTCTTCGCTATGGGTTCCTGGGCCGACAAAGCGGTCCTCCTCTTGAATTATTTCTGTGGATGAGGCAATTAAACCGAGGGCCAAGACCCGCATGATACTCCACTCAGGTTACACTGCTCACCAGGCTAGCCCGGCGGGCGATAGAAGGCGGATAGGCGCCCTGCCGGGTGATCAAACAACGTAAGCTGTTCATATGAACTTATCATTGAAGCTGCGAAGCATAGTTGACATGGCTTACCAAATAAGCCGCCCACACTAAGTCCCCCGAACCTGGAGGCTCTCATTGAAACTCCCTCTTTATCGGGGTCCGGCTAGCCTTGCAGGCATATAATGAGCGAGCTCCATTCCTCAGGTCAGCAACACTAGCTCCCTAGCTTTGCTACGATGCGTTCCACTATTCGCATCTTCTTCTACCTTTTCACCTTGTTGAACATCGCGGTGGTCGTTCAATCAGCAACGGCTAACAGCACCGACCTAGGGAAGTCTTCCTCCAGAAAACCGAAATGCAGTAAGCTTCTGCGTCGAAAGGAGTGGTAGGCAAACTTGAAGCGATTTGTAACTTGCAGCGCTCACTGTTTGATAGGAGGACTCTCAGCGACGCCGAGAAGAAGAACTACATCGATGCTGTCAAGTGCTTGCAGTCCCGTCCCGCTGTGAACCCCGCGTATCCGGAAGCTCAGACCCGCTATGAGGAATTCCAAGCATACCATATGTTTATCGCAGATTACATACATGCTGTGGTATGCCTTCTTTATCTCGGCATAATTTTTGTCTCAAGGTTTTTGACGCTCTTATTAGGGACATTTCCTTCCGTGGCACAGGAAATACGTGCAGCTTTACGACCGGGCAATGCGCGAGGATTGCGGATATAAGGGTGCTACTCCGTGGGGCTATTTAAATTCTCTTGATATGCCGTCAGCTAAATGCACTTGGATCAAAGGTATTGGGACTGGACTCAGGATGCTGACGACGCAGCCGGGTATGCAAACGCACCTCTCTTCCAAACCCTTCTGACCATCTGTATGCTCTAGGCTAAGCACTTCGCCGGTTTGGGATCCCGTTACCGGGTTTGGCGGTAATGGAGTTCCAGGCACCTATACCCTCCCGACGGGCCCTGACGTGAATTTCACCGCGATGAGGATCTTCCCCGCCTCCTTCATTGGATGCGTCCAAGACGGACCTTTCGCCAACCACACCGTCCGCCTTGGCCCCGGCACCCTGAAGACGAACCACTGCCTCGTCCGCGGCATAAATGAAGCCCAGAACGTCCGCCTCAACTCCAAGGCGGTCGCTTGGACGCTGAGCCACCAGACCTTCGAGGACTTCCGGATCCAGCTCGAAGGCCAGCCATTCTTGACCGAGTTCAGGGTGCATGACGGCGGGCACAACATGATTGGTGGAGACATGAGCAACTTCTACTCGAGTCCAGGAGGTAAGTGCTTGATGGATGTCTTCACTTTCTGGTCTGTTTTTACTCAACTCCGCCCGGATGTTTCCCAGAGCCGCTCTTCTACCTCCACCACGGCAACCTGGATCGCATTTGGTGGCAGTGGCAACAAATGTTGCCTTCGAGGCTCTATGAGGTCTCTGGGCGCTCGACCACCACGCCTCCATTCCGTAACATTACGCTCGACTACATCCTCCAGATGGGGGAGTCCCTCGGGCCGTCGGTGCCGATCCGCGACGTCATGGACATTCATAGTCCTCCAAATTGCTACACTTATGTGTGATCATAGCGTTGTGCGCTCCTCTTATTCCTGTACGATGTCTCCTCCCTTCCTTCTTTTTTTTATTATTCGCGTTCTCGAATAATCGTGCTGGTCACAGGACCGCGTCTATGACCGAAAACATTTGTACATTCTAAATATAAAATAGCTTGCGCCTAATCCGGCTTCTTTCCTGGCACTTCAGAGGGAAGAGATGACGAAGGATCCCACAAATGTGACGAGCTATCCAAATGAGAGTATCGCAGAGAAAACATGTCATCTAATTATCAGCGAACTTTCTCAATGTTTAGTTGCAACCTTCCTTTGCCCGGAGGCGACAGAAATCGCCCTGTTCATCGTTCTATCGCTCATTGGTGCGATAGGCGTGAAGTGGGTGCAGCATGGTGCGCTGACAATGGAATCATGGGCACGGATTCGGATTCGGACTTTCCCCTGAATTTAGGCGCCGGCGAAGCGGCCAAGACTAAGTTTCGGCGTGATCAAAATCAGTCGAAGCTGATCCAGACTCGGACTCAAACACACATGGGTCACGATGCACAGACTTGTAGACTCTATCGAAGTTGCCGACGTAGACAACTACCTATCCCCTAATCCCCCCTAGTCACTGGGGAATGGCGTCATCGTTGGAAGGCGAATGGAAAGGTTTCATCTCTCGCAGGTCTGAGACGATAGCACGAATCGCTCTGACATGGCCGGTATAAAGACTGCAATTTTCTCTCGTTCTCCAGGTGCTCAGAAGCCTTAGTTCCTTCTCTTCTCCTTCTCGACGCAGATTTTCCTTTTTACGATGCTGTAGTCCATTTCGTTCTCTTTGCTTCTTTGGCTCTTCGCTTGTCTCCACCGCTCAGCCCTGGCGCTACCATCCAGAAAGCCCTACGTGCCGAACTATCTTGCGTCTCGGGGAGAGAACGGGAAATGCGCCGAGCTGCTTGTCCGCAAAGAATGGTACTAAGCTTCGCTGACACTCACATCTATTCTTGTTGCTCATCCTATTAATAGGAGAACTTTGAACGACGTCGAGAGGAAGGATTACATTGGGGCCGTCAAGTGCCTGATGTCGCATCCCGCCCAACACCCGTCTACCCCGAAGCCGTGACGCGCTTTGACGAGTTCCAAGCTTATCATATGTCTGTCGCAGAGGTGGTGCATCATGTAGTAAGTCTGCATGGGGAGACTTGTAAGTCTCTGACAGTCTCTAACGCGCTTTATTTAGGGTCAATTCCTCCCATGGCACCGTCTCTACCTTCGGTTGTACGACCAGGCAATGAGAACCGAATGTGGATACAAGGGCCCGACTCCGTATGTGTACTATATTTGCCCATTGCGCGAATTTAGCGCTAACCTCGGTATTCTACTTATTCCAGATACTGGGATTAGTCTCTCGACTCCAAGGACGCGACGAGGTAAGTCTTTCAGGAGATATTGTCATGCTATAAATTTCTCATTAATCGTGCAATTATAGCCTGCACACCTCACCCGTCTGGGACCCAAACACTGGCTTCGGTGGAAACGGGGTACCAGGAACATACACACTGCCTCCCAACATTAACGTCACCTCCAACCGCATCTTCCCGGAGTCCTTCGTGGGGTGCGTGAAGGACGGCCCCTTCGCGGATCATACAGTCCATCTCGGCCCCGGCCAGCTGCGAACTAACCACTGTCTCGTTCGTGGCCTAAACGAGTCGCAATACGTCAACCTCGACGCTCAAGCGGTTGCGCGAACTCTGGCCCAGCCAACCTACGAGCAATTTTGGATCGAGCTTGAAGGACAGCCCCTCACGAGTAGCTTCAGGTTGCACGATGGCGGCCACGTCATGGTCGGCGGAGAGATGAGTAACTTCTACTCTAGTCCCGGAGGTGAGTATATTTGACAGACTTAATGTCCCGTCTCATTGTTGACCTCATCGTTAGACCCGATCTTCTACCTGCACCACGGTAACTTGGACCGTATTTGGTGGCAGTGGCAGCAACAATCCTCGGCACATCTTTACGAGATATCTGGCCGCTCTACACCCGATCCTCCCTTCCAAAATGTTACCCTTGATTTCGTCCTCCCGTTCGGCGAGCTCGGGTCCTCTCTCCCCATTCGTGATGTCATGGACATTCACGCTTCGCCCAATTGCTACACCTACGCCTGAACGCCTCGCAGCAGTATACCCACCGCCGTTTCATGATACCTTTACGATTGGTTTCCTATTATGAGTATTTTCTATCTTTCTTCTTTTACGATCACCTTCATGACCTGTTATTATCCTTGCTATGATTCCGTTTTGCTCTATTATTATTGCTTCACGACTCAAGTAAGCGACGTACGCAATGTATCCCTTAAGGGTTGAGTATTTCCACCAATGTCCCTTGTGTTCGAGGCCTTTGGCAACTGGTTCTCGACATTGAACTGGAAATGTTTCTTTTGTCAATTCTCGTGCCTACTTGACAGCGCGTTTTTGAGGGGGACTTATTCTCTATCTGGATCTTCTGAGAAGAATAGGCGGCCAGAGTCCCTTCAGACCCGAGGATCACAGTCCTCTCCAAAATCCGCAGTGGGACCGAGTGGGTGACTGGAAAGTGCCCCGCAAAATCCTGATGGTCGACTGTCTTCCTGAACTACCTCCGGGCTAAAAATGGGCTGTCGGGCACCCCCAGAGGTTTTACAGGAGGTTCCCGGAGCCCATATTTGGGAAGCCAACAGTAATTCAAAATATGCGACGGTCACAAGAAAAAGAGACACTACACGAACATTCGCTCGTAAGCATGAGAGTGGTCTTAGTATTATCTGAATTGCAGCAGTACTCCAATACAACAGTTCTATAATATGTCTAAGACTTGGGTGGGTTGCCTTTGCCACTTGGCTTTCTTGAGGATCTGACTTTCTTATATACTTGGTTCGCAGGGGTTGGGCCCGACTCGTTACCGGATAGTACTGGGACGCGCTTTACTTCATCCGTTATATTTCTTGAAGTCGTTCCATTACGCCTGCAAGATGCGGGGTAAGGAGGCAATCATCACTTCGAAGACCAATTAACGCTTGCGGAGATTTCAGGTGTTGAAACGTTGATGATAGAATGATATTCATTGGGAATTATTGGTGCGACATTTTATAAATGGACGAGTGGAGGGGAAGAATGAATAGCAAAGAATAGAACTCCTCCCTTCCTGACGCCGGGAGGAAGTCAGGGGCTACACCCAAATATGGGAAGAAGTTCCATTTCAGGCCTGGCAATGAATCCGGATGATTACGCTCTTTATTTGCTGTTGCTTGATGCCAATGACAATGACGCGGCCCTCAACCGGGATGACAACGACGACGAAGAGCCTCCACCAATGAAAGCACACTGGTACTCAAGCAAGCACGTCGACGTCCGTCTGCCCAAGTTAGAGTCCTTGAGGCGGTCCTACACCTCACCCGGCCGATGGAAATTCAGAATAGTTATGAAGACACAGAAAACACCCGAACTGACCAACAGGACCGCTTACCGTCACCAAGGCTGAAGCAAAGCTCCTTTCTATCCTTCATTCTGACGCAGGTGTGCCTCTGTCGTTCCAGGCTAGAGACAGGCGGAAATGAAGCAAGTTTGAGTCTGATCGCACTACCCGCGCCAGTTTTCGATAGGATCGCAATGAATGCCGGTATATAACCTCGTCAGCCTCCTCCATCTCTCTTCCCCAGGTCCGAACGCAGCAGCTTCCTCTTCCCCTTTCTTCCCTCCATCGGCTCGTTGTTCCGCCTTTTGTCTTCTATCACCTCATTCCAATTCCAATATGCTATTCCCCATTTCAATTTTCTTTTCCTTGCTCTGTTTCCTTGCTCTTGTGGACGCCGCTGTTATTTCAACACGGAATCAAGAAGTGCCAACCAGCGGTGTTTTAGGGGATGCAAAGCATGGGCAATGCAAGGAGCTCCTTCAACGAAGGGAATGGCAAGTGTCTCTGCATTCGGTTTCCGTGCCGTTGTAGCTCATCTAACTGGGTAGGAGGACGTTGGCCGATACTGAGAAGAAGAGTTACATCGATGCCGTCAAGTGCCTGATGGAGCGCCCGGCTCAGAAACCCGTTTTCCCCGAGGCTCAATCTCGCTTTGACGAATTCCAAGCCTACCACATGTATATTGCAGAGAAGGTCCACACAGTGGTAAGTAGTTATTCTGTTGAACGAGGATATCGTTCTTATTCCCTCGGTTTAGGGCCAATTCCTTCCTTGGCACCGTCACTACCTACGAAGGTACGAACTGGCTTTGCAATCTGAGTGTGGGTACAAGGGCGCAGCGCCGTAAGTTTATGGCTCATCTATTATATTCTTCGCGTTGATCTACTGCCCTTTAGTTACTGGGATTGGGCACAAGATTCGGATGACGGGGCAGGGTAGGTCTCCACACGTTTTACGAACTTGATGAGAAGCACACTCTTGTCCATCGCAGTCTTCACACCTCACCTATTTGGGACCCTAAGACAGGCTTCGGAGGCGACGGTGTACCAGGCACCTACTCCTTGCCCGCGGATGCAAACTTCACCGCCAACCGCATCTTCCCGAATTCCTTTGTTGGGTGCGTCAAAGATGGACCGTTCGCCAACCACATCCTCCGCCTCGGGCCTGGCCAGTTACGTACAACCCATTGTCTCGTCCGTGGTCTCAACGAGACCGACAAGCTGTACCTAAACTCCAAGGCTGTTGCGCGCACCCAAAGCCAACCCACTTTCGAACAATTCCGTATCGAATTGGAGGGCGAGCCGATCACGACTGACCACAGGCAACACGATGGTGGGCACGACATGATTGGCGGCGATATGAGCAACTTTTACTCTAGTCCCGGAGGTGCGTGAATTGGACGAGTGGAACCGTCTTCCATTCCTGACACTGCATTGCTTCAGAACCTCTTTTCTACCTGCACCACGCCAACCTGGACCGCATCTGGTGGCAGTGGCAGCAAATGCTCCCTTCGCGGCTGTACGAGATCTCTGGACGCTCGACGACGACGCCTCCTTTCAAGAACGTCACACTCGACTTCATCCTCCAAATGGACAACCTCGCACCTTCTATTCCCATCCGCGACGTCATGGACATCCACAGTGCGCCGAATTGCTATACCTACGTTTGAATCTCTATACCCCACACTTCCTTGGGTCCATTTTCCCTTTGGCTTGTGCTTATGATCACGATACCTTTATGATTGCTTTATCGTTACGCTTTCTATTCTCTTATATGTTTTTGCATGCCCCTTCTCTTGTTGCACGATACCCCCAACGCGTTACGATACTGTAGATGATTTTACCTCTTTACGATTATAGCTATTTCACGAATATTTCATTTGATTCTCGAGAACTCGTCGCTCGTCCTCATCCTCGTTGCATAAAGAGTAGACCACAGGAAAACCAGTTACGTTAGTCTCTTACAATAATCAGGGTTTCCCCTTGGGTTCTGGGCGAAAAAGACGTCTATGAGTACGGTTGAGTGGAGTCAAATGAGACGACTGACCAGAGCCCAGGTAGGGAATGGAGTCACTCGACCGCTTCCACCTCCAACGGCGAATGTGTAAACGAATACCATGACCTTTTACCAAACATTATCAGACGGAGATGCAATTCAGAGCTTCAGAAGTATATTACCGAGGTGCCACCGTCAAGTGCTGCACTCAACAAGAAGCTAGTTAAGGCCGACTGTGATTAGATGAACCTTCGACCAAGCTCTCGAAAACTCACTTGTATTTACGGAACCATGTGGCACGATACCTGGCAAGAGTGGATGTATTCAGCATGGAAGAAAGAGAAAAGCCCGCGGCATACTCACTTCCTTAGATAATACTGAGAGAAAATCGCCAGGAGGAAGGCCGTGAAAACGCTCGAGTTGATGCCGACGCTCAAATAGCCCAGTTCGGCTGCCAAGGAGAAAAATCAAGTAAGCGCCGGACATCCAAGAAGTAACTAGACGAGATTGCGCACCGACGAGAATGGGCGTGAAGACAAGATTGAAGCCGACTTTCGGGTACATGCGATGCAAGAGCCAGAACGGAATTGGGAAACCCAAACCCGCGATGAGCATGTAAGGAACAAACTGCAGACGAAATAAGCCAGTGAACAACAGCACTAGAGAATATCAACTAACCCCGTAACGTGTGCCAGTGGCGTACAGAGGCTTTCCAAGTGCGCCCCATGCAATTGCCGCGCTGTTGTACGATTGGACCTGGTCCGCCTATTTAGCCGTAGTGACATCGAGGTACGGGATTTGTGCTAGTACCTGTTGGCCAGACCAGACATTCGTCCCTTGTACGCTCCGTAGGATCGTTCGTTGTGCATTGATCACCGTCTAGCGGCCAGAGAAATTCATTCATAGGGGCTTAACGAAAACGAATCGAAATGCTTTACCTTCATGACGACGAAATTGAGCAAACCGCCCTATTTCATGGCAGATAAGTTCGTATTGTCCGAGTCAAGAGAACGAACAACCAATTCACAATGATCGTTCCGACGGTTTGAACCGCGAATGTTGTTCTAGGAGGCAACTTGGTGTATTGGCCCTAGTGTGATTGGCCCTTGAGCGAGATATTGGCCTTCATAATCAAGCACTCCCTACCAGTTTAAGATCTCGCAGAAGGCTGAGTGCTTGCACAACAGGGTTATATCCGTACATGGTGAAATACATGTTCGCTACGGGCTTCCCTGGAATGAGAGCTCCGCCAAGCATCTAGATTCGTAAACTAATGAGTACTCGCGATAAGAGACAATCGATGAAGGGCTCTCGAACCTGAACCATGTTCTCGATACTTGGCGCATAGCCGACGGTGGCATAAAGCTCGCGGCGCTCATTCAATTAAAGCTCGAGGCTCCAAGAGTTGTACTTACTGTCCCAATGATCGGTACGAACATCCAGGCGAAAAAGACGGCGACGATAAGGCCCCACCAGGGCAGACCAGAGTTGGCGGCGTAGCTGGTGGCAATTGCCATTGCCATCGTGGCGACTAGGATGGCGAGATACCACCAGTTCGATAGCTCTTTGTAGACCTAAGGCAAAGAAGTTAAGCCCAAGAATGCATTTATGACCTAATTCCATACCTTCATCTTACGGTAGTGTGCATCGTCGCAATCATTTGTCTGGAAACGAAATGAGATGCTGCTCGAGAAGCTTCACGAATTGGATAAACTGACTCGGTAGTTCCTGACTATCTTGTAGACAGTGCGGAAGTGCCAAACGAAGAAATGAGTGACCGCGGCTGAAGAGTCATACAATAAGCAAGTGAGGGGAACCCTCTGGTTGTGAGAGTCTCGCCTCCGATATACATCGTCCGACTAATCTTGAACAGGAGCTGAGAGGCTGCATACCAAGGAAGACCCTGAAAATTATAGTTTCAGCCTTGATGTTACAGATATTTCGCCGCTATATTACCTGCACTGCCAGTTTCTCCTCGTTCAAGGTGAAGTCCGGGTTCAGAATGGACAGTTGATCATATTCAGTGCCTTAAGATATTAAGGTTCGAATTTTGGCGAAGAAATTGCTTGTAAAAGAGGAAGTGGCGCACCATTCTGAGAATAGAGGAGCTGTGTCAGGAAAGGGAAGTTCTGGGCATGCCACACATTCATCGCGTAACATGCGCAGAAGGCGATCCTGCGGCAATCCGGTTAACAGGAAGAAACAAGGTCAGAGTCGAGAGCACTGACATGCACACTGCACAGCCGGCGTAGAGAGACATCAAAGTGGACAACGGCGTGAACAGAGAGCCAATCGAACCCCCTCCAGCTCCGACATATGCCCAATCGAGGCACAGTGCGAATGCGCCCAAACCTTCGTTACCAGCAGCGCCGCCTTCACACCATGCCCGGGGTCAGCTGAATATGTGCTATAGACGGCGTTTGAACAACCTGCTCACCGAATATACGAGTGAACCAAGCGCTGTCCTGGTTTGCCAGACAAAAAATACTAATGCCCGTCAGCGTCCTGCCCCAAAGCGTGTCAATGTGTAATCAGCGGCCCGACATGAGCGGCGGGGACAAAACGGAGAAGACGGACGGGGCTATATATTCCTGGTTGGTAAGTGTTTAATTTTAGCCTCGGGGGTCAGATGAAAGTGAGATAAAGTACCGGGAACCACTCCCATACGAAGATAGCGACAAAGAGAACCCAGAAGAATTTCAGCCGCTTCTTTTGCATGATAGCTTCTTGGCCACGATGGAGAGCGTCGAAGAGTTGAACAGTAGGCATGAGCTGCGGATAAACAGCAAACGTAGGATAGACGAGGAAGCTCCTCATGATGCCTGAATGCGAATGACATTGTCTTCAGAATACTAACCAATGCGAGGTTGTGGACGCAACATTCTCACCGGCGGTTCCATACCCAAGGAGTTGAGAGCCTATCAGTCTATACGGAGAATCAGCGGATGTGATGTGGGTGAAAGAATTAAACGACACCCACGTGAAGATTCCGACAGCAGCGTTCGGCCTGACGTTGTAATACAGATCCTGCGCTGCGAAAATGCTTATCGCCAACGCGGAGTCTGAGGCGGTCGAGGCCATTATCGTAATTGCGACATGCTCCTTGATATCTTCGATGTTTTGTAAGGTCTAGAGGTCGAGGAGCATAGGAGATAACGTACTGAAAGGTCCTGGATTCATAAACCTAGCGGAGAGATTACGGTTTACTCAATCGAAAGGGAGAGCGAGCTGCTAGCTCATACCTCCAGAACCAAGTGTCAGGCGTGCTGACCCTCGCGTTCTCGCGTGGACCGGGAATGATCTCTTCTAACGCCTAGTTCGAATGATTGGTTTGAGGTTTTGAATATGGAAGTCGACCAAGGAACCTACCTTTCCCATAATATACGATATAATCTGAGAATGGAGGGGTAAAGCCAGCTACTAGTAAAATAGGTGCATAAATACCTGGAGGAAAAGCTGGCTAACTGAAACCTATCGAAATCAAATTAGCGACGAATCCTCACCAACGACGGCTATGAATGCGAATACCGTCTGAGGACGAAAGTACTGGTAGAGGTTAGTGAGTAGGGATTAGAATAAGCGTGCGACTATGTAGCACTCACGAAGATTTGCCCCAGCACTGCTCCAAAGCACGACAACCCCAGGGATAGGAACCACATACGGAAAGTCCAGATAGGCAAGGTGGGGTCATCGTCTAAAGAAATTAGACGGGTCGAGTAGTCGGCATCCGTTTCTGCGGAACGCCAATATGAGGAGCGAAGGAAGAGAACGAGAAGAGATGACAGGACCTATCGGCCGTTCCTTTCCATCAGCACCGAGGTCAATTAGGCGTGGTCCTTCAGCGAACACTTCGCCGATATCTGAGCCGTGCAAGCTGGCGGGATGGACCTTGGTGTCGTAGAGCCCTTTCTCATCAACATGAGGCAGCTCTGGGACGACGTCGATGTGCTCCTTCTCGTCCAGCTTCTCGTCGAGAGAGCCCGACGAGCTCGGTTTGCGAGCCGTGGCTGATAGTTGACTGTTCATGGGAGAGTAAAGCAGGTAGGAAGCGAGATACTCCCAAGCCCTCAGAAGCACTGTGAATGAATGTCAGAAGATTGCTCGAGTTATATGGAAAGTGTACGGAACGAACCATGCGGGAGGAGCAGATAAGATCATTTGACCATGAGAGTGAGTGAATTCATGGGGAGCGCGATGTATTTCTCCCAAGTCCAATTGGGATAAAAGTACCGGTTGGGCCATACGAAGCATGAGAGTACAGAGCCAGAAAGAGCCAGAAGTGTTGCCTTTAGCGTTGTTTAATCGCTGGTCAGATCGGAACAAGCCTTCATGGGCGGAATTATGCAAGTGAATTGGAGATGCATCGACAGTGGCGGCCAACGTCACGAAGGATCTAAAGCAAAGTCATGGTGTAGGGTGTATCGGGGGTTGCACATTAAGAAGGTCTATTCGCAGAGAGATAGAAGTAGCAGATAGAAGTAGCACCTCTGCGATAACAAGGCTGCTGGGGTAGATTAGAAAGTCAAACGGAGCGGAAGTGACGGCGAGAAACAGGGCCGCTTTCTCGGGGCTGCTCGCGCGCCCAAATGCTGACAAGTGCATGCTCCGCTGACTGGTGAGTTTGAGAACTGCTTCGCCTGCACGCTATAAACATTACCTCAGAAACATATGGTAAGATGTCGTTCTGGCTGCAAAATAGCAAAATAAGCACGATATCGGAAACGACCAGAGTATAAAATATATTGTACACATCTGTCTTCCTGGATGAACATGTGAAGAATGTGAGAAAACAAGAAATGCTAAAGTATAAGAAGCGTCCTGAGCGAGACACCGAAATAATGAGTGAGTCATGAACGAACGATTGGTTTGGAGGAAAATAAAGTACCAAAGGATAGCCTGCTGGCGGAAAAAAATCGGCAATAGCCCTCAAGGGAAGTGCTCATGGTCATGAACCTCCGGGATTCTTCTCTTTCTCCTTTCCCTTCTTCGATGGGGGTGGATTGCTCAGTAGATTTGGCGAGCTCGCCGTTCCTGCTGAGCTTAACGAGGCGAGCCTTCTCGTACCCTTGAATGGCGAGGACGTAGAGGAATTTGAATGGACTGTCGAGAGTGGCGGTGGGCTGGCGGGCATCGATGTGGTACTATTCCGCGGCAGGGCAGGAGGCGAGGTTGTTTGCGAAGGTGATTCACCAGCATTAGCTTCCGTGAGGAGGAACTCGACCCAAAGACGAGAGAACGACTACAACATACGAGGTATGTAAGCAAACATAACGGAACATAGCGTTAATACCAATAGCGGAGACGAACCTCTGTCTCATCCGACCTCTCCAGTTCAGTTGCTTTTGACGGCGACGATGTGCTCGACGTGCGACTCCAGAAACCAGAATTTGCCGCCTCGGCCGAACCTATCCGTTGAAGACCAGCCTTTTCTCGCTCCTGGTCGTTCCACGACAAGATTGACGCGAGGAGCGAGAGCATTTCGAATCGTTTGCTGTCTGCTCGTGGTGTTGTCAGGAATGAGAGCAACACGTTCGTCACCAGCCGACGGTCGACGTTTGTCTCGGTTGAATTTCGTCGAAGACGACGGAGGGCCTCCATGAGGTGCTCGTTTATGATGACAGCTGAGAAGAGCATGGAGTTGGGAGCAGTCTGGCATATAAAGACAGACGTACTTTCGTGTCGTAGCTTGTCTATGAGAACTTTCTTTTCCTTCACCTCCTTCTCGAGCTCTTTCGTACGCGAGACATTGGTATGCGACTCGTCGAGTTGCAGCTAAATGGGTGATTGAGGGGCAACCTAGGGAGATACGTATCCAAACGAACCTCAGCTGTGAGGGCACGGGATTTGTACTCCGCCAGCGACTGTGTGGCTTGGAATAGCTGAGATTCGTAGTCCTTCACGGCTTGTCGCAATTCGTGGTCCTTTGCTGCAACGAAAATCAGCACATGAGATACAGATACTCTCGAGCGTACCTGCTTGAAAATCTTGCAGCACAGACTCCAGATTGGTGGTCTTCTCCCGTTCTCGTTCCAGCTCTCCGGCTTCCCTCTTCCTCGCCGCAGACTCCAGCTCTAAGTCTCTTCGGAGAACCTCCAACGTCGTCCGTAGGTCTTCGGAAACTGTCTGCTCTTGCAGAGCTGATCGTTCCCATTCGTCGCGTTCCATCCGACAGCGCTCCAGTTCTAACTGGGTCTCTCGGAGCTCGTTTTCCCGTTGTAAAGTTTCGTGTGCGCTTTCTTGTAGGACACGACTTCGCATGGCGTCGAGTTTACTAGAGGCACGCTCGGCTTCTTCGTGAGATGCTATGAGTTCAGACTTCATAGTCTCCACAGTCGCAGCCAGATCCTCCTTCTCTGCTGTCAGCTGCTGCACAAGTTGTTCCCTCCGGTCGAGCTCTTCCTATCACATATGTCAAAAAAAATATCTTTAAAGTATGGTTGTAGGGACGTACGGCATCCTGCTGTAGTTTATTGCCCAAGGAAGTGCGCATCTGCGTGAGCTTGTTGAGCAGGTTCCGATATTGTGTTGCTAGCTTCTCCTTCTCGTCTTTCGTCCGCTCGAGCTCACGTTGGAGTCTCTCTACTGGATCGCCTGAGTCTTCCACATCGCCGTTTGACAAAGCATGGTCGTCGACGCCGTTGGAATGGTCAAGGCTGCTGCGCCCGCTGTCGAGGGACGATCTAGATTCCTTCAAGATTCCGTTTTCTGAAATTGAGCCTGACTGCCTATGTGTAGCCATGAAAGAGGTGACCGACGAGGACGACGATTTGCACAGCGTGAAACGGCGTTTGCTGTCGGAGGCTGATCACGTGGTGAACAAATGCAGGCAATCTCGCGCTCATTGCCTTGAACAGCGACTACGACCTTCTTTTCACCTCAATGGCCTTGTCGTCATTGATGAGACCACCAAACTCCACAATACGTGTAAACCAGGTCGGTGGTAATGTTCTCACCACCATTGTGGTCTAAAGACTAAAGTTCTTGTATTCTACAGGCCATCTCGCATTCTCGAATCGACACAACGACGGTGCGGAGCATGCCCCGACCTTTCTTCGCGCATGGATATCTTCAAAGACTTCCAGTTGAGCTACTCTGTTTGATTCTGGGACACCTGGAGATGCGTGATCTCCTTGCGTGCACCCTGGTGAGTCCACCACCCATCTCCGTGCGGCCACAATCCAACCAATGTCGTTCAGGTCTCAAAAGGCATTCGGAAAGCTGCATTAGAATCCTCTCGCATCCAGTACACGATCGAGCTCGCGAGGCATCGCATGGTCTCGTTGCTTTCGCCCTCCGCCTCGCCCGCCTTCGCCACACGATTAAAATTGCTCCGTGACAGAGAAAGGGCCTGGAAATACATGGACTGGAAGAAAAGACACACATTGAAGTTGCCACCGACCGGGTCGGTGTACGAGTTTGTGGGTGGCCTGTATGGAAATGGGAGGGAGGATGACAGTCGTGCGACGGCGTCGATATCGTTCCTGGAGCTTCCGTCGACCGATGGCATGTTTTTCGGCGAACCCCCTCGAGAATTGCAAATGTGGACACATGCGATGGGCGACGTGACTATCATCGACTTCACCATGGATCCCTCGCAGGATCTGTTGGTCCTTGTGGCATTGGCTCCTCCCGAGTGAGTGTTTTGTTGCAGTTGATGACTTGATCTGACACGACGTAGCTCTAAATCCGTCTACGAGCTGCACCTTCGGTCCTTGAAGACTAACCGACCGCATCCGAAGGCGCCTGTGTCGGTATTACCCTGCCTGTCGCAGCCGACGTCTCAGCCACAGCCTTCAGACGTAGTGGCCGCGGTTAGAGTGCAAGTTTCCGGGAATCTGGTTGCACTGCTCATCAAGGAGGTGCTGGACAACAGTGGGGCACATCTGGAGATCTGGAACTGGGAGCATGGGGCGCAATATTCGGTGCGTCTTCTGACTTACTGTGTCGACGGCCACAACTCACTGCTGCATCCAGTCCTCCATGTCTCGGCCGTCCGGTATCGACGATTTTACTTTCCTGACACGCGAATCATTTCTCCTCGTTCGACCTACTGGACGCTTTGAAGTTTATTCTTTCGTTGAGCCCCTCCATCGACCGACGATCCCCGTCCTTCGTGCATCTTATGCATTTCCGCCACTCTCTGACGGCTTCTTGTACTGGTACATCTCTATGAGCAGTAACCCTGCACCGGGCTACGTTCCACGCTCGTTCAATGGCGCCCAAGATGATCCGACGGAGGTCGGCAAACAAATTTACTATCCGCGGCCAGACGAGCGTATCCACGCTTGCTGCCTCTACATCTTCAATCCTACAGTCGACGAAAACCCTGTCGTGCACTCCTTCGTTTTCTTCATTAACCTGAAGACGCTACTCAATCCTCCTCCAGAGTGGTTCCCGAAAGGCCAACAACCCCCGCACACCAAACCCCCGAAAAATCCCTCCACAAGACAGTCAAATCGTTCAGAGTCCGATCCATACTCCTCGGACTCCAGCACGCCGTCTTCAGCTCCTCCATCCATGGACTTTCATCTATTCGGACTCGCCTCGTCATCGACATATATGAACAGCATCGCGACATCAGCTGCCTACACCTACCCGCCGTTCCCGACTTTCGATTCACATTTTCCGAGCCCTCCAACGGCCAATGGCCACTCTACCTCCCATGATCTGCAGCCACAACCGACGTTATACTCTGCCCTATCGGCATCGACATCAACAGTCGCATTTGTATCCGAATCCACCTCGACTTCCACAACCCCCTCCACATCAACGTCAAACCGGCGTTCAGATAATACCGCACGTTCTTCACCCAGCTCGCCCGTGCAGCCGATCCCATGGGAGGTCTGGGGCCCGAAGAACACGCGCTGGTTTGAGGAATGCCTGAGCACTGATTGGCAGCATGCCATTTACGGCCTGCGGACCGTAGAGAGCGTCCGCCTGAGGCTGGGCCCCGATGGCGGGCTCTCTCCGACAACCGCCCCGCACACGCCGATGTTTCTGTTCCACCCGCAGGCTGTCGGTGTTGCGAACACAAATGTCCCTGGTGTCGTCCAAGTAAACGTGGTCAATGCGAATGGACAGCAACCAACTGCTGTCAACGGGGTGCAGGTGCAGGTGCAGGTGCAGACGAATGGAGCTTCGTCAGTTTCCGCCAATCCCCCACCTGCGCAGAACGGCCCGAGTTCCAGTACGACAACAAACTCGAATCTTCAGCCTATGGGCCAGCAGGCTCAGCCGCAGCCAACCGCAACCGGCACCTCAACTTCAGCCACAAGCACTTCCGAACGATGACACGGACTCAAGCGAGGACGACGAAGACACAGGCCCACGGCGATATCTCCGCTTACGAGACTTCAATCCGTACTTATTCTCCGAAACCTCTGAGCCTCTACCCGTCTCCTCGGAAGATGACGCGACAGGCAAGGGCAAGGGGCGTGCTCGCTGGGGAGTACCACGGCTCGTGCAAGGCCCCTCGAAAACATCCAGCAAGGGCGTGTTCAAGGAGGACATCGTCAGCGAGCTGCCGTACATGGAGATCATCAGCGAGGACAAGTTCGAGGTGACAGATGTGATGATGGACGATTGTCGGTTGTTGCTGCTGAAGGTGTGTGTTTTTCCTACTCTTCTTGGAGGGCTCGGTCCCCTCCTGTGGTGTCGTGTGACTGACGATTCTCTCTCTCACCGCTTTCGATAGAGAGGAAAGGCAGGCAAATTGAAACGAGTGGAGGTCTTGATGATGTAGTCGATGACGAGGACGCCGTGCAATGCCGGTATATGAAAACCAACCACCCAGGCTAATGAAGAAACCTGACACTTTCCTCGCCGTTCATGCATTCCTACTCATACATTTATCTAGTATGTATCCAGATCCCACTCATCGTGTACGTCTCTCCGCATTAGATCGAACTCTGCTTTGCAATTTGGTATGGGTATGTATTCGTTATACTTAATGGATGAAAATTTGGCCGGTTTTTTGACTCGAATCAGTCGATATTTAAGCTTCTGCTGCAACCGGTTATCAACCGCTGTCAGAAGTCAAGACGGTGGGTCTGTCGTCTGAAAACTTCCTGTGCTCATGAAGGCCTTTCCCTGGAGGGTGAAATTTTTAGAGTTTGGGCTTCGACACATTCTTCGAGCCTGAGGGATCCAGGATAAATCTAGTGGTTCGTCCGCATGTTCGCGCATCGGTAGCATGCCAGGAGGAGCAGGAAAGGAATGCTTTGAGCGGCCTGAGAACGGAAATTCCATACGCGTTTGCAACAGTGGCGAAAGGCACCAAATGGGAATGAGTCGAATGAGAATAGCGACCGCTAGCACCCACATCGGCCTGTCTGAGTTCAAAAGTCAAAAGAACACCCCCTGAAGCCACCAAATGAACACAAGGAGCGTACATTAGAAGGGTCAGAAGATGAGATCCAAACCCTCGTCCTCCTCCTGCTCCTTATCGACGCGTTCTTCGTCACTTAAATTCGGCCCCTCAGGACCGTCCGTCTTCTCATCAAGCGCGTCTCTCGGAGACCTGCCGCCCCATTTTTCCACTTTGCCTTTAAGCAGCTTCTCCAGAGCGTCCACAGAGGAAGTTGCTCCAACGGCGGCTCGGAATTTCGGGTACCAAGGTCTCCTGGAACTAGAGGAGGAACACTCGGTGAGAATGTGGGCGACCGGAGGAGTAAGCAGAGGATAATTAAAGTTCAGAGCAGGGTGTCGTGCTGGCGAACTCGGATCGGACGCGAGGGTGGATAGCCCGTTGGACCTTAGGTCTGGATAACCACGATCCATCGGGGCACAAGGCCCAAGAAGGTGTAGCCTACTCACCACTGGAATTCGACAAAGTGCCGTATGTGTGTTTGTATTGTTGCCAGAGACGTCCCAGGGTATTCCCTACAGATACTGAGATATTCCAAGGAGATGTCCACCGGGTCAGGGACCGATCCCGCGAAAAGACTGAACGTTAATATTTCCATTAGTAACACGGTAAGTTTGCTCCCAGACAGGAGCTCAAGTGTAACGGCATAAAATAAGCACACACCAGGGATTTCCAAGTAGCGTTTCGCCCACCATGAGGCCATCCGCACCGGTGTAGGCGAGATTATCCTCCAGGTCACTGAAAACACGGACGTTCCCGTTACTTATGACGGGGATCTCGAGATGCTCCTTTAGGTGCTTAACCTGGCTCAGGTCTGCGGCTCCTTGCCGACGTCGGCGGGCGGAGACTGTCCGAGCGTGGAGAGTGATCCAGGATGCCCCCGCCGCCTCAAGGCGTCGAGAGAGCGTCAGGGTTTTGGGAGTGGGCTGGCACAGCCGGATTTTGGCAGAGACTGGCACGGTGAAGGAATTTGACATCGATGACACTTAAGTCATCATAAGTCGCATGGGAGCCAAAAAATTCTGTAAAAAGTACCTATGCTTTCCACGAGTGGCCAGTCCTTCTGGCCGAGCAAGTAGGCGCCGTAGTGCCCATCTTGGGCGGCTTCTTGGGGACAGCCTAGATTAAGATCTGTTGGTTTACAAAAAAGGGTGTGAGTTATGTTTAACTGAAGGACTCGAGAAGTTTTCTACTTGCCTATGGCGTCGCAGTATCCCTGCAGTTTCCGGCCAGCTTGAACGACGAGTTCCGGATCACTACCACAGATTTGGGCTACCACAGGTCGGCTCGTGCCGGGGCTTTGACACGAAGAAAGGTCGCGGAGGTGGTATTCCAGGTACGCTTGATCATTCAGAAGCTTTTCGGGGATGTACATTTGGGTATACGTCGTCGTCGCCCCATAACGGCGGACCAGAATTCGGAAGGGGAGATCGGATTGATTGACCATTGGTGCGGACACATACTTCAAATCTCGGGAGCAGATTCCAGCCATAGTTTCTTATCAAAAGCTGGATACTGAATAGAAATAGGTAAGAACAAAATTGCTTGCCAAATCGGAGGGTGTGACGATGGACGACTTGGAGATTCAAGTTGACGCCTGACCACGGTTACAAGTTGGCCGCCAAATCACTTTGTGCAAAGCATCCGCCTCAGAAAAGACCTCTACGATGAATGAGAACTTAAAGAAGCGTCTTTCGTTCACAGGGTGTACTGACCTCAGTGGCGGCTTCGTTTTGGCTTCGTTGAAAACACAACTGACGCAGGCGGTCCGGATGTCGGCGCAGACTCGGCATCACGTAACCGTGCCTCCTGACGACCTTCATCTACGTGGCTTTGCAACTACTAAGGAAGTCGGTGAGTGGTAAATCAAGAGAGGGCTACGCGTTAAATAAAAGTTGACTCTATAATGACATTGATACGGGATTGATAACGTTCCTTTCTCTACGATCTCAACCCTCCCCCTTCTCCCCCCTTCTCCCCCTTCATCAGACAACACCAGATGTCAGAAATGAGTCTCATTCGTCCTCTACGAATCACACCGAAGGGGGTTCCAGGTGAGCTGTCGAGACTTCGGCGAACAATAAAGCGTCTGATGCTATTAGCTGGAGCAAGGTTCTGGTCTTCCGCCACAGAACAAATTATCCTCAGAGATTGTGACTCTGGCAGACCTTCCTTCTTCATCTAAGGCTATGGCGCCTTCCCCGCCTGCTGCCTTCTTGATCAGGTCTGGAATGCCAAGACCGACCTTCCAACCATTCTGTCAGACCGGCGGCTGTTCAGCTTGATTTTATTGCTCACTATTGGTTCCTTCATGGCTTGGCGTGGTTTCTGTAGCGCGAAAGAGCGGGAGCCATGTGTCTATCCCCGCTCTATCGTCTGCTCCTCGCGATGCGCTGATTGTTAGCCAGGATGCCGCCCATTTATAAAGGCTTTATGGGTCTCTTCTCTTCCCTGACCGCGAAGGTGCACACATGGTTCTCGACGTCGCATATGCACTGCTGTGATGACAAGGAAGGCTTATCGCGTTGTATAAAGAATCGTTGGGTTGATTGAACTCCCCCCGTTCTCAGCGATGAGCCCTCCGCATACTCTTCTGTGGTTTGTTGCCGCCTCAATCGCGGTAGCTTCCGCCAATGTCGCCCCTCGCGCTCCGGATGCTTGCGCCGCCATTGGTGGGAGGAAGTGGGTGTCGCCCCGAGAAGTAAGAGCTTGCTATAGCTCTTTCAAGGTTGTTGAGGCGGAGAAAGCCAACGTACGTGGTTTCCCAAGAGCTCTTACTATCCATGGGTGACACAAGTCAATGTCTAGATCATAGACGTGATCTCCAAAATGGCCGCCTTCCACACCTCGACCAACTACCAGATCAGAGCTCCAGAACCTTTCGCCTCAGAAGTCCACGAAGACCTGCTTGGTTCTCTGGAGAGAATCAAGAACCAGAGATATGCCTCGGATTACGAGCTGCATATCGATTTTTCGAGAACTCTGAAACGTTTGAACGACGGACACATCGCCTGGGTCAACAATTGCTACGTGAGTGATCTGTGGCTCTGGAGATGAACTCCAGTTAACATGCTTCCTGGTTCCAGGATTGTACGTGTTATACCGCGCCCCTGCACTACTTCGCCTTCACACTCTCGTCCAGCCCTTTTCGTCAACTATCTCCCGACCCCATTGAGCTTGATAACCGATGCGAAGGGCATTCAGAACGTTCATATTGCGTACGAAGCCTTCGACGTCGCCTCGGCAGAATTCCCAGACCAGATCGACTTCTGGCAGAATGCTCTTCCCGGAAATCTTAAGGGCAATCTGAAATCGGTTCGTCTTCCTTCAACTTCTTAAATTCTGCCCTGCTTCTCATTTCATTTCCGTAGCTTTCTGGCGCCAAGGTCTTGCTAATCAACGGACGGCCACCTTTCGACGCGGTCCACGCGAATGCTCTCATTACTGGCAGTTACCAGTCCTACGCAACTCGTCAGAATTCGTAAGAAAGACTTTGTATCGAGTTGGAGATGAGCTTCTCACTTATTATCCCGTTTGAAGATTCTTTTCGAGCTATCGGCGGACCGCTGGCGAATGGAGTTACATTTTGGGAAACTTTGCCCAACAATCCCTTCCGTTGGACGACTTCGCGGTCTTGACAATCCAGCGTGTCAATCAGACCCTTCCAGAGACTATCATCGTAAGCATATCCAGAACTTTCTTGTCGTAACCAAGTGCTTAGTGCTACCTGAAGCTGCCTTACCGTTCGAGGATTGGTACTACCGCAAAGGCTTTCACAGATACCGCGTCCTGGCGCTCTAACAACTGCGTCGCGGTTGATGGCACCAACGGAATCGACGCGTACTCCGAGAGCCTACCAGCAGACGCGCCTGTGGCCAAGTTCCTGCAGCAGCCGCCCCTCCCACTTGACACCGAACGCAAACACGGTCTGAACGTCCTGCTGGACGCTGCACCTTGGCTCGACGTCACCCTTCCACCAACCCTGCAGCCTGGGCTAGTCGCTGTCAATGGGAGCTACAATTCAGCCCAATTCTATCTGGCGAAGGACGGGAAGACGGGCGTTCTGGCACTTGGCAGCTTCTCTGATACTCAATATTTCACCTTTTTGAGGACGTTATTGGAAGGTCTGCAATCTTTGAAGGCATTGGGAGCTACACAGCTTATCGTTGACGTGGTGAGCACCACTCCTTTTGCTAGAACCACCAGTCAGGCTCAATTCACTTCGTCAGACCAATAATGGGGGAGGGTTTATCTGCGCAGCTCATGTGCGCACTTCTTCGATCTGCTCGGGGTTTCGTTGCTTACAATTGACGAATGATAGTGGCTCCACCGTATCGTGAGTGAAGCTTGTTTCTACCTTCCGTCTCTTTTGCTCACCGATTCGTAGATTGCAGGTCCCAAATCGACAACAGTGCCGCAAGCTGGATTGGACACGAAAGCCCGAGCTGGTCCCTTGGCTCGAACTATTGTCGATGAGATCATCTCGAAGAATAAGGACCCAATAGTCCAGCTTCTTTACAATCCACTCAACTGGAGAGACGCTAGTAACACTCCCTTTACCGCTGATGCGGATTGGCTTGAACCCATTGTGCCGCTAACAATCAACGGCCGCGAGGACGCGTTCAGTCCAAGGTGAGTTATTTTCTGCCCATATTCCCGTGCTCGTTGTGTACTGACTTTCACGTAAAGGCTTGGAAACGAATGTCAACCTGAAGGCTTCCCCGGCGACGCACCGAGCGAAGCACTCTTCGACCCTAAGAAAGTTGTTATCGTCTCGAATGGCAGGTAAAGTCCGGTCTTCATCTGTTTAACGGTTTCTATTTTTGTTGACGGTTTGCATCACATGGGATTCATCAGATGCGGAAGCTCATGCTCTCTGTTCAGTGTCCGTGTCCATTTCTTTCTAGGTCTTTCGGCTGATGCCGACCTCCGCTTCAAAATCAGATCTCCATGTCCAAGTACGAGGGCACGAAAACCGTCGTCGTTGGCGGAAAGAGCGACGTTCAACAGATCTATTGCGGCGTAGTTGGTGGTCAATCGACGAACTTCGTTACGATCGATACCGAAATTAAAGTCAGTGCCTCTCACCTTTTCATGAAATTAACCGAGATTTCATTTGTGATTTTGTCCAGACCACCGGGTTGAAGAACAACACGCTTGCTCCACCTGACCTGTAGGTTTTTGATTTTTCTGTCTTCCTGCGTCCTTCGTATGGCGTCCAAGGGCATGTGTTCGTCTTCTTTCTCGTCAGGTCGAGGGGTATGCAAGCATGTCCCGGTGCAACCGAGCTTGTTGAGACCGTGTCTCCTTTCCGCGAGCGAATCCCTTCGCGCCACCTCGCTGTTAGAGACATCGATAAACTGAATTGCAATTCGTTTTGACAGGATCGTCAATGGGGTTATGGGTATCACTTGGAGGCTGGCTTACGGCGTCGACGAACCAAATGAACCTGCAGGTACGTGAAAGGTACTCTCAATGGCCGCTTCGAGAAGACCTAGTGTTGGATTGGTTTACCTTCCTTTCCCCCTGTACTGATGTTTAATTTACCCTGTGTAGAGTGGCAGTACTTCCCAGCCGACCTTAACCTACCCGTTACCCCCGCTCTGTAAGTGCAACTAGCTTCTTTTCGCCGCCCCTTCTTATCGACTGACGGAACCGTTATTATGCTTTTGCTGTCAGTGCGAACAACCCTGTCGCAATTTGGGAGGAGGTTGCGCGAAGACTGCTATGATGACTCGGGAAGCTTATGGGATCGATGCGGGACGAGTGTCTTTCTTAACGTTATTCCTATTGAACGATGCTGTTTCAATTCCGGGAAACCCCATCTTCTCGGTGCAGATACCCTATACCTAGCAAAATTCATTTCCCCACCTGCGCGACCCCTGCGCACTCCGTGAAGGGCGGGAGTGAGAAGGCACCTATCTAATTCAGGACAATTTCTATGAGACGTCAACAAGACCGGCCATTCGATGGATCTCCTTTGTATTCGCATCGGTTTCCTTGTCAGAATCAGCCTGCACTCAGCTTGCCTCCAAAGACGTTTATTTGGCTGTACAACTTCCACCCTTAGGCTACCCCGTGTACCAGGGGATCCAAATAGAGTACAGATAAGTGACCGTTATAGATCAATAATTCGGGGACATTGAGCCCCATCTCCATGCTGGTTTGTCAGATGTTCAATGGTTGATCAAGGGGAAGCATTTATATCTACCGAGAGAATCTCGCTATCACATAGCATCGCGGGAGCCAGTTCACAGTGGTCATTAAACAACGATATCTTGCACCCAGGCAGGACGATACCCACTGCTTCAGAACAACTTCCCGCTTCTGGTCGAGGGGAGTAGTCTCCCCTCGACTAGCACGCGCCCCCAGTGCGGCCAATCTGCCCTATCCACAAGCGATGTGTGGCATTGTCCGAGATTCCGGCGTTGGGCGAGATGGAATAGTACTACTGCCCCGTGCATATAGTTTACCGAGGCTGGAATACGCCACGCACGGTCAAGTTAAACTTTGGTGTTCTAAAAACGTGTAGGCACCCCAAAAGCTATTTTTGCACTCACTGGCACATGTCCTTGGCCGTGGGTTCAGCACATCCCGCCTGTCCGCATAATTTATCCTGTAGTTCCAGGTTGTTCTAGGCACAGGCGATTAATTGGTCTCACACTTTCACGTTTGTGATAATTAGCACTCCAAATGCGATGTAGATTAATTTAAGGGCAGACCGCTGAATGATTGCATCTCGGGAACGACTCAGCCACCTCGTCCCACGTACGGGCGGCCTTGGAGTGGAGATCCTTGCCGTCCACCTTCGTGTACTCGTATACGTTACCTCGAACATCTCCATGCAGTCCAGAGAAGGAATGTTGGATGTGGCAATTCATTGAAATGCATGGGCGGATGTAAGTAGGTATGTTATCGGCGGCTAGAAAGTCATAATTTACCCACAATTTCCGCTCCCCAATAGACTGGGTTCTAACAAGGTCTACCTGTTTTCGGTTTTAAGCGGCCTTGGTGGCGTTACTCGAAGGGCTATTTGGCTAACGCAACCATATGGTCAACTACAGGCCCTTGTCAAGCACCATTAGACTTCTCAAACTCCTGTAGTTGCAGGGGAACACTTCCACACGAATACCAGTACCTTTGAATTAGACCGTGGTTTCCACGAGAAAACACTCTATCGCCGGTCGCGGTACCGGTATATCAAGAATCCGTCACCGCGTTGTTTCTGCTTAATGAAGATAATAAGTAAATCAGGTGGCTTCTGCATCCTGTTCAAATTTGAATGAGGCGCCTTCCAATTTTAGACCCGATCGTGCGCCACACTATAATTACTACATCCAGTCATGCCACGACCAACTCTGAGATCTGACTTTGCGCCCGAGCGGTGGAGATACTGCCCTATGTCCTTTTAATAAGTAACACAATTGGTCACAAGACTCTCCGGAACTAAATGCTTGCTGGCATTTCATTTTATCGTGAAGGCTATTAGTGAGTGATAACCATCATGTTTTTACGTGCAATCTTGCCGCGAACTTGCCGATGTTGCCCATGTATGGCACTTTTTCATTGTAGTTCATTGATGTATGCCTGTCCCCGCTCTCCGCCATCGAACGTGCTCCAGGAAGGCTCCTTACTGGATGGTCTGGGGCTCATCACATTCCCTGTTGACAGATTATGCTGCGCACATCAGTCACCTAAGTTGACCCCTCCATTACGAGCTTCCTTCAAAGAAAATCGTCAGCTGACATTACGAGAGCTTCACGCCTACAAGCGCCGAACAGCAAGATAAGGTTATGACATATTTTGGGAAGAGATTCCGTACAAAGTCCCGCATAACGAGCAAGAAGTTCAAGCCTTCCACGGCATGGCCAGTTGTTCTAAGGTGATGATCCCATTTCGGCATTTCTCTAGTTGTGTCCAGTCCGAGAATGGCAAGAAAAGAAGTCTACAATTGAAAGGCACCGATTATGTCCTTGTCACATCTGTTTCGTCATGATGCCTAAGCGCACTTTGCCCGAGTGTTTGGAAACGAAGCAAGAAGATAACGAGATATATAAAGTGAGAGTCACCCTACCTTCAACCTTGGTCCGATATCTCAAGAACCGCTCCTGTCGGCCGTACAGAACGAGAATGGGTACATGAAGGACCGTTGGGGATTTGCTGAACTTTAAAACTATATTCGGGACAAGTAGATATCGAGTCTAGAGTGACTATGGGTATATATTTTGCAGTCGTCAAACACCTTCGCAGGGTCGCACAGTGCTGTCAAGCCCAAAATGGTGTTATATTCTCAGGGAAGTGGGTTTGAGAACCTTCATTTGGGACCTCGGCGCTCCAGAGTCACCGATGCCAAACGCAACGTACTAGGCCCTGCAGCACCATGAAATCGCGTCGTTTCAGCAAGTGGACGCGCACGGACCTGACGCTTGCCCCATAAGTTGGTTCCACACGATCGCGTAGGGAAAGGTAGACCACACTTTCCACATAGAGTAAGGTGCGCTCCAGATGTTGGGGAACCAAGGGTAGCTATTAAATTGAAAGTCGCGCCACAGGCATAACTGTAGACTCGAAGCCAGCCTACAGGTGCGCACTCAAAAGATTGCTTCACCGAGACGGCTGGATTCGAGACTAGCATACCTGGTGCGTCTGGTCGATCGATCGCTGTGGCATTGCGTAGATTGTCGAATTGGGGTAATGGGCGGTTCATCCGGATCCTCGCGTAGCTAAGCGAAAGCTTCAAGTTCAATTGAGAAGTTCTACCCCAAGTGTAGAGGGGTTTGTTCAGGTTCTAGAATACAAACCTTCTTCAAGAAGTTTCTATGGAAAACAATACGACATAAGTTGAGGTCAGCGTCGACGTGAGCGCTCCGAAACACTCGGCCCCCGATGCAGAGAAATTTGTGGCGTTATTCCCGGTATCTAGGCGCCGGGGGCCGCCTTGGCGTACATGATAAGTCCCAAAGCAGATACAAGACTTCCGGTCTGCCTGAGAGAGCTTTTCGTCTTTCTGTGAACCTCGGCAGCACAGGGATCAAGCTAGAGCACCACAGAACACTACAGAACACCATATAATTCACTCCTTTACACCGGAATGATGAAGCAGAATGCAACTCGGAAAGTCGGGCCCTTCACCTCCCATGACGCACTCGGAAGATCTCACGCCATATGGTCACTCGGGCACCGGACCCATCGGCGCGCGTCGTTGGCCACACATTTCCATTTATGTCCAGAGCGTCCATATGCTGTTCCTGGCGCGAAATATACTCTCAATTGGATTGCTTTGCACGGCGAGGCGCGTGTTTCTCGGAATGGAAAATGGGGTATGTTGTGGACACCGAGAGAGGAGTTTGAGCTCGTGATGTTCTGGAAATCCGGCTGCGCGTTGGCGGTGAGGCGACCTCTCATTGGAAGTCACGAGAATTAGCTTAGAAATGGAGAGAAAGGAGATCCAGACGTGCATTCTTCGTCTTATTGTTTCAACTGGACACTACGGTACTCTTTGCGTACTATATTACTTCATTTTTCGGCCACTGTCATTCCACCACCCCTTTTTAGAATCGCTCACGAGCTCTCGCTCCATCGGACGCAACATTCTGCTGGAGGTCTTCGGAAGAAGAGTCCCAATTGTCTTTGTCTCCATGCCCTCCTCCCTTCCATAAAGTTCAAACTGCGCCACTGTCGCACCATGCCATACCCTGTGCATCTATTCACACGGACCCTTGGCGCCCTTTCTGCCGAATTCATCGAAGACAGGAAACCCTGGAGGTTTCCAACAGTTTTCTATGCGCAGTTTGCTTGTGATAGACACACGAGCGGAACGGCCGGGCCGGGCGTCAGTCCCGACTCCCGACGCAGGTGCCAAGACGGACAGTGGAGAAACGTTTTGGATGGCCGGGTCAGGGTCGGGTTGGGGATATTTCTTCGATGCTCTGCCCTGAGATTGGAGATTTCTGATTTCTGGCGAGTCGCGACGAAATGGGGGATTTAGATTTGAGGGTGGATCATGCGCCGTCGCGTGCCGGCGCCTATGTGCGCGCCGGTTATCCGAACGCGTCCACAACGCGCCGACCCTCCGCATAAATTCGAGGATTACTCTATAATTGGGGTATGTATCCACCTTCGCAAGAAGCACGAACGCGACAGCTCGTGCGCAGGGCCCCTGCGACTGCTTCTCTGCGGCCCGTATGATCATGGCTTTCGAAATGCCGTACACTTAGGGCGCGTTCCTATGGTATCGCACCGACCTCCCGAGAAAATAGACGATTAGAGAGTGAAGGGTAGGTCCAGGACTAACGTTGTTCGGACCGGATGCTGCTAGTGTGAGCCTCATGGTGGGAGAGGGATTCCCCCACTAGGTAAAAGAGAGGGATCTGGAAAGACGCTTACAGAGATATATCGCAAGGATAGGACCTGGTCCCGAAAAAGTACACAGCACTTGTACGGCATTGGGGAGATCTTCAAAAAAACACCTGCTTGGTTGTTGCTGAACCTCACGGTGTCTCCGAGGACGTCATAGCCACTGCAGGTTGGTGAGTGTGTCAGCGTCTTAGAGTCATCCCGAACCTCGGAAGGCGAGCCGATACTGCAGGGACGCTCGCATTCACGAAGATAACAAAGTTCTTCGTCAGGCCTTCCAAAAAGCAGTGCCCACTGGACACCGTCTTCTCCCGACTTTTATGCTCTAGAAGACTGTCAAATATATAAAATTCGACACTGCAAGGTAAGCAGAACTCGCGTCCAACCAGCTGACGGACGAAGTTAACAGCTGACCCACCAATCCATCCGACAAATCGCGACTCAGGTGCTCACGAGTACAGATGCATTTTCTGAATAATTGATTACCTACTTACACACCGACATACAGATTCCATGAGGACCCATCGCGCAACTCTAAAGCGCACTTGGCGCATCGATCGCTCAGCCAACAATACCAGATGTAGAACCTCTTCGCCATCGGATCCGCCGATGCGCCACTTTCGCGGGATCCAGGTCTTCTTGTAAGTGAGGACTATCTCCAACAAGTCATAAAACATTGAATGATCACCTACGAGCGCGAATCCAGGTCCAATTCATTGTGAATTCAATTGAGTCGGGGGATTTTGTCCGTCGCCTCGAGGACGACGTGGCGATGCGTATGGTCGTACGTGGACAAGTCCTGTCCTATATATTCGACCAATCGCAAAAACAGTCAAACTTTGAAGTCCTTGGGCAAATGATTGACCCACCGGGCGCCTTTATCAAGATGTAGGGTCTCTCTTCGATATCGATTTCACATCGACATAATTTCATTATCTTGCCCATATACTGTGCAAGGGTCTCGTCCTACTGGCACGCGCGTGACCCCCCTCCGGTGAATTGACTCCAATGTTCATCGACGCTGCGGTCTTTCGGACACGCCGGGACGACCAAATGACCTCTGACTAAGATCTACGACAAATTCGATATGAACGTCGATGCATAAGCAATTCTAGTCAACTGCTTTTTTGCATTAGAAACGGGCTTTGAAAGCAAAGAGAATTGTGGAGGCCACGCGGCTACTTATTGCACTTGTCTACACCCAATTCAGTTTTTTGGACGATTCGTGACCTCGCTTTACGGCATTCTTGACCACATAAATAGCCGATACGTGACCCGAGGCCCTGGCCCGATCAAGAAATTGAGGAGCGCGAACGCGGCGCACGGGGAAGACGCATGTAGGACGCATTGCAAAGCCATATCTTTAGCGACTCATCACTGATATCTTTACATGTTTCTGTAATTATAACTCCGGGAGCTGTTCATGTTTAATCAGGCGGATCTTGGGCTGTTATCTTTACTCTTCCACTCTTCTTAGCCTTCTACTCTCTCCTGTAGACGTCCATGTCGATGGCTCGAGACCTCTTGACGGTCTGAGGGGAAGGTCTCGTTGAGCCTGTCCGATTTTACGACTGTCAATTCAATTCCTCGAGCACTTTCATGATTCTCAACGTCAACTCGTCTTCACAATTCAATTCGCAATCAGCGTGATCACCGACTGACGGGCCCACGAAAGTACCACCAGACCGCCACTGACGAGAATTTGACAGAATCCGAGATCGGGTTGCTGTCAAACTCTATAAAGTCTATTTCCTTTCAGCAGGATGGCTATGCACGCGTGCAGACGCCAGGCATCAGGATGACATACGGATAGGGGCTTACGGTGATCAACTACATTTGAAGGAGAACTGGAGGAGGTTGCTCACCATCGAATTATAGCCGGGTTCCACGAAATGGGCCTATGAATCACGGAGACTGAAGCGTTTCCTTTGCGAGTCGATATGGACATGACACGATAGCTAAATTTCGAAGACTTCCATTCCAAAACCTAGAGCAAACCGCGAGGCGCCCATACCGCACACTACAAACGGGCCCAATACGCCCGTCCCTAGTCGATTCATCCTTCAGCCATTGAACACGAGCTCGAAGATAAGCAACCTCACTTCCATTTCCGCTCGCAATTCGAACTCCTTCCTCCTGTATTATCGGTCGTACTTAAAGTGCATCGTGAAAGCCTCGAGGCTCGAGATCGTCGACGGCGTCCAGCCACGTCCCAGGGGTCTGCTACAAGCACCGTGGCCACGGCCCGCGGCCCTCGAACGTTCGTACGCCTTCCCCCGTGCTATGTGCACGCGCAAAGCAGGAAGGCAGAAGCCAGGACGAGCAGTCCGGAATGGAAGGATAATAGTAAGTTTGGCAATTGCGAGTGCAAGGAAGGCTCTTGCACAATTGCGGCCCGTATCCGAGTGGCGAGGTGGATGAGATCGACACGTTCCGCAGGATACCTTGAGGTTGGTAGAATTGAGTGATGTTTTCGGATTAATATTTCACCTCGTTGATCGAGCAAGGGCACGAACTGGGAGGGAATAACAAGGAAAGAGAGAGGAAGAGGAGACGAAGGAGACGGCGAGATGCGTTTCCAGTAGGCTGCCTTCTTTGCGAGTGAGTCGCGACAGCACGGCCTCCTACAATCCCACTTCCTGATTCCCCAAGTCGCGCTCGAAGTCGAGAAAGAGTCCGATGGGAACGACCCAAAGCCTTCAGCTTAAATATGTACCCTCGAAAGATAACCAGTCGGACCCTGCTGTGCGCACGTTGTCGTTGTCGTTTACCAAACGCCAGAAACAAACATCGAAACGACCCCAGAAGACCAGCGGGAAGGTTCGAGTGCAAGTACAAGCCAGGGACGGTGCTCGAGAGCAGGGCCTGGGCGAGAAACGAGCACCAAGGGGTGTTACGGCATTGATATCGTACATCCTAAGGAATCCAGATGAACAGACATAACTGGCACGTCCCGTCCAATTCTTACGGTAAGAATAGGGTGGGATCAACCTCGAACTTGTTTGGAATAAGCAAGAGGTGACAGGGGAACAGGATAACGACGTCGGGGTCGACCAGAGGGCGCTAATTGGGCAAGGCAAAATTTCTCGGCCTACCACCAAGCATTGCGTATTGACGCTTTCGAAGGGCTTCTCAACGAGAAAAAAAAGTCCGCCGGTGGGAACGACCTAATCTTGAAGCCCGTGAAACCCTCGAAGCAGAAGCCTTGAGTTCGAGTTCGATGCCCTAGCACGATAAACCGACAGGCCCTACCATGCGCACGTTGCCTTGTCCTTTACCGAACGCCGGAAACAAACAAGGCTAGAAGAACGAGCACGCCACGGAATCAGGGAGTCAGGAAATCAGGGAGTCAGAGATGAAACAGAGTGTCAGGGACGACTCACGAGGGCTGGAAACTGGGGAGGGTCTTACGACATCCTTATCGTAATCTACGACTTGGAGGAGGATGAACGAAAATGCCTCGTACCACTAGGGCCTGGGTGTAAAACTCCAACGTAGGTGAAGCTGAGTTCCCTAGGCCATCGAAGACCTCTATAATGTAGGAAAGAGGCCTACAAACACACATGAGCGCGCATTATCTTTAAATTCTCGATCCCTACTGTGTCTATACCCGAAGTTCGAACGTCCGAGCCCGAGACGCCTGCAAGCTCACCGCTAGCCATCGAACCGCCTTCCATGTCAGCGAAAAGCCTCCGGTGGGAACGCGTCGATGCGATACGGCATGTACATGTATCCCCCGGAAAACATCTACCGTACAGGAGAACAGACAGATATTGTCAGTCGCACGCCAGACTCTCATGAGATCCAGAGGGACTTACGACACGCATACCCAAGATATCCCGATGCATATGTTGCGTTATCTAACCCAGTACGAAACCCCCACCCCCTCATGCCCGAGCCTCTGCGCGCTAAAAATGTCTCCTTCGTACGTACGAAAACAACAAGCACTGTTCGAGTACTGGTACCGAGGGACGTCGTCCTAGCCGGGCAGGACACTGGGGGTGTTGACATCTTGCAATTGGTGTCCTTATCGTGAATCGTTTGCTAACGCTGGTAGTTCTTGCTGTAGGGTAGCCTGATGTGTTCGAGTTGCCGCCTGGCACTGGGTCCCACCTAAAATCGCCTTGCGATCCCAGGCCTAATATAGACGCGTGCGCTGCTCGGCTAGATATCGACATCTTACTTTTACTTTATCGATGGCCAATAATTAATAATCCCCTCTCCCAAGGGGCCAAGGCCAACACCAGACTCCGGGCGCTACCACGACCCACCGTGATACCACACTCACCTCTTTACACTTCCCCGTGTTGCTCACCTCTTCACATCGCTCACACCGGGGCCGACTCTACCGACTTCCAAGTTCCCAAGCCCCAAGCCCCTCCCTCTGTCCATCCAAGTCCGAATCCCCACACATCCCACATGCAAGGCCGACTTTTAAGTTCAAGTTCAAGTTCAAGTTCTATGTAGAGACTGAAATCGAAGAGCCTCGGAATCGGAATCAGGATCGGAATTGGGGGTCCGCTTGTTACATACTTAAGTAGCTGTCTGCGCGGTGCGGACGAAGAGCGGGGAACGCGGGGTTGATCATAGTGGGTGTGGGGAACGATGACGATTCCCGGGAGCAATCCCGCGTGCCGGCTGAGCGGGACGGGTAATCCGTTCACCCGGATGACTTGGTGAAATCGGAGTCGTCGACAAGGGGGTTGAAAAAGAAAGAATTCATAATCACCATGCAGCGGCTTTCGGCTCCCTCATCCTAGCTCTGGCTCAAGCTCTAACATCTGACTTTCGACGTTCTTCATGGTTGGTTCGACCGACTCGGAAGCCTATGTTATCATAAACGGCAACCTCTAAAGCTACTTACTCTACACGGTACACGGTACACGGTACGCGGTACGTCCTATACTTACAACCTTCGCACCCTCAAAGCTCTCAAAGCCCTCAAAGAGCGATGAACGAGAGATGCGAGATGCGAGACGAGAGACGAAAGAGGCAGGCCGGAATCCGGAACCCATGCGCCCAACCCGAACTAATTGAATTAAAAATTCGGAACTCTGTCAACTCGGTCCACGGGTAAGTCCAGTAGTAGAGTCTAAGTGAACTCCGTGGGTACCGCATTGGTCTACTCTATAGTGCGCCACAACTCATACCCATACTCGCACGAGCAGTAGCAGTAGCAGTGCATGCCCTCAAGCGGTTGAAACCATATCAGCTCTACTCTATATAGACGCCGACGAGCATGGGAGAGGGGGTAGAAGGGCGGAAGGGCGGTAATACATATATCGTGATCGTGATTCGTGTACGTAGGGAACTTGCCTTGCTCTGAGCAAACTTGAAGGAGCCTGGCGCCTGGCTACGTAGGGGCGACATAAGTAGGATATTTCGTATTTCGATGGGGAAGACGAGTCGGGGTGAGGCGTGCGCGCGCGTAAATGAGTCGTATAGGAAAATGTGAAGCAAAAAAAAGCCGCTGGATTCTGGAAGAAGGGGATGCAAAACACGGAAGAAAAATCGTATATCTGGTCAAAGCCTTCAATCCGGTCTACCAGTCCAACGCGCCAAAGACGCAAAGACACCCACCCCTGACCCACCCCTGACCCACCCCCCCCGGAATGCAGAGCCTCTTCCGAATTCAAGCGCGCGCCTAAAGTACTCGCACGGTCGCACCAGCCGGGAACAAACCTTAAGCTTAAACTTTTTCCCGCTCTCTCTTTCTCGCTCTCTCTCCAAAGGTACTGGTACGGGTACCAAGCTCCAGGCTGCAGGTGGTGTACACTGGACGCTGGGCGCTGGACGCTGTAGAGTCTCCGAGTCCCGAGCTCGAGTGCGTGGGTACCGCACTAACAATGCGCCACAACTCATAATGATAGTCGCAGCAGTAGCAGTTGCAGTAGCAGTGCACGCCCGAACTCGTCCATCCTCCCCAGTCAGGAATTCCGGGGAACTGCGGTGTCAATGACGGGCCGGTGCGATCTGAGGAGCGGGAGCGTCAAGCCTTTAATTGTGGCGCGTCGCGTCAGGCGTCGAACTTCAGCGCTCAGCGCTCAGCCTTTGAGGCGTACTCCAAACTCCAAATTCCAAATTTCTTCTGAATCGGAATCAAAAAATCGCTTTCATAGTCCAATTCGCGTTCTGTTCGTTCGTGTAACAAATGTCTGTAAGAGTATGGTACAACCCCATCCTCAGGCCTCAGGGCGGGATAAGAAAAATGAAGAGAT